GAGAAAAATATTAAATGACAAAACAGCCGATCCACAAATGATAGAATACACGCGATTCGCGCACCATTTTGAATTCCCACACGTTGTAGGCAAATGAGGAAAAAAAAAAGAAAAATAATGTCACATGCGAATTATCAGACGCGTTATCTTTAATAGCTGAGTACGTTTATTGTCAATTTTTATTGTTGATAGTGTGTTTTAATTTTTCTTCTCGAGCAACGATATGATGATTGTTGCTTACACAATAATTCTTGTACAATGATTTTCGATGCGAGAATCGCAACGTATGGTGCTGCAAAGCCTCTGTATTTATATGAGGACACAAAACTATTTTGAATTTCCCGCGTTCTCAGTCAAAGACAACTTACAATATGTATAGTTTTGTTATTTGGTTAAAAAAAAAAACTGTAAACGATTTTAATTGACGTCCGTAAGCGTATTCAGTATCTAGTCTGTATACATATGTCTGTGGTCGTTTGCAATATGGATTGCAGGTGCAAGAACCATCATTGTCGCAAAACGTAAAAAGTATGACGTCCAGGAGACGTGAATTCTTGCGTTTCTTTGTAATGGAAATGATAAGTATGGGCGGCGATGGTACTGGCACAAGACCGTGCATAATTATAGAGAGACAGATGAAATAAAAGTAATAGTAATAATGATAGTAATAATATTATTAATAATAACAATCTCCGTCTGTGAAACGAGCAGCAATTGTGGTGGAAGAGATTCGAACGTGTAAAATAATGTGGAAATGGCAAATGTCAAAATTCAAATGTACGCGCTCCGAGCTCTTCACGATTTTATTGCTATGCCGTATCGATACAAGTGGGAAAACAAAAACGATTTTAGAGAAGAAAGGAATGAAGAGATACAAAGAAATTACAGGAGCAAGTAGATAACCACATAAATCAAGTGGAATCCATCCAAAAGCTTTGCTTACGATGATTGTACTTAAGTGAATTTTAGGGAAGAAAAAGAATAAGTTACTATATGGGATTTATGTAAATTCGCCAAGATCTCTCTTTTGATACTTCCTATTTCTATATTGTTATTATTCCGTGAAGATTTTTGTACTTACTTTCTTCGCGGCTTGTCCTGTAAGTCATCTTCGACAACATTGTTACTGCAGATTCAATATTTTCATTTTAAGACTTCCGGCACCTCGCCCGTTCTACAGCATCCTTAGATTGTCTTCTGTGTTCTTCTTCTCTATACTTCTGCTGGTATTTCACTACTGATCCTTATTCGCTGTTTGCTTATTCTCTTTTATCATTTCCTAGTCTCATTTCTTAATAAACACGTTAAATAATGCTCGCGCCTACTGTTCCTCCAGCTGTTTTCAGAATACTGACGAAGCCATTGCCGTTAGGAATAACCGCTTGATGCGAGAATAGACGCCGGCGCATGCGCAGAATCCAATTATGATTTTTTTGAAAAATATTTTGCTTTGAACAGAAAATCTTCAGGAAAAGAGGAATGTTATTTTTAACAGGTCACTTGGATCTTTAATTTCCATTTTTTTTCTGACTCGTATCCCATTCTTTTTTTAAAGATTATAACAAGCGTATACAGTAAGTATAACAGAAATCGAGGGATTTCTTTGATTACAAAATTCAAACGTGACGAATGTATAAAATTTCTTGATTCTTCAATCTCATACAGTTTTTAAAGAGATCCGTCGTTATCTTGTACGCGGGATTGAACGTAGTAAATAAACAATAAATAGAACAAATGGAATAAAGAAAAAAATGGCAATTCGCAGGCGAGTTCGTAGCTCTATGGAAAAGCAAAGACGTTAATTAATACCTAAGGGACAGTCAGGTTAAGTTGTGATTGAAAAAGTTTGAATCGAAAATTAAAAAAAAAAGTCATGTCACTCTATCAATTATATCTCATGTTATATTATATATATATATAATATATATATCATCATATTTTCCAAAAATGAATTATACATAATTCAATAAAATGCGCACTCTCGTTTGATAAATTATCACACTTCGTTCCAATTTATTTTGAATTCTCCTTTTTGAGTTTTTATTACACATTCTTGTATTTTCTTGCTGTTACTCACTCTCGTTGTTCTTAGAGGTGTCGGACGATGGACTAAATAGATTGCGACGTTCAATTTATGTTTTACTGTCGTTTTATTAGAATATTAATTATTAAAATGGACAATTAGCTTGCTAATGACGATCAGTATCGATCAGCTTTTGCACAGAACAAATACGTCGACAGAATTAGTCTGACGGATAAGAGACAGTACATTTCGTGTCTCCCAAGCGTACAGACGTCCCGAGGATATCCTTAAGTAAAAGAGACGTCGGGACGCCCGATTTTAACAGACAAATGAAAAAAAATATTGAAGCATTTGCAAAGCGTCCTGATGTATAGACTCGTTGAGTCTCAGTGAAGAGAATAATAGTAACCGTCGATGAAAAGGCAGTAAATTAAACAATTATTTTATTAAAAAAGAAACCTAAACAAGAGGACGCTTGGCATTCGCTTAACTATATCCTAGACGGCAGCTAGTCGACTTCTTAAACGATTTTTAATTGCTTCGTAATTAATTAAGTGTCTCGTTATGTACAGAAAATTTCGTTGTAAGAGATTCTCGCATTTTAACTTTTCACCCATATTTCATTTTTAAATTCCATTGTCTTTTGACAAGGGTCCAGAGCAACGTTGCGAGACGTGTCGTTATACACAAGTGAAAAAAGAAAGTACAGATAGAAATAGAACAAAAAAAAATACAAGCAGAATAAAGGAAAGCAAAGAGAAGAAAAAGGACAAAATGAAACAGCAAATATAAATGAAGAAAAAAAAAACTATACAAGCGTTCGTGTCTCCAACGTCACTTTGAACCAATGCCAGTTTCGCGCCATTGGATCAGACTATTGATTCATTTAAAAAGAAAAATAGCAGTGATCCATAGCCCAAAAATCTAGCCCACGTTACACGTCACTTCTTAACCGCTAAAAATTTTCACATTTTATGTTTTCTCTCCGCCAGCTGTTCTCCAGCCAATTGCACAATATAACAGTAATGCCAGTCACACTGGCAAGTACCATAAGACAAGGGCGTATGTGTGTACGTGGCTTTTTTATCACTTTTATCAAGGTTATCATTCGCACTTGTCAATTTAAAGAAAAATCATACCACAAACCTCAGCATACTAGCGCCCTTTTACAATTTTTCTTTCAAACCTCAACGTTTATCGGTTCTCCATTATTTTTCTCTGTGTCACTGTTAAGTCTGTATCTATGTATAAAAACCATCACCCATGAACTTTGGACCCAGTTTGCACACGTCATTGCTAGATGCAATAACGTATGCATGATGTATGTGTTTGTGACGTGTACTCCATTTTTTTTAAAATCTAGTTTATAGGCTGAGGTGCATTTTGACATTCCTGTGCGTTCAATCGCCCGCGAGATTCTGTCTTTTGTTTCTCGTTTCTTCACTACAGTATTATTAATAATAATGTAACGCGATAGACGGAGCTATTGAAATCCTGACAGAATCGCCTGGGCCATTTTTATAACACCATACGCACAGCAGGAATGCACGAACGACGTTACGGGACAGCACCTGTTTCATCCTCACTTAATTATATACTAATTAACGATATTTATTTATTTAAGCGTTATGCGATTCGCAAAACCGATAGACTTTTAATCGGGGGAGCACTCGAAGGATCGTTCGTCCCTGGATACAAGGACTCCATTGGAGGAGTAGGTCATCGAGAAAAAATCTTTGTTTTTAATGACAGTTTTTTTTGTAAAAAAATATTTTCGTATTCTATACCTCCAATGGAATACTCGTTTAACGTGTAATATTAATTAGATTACATACAAGTACGTATCCATTTAATGGAAGCACATAATAACCAAGGTATCCCGTGCAACCTTAAAGTTGCCATTCTAACATTTATCCCCTTTCTCACATACTCTGTGTCTCTTTTTGTCTCTTGTACCAGAAGCTAGACACAAAGGCAAGAGAGAGAGAGAGAGAGAGAAAAGGATACGTAAAAAAAAAGAAATTGTTTTAAAAACAGCAACAGGTAATTTTTTTTCACTTATCGCTCGAAGCATTTGATTTTTTGTACCAGAAGCTAGACACAAAGGCAAGGTGCAACCTTAAAGTTGCCATTCTAACATTTATCCCCTTTCTCACATACTCTGTGTCTCTTTTTGTCTCTTGTACCAGAAGCTAGACACAAAGGCAAGAGAGAGAGAGAGAGAGAGAGAGAGAAAAGGATACGTAAAAAAAAAGAAATTGTTTTAAAAACAGCAACAGGTAATTTTTTTTCACTTATCGCTCGAAGCATTTGATTTTTTGGATTAAAACGTGTCGTGGGTATTTTGACTTAATACTTGAAATCTAGGATGATGAGTCTCCACTTGTTAATTAAGTTAAATTAATTAATAATGTTACCAAACGGTAAGCGCGTATCCGTGTGCATGTTTAGTGCTACATGGGCGAACAGGGATGTGTATCTTTTACAATATTTTTTTGTTGTAAATTTCACTTTTGACATGTTAGCTAGGACAGAGTATACCGGACTAGTATACATTAAAACGTATATCTAAGTAAACTATATGCATAGGATTCTAAGTATATAAAGAGTGCATATGCAGTTATGCAAAAAGAAATGTATTTTCGAAATCTCTACTGAACGTAAAGAAGTAAGGGGGGGGGGGGTTGGTATCAAGAGACGTGTCCATATATCCCAAACGTGTTTAGATATCCCAGGGTGACGATCACACGCCGTAGACGAGGTCGGGCGATCATACGATTATTCCTCATAAGAACTGTCATTGAATTTTCTCAAGATTTTTGACGAGCCTGAGATGCAAAAAAAGAGACAAGCCAAGATCACGAGAAAGAGAAAAAATAATGGGACGACTCAGAAGAGACACGTGCGATGATACGTACAGTCCAAGATTTCGGCTAGGAGGGATGTACAATTTGGTCCTTATAAAAGTCATAAGGGCGACATGACGTAATCGCTATCTCAGACCTGAAAGCAATGGGCGCTTGAGCAATATCTATTTGAATTCCAGGAGTCCTGTTACACAGTCAGGATGACATATAGTACGTTCATCGTTGTATCCTGGAAGCCAGGCGACTCTGTATACCTAAAAATCTGTATATTTAGCTACTGTGACTGTAGGCAGTATTCGTATAAGGTCCACTGTAAATGGATGAGCCTGTAGTCGAGATGCTCTTGTGTCTTCTCCTGGCGAGTAGAACCAATATAGCAGCCACGACGGCCAGCATGAGTATCAAACCAGCAATGGCAATGCCAACGGCGAAACTCTTTTGCGATATACAGATACTGTTTGGGTCGTCGATAGTCTGGAAAAGAGAAGAAACAAAATATATATATATTCTTTCACCAGCTGCCACTTGGTCAGCCTTTCATTGCCAGCATAATAAATATCAGACTGCACTCCACTACTGCGCAGGCGTACTGGATGGACACGCCAACTAGATTTTTTGACTTTCTAATGTATCACGATGACCACAGAAGGTCCGCCATATTCAGGGTGAAACCGATATTGCGCCTCGACGGACTCGGATTCGTTTCAATGTCGGATTTCACTCTCTTCATTAGCATAGGACGGCCTTTGTGTAAACGAAGCTTAAAGGAATCACACGGTCCAGGGCCTCCACTCGGTCGTTCCATCAACTATTATTCGCTGGAGTACAGTACACGGCTGTAATTAACGAGCAGTAACCCATACTGGCAACGAAGGAAACCATACTTTATTTTTCATTTTATCATTTATTATATTAATAATAATATATACCCTTTCTCGAGATACTTCGTCAGTGTAATCCGTCTTGGTTGCTACGTCCGAAGCTTCGTTCACATAGAGACCACTGTAAACCTCTATGGTCGCAGGTGTACCACCATCCGCACCGTCAATGTCCTTTCCGTCAGTCTTGTCGGACAGGTCGCGACGTCTTCTCAAACCGTTGCAGTGAGGTGGCTGTAAGATCGCGAAAACAGTAGAATGAATCGTTGCATCAGGAATGATCTTCGATTATTGTTTTTCTTCATAGAATTTTCTTAAATACTCACTGTATTACCACAGCCACCACCTTGCTTGACGCACAGTCTGACGTTACATTGATAATAGACACTGGCTGTATAGGGAAATTTGTGGGCCTGAAAGTTCACCATGGCCTCCGTCTTGTCGTCGCTGTATGTAAACTGGCCCATAATTTCACCATCCACTGGACATCTAATAAGAAATAATTGAATGGTGTAAATTGATAAGGGACTGCTAAATAAATGTTTATAGCTTCCTGTGCTTCCATCGCGTACCCTTCGTTGTTAATCAATCGCTGCTCCCCCCAACCGAGTCCATCGCGCACCAGACAATCCGATATCTTGAGGCCGTACATCTCCTGCTTATCAATACTGATAACGAGAGTAAGTGGATCGCCTATCTTGACATTCTCAGCAACCTGATGCTGGGTAGGATCTCCGCTGAAAATTTTCATGGTACATCCTGGCATAGGTGCTGTGGCCTGAAACAATAATATTATCATTATTAATTATATCACTACTTCCATCGATACTGTTAACTGAATCATTTACTTATACAGTCTAATTATTTTACCTGAAGTGGCAAGGACTGCAACATAGCCACTTGGGTCTGATCATTCGTCACGACCTTGTCTCTTGTTTGGTATCTGCACCTCACGTGGAATCCTCTGCCCTGATTAGTAACCAGTTTCAAGTGAGGCTGCACGACGATCGTATTGAAATATTCAATTCCACCGTCGTCCTGGAAACAAAAAAAAGCATAAATAATAAATAAATACAATAAATATATCAAAATAGCCAGTCCCATGTATAGTACTTCCAATCGACTGGCTGACTACTTCATCTGTATCTACTGTTTTTGTCTGACTAGATCCTAACAGTCTCCACTTTCACACGTGACAGTGTACTTGTACAAACATTGTTAATACCAAAAAGAGTGAATAAAAATTAGTCATCCTAATAAAGAATCAATGTCTATTAGAATTCTTATTCAGTCAAATCTCATTGAGATGCTGCTTGGTTGTCACTGAAGAGTCCAATTTTTTATGACAATCAAACTTTGCCAATTCGTTCCGGAGTTCACTTATCTCTGTCATTCTCCATTCCCACCATTATCTTTCATTGCGCATGCTAATAAGTCTAATTCGGGACGTTTCCCAAGTAATCCAAACGTGTAACCGACTGCCGGTCTAATTCTACAGGTACGTGAGACCTTCTCGCACGGCTGTCGCGTTAAATCAATAATTAGGATTAAACGGAGAGTTACAGGTGCATTTTTTGGTTCATCGCCTCGCACCGTGTATGCACAATACTTATGTCAAGAATTCGACCTCGCACGATTCTACTGAAGAGATACAGATTTTTTCGAGTAGAGGATACAGTACTTTGTAATACAAAGAAAAATGTACACAACACATAACCAAGCATTGGATTTTCTGCAAGGTAAAGTCTAGCCTGGTCTTTTTTTTTACAACTTCCTACGTGAACGTATGCTACGGATCTCTCGATCGATTAAACACATCTTAAAATAAGAGTGTGACTAAGCCAAAGATCGATGCTGGATAAATCCTAAATAGCGCCTACGCAAGTTTCGTTGCCGATGCCAAATTGAGAAGTGGCAGCGCAGATTGAGCGAAGCTTGTACATTGGTACACATGATATTTCTTTTCTCAGCTCAATGCCGGACGCAAGGATCCTAATGTTGGCATATGTTCGTCGGGTAAGATCCAAAAGAATGAAGAAAATGACGTGGGGAGCGAGCACCATAAAGTTGAGGGTAGGCGAACGTCTTGCTTTCTATGGACACTGTGGGTGTAGAACGTAGAGTCAGTGATCCGCTGAGCCGCAGGCCGATGCACCGCAGATTGCTGGTATCCTTGCTGAGGTCGGACGGGACTCGCTGAAGGTCGTTGGCTACTCTACCGGGTGTTACAAGAAAATCAAACAATATAATAGACAGCCAAAAGATCCTTAATCTACCACCAGTATCTCAGAAACAGTTCTTCGAGATCCATGAGTCTTGTAAATTCTTAAAAGTCTGCACGCACCTTAACTATCACGATCCATGATCGAGCTATGCATTTATAAGATCTGGTTACTATGTTCAATTAAATGTTCTGGTCCAAGTTATCAGGTTCATCCGGTATGGATGCTAGCTCCAGCTGGTTAATGCTGTATCCAATCGACGAATCTCGCCCACGCTGAAGACGATCAGGATTCGCCATGGATGATCTCTTGACAAAAATCAAATAGGAAGTCCGAGGACGATGGCTCGATAAAAAGAGATGATACCAAGAAGAAGAACAAGAGAATAATACGTGGGTATGACAAAGTGCCGATAGGAGGTACAAACATGGATGACAGCCGTGTAACCTGGCGCATACCAGACAACCGTGACCAATTGATAAATTACAGGACTCTCTTCAGGTTCCTGGTAGTTGATGGATCAGAAGATGGTCTTGTTACATGCAATCCATTGGTACGTTCAGTCGACTTCAGACTTATGTACCTTATAATACACTCTCACGTCCAGGTACCAATTTGACAGTTGGATTGTTTTGAAAATGCAGTCTCTTACGTATTGATCCAGCTGTGTAATCAATTTACAAGGACTGTACTGTCAGTCTCAAAAGTCGTACCATGAACTTCCTCTTTGGCTAACTTCACGCACAACTAACGCTTCAGCCAATTGCGAGTTGGTATGCGTGGCTTGCCAAGTGTACCCTCTCCAACCTCCACCTTCTTCCCTAGGTACTTTGTATATTACGATACATCTCCAGGTACCAGCAGTGCATTTCTTGGGTTCGACGCCCGGTCAATTCGCCACTTCAGCTGGAGTCTCCTCACAGCATCCAGTCGCAATGAAACTTTTCTATGACGTGCTAGACATTTTCTGCCTTAACGATCACCTGTGAATCTGGCTTTGGGATTTTTACAGCTTCTTACGCTTTTATCTTTCACCAAGAATCTTTGACTGGCTCCTCTTCACAAATGATTCACCTTGGACCATCCTTGGCATTTATTCTGCATTCAAATGTCAGCGTGTTTTCCTTGTCTGGTTATTTTTTATTTACTTCTTGGTCATCCTGCTACGGAGAAATATGTTTTAAGCAATTAAAAACTTTATATTCGCACTGTGTACTTCGTTAATTAATCGCTGCTATGAAAATACACGTGTGAGGGACAGATTTAAGGCTTATGAAACGGTCCAGACGGAGCTGGTCAATTTTTAAAGAGATACAGAGAGGGTGGGGGGACGAGGTGAGAAAAAAAAATGAAACATGAAAATTATGCATGCGCATTAATTTCACGAAGATGCCTGGGAATGTAGATTGCTGGATATAATTATCCTAGACCCGGGTCACTGTACGTTCTTATCTTTTTTCATTCTTTCCTTCTCTTGCCATTGAGTTTTTCTCTTTTTTTCTTTCTCTCTCACTCCTCATCCCAGTATAATTAATACATCGACTCACCTTCCTGGCATGGTGTATACTGTTTAATAACGATAACGGTTGCGCAAACGGTTCGACGTAGCGCGAAACAGCTGTGCGATCGTCGCACGTTGTATTTTTATCACGCAAGAAGATTACGCGACTCTTCTGTCTGCTGCTCTCTTTGTCTGTTTTATATTATCTTCCATCTCTGTCCTTCCTATACCCGAAGAAGCGTCCATGTGTGTCAATGATATGCCAACAGTATCTCTCGCTGTGACAGCTAATAAGAAAAGACATAATACAATTTTGCAATTCTTTGCGTAATCGAAATTTAACGCTTAGAATTTCAAATAGCCCGCCGTACCAGCTTCCGCCGTTAGTCGTTAGAGTTCATTGACAAGCCGTACGTTCTTTGTACGTTTTGATGTATTTTTGAGTGTCAATTCTTTTTGAATTGCATTCAGATATAAATTTTGAGTTTGCAAGCGGCAAACACGTACTAACCCGTGCGTGGGTTGAAAATTCAACGACTCGTGGGCGCGGCTGATCACTGGCGTCTCGTAAACTGGAATAGTGTGGGCGGCCATTTTGGCGACGAAGGAAATCGAAATTTGCATCGTTTCTAAAGCGTCCTTGGGCCGCGCCCTAAAAAATTCTCTAGCCACTATTTTATACGAAATTAGTATCCTGGATACTTCCATACACGAGGGAGGACAGTACTACCCACACGTCGTCATAAAAAATCTCACTTTTTCTTACGATGACTTTCGCGATATTCTCCATTGCGACGAAAGTGTCTCCTTACTTTTGCGTTACGTGCTTTAACGCCATTTAGCAATGACAACAAACATAACCTATTCGGGACACGTTATTCGTACCGAGCGGCACAATCGTATAGGACTGTCGCCCCCTTTTACTGTCGAGCAAACGTTTACTCGAGGCTCCGCTAGAGGCAGCACCGCGCCCAGGGAAAAGATGCATTCGGACTGCCGTTAGAGGGCAAAAAGAAAGACACGTAAAGTCTAGAGAAAAGAGAAGAAGTCAAACGAGCAGACTACGAAATCCGGTTACCGCCGGGCGAAGAATGCAACCTTGCAAGTTTAGAAGGACGATGGCGCTGGCTAATTCGAATTTAAAGATTCGTCCAGTCTAAGCAACGGGGAACGAATATATAGAGATTGCAGTTATACGTACTATATACACAGATGATTCTTGGTGCATCGAACAAGTTGACTGCATTATGCTATTGCATATCAAGCATGAGCAATACCTTCAAGACCAAATAGTCCTTATGGTCAGAGCTGCATCATCCGTTGCAATTATGCATGTTGCACTACCAGAGAACAGTAAAGGGTCAGCCATTCTTGGAACTGACATAGATAAGTTACTGAGTAGATGGTCGTTACGAGTTTAGAAGGACAATTGGCTAATTCGAATTCAAAGATTTGTCCAGTGCAAGTGATAGACTGCAGTTGCACTATAAATATCAGATGATCCTTGGTCCACTTTTAAATTAATTATTGACTGGCGTGAGCAACACGTTCAAGTCGAACGAGTCCTTATGGTCGGAACTTGATCATCCGTTGCAATTATGCATGTTCCACAAAACAGAAAAGGGTAAACCATTCTTGGAACAGACGTCCACTGGCTTGAAAATTGAAGAGAATTAAAAAAGAAATTAAGAAGAAAGATACAAAAGATTATGACAGCTCCTCAAACCTAAGTTCGTATCCAAATATGTTATGCGATTCAAATTCCTCATCAGGGCCGTTAATCCGTAATCCACGTAGATCTCAAAATAGCCTACACGTACATCCCCAGCATCAGCAACCTTCTGGGACCAGGACGTGGTACCAGACTCTCAGTATCCCCTGGTAGTAATAGCACAGGCTATGTCACGTCCTATGACCAAGAACGGCAGGAGAGAGAAAGAGACGAAATAAAAAGATAAAAAGAGAAGAGACTCTCTCGAGCTAAGAACAGAAGATGAGGAGAACGTGGACCGGTCTTCCAGTAGAGTTATGGGGAATCTTCGCAAACTGCCAGCATCACTCCGGACCCTTCTACCTTTCCCTTTCTTGACTCTTTTTTCCTTCTCTTTATATTTTTATTATTATTTACATTCTCCAACTGTTATACACTGCTAACGGACGCATCATAGCACAGTGGTCCTCTCAAATTTAAAAAAAAAAAAAAAAAAAAAAAAAAAAAAAAAAAAAAAAAAAAAAAAAAAAAAAATCTAAAAAATAACCATATTAAGTCTGCTTACAGGATTCTGAAAAATAATAAAAAATTTATTTTATTCCTTGCATTGCCAATTATCAATGTCCCGTTCCCTGCAGACGTTTTAGCACGCAATGTCCCTCGATCGTCAACCACATATATATAGATATACAGTATAGGATACGAAAAGAGATACGTATTTTGCACAGTCTTAATAAGGGATCGGATATATACAGTTGGAGCGATACGAATATATTGGCCACTATGAAAACGCGCATAACGGTGCCCCCCTAACGGTAGGCAATGCCATTGTGAGAGTAATTTGCCGTGACGATAGAAAAAAGATTAAAAATTAATATTATAAAAAAATTACTCCATTATCCTCGCGATCCGTTCCTTATCTTGCCTATCCATTATTTCTCTTGATCAAGAAAAAATAATTGGCGTATCAACGCCGCTTGATCGATCTTCGAAATTGTCTATGGGTGGTCGAAAACCTAACCTAACCTAAAATTCATTTTCATTGCTCACGCGCGCCGTTCTGTTCGTTTTCTAAAATCACGTACTAACGATTTCCACGAACTGATAACGTTTATCTAGTGCATCAGGCACAGTCTCACATTCAAATATACATACTTCCGGTACAATGTTTGTACCCCTGTTGCATTTGGCGGTAAATACGAAATTACGTAAAATCTTCAATCCAGCGATTTAGTTCGAATCGCTCCCGCAAGATGGCAGGCGTAACTTTTCCAAGATGGAGATACGATTTTACGATGTAACCGATTGGCTTCCCATTCCTTGTCTTGGCGAACCACGTATACAGCCGTTTCTACCTACACGCGAGGAATTATCGATCGATCGCTCTATCTATACGGTGTAATATAAAAATTTGGCAATTAGGTAAAAATGCAAAAAAATATATACGAGCCTGATTATAAATCGTCGCTCGATGTATACAGGAAGTGGAATTCCACGAGGTGTGCAAAAGGGGGGGAAAAGTGAAATTGAATTGGCCGACACAGGATTTCCGATCGGCAGTTTCGAAATTTTTCTATCCTTATCATAGCAACGATCGACCTTATATATCTTCAGTCGCAAACAGGTATTTTATTTATTTATTTAATTTTCAATTCTACGCGTATTCAGGGTCGGTTTACTTGACACGGGACACCATCTATACATTGCTACATGTATATAGGTATATATGACAAGCATCAAGTAATATTACTAGGCAATAGAATAGAATTGCAAGGCCGTCTTTCAATCAAGGTCGATTTACAATCCCTCACGATTCTCCATTACAAATTATAAATCCACAGTTCGCTATAATTTTCCAGCAAAGCATAAAGACCTAAATACAAATTCGTATAATAAAAAAATATATATATTATCACACAATTATATAATAAATACAATTCCTACACTTAATATACATAAATATATCACACACGGATCCATATTACACAACAAGAACGAAAAGATCCTAAACAGCTGGAACGTATCAAACGTACGTCCGTCAGCCGCCATGAAAAATCAACTGTACGAAATCCAATTCCACCCCCTCCCCCCTCCCCCAACATACAGGGTGTCCAAAAGTTCCAAATAATTATTTTTAATAAAGCACAAAAATCTTCCGATTATTTGCGTCCATAGGTAATCATGATTTTTCGAATTTTCGACGATTTCAATTTTCCTCCAATTCGATATACCGGGTGTTACAGTTAACTCGTAACGTAATCGAGCTTAACTTGGCTGTCTGACACATTTGAAATCTCAATGCCAGTCACGTATGAGACTCCTGGCAGTTACGTTAGCCATTACTTACGTTGCTCACGTTACGTTGCTACGTAAGTAAAAAAGTCTTCACTGACCAATAAAATTATCGAACAATCCATACCACCTAGCGAAATTCCATCCAATAGATAAAATTCAACAATTTTTTTCATTTATACATACAGCATCCTTATTACTATCATTTTTTTCCAAAGCGAAGCAAAAATTCCAAAAACCACTGTCTCAACCATCATATATCAAATATCGTTGGTCGAAGAGAAAAATTAAAAAGCCATATGTGGTATGCCACTTAACCGTATATATATACACATATACCTATACAGTATAACCATATGTGAATCCATACAGACATAACACACTCATACCTAACGATACTCGTATGATCGATGATATACAGCAAGACCGTAAATAATGATAATACCACAGGTAACCATAATCCCATGATACAACCTTCGCAATCAGCCATATGCGCCGGTAGGTCATAGGTCACAGGTACTTGAACTCGTCCTTAAACGTCAAATATACCTGATATCAGTATAACACGTGCTATCTGACAGATGACTGATCATAACATTGAAATCCTCGTGGAAATTTGACAGCTGACCAATTGTCTGTATAGGCATGCGTTACATCGATGTAACAAAAATATACCTTGAAATTAATTTTCAATAAAATATTCAACAGACGAAATATGAAAGGACCTGTATACACTCGGTACAGGTTAGGCTGGTATAAGAGCACCGTAGAAGCTACGGGTTTTCTCTGCTCGGAGAAGCCGAGGGGTCCGGTCACATAACGGTCCAGTTATGGTTGCGAGGAAACGATCTTCTGGTTTATCCCCATGCAAAACCATCTATATACGCGTTTCGATTACGAAACCACACGGAGTCTGTATGGTGGTTACGGGAGGAATTAATGGTAAATAATGTATTTTTTTTTAAATAATAAAATTTTATTAATTTAATAATTAAACTCACCAATTCCGTAGGCATCGTGTTACAGGATCTTAATGGCAGTGTGTACGTGATAGGAGTTGGCTGACTCCTGTACTCCTGTAGGCAAGAGCTGTTCTTCGATAGTCCGCGTGGATAAACCAGCCCATGAAAATCGATATTACCTTTAGTCGATATATGAACGACTATCGATTCGCTGGCGCATTCGATCTGCACGTTACTCGCTACGGCGACAGTGGCTGGAAAAAAAATTTGTTTGAAACAATTTCTTTATAACCAAACCTAAATACAGATACGTGCTGTAATTAGTGTGAATATTAATAATGGTAATTAGGCAAGTTCGTGGAGAGAGACAGGGAAAATAATAATAAGAATTTTGCTCGTGGAGCAGAGCACTGCCCCTTAATGGCGAGTTTACAAGGTAACGGTTGCAGTGCGTAACAACGTAGGAACCCGTTGCGCAATAAATTATAAAAGAATTTTTCCCGCACGCCTTATCCGACAGTCTGACCATTGAGAATCACGTAATTAAATGTAAAGACGGTCGGCAGATTTTACACTTCTGCATATATTCGCTTGGTAAGGGTTTACCGGTGAAAACTGGATTCACAGACATTTGTTTTTTCACGTAACACTGCATTAAAATACAATTCAAGGCTTGACAGAGGGTAGATGATCGATGTAACGGTTAATTCACCGCTAATGGATTCCATATATGGAGGAGTTATGCTCGGCAGCCATGTTGCTTGTATAGGCGATCGATAGGCTGTGAACCTTCTTTCTTTTTCTGCAAAAATTTTTTTCGGGTCACTGGGTCTCGTTTACGAGATCGTGTAGAGTATGAGAATTGATTTAGACATCCGTTATATTGAATTACTTCAAATTTCTTTTACTGGGTTACTGGGCGTTTGATTTCTATGGAGTATAAACGTACACGTGATCGAAAACAATCGATGCCATTCTTCACGGTTGAATTCGACGGATTCACAAAAGACAGAGGGATCCCTTGAGTAAAAAATTTAAAGCTCCCGTGTACTGCCCATTGAAAGTGAACAGATTAACGATCGAGAGATATCGATGAATGTGGACGATGACAAAAATTTGGGCCTTAAAAAATTTTTGATTACGCATACCGACTAATTTTTTAAACGTATGCTATGGATAGGAAATTTGCAAAAGTTCATCGATATCGTAAGAACGATCGTTCGTGGAAATTTCGAATATCAAATGCACCGTGTAATAATCACTTATTGTCATTCCAAAGCGCGGAAGACAATGATGAGAGAGTCATGAACTTGACTTGGAGTCACGATTCTGTCTTATGTACCAAGTACATAGTTGGTTGTATACGTTTAGCTCGTAAGAGTGGTAACTCGAGACGAGAGAAATTCACTGGTAGACATTCGCGCGACTGTAGTTCACGTATACAGCTATTGTGTATGGGCCGAGGGATAGAAATTGGAAATGTATAATTTTTCGAAAATATTTCGTACAATAACCAAACGTCGTAAGCGTGCAAGAAATTATCAGCCGAAATAACCAGAAGCTACGATTTTGATATCAATTAAAACGAATAAGGCCCACCTTCTTTACGTGGCGCTTCATTGACGCCAATTAACGACATGCGATATATCAAAAGGCCGCAAGGTGGATTCGAAATAACCTACGGCTATTGTGTGTCTATATATATATATATATATATACCGGGTACGCTTATTTTCGAGGTTCATCGAACTCAACTGTCATCGGTCGTCGCTCGCGCAATCGTCGATCCTTGACGATTTTTCGATTGTTTCCGTCTATGGGAATTTATTTTATTTTTTGTCGACCTCGGTAACTGCCAGTATTAGCGAAAGAATTTTCGTGATTTTTGCTTTTTGAAGACCAGTAGGTACCGTTGTGATAAGGCCCAATTGAAATGTCGAACGACAATTAGATAATCATCAACCAGAACGCTCTTGTACGTATGATTGTATATAATTACGAAATTGAAGTATATCCGGTGACCTTTCGTGGAAGCGATAGAATAAGGCCCCAAAAAAAAGAAGACGAAAGAGGATGGGCAAAATAATTTTCTTACGTTTCATCCGTCTCAAAGCGCGCCAACTTCTAGAAACTATTATAGCCTCTAATCTCGAGTAATATAACCGGATGAGAGAGACGGAGGGGCCCATTCCTGTTAGTATTATCCCGACAAGGCCCCTCCGGGCCCCGTTCACTTCAAGCTCGTGACTCACGAAGGGCTGGACAAAGAAGATGGTTCCTTGGCCATTTGCAAGCGACAACACGCAGACCAGCCAGACAACTTCCGGCACTTGGTGCTGCCGGCGAATCACTGGGCCTTATCCGGTTCACCGTCGAACCATAGGTCCCATTCATTCACTTCATCGTGTACCTACATTCCGTACACCCGACGATTCGACAGTTTCGTGTTACCACGATGAAAAGGTCGATAGGTCCCCAGGGGCCTTAAATGGGACCGTTACCAACCGCAAGCAGATTAAAAAACTGATTCCTATTCCAAGCAGTCCTACTACGTAATATTACCATAAAGATTTTTTTATATTAAAAATCGCATAGCTGCATCCGAACCCACTGGCGTAAGGCCCAACTGTAATCAGACAGTCCAGTCATAGGACCCACAGTTATGCAAGAACCGTCGGTCAGTATCGTGCGTGAGATTCTAATGCGTGTAAATACGCACGTCGCATCAATGGCTTCGTCGAGCAGTGCTGCCAACTTCAGGACGTGACGCACAAGGAATACTCAAGTGTACAACTGACAGACACGGAGGATCCGACTTCCGCCTTATTCTCACTCAATCGATCTTACAGCTCCCCATCATTTCCGCTTCGCCATTACAGCGTCCTCAGCGTCCAACCGTACAGCATACCTGGAGAATATACTCATGTAATCTCAATGGTAAAGATGATCATCTCAATGATCCCGTGTTGCAAGTCATTTCGAAAGCCGCTAAATATTTAAACGAAGATTTCTCAATGCGCGTGGGTCGCCATTACTAAATCCCGATCTTTCGAATAACTCTTCTTACCCAACGTCACATCCTGTCTCTGTGTGTAAGCGCTAAAAAATTTTTTGAAACAAAGCAAAATTTTTTTTTACACCGTTCCCGCACTCGATATCCCGACCTTACGGCGCCATTGCATCCTGGAAAACGTATATATATCTCGCTTCACTCTGGGCATTCTTTTCGAATTCCGTTACACATAGAAAACAGCCAGCCATTATAACTGTGTTTCCAATGCAATAGCTGTACGATGTAAAGAAATAAAGGAGCATCCCTAAGTAACTTAGACACGCGATATCCCACTAAGGTCCCTTACTACCAGGACTGACAGTATTAAAAAAAGGAGAATCCCTCAGAAAATCCCTTTAAATAGACTACACGCAACCAACAACTTGACTTTTTCAAAAAAAAAAAATCAAAAAACCTTCAGTATACTCAAAATACTCGGAAACCAACTCACAGTATGCTGATACTCACGATACGTCGTGAGTCCCAACGTGACCCGCTCGAGGAAATACAGAAGACCCACAGCCAGCCATAGGACAAAAACTCAACTGGCCAGACTTCCGGCGCATTAGACTAAGCCGGTATCCGTTACGAGGAACAGAAAGACCGTAATCGCAATGGCGGTTTATTCGTTCTACGGCGAATCTCAAATCCCACCAATTATCCTCCAAGGACTCGTATACAATTGTTTCCCCAGTTCACGTTCGTGCCGTACCATCCTACATCTTTGTAACTGCCTCGCGAAGCCTATCAGTTACATCCACTGGCAGACGTATTTTTAAAAAGTCACTTAACCAGGCCACCAAACGGATCAAGCCACAATCTAACTCCCAATCGTGATCCAAGATCGATCGACGCACTCGATCCGAAATAAAAACGCACTCCTGACGCAACATTAATACGTATAAGATTACCGTAAGACGCGATGCGAACCTCGTAGCCACTGTGAAAACCGTTATGGTTCAAACCTAATTATCAAAGAATTTAACCAGAGCACCACCATGACACTTCGTAAAAAAAAATTTCAACTCCCTCCCAGACCCCACTACCCGCAATCACCACAAAGCATCACAAACCGTATCTAAACAGCGAAATCATTAAGACATAAAACCTATAGACGAATATAAATATTTTCAATAATTACAAAATAATCCTCAACCCGTCTAGTCATTGAAAATTTTGTCAATGACAAAAAAAAATCATCCAAGATGACGTAGCCAAAAAATCATCTCATTACAATATCACACCTATACACACGGCATATCAACCGTGGTCGAATCTTCAGGTGCAATCGCCATGCTCGAATGATCATCAGTAGGGATTGTAACAGTCATTCGTCTCTTTGTCCGACAAGTACACCACTGTGATACACTCGACAGATTTCATTTTGATGGTAGCAGATCTTCTCATTGTCCTTTTCGGAACACCTCGACTCCTGAATAATCGCGGCTACGTTGTAAATGCCCCTACAAATGCCAGGGACAGGGTATATACCGGGTGATTCGGTAAAAATTACACCGCTCGTAGTAACAATGTTATTTACAAGATTTATATGTATAGTCAAGATGCCTATGCATATAAGGTATACGTAAGAGTCTTAAGACTATGACGTCACGCGTATCCCCCCACCCCCCATACACACTGTACCAATCCGATCCACAAGTTACGCAAACTCTACGCAGACCGTGTATAATGGAAGGCTGGTCCGTAATGTAAGTGTGGTGGCCCCTTAAGGATCCCGTTATCGGTTCGGGAACCCAGTCCGAACGAAACGGTATCTGTGAGCGCCCAAGACGATCGTTTGCCCATGGCACTTTTTCATTAGGCTTCTTTTGCACGATTCACCGCATCAAGTCGATCCTCTCTTCTTTACCGACGGGGATCAGCCACGTCTTCGATAACGAGTATCAAAACTATGGTGACACTGACCACCGTCAGCTGGTATATACTGCTGTGTACGAGGCCTTAACGCTCATTAAATTTCTACACTTAATTCAGTCACCCTGTATATCAAGAAGATGACTGGTCGGTCGTCGTCTGACACTGTCACTCAGGTACAGGAAGTCGAGGAGTACGAAGTCTCCTGGAAGTCAGCAAAGTCGGTAGGAATGATAAATGACGACGAGGAGGATGAGTCGAGGACGAAGTAAAAAAAAAAGTGATTATATAACGGAAAACATGACATCACCTCAAATCCCCCCCCCCCTAATTCACGTCTTCTTAATGATCATCCTCCGGGATCATTAAATGGGATTCGTTTATCATCCTTGTCTAGCTTCCTGTTTCGAATGTGACTAGTCGTATACGCGGATGTAAAGGACGGGACTGATTATTACGATCCATTATGCCTGTACTGGCACAACAACATGTGTTTTCATGTAAATCAATATCGCCAAGGACCACGTGTCGCGTACGTCACTCGATCGGCCTTGAAATTTAGATAGGTAAAATTAGCCGTCGACAATTTTACATATGACTTGGACGTATGACGACAGTCGAATAAATAAAGTAAAATGCACGAGAAGCACGTGGATGTGTGCGCGAGTACTGGACGCGGGATGACGTGTGAATTTTGTGTATGGGTTAACGGGTGGTGTGTGGGGCGAGAGGGGAGGGGAAGGGGAAGTGAATATTAGGAGTAAAAAAAAATGTGTCCGTTCCTTTCTGATTGACTGGAGGGTGTGAAAAAAAAGAAGAGGTAAAACACGCATGTCGAACAAATGTTGATCGGTTATCAATAGTGATGGGTCTCTGTCGTTTAGCGTGATGAGCAATTTGTTCGATGGGTGTTTACGAAGGTAAAAAATATAAGAAAAAATAAATTGAAAAAAAAAAACATAAGGTAACAAGACCAGCACGGGTAACAGCAGAGACAGGTGATAAAAAATACTATGGATGGTACGAACGCCGAATGTACTTAGTCACCGTGTAGGATATCGTCATCCGAATCATCAATGACTGCTGCCGCGCGATAACCCAATGATACCTGTGTAAAGTAGCTTCTGGTAACGAAGAGACAAAGCAGGGACCTATATATGTACGTTGTTCGGCTGTTGGGATAAAGTTTGTACAGTCTTGCGAGTGTACGGTGATTCCTTAAGAGAAGTCACCTATGTCTCTGTGCATTTTTGTACATAATGTATACAGCTGAGTACTTAAGTGTTACGAGAGAGAAGAAAAGAGTTTCTTTTAGAATTTAGCAATTTTTCAATAGACGCCGTGAGTGCGAGAGAGACGGATATATGGGGTATCGTACACGTCAGAGAAGGACAGACGTAACGTAGACACCGGAAAAACACTGTTAAACTAGACGGGCATGTGCCCATGGAACAGAGAAGGTATAGGGCTTGGATTTTCCGACTTTCCTATATAGCTCGCGAGCGCGAGAGAGACGGAGCGATGGGCCTTAGTACGGGTAAGAGAGAGACGCAGATAGCGATTGGAGAAAATCGTCTCCAAGATATTATACACATATAAATTTTTTTGGTGCGCGCTAACGATTACGCGTGACCTTGAAAAATTGAAATTGGCAACATTTTTCAACTAAGTGGACAAGTGCTGAAATACGTTTTTCCACGATGCAACTTCAGAACGTCCAGACTACAAATTGTTGTACAGAGTCTATTTCGCAGTGAACACTACATAAAGCCAGTGGCGTGCGAATATTTTCGGGAATCGGGTCACCTGTTTTCTCCTTGTATCGGATGACTGGTTCGGTATATGGTGTACATACGAATTCGAGAAATTCATGATTTTACTAGGATCGCTGTCTGACTCCCAATGACGATGCCCAATGATCTTATCCACTAACCGTTAAAAGCACATATATATATATATATACCGTACTATTAATTGGACCTAAACGATGAAAACTAACCTGCGTGCAGTCTCGTGCGAAAACGAAATGCCCACTGACGCTTTCGAGCATACAGAATTTTCTCTTTGCGAGAGTGGCTAAATCATTGTCCGTGAGACCATCTGACAGAGACAAATAGAAACAATAGAAAAAAAAAAAATGAAATTTCCTCAATCACAACGATGATAACGTAACACGATAATTCGGCCTTATAATTCTCACGCTGCAAAATACATCTACAGCACTCAAGCCTGTGTCAAAATTCATTCGGCAATGGCGCCTTGTGCGTGTAGTTCAAATTTTTCATAAGATTCGATCGATCCATTTTTTTTCTCCTCAGCCAATCAGATCCACAAGGCACTACGTGGGCTCAGGATTGGATAGCTTCCAGGTAGCAGTAATGGCAACTTAAAAAAAATAGAATACCAAGAATCAGCAGCCTTCAAGAATTCAAATGTTCGAAAGATCAAGAGATCATTGGACGCCTCGCCTGGGTTCAAGGAACCAAATGGATGACCGATCCTGGTCGATTTTAATTAAAGTTATTAATTAACGACGACCGTCAGGGACGCGATAAAGCAAATTCTTCCATCTCCGAAATTCTTTCTCGTCCTTTCACGCTGCGCGAAATATTTTTTACTCTCAAGGTCGGCAAGCCGGAGAAATCTGGCCAAATACCGCATACGGATTCCACCTGCGTTAAGTTTCCGACACTTTCCACGTAATTCATCTCCGGACCTTTAATGTCTTTCGTATGTCTTCCTTTGGCGACTACCTGCTATAGTCGTACTGTGTATACAGGTATACCTAACTTGTTAAGATTTACTCTCGCCCCTCACTCTCACTCTCTCTCTCTCTCTCTCTCTCGCCTGTTACTACGATCTCTCCTTGCTGCCTACGATGAGCGGCTATTTCACTCGCTCAGATTCTGCTCACACGAGAAAATCTAGGTCGCACGACTACGTTCACCTTCTGGGACTCCAGGCAATGTCTTCTCGGGGAAGGTCGTCGTACGTCTGCCACGAGAGAATCCGAGTACGAATGTGTAAGGTATGTATAGTGTATGTATATATATATATATATATATATATAGTCTCACAATTGCATATTATATATTATTCATCAAAAATGCATATACGATACGTGCAAATTTTTTTTCCAAATCTCCATTCATTCTATGATATAGGATATGTATGGCGGGTACCTAACAAAGATATTAATCTTAACGAGATTAATTTTGTTAAAAGTTAGTTTTGCTGCGGAAATTCGCACTCCGTATCAGTCCAGCTAGGAGGCTGTACGTTACGTGTCCAGGAAAGTGTCTCCGGTCAATTACGCTTGAGAGAGAAGGTACCGGGGAAAGTATTCAGAATCACGTGTGAGTGTATATGTATATATATATAATTAGCTGAGAAACGTCTATAGCATTTTTTTCTCTTATCACCAACCCGTAACGTTTCTAGTACTGATTAGCGTGTGGGCATTAAACGAAAGGTGTATATACTCACAAGTCGGTAAGACAGGTATCTGTGCGGCGTGCGTTGTGCAGTGCTTTTCGATTGACACCTGAAAAATGAAAAATAAAAAATTTCAAAAATTATTTCTCAGCATCCTCGTAAAAAAAATAAATTACCCAGAATTCGCAACATCCATATCCGCCTTGTTATATATCTATACTGTGCATACTGTATATCTATATTACACCGGTGGAACCAGTTTCCCTATTTAGCAAGAGCGAGTGTGATCTCATCGATGAGCGAAGGTGTAAAAAGGTGTTCTGGACGAGAACTCAAGAACTCAAAATGGAAGTCCCGACTTAACAGATAGGAATGAGTAACGATACGTAAACGCGAGAAAATGTTTAGAAATTGAAAAATTTTGAAATAAAAAACATACGCAGCCAAAATACAGGTACGAAAGAAATCTCGCAAAAAAAATTACGCACACGCTGATACAGCAATGTATGTATTAAGGTTATACGCTAGGGTCAGAGATGAATCTCGGGAACAGATGGGGATACGGGATGCTGCGGAATAATAATAATAAGGCAAGATAAAGAAAGCCTATTATAGGAATGACGTTAATCAGATACGTTGCATAGGGGCTGGGGCGAAGAGGGGGGTAAGAAGGGGGGGGCACGTAGGTGCATATGCAGAAAATGAACGCTGATTAGACGGGCCCTTGAAAGGCTGGGATACGCGTGGACGTGAATGGCATTACACACATGTGGCTAAGTAGATACGAGTAAATGGACCAGACGTTAATCAGACGGGCGCCATGAAAGCCCACAGGTATGAACCACGGAGCATATATGGTATATATATATTTTACCTATTGAAATTTATAAATACCCACATATGAGGACTATCACGTATGACGATTATAAAAAAATTCGGTTTTAGGTAAGTAAAATAATTTACGGAAAAAAAATTATTTATACAAAAAAAATGGAAACGACCCTAAATTACAACATGGTGCCGCGCCAAAAAATACGGACGTCGAGTTTTAACGCGAGTCAAGTATAATAGTCAAGTGGCCGAGTAAATACTTGCGTAAGGCGTACCTAGACTTCGTAGCCGTAATGCATTGCTCAATCCTTTATCATAGAAGTTTTCACGCAATGCCCGAGACGACTATGGCCGAATTAAAGTATTATTATTCATAGGATAAATAATCCAAAAAATTATTCTATATATATACGAAGTGAAAAAAATGGGGAAATTTTTTTGGACCAATTTTTTCCCTATTCTCCGAACGCGCAAGACCATCAGAGTCACTATTGCTTTCATTTACGAGCCCGATTAAGGTATCGTGTAACCGACCGTGGTCATACGTGGTCACACAACGATTATACCCCATATCAGTATATCTATAGCGTGCGCGCACATACATGACTTATACGCAATTTTGAAATAGTGTCCGTGAGCATGCTGGATGAAAGTGGTCTAACGTGTGTACGGCCATTTACGTCCGTGCCGATATACGTCCATGGTGTCCGGATGATTCCTCGGTGTCCTTAATAAGATCCATATTGAGATTTCACTCCGTAGGAATGAACAAAGCGATTGCACGTCCAAGTAAAATTACCGTGGTCGATTCTACCAATTAGAAAAATAAAATTCCTCTTTTTAATCGAATCCAGCACTTTGAATTTCATAGGACGAAAATTGACGTTTAACGGGAAAATCCCAAACGCGGATCTGTCCTCGAAGCGTGGGATTCGGTATCCTTGGACGCCATATTGTTATACGTGTACTCTATATCTATATATACGCAAGTTCTGACGTCATCGTAAAGAACCAATCTCTTCTAAAGTCATATCGAGCAAGTTGCACGAGCAAGTCCTTACGAGACTATATACTCGTATAGATATGTATGTATGCCGTATGTATTGTAATATAAGGTGCATATGTGTTTTACCAATTGATAATATAAATGACCGCCCCCATTTTTTGCCATTTCTTCTCTCTCTCTTTCTCTCTAGTCTTCACTCATAAGCCGATTACTCACGAGACTAGCATACGAGATTTTCTCTTGAGACTCCCAGACGCTGCAAGAGGGGACAGAGAAGATCTGAGAAGAGTCTGAATTTGGTCCGAATCCTGATAGTATTCGCGCGGCGTTCGTAACGATACAAGCCAATTACAAAGCCGACGAGAGAATTCACCAGGTAGAAAGTTCGCCATCTTTGGTCGGACCTTTCGTCACACGAGCGTCCAAGTGGCTACCGAAGGCGGCATTACGTTTTTTTTTATTACAAAACAAGAATGCGTAACAAGACGAGTAGAACATTTTTTCCTTAGAACGAGTTGAAATATGAAGGACCAAAAAAGAATACTGATAAAATAGTATAAATATTTTTTTTTCAAAAAGTTTTTATACTTCGTGTATGCTATATGTATATATACACATACTTATGTGCTATAGCTTACAAGGTATACGCAACGACGGAAATTGTTGGAGCTAAATTCAATATTGGCCGTGGGAACGGGTCCTGAGTATACAGTCTGTTTGCAAAATGAAATTCAAACATACGCGGCACCTTTTGACTATTTTTTTTTTTGGTATTCTACTCCGCACGTACTCGCAGACGACGTTGACACTTTTCCTTTTGGTATAAGAATCGTCCCGGTTATTTCCTGGTATTTTCGAGATTCACAAAGCGGACTTGCACGAAGTTTGAAGCACGTCGAATTCTTGGGGTCACGGAGCCGTGTCGAGGTGAAACGTCTGGTCTACCGGTGCGCGTCCCTGTAGGAGTGAAATGTACGTACGGGAATATAGACAGTGTCTCCAGGAACGTACGCGTAGCGTAGGACGCGAGACAGGATGCTGGAACGAAACGTGGATCAGCGTGTTCGCAAAATGGAGTAAAGAAGTAAAGATGGCGGATAGAGAGGCTGTGTACGTGTATTAATTAAAGAAATACAAAGTAAAAGTGGGCGCAGCTCGATTTACGATCGCTCTACGGAGTATCGAATTGACCGTGGGTTTGGATCAGGTGTCGATTTAAATGGATAAACGATTTTTGAATTTCTTCGTGATTCTACTCGGATTCTCCATTTTTTGTTGGTAAGCTTCTTAGAGCAGTCCTTGGGTACACAAAAACGGGATTCACCTGGACACGCTTCGTTCGTTCAGCCAGGAGCGTCAGGTTTACCGTAATTGTCAATCATTATATAGACCGGATTGCGCAATTTGAAAATTACAACTTTTCGCGGGTTAACGACCAACGATCGTTGCTTCCTTGATCTAGTAACGAATAACCTGACCGGACGACCTTGTTAAACATGCGAGTATACTTAACCTGTCATGTATGATTATACGTCGAATTAAATAGTGAGGCTGACTGTGTGCGCATGTGGCTATATATAAATTAGTCAAGAATTCATCAATCACGGTAGCAGGAACGAATCTTTATTTAAATTACAAAATTGAATTTCAATGACGAATGTTTGTGTGGTTGCTAATTTGAAGAATGAAAAAAAAATTATCACACGTTATGTTTATTAAAAAGTTTTGTAATAATTATCAAAATAATTTTACACCTAATCGTTCAAATATTTAGTAAATAATTTTGCAAGCGGTCCTTGATGACTTCAATGCCTGACTCTACTACAGTACCTCGAATCGAGATCTCGAGTTACGACAGTTGCGAGCATTTGAATCTTCATGAATCACGCTATACGAATTTCAAATGATTTACGTAGTCACTGAATAAGTAACGGATTTTCCGTTGAATCACGTAGTACTCGAATATCTTGCCTTGCAGCAGAAAAAAGGTTAGTAGCCAATTCGTACATCGAAGATAAGTGAGCTTGACTAACACGGTACAATGAAGAAGAGACCTGTATACAAACTGGATTCAGGATGAACTAGTTTTGTTTAAAAAAAAAAATTGAACTAATTTCTTTGACTATATATGTCACCGCCATGACCTCAGAATCTCTTCGTAACGACTACTACTGACAACTCCGGTTTATAAAGCCGCGACGCGTCCGCAATACCGGCGACGTTTACACGTTGCATAATGACGCATTCCTAACGAACGTAGGTACTCCGTAAGTCGTAATATAGAAACTCTTCGACACCAGTTTTACCGGTAACTGATTAGACTTTAAGAGTAAAACAATATACTGATCATAGTGCAAGTGATTGAGTAAGCGAGGAAGGCAGGTATTTGAAAACTCAAACTTCCCGCCACTATCGAAGAAATTACTCGTGCGAACAAGGCCGAAAATAATGACCAACAAGGTCGGAGACATCGACCCTGAATTAATTCAAGAGTCTTCAAGCAGCACAGGAGTTATTAACGACAAGCAAAGCTCCGTTTCTTTAATCATTATTGCAACGATGACAAAGTCAAATCAATTACTCACCAATAATAAAATCAGCAATGTCCCCCGCCAGTCCATGGCTAAAATAAAAGAGAAAGTCTTATTAATAACTGGGTCGAACACGGCAGGTTCGGTATGAACTATCGCGCGAACATTGTCTCGCACAGTGGGCGTATCGCGAAATTCACTAATGGCGGTACGTGAGAATAAACCAGATACACAGGACACACCTTGAACACGTTTCGCCATTTATAAGAGTCAAAGCGTAATCCTAACCTCTTAACGAACACCAAAAACATTATTCAAGTTCACTGAATACACTCAGGGGGTTCACGTGAGTTCACACTCTCTCTCTCCTTACATATATCACATATATATTTACTGTTCACTTGGTTCTATCACATTGTTGTTGCCACCAACCAATCAAGATGGAGAATGGGTCTCTGATCCTGTCAGAATCTCACAGCGTTTCGCGAGAGTATGTTTTCCACTGGGATAGTAGAGCCCGAGAAAGTAACAACACGTTCGAAACCGATAAAATACGTTCACTTTTTAGAACAGGGCCCGACGACCTCGACCGCGCTGGACCACAGGGAACATTAAGGACCTCCATGGACATTTTCCACTTCTTTTTCCCTCGAGTATTATTCACGTCAATTTATTATACGACAACTTTAACCATTACTCCTTATACGTTTTCTATTGTGCACAACGCTCGACTGTACTGCTTCTGGATCTCACGACGATCTGCAGTGTTCTGAAACCTCGTGCAACGCTGTGTGATCCTTCGGTCTGTGCATACATAGATATATAGCACTCGGTCAGGGACGTGTCTAGTCATAATATAACTGGGGCATCGAAATATGACTTACGCGTAAATAAAAATTACATAAATGACATCTAAAGTTGTCAATTTTGGCATATTATTAATGGTTAGTTGTCTACACTGTTAAAACTTTTAAACTTTCAAATTTTGAATTGTAAATGCATAGCGGAAATGCTATGTTGTTCTTGCGTACATGCATTACCTACTGTACATGATTAAATAATGTAATTTATTACTGTATAATTTGTAAAAGGGCTATGCCCGTTGATCCACAATAAATAAATAAATAACGTACAAACTGCGTTACCAGATCCTTGCATTTTTAATATTTTTCTTTTTCTTATACAATTTTATGTCGTTACAACTCGTTGACGATGTTACACCTGACTGGTACGTGTATGCGTATCGAATTGTCCCTGGAAATATATTTGAGGATGATATGGGTGTTTTGAATAAGGACAGAGAACCAGGGGGCACGGTACGGCACCCCTTTATGGCATTTTCGGCAGCGGAAGCAGGTGTTGTAGAATACCAAATATAGAGTCTACCTCAGCATACGTATATTATACGTAGTGGGATAACGTTATGTAAAGAATGTTCAAAGTAAATGGTAAAAACTGCTTTTTCCGTCAAAACTTGAAGATTCAAACGTACCACGAAATTATGTACACGTTTACTGTCGATTGGCATTGAACTTCGTCGAATTAAATGAAATCGGAAAAAAGTGCCAATTCAACCTGAGCTTCTTGTAGCGTTTAATACCCGGTAATAACGTGGCAACAGGAAAACCAAATTCCTGCTATTAAAGATCATTGCGGTTTCTCCAGCAAGGCATAAACGAGTCAATTCTTTCGAAATTTTTGTCTCGTGCAAACATGGCTGACGTGACGTTTTAACGGACTTTTAATTATGTCAATACCGACAGAGCAACACTTGGATTCTTTATCATTCTTGATGCTTGCATATTTGATTAACGACGCCCACGGAAACGAAGAGAACGAAAAAAAATATCGGCAAACATAATCGATCTCGTTTTATATCTACATTCTTTCTGTACTCTTCTCGCGTGTCTGCCTTATTTGAATATCCATTCGTTCACCCGCCTATCCTCTTCTCCAGCACCAACGTCTTTTCCTATCACGTAGAAATATAAACCTTGGGCCCCTTTTTCGTCATTGCATAATGCCGTTATTAAAGACTGTCATTAGCTATAGTAATGGCGACGAGTTTGCCTCGCGTGGCCCACGCGACACCCTGACTTGACGCCTACGACACTGGGAAGCCAACGTCTTCGTAGAAAAGCAGGATCAGAGGTAAAACGTAGTGGCAGTGCCGTGAATTATGTTTCATGCGTGAAATGAATAAGAGAGAGAGAGAGTGAAAAATTATGAGAAACTTGAAAACAAACAATCTTAAACATACCTGTTGTTATTAAAAATAAAAATCTCATCCTCACCTGCTGTTTGAATATGTTGTTATCCAAGGAAGAAGAAGCAAGATTATTTTGATGTATCCAAAAAATGGGATGCTGCGTTAATTACTGCACTGGGAGGTAGTGAGGAGGGAAAAACTGTTTTTTATTATATTATTATCTTTCTTTAAATCTTCCTTTTACACAGCACTTTCTCTCGTTCGTTTTATTTGAAAATTATAGAGTACTCAAACTGATGATTGAAGTCAGAGTGCTTTTGTATGGACGCGTTTCTATTCGTATTGCTTATTGACTTATTCGATGCTAATTAATGCAATTAATTGGACAGATCAACTTTTGCACGTGACAACTCGTCGCGTTCACGTGGCTATACCATTTTGGGTATTCGCCACGGTATTCTCCTCGAAGAGAAGTAGAAAAGATAATAAAAAATAACAATTTTTTTATAACAAACAATTTTTAAAATAATTATTAAACAGACTTTCTTTAATGGCTTCGAATGACTCTAATTCAATATACGCTCTGTTAAACCAAAATGACTAAAGATAAACAACGAAGCGTGTACTTTATTAAAAATTTCCCCAAAAAATACGTCAAAACAACAACTAAATAATGCAAATTATTTACAAAATATTCCTAATCCCTCCTCTAAACAATTAATTCATCAACCTTGTCATTATCGCGTCCACCTTAAGCGTGTGTATCGGTCGATCTTCCCAGTACAAGATAACAGCCACGGTCCCAGCATCCTTATCAAGATAACAATTAAAAGCTCATTAATCTTCTTTCAAAGTGAATTCTCAGCATAATGAAACAAAGGACCCCAGTTGCATTCAAATTTTTTTTTCCTCGTAACGACAACAGAGTCTCGTTTAAATTTCCACAATTATTGACGTACTACTTTGAATTTTCAAAATTATCCTTGACACTGCACAATCCGTTCGTTCGTTCGTCGCCCGTCTCGTTTGATCTTCCTTTTTTTATCTTCTGCCTCTCCTTCTTCTTCTTCTTCTTCTTCTTCCCATTCGTGAATTTTCGTCGATCTCGTAAGTACTCGCCACGCGATCTGCAACCATAGACGCGAGGCTCGAGACTGGTTGGAATCAGGCAAGAAAGGAAAGAACTTCAAAGAGGGAACACGTTCTTAGGGAGATAGTGGGGATTCGTGCATCCATCCCCTCCCCACTGGCTATCCAGAGGTAATATAGATATATATACCATAATACAATATGTACATACACGTATAGTATCCACTGGCTGAACTAGACAGCCTCCACCTTCGTTCCGAGGGCAGCTTCACCATTGGCCGGATCTTTCCTAAGCGATGATGCTTCCAGTGGACGTGTAGGTGTGCGTGGAATGACGGCCAACCGAGAAGCGGCGTATCTGCAAGAGTGAGGTGTATATAGATATAGATTCGTGCAAGCTAAATAAAGAGAATCGCGCGTTGCTAAAGGTGGAAATAAATGTGAGAGGTTACACAGAAGGAAGACACTGGCGTCATCGCTGGAATTGGCAACGCTATCATACCTGGTGAATCCTGCCGTTGGTATGAGCATAACACGTTCCGCTTATGAGCTTCAAGATATTTTGCTTTAATACGGTATAAGTAGTTATTGACGTCAGTGATGTGGGTTTTGTATAGTTCTGAGAGATGTCTGAGATATTTTTGGCGAGTTCAAAGAGATCTTAATGATACGAAGGATTTTATCCATGGACTTTTTTCACTTCAAGGAGCTTTTTCGGTATTTTGTGAAGGATTGACTAAGGTGGTCATGCAGCTAGACTAGGGCGCCTGAAGAGAGGCAATTTGGTATACGCGACTGTTTCGTGCAAATGCAATGAGGGTAAATTTTGCGTGGTTATGTGGCGCCATCTTTTTTAATAACCTTGAAACTGATTGATACCGGCAGGTTTTCGATGGTATTTGACATATAGCGCTGTATACATTGTTCTTAAAAAGTTGACTGAAAAGGTAAATACTATATTTTATGTAACTCATGCATGAAAAACACTACTTTTCGTGCCTCCGAAGTGTGGCGAAAGTGGCGCTTTATATCTATGGATACGATAAAAATGCTGCGCATGCGCAAATCGGCCCAATTTTGCATTATCGCACTAGTGCGATAAAGTAAACTTTGTTCTCGCGCGCTATCATGAAATGCATTCATTTTTGAAGCCTTCCTTGCTCTTCTTATAGCTGCTTCCTCCAACGAAGAGATGTTCCAGTCACTTTGGAGGCACAAAAAGTAGCGTTTTTCATGCATTCGTTACAGAAAATATTATGCGATACTGGTACAATAAAGCGAACATTATACGCAGTTCGTGAAATTTGTCACACTCGCCGCACGCGTAAAACAAACAGCACTCGCCTTCGGCTCGTGCCGTTGTGTTACTCGTGTGCGGCTCGTGCGACCAACTTCACCGCCTGCCTATAAAGTTCGCTTTCTCGCACTTGTATCGCAAAGTACTATTGTATGAGTTACCGGCTGAATTATCAAACTCTTATGTGCTGTCATCTGTATGAAGAAATTGAAATTCTTTATGGTCATTTAAAAATGGCGCTTTTAGCTCGTGCGAGCGCTAATGTTATTTTATGTATAAATAATTGTTATTCTAAACTAATTTTTGATCGTGTCAGTGCACGAGAATGTACAAAATATACTCATACGATTATGAGTGGGCAACGACTATTTTGTAATGAACGTGTCGTTCGTACAGGTATTTTTTTTAAGCATAACCTAAATATGGTTGTAGAAATTTCGAAATATTTCGATGGTTTTTCATATTAATATGAACTCGTTTCTTTGTGAATGAACAGAATTAATTGCCCATCATTTGTATCAGCTTATACTGTTTAAAATATATATTATTTGTTTATATACTTCCATTTATGTGTTTTACTTTGGATCATGGATCACAACATTCTTTCAGTTCATTCGGCTGAATCAGAAAAGAATAAATTTATCCCATTTGATGAACTAATTAGTCATAGGCGACAACAGGCTGCACGCAGCGTATTGATTCAAGTTCAGTCTGAAAAATCGTGCAGTGAACTCTATAGTTATTGTTCCCAATTTGGTCATATTGAAGGAATGCACCATTATACTGTACACCATAATACAGTGAGTAGTTTAGAATCATCTAGATCTTCTGTAATCATTGTAAACCAAAATGATTCATTGATTATCATGACCCAAGAAATTAATGCAATTTTATTGTATTCCAGCATTTTGTATTGATAGAATTTAAGAAAGTGTCACATGTGGAGAATATCTTAAACAAAGCAACACACATGAATGAAGAGCAAATAATTCCAGTTGAAGGTTCGATGTTTTGGTTCAGAACAGAAAAGACAAGAAGTAAAATTTCTGTCTCTAAAGATGTTCCATTGCTGATCAAGAATGGCTGTTCTATACCAACAGATAAAGAGCTCACAGACTTATTACTCAGTGCAGAAACGGTAAATAATTTCCTTAATATAACAATAAGTTCCAAGCTCATTTTCAATGCTTGTACAGATGTCCGATCAAATGGTAACTCTATACGAAACAACGAAATTGAATGACATCGGTGTTAGGATTCGATTTCAAACAGCACATCAGCTAGAACGTTGTTTCTCTGGACTGTTTCCACACATTAGTGTTTTACCTTTTGGTTCCTCTGTCAATGGTTTTGGTAAACTAGGCTGCGACTTGGACTTAGTTTTACGTGCAACTAATGTCAATGAGGTGACTATATCTACTTCAATGGTTTTTATCCTATTGTATAATACAAAATAAGAAACCGTCGCTGACAAATATTCCTCCTTATTTCCAGGAGAATTTAAACAGTCGATTAGTCTATCACACAAAAACAATTATGTCAGATGAGAGGTTGCAGACAAAAAAGTTTATGGAAACTATAGCAGACACCATGCAACATTTTGTTCCTGGTATATGTAATGTTCGACGTATCCTGCACGCGCGTGTACCCATAATAAAATACGAGCAATCGTTCACCGGTGTTGAGTGTGATCTCAGCATCACAAACCTGTAAGTATCATAACCTAGTTATATATTACTCAACTATCCTGTCTTCGCTGGCTTGTAAACTTATTCTTACCAGGACTGCAGTGTATATGTCAGAACTGCTGCGTCTCTACAGTGAGGTAGACTGGAGAGTAAAACCATTAGTATTTACTCTGCGGAAATGGGCTGAATGTGTTGGCCTAACAAACAGCGCACCTGGTCGATGGATAACAAATTTCTCCTTAACACTCCTCGTACTTTTTTACTTGCAATTTAAACAAATTCTACCAAGCTTATCCACCCTGAAGAAACTGGCAGGTAAAAATTCATTATATTATCCTTTCAAAATTATATCAATTGCCATAAACGCGTCACATTAAATCTTCATGATTTTTCAATAACACAGTGAAAAGGGACACTCGTGTTGCTAACTCCATGGTGGACTGTACGTTCTTACGCGATCTTAACAGATTACCCGAGAGGACGACAAACGTGACAACTCTCCAGGAACTTCTCCATGGCTTCTATGAATTCTACTCACAGTTCGACTTCCATACAAAAGCTGTGTCTATACGTGACGGCACTACAATAAGTAAACCAGATTACTCTGCCCTCTACATCTGCAATCCTCTGGAGCCGATGCTGAACGTTAGTAAAAATGTCAGTATCGAGGAAGTAGAAAAACTGAAGGTAAACCTGCGCGAGGCTTCCTGGTTACTAGAGTCAACGGATAATAACAATCTCTTAACAATACTTCAACCCAAGAAAGACTTAATGACTCTCGTAAGAGGTAAACGTGTCGTGAACGTCGCCGTGCTTTTTGGCGAAGACAGTGAAGATGAAAAGACGAATGTAGCCAACAAACAGAAGACACTCAGTGGATCATTAAATAAAGATCGGGCTAGACGAAGGTGAAACTTAATGCTGAGTTAATTTAAATCAAACAGAGATTTCATAGTAAATTAATTTTTTTCCCTTCTCTCTTTTTTGTATATATATCTCCCACTAGACGTCAGGTGAATTTTCGTCGCCACCCTTGGAACAGCAAAGGTGGTAAATCCTCACCTACTGTACATAAATAAACGTAAAAAAAAGCCATCTGAATCACAATCCAATAATTAGAAAAAGACAACTCTTAATTTATATAATGTTCTTTAATATATCGACTTCGACGCGTTCTGAGATATTTACAGAATACGTGTTACGTTTTTCTTTGTTTTCTTCCTTTTTCTTCAACAATGACAGTTACAATATCAATAATAATAACGTCCATATGGTCTTACAAATAAGACCACCGACATAGTCGATATAACTGTCACGTATAAACTGACTGTAATAATTGTTGGTGTCGCAATCGATTCGTAAACTGTAGATTGATAACGCAATGAATTTATAGCTAAGGTATTACATATGGAATCATATGTACTTATACGTATTTCTTTTATGCGTCTTTCATTTTATTTATAGATATAACCTCGTGTATATAATGGTACCGTTAACGTTATCCGGGAATATCACTATGTGCTTAGCGTCGCGCGTTATCCTCCTTAATATTAATAACGTGATTTACGTATTTATAGTTGATTTCTTTTTAATACGTTATCCTCACAATAACGTTATCAAAACGAGTATTTATAATTATCATTTCCACGTGAACCCGTAACGCACTCCGAACGTTACGCGTTCATTATTAATCGGCTTTTCCTTTTTTTTTTTTTGTAAGAAACGAAGAGTAAACTCGACTTGAGAGAAGTTATTTATTATGAAATTATGTTAAAAATTTCTTTTTTTTTTCTTTCCCCTCTCTAATCGCTTTACCTTCGTATTCCCATTGACATTTATTTGGATTTTGGCGCGTCGCCTTTGGCTTGTTAAGGCGCCCTATTCGATTAGGCTATATCGGTGATATATCAGCGTCGAATTAAATTCGTAATGTACCGTGGATTGGCAGTGTGTCGTCAAGTATCTCTATAGATAAAACAGATAAGAATACGCACTCGTATATTCGAGCGGCCGTATCTTCAAAGTGTCAAGTCGAGGGACTGACTTTTCTTTTTTAATAATGATTTAATTAATTATATAAGCAGGAATGAAATTATAGAACGTAAACCGCCGATCGCGCCGTTGAAAAGAAAAGAATAAGCATTTTATTATTTTCTTTTAAGATCTCTCTTTCTCTCTCTCTCAAATGGATACTATTACGTATACTGTTCTTTTATTTCGGATCGCTCTTTTTGCTATATGAAAATTTGCATGGAACGATGGAAATAGTATGGGAAAAATTAATGTAAAAGAAATATGAGCTTGTCGAGGCGTCGGCGTCATCGTCGAGACGCTCTTAATTTGTTTTGCTCTTACGATGATACCGGTGATGATGGAGATGATGGTGGCGCAGATGCGAACGCGTCTCCTGGACCGCAGCTACCAGGGTGCGCACCGCCTCCTCGTGACCCTCGAAGCTGTCGGCTTTCTTTAGCTGGCCAAGAGTACCGGATGTCTCGCCACTGGTGCGCTTACTCTTGGGACGTGGGAAGGTCTCCCAGGAACGTTGTTTCTGCACGAGAGACGCAGGCGTCGATGACGGTCCGATCAAAACCACCAAGGTTTTCCTCCCGTTTTCCTGGGATGATTGACCTACCGTCCCGTCGCCGATGCTGGAGCGACGGCTGTTCGCTGAACCTGTTGTGCTTAGACTGTCGCAGCTTGCCCTGCGACGTCTTCGAGCGTCGATGGAACCCTTGTCACCTGAGTAGAAGACATCCTCGGAGTCGCTCGCTGGGTACACCTTGACACCCTTGACGCTGGTCGCTGGTTTTTCGTCTGGTGGGACAGGATGTACCTGGGCCTGGACACGCTTCTTGGCATCCCCAAGGCTGGAGGCTTCGGATATTCTCTGATATTCGCTTTCTTCTATGGGAATTAATTTAATGGCGATTTAAAAGTCTTCTTCAGGGAATACAGGACTCACTTTGCACTAGTTGTTACCTGCTGCTTGTCCTTGCTGTTGGGACTCCGTGCAACGCTCCGGTTCTATGGTGTCTGCTGACGTATCCCCGGAGACACCCTTCAAGGAACGGTATAGTGAGCGGACCTTGGAGCCGCTGGAAGAGTGTCCTGGCGGTGTCTTCGGTTTGGTATTGTCCGGAGATTTACGTGAGCGACGGCTGGCGCTTCTATCGCGGCCTTCCTCACGACCTGGTGATTTCTTACGATCTTCTTTTGTTCTAGCCTTCTCAATGAGCTGGCTCAGGACGCCACGCTTTGCCTCTGAGGATTTAGCGGTCCCGTAGACGACGATGTTCCCGCTGGAGTCCACAACGGCTCCCACTCCGCCCGAAGGAGTCCTGCAACGTGTTGGCATCTCTTTGCTCTCTGTGAAGTGTCATTAATTGTTATCTTCCTATTGATCCGATTTACCTATGTCAACTTGACTCTCTGACCTTTCATGTACAATGCGTTATCAGCACTGGTGGTAGCACTACGTGGATGACGGCAGTCTTTTGTCGGTGCTGGCGTTTGCGGTTGTGCTGGTTCTTGCATCTGCAGTCTTGCCAGGTGATCAAGAAGGGCTTGCAAGTGTTGATGACCAGCTGCATCTGTTGCAGCTGCACTTGCCTCTCCTGCACTCACACCAACTGAGAACGATTTGACAAATGGCTCCAGTTGTTGTGCCATTGTTAACAATTGTTTGACCTCGCTTCGTAGAGTCAGAATATCGTTCATCTGCTTGGAGCAGGGTAAATCGTTATTGTAAAAAATTCACAACCTGAAAATGAGGTTTTTCATCGCCGTTTACAAACCTGAGAGTGAAAGATTTCCTTCTCGATGTGAATCCTGCACAACTGTTCCTCCCAAAGTGCATCAAAAATATTACGTAGTCTCTCTAATTCCATCTGATGATGCTCTAGCTGTTGCTCCAGGATTCGACAGTCTCTAGCAACATGCTCGTACCGAGCACCAAGTGGTGGCGTGTTGGCCCTACGAAGAAGAGCGACGTCCCGGTGCAATTCGCCAAGACGCTCCTTGACCGTCATCAGCTGCTGACTCAACTCCTTAAGTTGACTGTCGAACGTGCGACAGTGATTGGAAAACGATCCGCCATCAGCAGTTCCTTTAGATTGTATCCTCTGGCTGCACTTGCTCGTCTGCTAGAACAATCAATCCTTCTAGAGTTCATAACCGGTATGTTTATCAGTCTAATATGACGATCCAACACCACCTGGATGAGCTGTGGCTCAGTCTGTCCCACGTTGTGAGTTTGATCGTACAGCGATTCCTTAGGCGTCTGTATCTGTCCGATATAAGGTTGCAGGGCCCTGGCAAAATCATTTTTATAATTTATTTTCAGATGTGCAGCCAATAACGGTGGCCTGGCAAGATGTCCGAGCTGCGCAACACGACTGAGTCTCTCAAGCATCGGATGTGCCAGTTCCAAAAATTGATACTTGGTAGCTCCACTCGTGAAGGCTGTGCAGAGCATCAGGTGCATTTGCAGCACAGGCAATGCACTGCCTAAGGATAGCAGCTGTGCTCGCACCATACGCTCCTTTGTCTCGAATTGCCTTTGCAGTTCCGTCAGGACTGCCGAGTGGGTCTTCGCCATAGCTTCCTGCATACCCTGGCAGTACGCGTTCAGTGAACGCTTCTCAGACTCGAGACTGTGACGTAGCTCATCCAGCTGGGACTTCAGGGCGAGCAAACCGTCACGTACCCCAGCCTGTAATTCGCATATAGAATTTGCCGCACGTTCCATCTTCTTCGAGGCTTGCTGCCATGCGTTATCTATATCCACGCAGTGGAGACGCGCGTCTGCTGAGGTATCACGTAGACAGCTTGCGCACAGCATACACTTTGCCGTTTGGCTGTACATTATATACTGCTCCCCGTGCGTGGAGCAACGACGCTGGGTATCCTTGGAGCATTTGCTCATGTGCACCACCTCGTGGGTAGAGAACATCTTCGCGCGATGCGTGTGCTCCCTGCAGTGGTTGCAAAGCGCCTGACCTGGATAGAATTAAAACCCCTATGTTTACAACCCTTAATCTTCAGCTCCCTCCAGGTGCTCCACTAGGTCTTTGAGATGTCCAGGTGATTACTGTATACTCACCACACGTTGTGCAAAAGAACATTGTGGTCTTGTCGCGCTTGTCGCAGTTTGCACATGGTGGATTTTCTGAATTGGCTAGCTCCACCAATTGGTGCATCAACTGATCTGCTGGCGGTTGCTGCGCCCCTTCCTTCAATTGCGTCACTTGCCTGAGCATTAATTAAACTTCGTGTCAACGATTAATTACGAATCGTACAATATAATGGAGTACTATTGCCCAGGCAATATTCAAGAACGTTACACAGATCAGTGATTCAATTTGTAATATATTGTGAATGGGCATTTAAAAGATAATTTCCATATCAAGGTTAGGGCATTATGAAAATAAAAATTAATATTGCTATAGCTTTTTTACAAATTTTATATCACATACCCGCATATAGGACAAGCGACTTTGCCGTCGGGATGGGGTCCGCGTAGGCACTTCGCGCAGAAGGTGTGGAAGCAGACGAGTAAACATGGCTCGTTGTAATAATCGTGGCAGACGCCACATATAAGTGGATTCCTGGGTGCGGCGTTCACTCCAGAATTACCGCCGTCAGCATCCCCAGGTCCTTCTCCAGCTACTGAGCCAGAACTCGCCATCCTCCTCTGTCGGCACGAGCGGCCACCTGGACCATCAGTTTTCTTTTATCAATCCTCACCACAAATATCGTTCCAAGTGCACAATGAGTCTTGAACTTCTACGTGATTCTCATTACGTATATCTCAGGTTGTTTACTTACCCCAGTACCCGCCGCAGAGAACGAGATGGGCTGGCTTATCGGACCGTCATTCTGACGTAGTGACGAGCCACCCTTTCTTTGCGCCTGACGAACGCAGACGTCACGACGCGCGCACCGCTTACCTATATACTTTTCATTCTAGTACATATGTGCCTGTGCTCTTACCGACGCCGACGCCGACGCCACATATACTGACACTGCTGCTGTGCATCCACTGCGGACCCAACCCTCTATTAGAATTTATAAGGGTGTACGTCGCAATTATATCATCTCCACGGATGGATACGTTACTCTGCAGAATCCTCATCTATTGAGTTTGTTTAGAGACGTCATCTTGAATTTCCCAGGAGTCACCTGGATACATTTTTCATATTAATTTTATACATCTTTTGAGGTTAGAATATTTGTATCCTACTATTCAATCCCTTTTTCATTTATCAAATCGCTCGCAGGGGTTCCCTCTGGAATGCTAGACCCCTAGGGGAATTCCTTCAATATTTTTATCTCAGTATTGATGTACAGATTGCTTTCAGAGACACGTCTCAAAGTAGATTCTACGTGTGCGATACGTCACCATCCATATATAGTCCCAACAATTTGATTCTGTGCTGATTTCATAGGGATGTAGCCAAAGCATACACGGCACCATGTGTACAGTGCACTTTCAACTGCTTCTAGCAATGAACCTGGGTAATATTTGCCAGCGTTGGTACATCGAAAGCGGCCTTTACGTTTACCCCAAGTATATGGGTGACCCTTGAACAGGTCAGCGGGCGTGAAAACTCGACCCAGTAAAGTGCAGTATGCCACAGCGTAGGAAGAGCACCATGCAATTCCACGATGTGATCTTAGCCGTCCCTTTATTTCTTACTCTTTGGTAGGTTATATTTTAAAGTAAAAGAAAACCACAATCTCTTTTGCATCACTGTACTTGTATCAGAAAGTATGAAGCTTCCTAGAAGATGCTTCTGCTATGTTACTTTATCTGCAGTCACTGTTTGCAACTATAATTTTTTACCTTCCATTTCCTCATGGTATAGATCCATTTTTATTATTATAAATAGTCTGAAACTTATTTGTTCCATTTTCTATCTTTCTCTTTCTTTGTTGTATTTCTGGTGCATCTGTTTCCTTTTTTCTTTCATCTTCCTATATCTTCATCTCTTCTTGCAAGCTGCTGCGACGCCGCTTCGGGTGAGCTCCACTTTGCGCCTGGTTCCCTGTATTCCGGGATAGGTCTGCTCCGCCAAAGGGGACGTCGATGGGAAGCAGGCTGAGGGAAACTTTTATTTTTTATTTACTTGCGGATTCTATCCTTTGCGGTTGGCATATATGAATGCATATATATTATAAGTGTATATATAAATATATATCCTCACACATCACTACCACGAACTGGTGACTGGGACGCGGACGGGATTTCTTTTGCTCAGAGAAAATCCTTTCATCCTCATCTATATACTTTTCAGGTTTCGTGTGCAAATATGTATCAAGAAATATCATTCCTACCAGACAGCATTTACGTTCCTGGTGAAGTTCGTTAATCCCTGGTGGCGTTGGAAAACTATTTTTTGTAAATTGATAAAACTGTATAGTTTGTTTCAAAAGATATTTCAGGCTGGTAACGTACTTGGTTATAGTTAGTTAAAGTTGAATGTGTATTTTTTTCCAGCCTAACTAAAGATACTTGTATTAGTCGATTTTATATTATTTTGTATATATTAGGTCGCCAAGGATGAAATTTGTAGAAAAAAGGCAAAAGTTGGTTGATAACTACAAATTTCATTCTTGACGACCCAATAGATCATACAAGATATGATTTCTTTATGAATATACAATTCTTTTCAGATTAATACAACCTGAACACATTCTCTTATTACATCTGCAAGTGTTTGATTTAAGAATTAAACGTGTGTATTCTTTCATCGGATTTTATTTTTTATACAAATTATGAAACATCTTGTATGTAACTTTGCTATATATGTATATTGTATATATATATGCACCCTGCATTGGCCAAGCTCTTTCGTTCCACGATATGCTCTGGGTTATATTTTATTTCAGGAAACTTTTCAATACCTGCTTTTACTACTTCGTTTAAATTATTCGCACAGTCATAGACCTGTAGCCATTTTATTTGTATTGCAGTTTCATAGCGCATTCATTAATTAGTTTTCCTTGGGTATGAAAATGAAAAGTTAGTATTACCCAGTCGTTGCTCTACATTTTACATACTTCTGGAAGTACTTGCAGGAATATATGGAATTCAGACGAGGACTTCATTTTGGTCTGAGTTACTGGTAAAGTGCAATTTGTGGGTCATGCATTTCTTTGTCATTGAACAATTATAGCTATTCAATGAGTTTGCCAGTTTTTTGTAGTTGGATTTATGTTTTATGTTATATTCGTATGCGTGGTACGTGGTGAGAGAAACAATGGGATAATCGTTTCCGATGATTGCGCGAGTGCTGTAGAGAAAAAAGAATAAAGGGAAAATAACAATGAGAGGTAGAGAAAGATGAAAAGAAAAAGAATAAAAGGCATGCACGAAAGGGCTGCATGCATCACGTGATATGTAACGACATCAGCACTCTCTCGCGGCCACAAGTCGAAAATGGCCGATCCAGGCCGATCGAAACTAGGCGAAGTATTTAGCCATTTTAGTATAGTGCAGTATAGTGGTTATCTTTGTGTTTACAGATATGGGGAATCGATAACGAACACCTTTGTGGTCACCGGCCAGAGATAATAAAGACTAATTACTAGAGGAAAATTGAAAATGCCGTCCCGTAGTGAGGATATCCTCAAAGGTTTTCAAATGTATCCTTGGTGTATGGTGGAAGTTTGAGATATTACTTTTTATTTATTGTATGTCATCTTCGAGGTTAAGAATTGCTGTCAGTTTGCTAATCATTATGTATGTCGATGGTCCTGATTTGTATTTTATTACATTGATTTTTGTTTATTGATTATTTCTGTCACTCTTTTTTGATTGTATCGTATTTCATAGTAGTCGTTGGTATATTTTCTTTATCAACGAGAATGTTATCTATATGTATTAATTGAATGGGGAAATCATTCCTTGACTGATGTCTAGTAATTGGATGAACCTTCGTGATGCTGATAGTGGCAAAATTTTATGGCAGGGCAATGAGGATCTGTGAGTAAAGAATGATTTATTTTAGAATGGGATATTTACCAATTTCATTGATTGAATTTAAAAATTTTTTTATTATTTCTATCACCAGCTCGATACCAGACGTTGAACATGAAGCTAGAGTGCCGAAGAAGATTTTGAGATGTCGAGCTGTTTCGAGAGAAATTAATTTCAGTTCTGCTGAACCTATGGAGAGGTTTCGATTAGAACAGAAGGTTCTGTTCAAGGGTCGTTACCTTGAAGAATGGTTCTTTGAGTTTGGATTTGTTATTCCAAATAGTACAAATACCTGGCAAAGTTTAATTGAAGCTGCACCTGAAAGTCAAATGATGCCTGCCAATGTGCTGAAGTAAGCTATTAACAGTATTTCTTTGATCGATATTATTTTCAATGTGTATAATTAATTTTTGTACATTTTATTTACAGTGGCAATGTAGTAATAGAAACAAAATTCTTCGACGATGATCTTCTTGTCTCTACAAGTCGGGTTCGTCTCTTTTATGTCTAAGATGGTCTATGTTTTTGCTTATCATCCAGCAGCGATCTGGGACCAAATATTTTAAGCACGATGATGGTACGGAGCTGACGGTTCGATTGGCAAGTCCAAATCACATTGTCCTATTACCGTTATTATTATTTATTTGTAATACTGCATTTATCACAAACGCGATTTACAACTTGCCTCCAATTAGCTATTCCTTACTAAAGTAGATCGTAGTAGAGGTGAATGCACTCATTGAATGGTATTAGTTATTTATATCAATACCGAGTCGTGAGGTCTGTATTATCAAAACACTTACATTTCATTTTAAGACGTAGGTACTTATACAATGAAGTATTACAAACATTTTTGTATACCATAATAACACACTGAGCAATAAACAGTATACATATATAGATGACTATGATTCGGAAGTATTGAAATATCTTATATAATATATTTAATTTAAGAGAACTTTGTTATCAAACCCTAAATAACTACACTTGGAGATAGTACCTCGTCGTTAATACGGTACTGCTTTTACGATTAAACAAACCTGGAAACACTACCCATGCAAAAACATGGATTCACTGTGCAGCTACTTAGAAGGTGTTGTAATGGGCACAGTAAGCTGCGAAGAGTCTTGAAGCCCAAAAGTCACACAACGTAAAGCCCGTCAAGGTAGAAAGCAGATATACTTTTTTAACAGGGGTGAGTCGAACGACCGGCCGTATATTATTGATTCGCGGTGTACAAGCAATACATTTTTGAGGCTTCACCAGCCCCTACTCCTGGGGAAGTTCACGTTGAATATACGTGAGATTCCCTACTCGTTCCTGGCGTTGTACAGGTGTAAGGCGAGTGAGAGAGAGAGATACTGAGGTAGAATGTAACAGAGTAACAGAGAAGTAAAAGCTTGAGGGTAAAAAACACCTGAAGCTAAAAGAGAGGAAAGAAACGAACTACGGAGTTGCCGAGCCGGTCGAGAGCGTAGGGGATTCAAAACGTTGGCTTTGCCGCTGGCTTGCGATTCAATTACCATTAGCCCATCCTCGGCACGGATTCTCACCTGTCAGGGTGAATACCAGTGCGAAAACACTAATCATATTAAGAATAAGGAACACTGGATTCGAGGGTGCACGTCAGGGAGGATCGTTATCTTCATGGAACTTAAGGAAGAGGACGAAAATGTCAGCGAGGCTGGAAGGCAGCTCTTCCTCGTCGGCACACCAAGGGATCCTCTGGTATCAGCTGGTGCCATTGTTGCTGCTTCTGGCACTGTCGACGAGATAAATCCTGGCGGGGATCTACAGACGAGCGCCCTTGCTGGTCTGATGGGCACGCAATCTTCCTCCGTTTGCTTTCCTGCGAAATTCAGTAAGTGGACAACTGCCGGACCTGGCTTTGATTTAATTAACTAGCTTGCTCCCTGTCTTGCTCCATGTGCTAGTCAACTTGGGGTAGCTCAATTAAATTATTGCTAAATGCATTAAGCTGTCGTTCCACCAGCCCTTTTTTTAAAATAGAGTTAGTACTAATCGGGTTAACAGTTATGAACCGTTTTTTACTAGTCGCTCTATGTATTATGCACTGTGTTATGCGATTAGCCCAACAACTTTGGCTACCCTTAACTGTATGTACCTAATGAGGATATATTTGCTTCGTACTGTGCGCCATTATGTAGCTGTGTAGTGTTTTTGGCGCATATGAAAAGGTAGATGATGAATGAAAGCACTCCGGGATACTCAGTGTTCCTTGTTGTAGATGGAGTACCCTAATGTATAGGTAGATAACACTTGTTTAATGCTTACATTTATAATTTAATAAAAGCTTCTTTTTTGTCTTGTTATTCATTGTCCGACAACAGTGATAGTATATTTTTAATACTTTTCATTCTTACTTACAGCTTATGACTTTTCACCGAGTCCAGGAAGCGAAGATAGACAACCATCCGGTGTTGGCAAAAGGAAGCAAAGAAGATACCGCACCACGTTCACGAATTTTCAATTGGAGGAGCTCGAAAGAGCGTTTCAAAAAACTCACTATCCGGACGTCTTCTTCAGGGAAGAACTGGCCTTACGTATCCAGTTAACCGAGGCCAGAGTACAGGTACCAGGAGTTTGATGAATCTACCAGGATTAAGAAATAACCCTGTGGATTAGGTATGGTTTCAGAATAGAAGAGCAAAGTGGCGGAAACAAGAGAAGCAATGTAAAGTCTCCACCCATCTTGGTTCTCATTTGCAACATGTGGAGTGTCAGGATGCTCAGCAACAACAGCAGCAGCACCATCATCAGCAACAGCAGCAACCCGATCATCTTTTCTTGGAACCACCACTAGGTAGTCCACCGCCTATTTACTTGGGTATGGAGTGGGCTGGATTTTCTCCATACAGCAGTACAGCGAGCACCTCTCCTCTTATCATTAACGGAATGAACAAACCTCCGGAACCTGAGGATAATCCTTTACTGGATCCTGATCTTCTTCAACTAAAAGCACCACGTTCCTAATAAATTCAATAAGGTGTCATCGGAAGGCGTCGCTTGTACAAGTAACTAGAAACATCCTACGAAAGCTAGGTTGAAACTCCGGGGACCAGAAGAGAAACATTGCACCAGGTGCAATATCAGTAGACATATTGTTATATAGATTTTATAAGGACGCTTTGAAAAAAGTAAATATGTTATTCGAGAAATCAATAACGGATATAGACGAAAGGGATCATCGATTGGTATAATAAATCACGGTTGGTTGGTGGACATGGAGGAAATAACAGATAAGCATATTACAATAATAACGGAGGACTATTGAGAGTTACCAATAAACGATTTCAATTTCCATAAAGAAAATTTAAAATAGTAACATCATCTTTATTCGGTGCGCATATATTACATTTCATTTAATCAATTACTTAAGATATTCATTCGGTTGATTAAGGAGCAATTAAGCGACCTAGGACAATCATCCTCGTGGTTATGCTGCTTGTTTATCTCATCGAGACATTTAGCGTTTAGCATCATCCCTCTGAATTAATTCTTCCTCTCGTTTCCTCATGATTTTTAAACGACAACGTCATCCAAACGATACGTTAACCTGGGTGCGTCTTCGAATGAAATAAATTAACATTCCACGTTGTGACTAGGTTACGCCACATAGGAATATTCATCCGCACTGTTTGGAGTACGCTCGATGTACTGTTTGTCTATAAGGGCTTCGATGCACTTTTTAATCATACCAATTGAAGGTGCAAAGGTCACCTTAGATTGGCCTAATACCTTAAAAAGAAAAATGAGGAATATACTCATAATACGTTGAATTTACGTCCTTTACCTTTGTTCACGTTATGTTATAGATATACGTACTTCCTGGACCAGTTGATTGTGTCTTAGTAGTTTTCGGCTTTTCATTATTCGCACGATTGCTGCTTGAAGGTAGAGTTTTCTATCGTCATCAACGCTACGATGAGTAGCCTCGGCGTCGTGAGGTGCGTCACGTTGTAGAGCGCCAGTTACCCTGAACTTCGTTCTCTTGTTGTAATATTCAAAATTGAGCGTGAGCACAGTCTCTTCCTCGAGTTCACCTTCAACCGACTTCTTCAGTATCTTACAGTCCACCAAGCTAGCAGCGTGTTTAACTAACTGCTCATGAGATAGTCTTAAAGATATTGCAGCATCCCTGCAGGATATCGCATCACAGTGCTCGAAGAGGAGTAATAGAGCCATCTGATAGGTTTGCACGGTTACCAGATACGGCTTTTTTAGATAGTTAAACTTGAGTTCACCCTGACATAGGTGGTGAAGCCAGGTGAGCTTGCGACCGCTAAATTGCGCGTGGTAAAAACTCTCAAATGCCTGAACACTCTTCTCCAGCTGTTGAGGTACGTGAAATGGTCCTGGGGATGGTGGTAGACCCAATGGCCATGCGCCAGCTTGTAGGACGTAAACAACAAATCCTATACCCAGTTTATTCTCTTCTTTTCGTTCACGTAGAATTGTTGTAAACTTGGCATTTAGATCCGCTGAGACCGACATGTCGGTGAACATCCTGTGTAATTTATTCGTGAACTCGTATCCGCACGCTTGCTTTAGCCTGTCTATCATGGCTTCCTCGGCATCCATAGATTGAGATTGTTGGTGTATCAAACGTTTCGCTAACATTCTCGCGTAGAACTTCTGAAAAACGTCCTTGTCGTCAACGTATTTAAATACGGTTATCGACCTGGCCAGTTTCTCTTCTATCTCACTCTCTGATGCACCCTTGGCTGACTTTTTAAGCAGGGAGTCGCAGTATTTGGCTAGCTGGTTGAGGATTTAGAAAGGTTATTGATTATATTGCGAGATATTTTAACCAATTTGACATAAACAATATTTTGTACCAGTTCTGGTGCTCGCGCTGGTTGTCTAGGTGCGGGCCTGTGATTGACAACTGCCGAACAAGCTTTATCCAGGGCGCCTATAAATGCTTGATCGCCTTTAAAAACTTCCTTTATTAGTTCTGAGTATTTTGAATGTACGTCTAGCATACTCTCGACGAACTGCGTGTGTATCTGTGTAAAATAATAATAGGTTAAGTTTGAATATTAATATGACAGCTGAGAGTTCTGAATATTCATTCGCACGTTTTCACCCTGAAGAGGTCCTATGGCTTGTAAACCCTGATGCGTGATGTGCTGAGTGAGTTTTAGTACAAGTGGTGTCAGACCGGATGGCAGTGGCCTCGATAGAGGATATAGGAGAGACAGATCTCTTCTACGTTCATTTTCTATCATTAAATCAGCTTCTGAATGTAGCCAAGCTACATGAGCTGCAACCATTTTTTCTTCGCAACATTGCCTCACCTATGGAATATTTCCGACATCGGTATATTTGTTTCTATTCATGTTTCACTAGCTATGTTTAGAATTAGTTATGGTACCTTTGGTACGGAACTTATGTGTAGGAATTTGTGGGCTCGTAACTCTTCTTGACTTAATCTCCAAGTGACTCGTTCCATATATCTAGTGACATCAGACTGCTGGAGTAACTCGGAAGCCTCTCTCGAATAAAAATTTCCACTTGCCTCTAAGAATGGTGCTTCAAACATTTCTTGGTACATCTGGAAATTCAGATTTTGAATTACAGCACCCGAAAGTATTTAGTAAAAGTTAAAAAACAAGACGGTTCTTTCTTTGAAAAAGAAACGTACATCTAGTTGCCCCTTCATTTTGTATTCCTCCACTCTAACAAAACTCTGTATCACGCCACGTATGACATCCGTGCTAGCTGATTGCGCTTCGCCTACTCTATCCGCGTATATACCTTCCAGAAGAAGGGTCACAAGAGATGTTCTAAGGGGCGCAATCATCTTGTTCTTCCAAATATCAAGACCGAGCTCGCCAATTTCCATCTGTTCTTCAAAACCAGGTGATGCTGTTGAGGACGTTCCATAGATCATCTCAGCTTCACTAAGTTTTTGCTTCTTAATGTGTTGTTGGTTAAGATAGAGATAAAGGCGGTGAACGTAATTTATTCCCTGAGAATATTCAGTCCAGGCTCTATGGTATGCCTGCAAGAGACCAGTCTCGCCTTGGGCTTGAACCTTGGTCAATAATTGTTTCACATGATTCTCCAGGAAGCACTTGGTTTCATTATAGAGCCTGTCAGCAAATGGCTCAGGATTCGCCACACATAACGAGTATACATCACTAAAAATATAACAAGTATTAGAACAACCCCTTTACATTATTTCTAATAAGAAAAATATCAACTGATCATTCCTATTCTTCCCACCTAAATCTGTCATTCCAAGTAGAACGTGGTACATCAGCTAACGTGATTACACCTTTAACAGTTTCCTGCAAGACATTCCACGTCTGCCGAAAGTCCACCTTCTTTGGTTTCAAAGACATTTCTCCTTTTTCTCTTTTCTATTTTGTAAAATTACAATGTTGGGAAAGAATGTTAATGGGCTCACAATAAGCAGTGTATAATTAACAGTGTCTCAGACCTATAAATTGTAAAGAAAATACTATTATAATCCCATAGAATACTGAATGTGCATAAACCACATTCAACATTCAACTGGCTAGTGACTCGTTTACGTTCATCCCGTCCATCTTTCAGTGGATGAATAGTAAAAAAGTGAAATTGGAGCATGAATGTTATATTTTAAGAATGTGCAGCCATCTTTATTTCGAAATATATCTAGTTGAAGACATTCACGGCACAAAATCCTTGATAATGTAATTCCGTTAATTCGCACATAACAGAAAATCAATGATTGGAAGAGAAAGTAGACATAAATTAGTATAAATAATTACAACACGTCAAGTGCAAAAGAGAAATATGTAAAATTGACAGACTAATACAGTCAGCCTTATTCTGTAACCAGAGAAAATCACAGCAGCATATGACAATACCAAAGAAAACGATCATCCTAACGCTTTGAAAGGAGCAAGAAAACAAACAATTAAAAATTATAATCTATCGAGTTTGCAAGTTCACGTATAGCCCAGCTGTTCTTTACAGAACTAACCAAAGTCTCACGTATGCGATCAAATAGGAAGCGTAAAATCCTTGTATCTAACTAATGAAATTTAGTATCCGTCGTGCTTACTGTTCTTGGATCATTTATTTTTGGGGCACCACGAGTCATTCCCCGTTGCAAAATGCATGACATTTGCAATAACTCGACTCGACCTGTAACTGCTTCTAGAACTCCTCCTGTTCCCTGATTTACTATGTTCCTATTTGTCAGCGTCGAATTTCAATGGTCAATTATCCTCCACTTCTATGACCAGTCACTGAAAATCCACACAGTAATCGAGACTCCCAGTTAATACGGATTACACCGAGAACATGCACTTGATATAAACTTCTCAATAACATTACACGGCCATTTTTTTCTCAACTTGCTGTCTTCGAGACTACAGGATGGTGGGGGTTGTTCGAGAAAAGCAGGGTTATATCGGGACGTCAAATCACCTAAAATACAATACTGAATAGACACCTTTGAAATAGGTTGTATGCATGTTGTACGTCATATTTGTTCTTTAAGACACATTTTTTCTTTTATATTGCGTTTTAGATTCTTTCTGTATTAAGATTTTCGGTTATGCCTGTGGCTAACGCTTGATTACCGACACTATTTTGGATTTATACATACATTTGGTTTCATCTTGGATCTTTCGTTTTAACTTTTAAATTCTTATAAGTAGTACTTTAATGATAAAGTAAATCAATGTGTTCGTTCAATACTTGAATTGTTTTGTTATTATCGTTATTCTAGCATCATTTGGGTTCAGTCAATTTTCTCTTAATTTTTTATCGACCACGATACGTTTACCGTGAATCGGAATTCCACTATTCAAATACTCTCTATCCTCTCTATATAAGACTCGAGTAGTTCGTGGATTGTGTCTGCGGTATTGTACGCTGTGTCTGGCTGTCCTAGGCTTTTAAAATAACATCCTCGGTAGAGTTTAGTAACTCAAAATGGTAAGAATATTAAGAATTATATATATTTTTCTCGTATCATTTTATTTCGCAATGTAATTTTTACATTTTGATATTATTATTTGTATGCTTGGGTTGATAATAATGATCTTTAGGTTATGTTAGTGTCAAACACTCTGATGACAGTGCAGGTTTTCATGAAGCAACAAATTCCTTAGTATTTTTATGAAATATAGCATACAGTTTACCTGTATTATATTTCAATATACTTTAAATTCATTTATCAGCTGTTTTACTATTTAAAATAATGAATGATAGAAATTGAATTGGTAGTACTGCTGTTCTAACTAATTTTCTTTGTTTCAGAGTATCTTGGCGTATAATGGGGGTGCGATAATTGCTATGAAGGGAAAGAATTGTGTAGCTATAGCAGCTGATCGTCGTTTTGGTATACAAGGTCAAACTATATCTTGCGATTTTCAAAAAATCTTTGAAATGGGACCTCATCTATATTTGGGTTTACCGGGGCTAAGTACAGACACACAGACTGTAATGGAAAGACTGCGCTTCAGGCTGAATTTATATGAGTTAAAAGAGAATCGAAGGATACATCCCAAGACCTTTAGTTCGATGATCTCAAATCTCTTATATGAGAAGAGATTTGGGCCATACTTTGTAGAACCTGTAGTAGCTGGTTTGGATCCAGTGACATTTGAACCATATATATGTAATATGGATCTGCTTGGTTGTCTCAACGTTCCAGTAGATTTTGTAGTAGGTGGAACCTGCTCCGAACAATTATATGGAATGTGTGAAGCTTTGTATGAAGCAGATTTGGAACCAAATGATTTGTTTGAAACCATCAGCCAGGCTCTTGTTAATGCTTGTGATCGCGATGCTATGTCTGGTTGGGGAGCCATAGTGCATGTAATGTAAGTATTGATATTTATTTATTTGTTACAAAATAACATTACATAAGATTTTATTTTTACAGAGAAAAAGACAAGGTCACTACAAGAACTGTCAAGACTCGTATGGATTAACAAATTTTTTTTTATTAAATTTTCACTGTGGATGTAATGTATCTAATAAATTGGGTTGGATACTCTATCCTTACATATAAGAATTAATAAAAATTTGTTCTTATTTTTTAAAGCCCTATGTTGAATCCTTTTATTTCAATGTCTAATATGTGGACCATTTATTTTGAAAGTGGTGTAAGTCCATTTTCTCTTGTTTCGAGAAAATTAAAGTTAGTATATCTGTCAATAATTAAGCATAAATTACGTGATATCTCATTTTTTTTAAATGGACTTACATCACTTTCAAAATAAACGGTCCATGTAGTACGCCTTATTTAAATTTCTGTAATGTACACATCAATTTGTAAAAATGGGTTACAGCGGGATCAGCTGATATTGTGTTCATATTTACGAACTGCTGGTATTACAGTGCTGTTCTTGAATTTATTATTATCGTGGCTTAGAACCGGCTGCCTTGGAAGAAATAAAAATGGCTTTAAACGCTTTGTGCAAAACACTTCAGCGTCTTGATATTACACGAAAAGGTAAATTTGAATGCGTTTATTTTTCTTTATCGACAAATAAACTGTTAACGTTCATACAAAACAATCATTCATTGATGTGTATTATATAACCTCACTTTTCTGCATATCGATCAGTATAGAATAATTGTATTCTTCCTGTTTTAGGTGGTTCAAGTTTTTCCATTTCCAAATATCATACAATGCAACAACATTCAATCACCAAAAATATAGGAGCTTTATTTATTAATACAAACGGGATAGCAAAAGATACAACCCCTTTTGAAAATGAGCTTAAATTTTCACAGAGAAGTATCAACATAGATTTTGATCTACCTACAAGAAATTGCAGGATTAGCAGCATTATAGAATTTCCCATTTCAACTAATCTACAAATTGGCGAACCACCGAAATTAAATATAATTGAAACCATTATCCCAGAGAAATCAGTCGATCTTCCTCCAATTGAAAGAAACATTGAGAAACAGGCAGCACGTCTCATAGTAATACGTAGAAAGAAGATGAAGAAGCATCAGTTGCGAAAGTTACGAAAACGCATGAGATTTGAGTGGGCCAAGGTGCGACAAAGACGTGAGCTTAAGAAGGAAAAAGCCTTTCAGGCTGAGCTCTTAGCTCAGATTGACGTTGCCGAGAAGTTTGATGCAAAGGCCTATGTTGCAAGTCGAATTCATGAACTTACTAAAGAACGATTACCAAAACGCTGGCGTGGAGAGATTCTGCCAGAGTCCATGATAAGACAATTTATACAAGAAAAAAAAGCAAGAAAGGAGGCAGTTCGTAACAGGCCACGAATAAAATTATAAACAGGCTGAGGAAGTTTCATGTAATGCACAGCTCACCACAACATTAGGATTAAATGAAGTGCGAAAAGATCAAATAAATAGAATCATGCGTGCTTCATAGACAATTTTCTTTATTTAATCTACTTGTCTTTATCTTTGTTTTCCTCTCTTCCTTTTTATTTTTACAAAAATAAGTCGCTTTTGCGCGTTCACACTTAGTATATGTACATGTACAATATCTTATAATTAGCACTGTTTTTAGAATGTCATTCAGTTTGTGACTTCATTCAAGGAGCGATATTTACAATAATCCATTAATGTATAGTAATCTATAATTAATGTACGCCTAATGTTACAAACAGTACTGTGATATGCATATGTACAATTTAACGTATTGGCGAATCGTTTGTCAAATTTTCTACAGTGACTATTGCGAAACGCGTGATACGTTACTATATTAATTCTATGATACAATAAATAAGAGCACCACACAGGTTGCGAGTCTTTCTAAAAGCAAAAAACAAAAGAAGAACATAGTCGCAGTTGACAATTTTTGTATAAATAAATACGTATAACTGTATGCTTACAACAATGTACCACGTAATTACTGTTAGCAGTAACTTTGGACGTACAATTCATGAGTAGTCCTGCTTCCGTATTAGCGACAGTCTCGAAATTAGAAATCGCACACGAATTAATCTCAATATTTCAATATTCTATCTAAAATATATGCATATATTAGCGGGTCTTTTCTTCTAAAGTTTTAGTCAATCACTAAATTGTATAGTTTTAATACCTAGCATGGCTCTTTCTAAAAAATCATTCATAGAACAGAGCATTCAGATGAGGTTCTTTTTTTTTATTTTCGTATGTCTGAAAAAAGACTACGTCAAAGTTTTCTGGCTTCTTCGGGTATCATCCTTGATTCAATTCAATCCCGTTCACCAGGGACCCCAAACGGTGGGAAGGATCATAGAAATATGATTTGCTGAGTCTTTATCCCCACCACTTAAGGCCTATTGTATCCCTACCCTTTCATTACGGTGCGGCTTGATTCTTTACCAGACAATGGTGCAGATTCAGTCGCATCTTTACCGTCCGGCTGTTTGAAACCAAACAAGCCAAAAATCACTCCGACTTAAGGCATAAAATCTGATTCTCCTATTAATTTCACTTTATCCCAAAAACGTTAGTAATAATCAAAATAAAAACATGAACCTTGATCTAATACCTGAACTTGAATCATATTAATTTCTTTGTAACATATAATCACGTTCCACGTATCGGTAACGTGCTCTGAATTTTGATATCCACTTTTCAATTTAAACATTTTTACAATTACTAACTACATCCCCATCAAGGTAGTACCTGTCCCTTTCTCACTTCTAAGACTTTAGGCTTGATCAACCGACCTGTCTTAAGATTGTTACTTCTACCAGAGAAGTAATCTTCAATCTCCTGCAGCGTTTTACCCTTAGTTTCAGGAAGACATACGTAGAAGTAGATGGTACCAACAAGGGATATACATCCGTACAGAATAAAGGTACCATGTCTTGTCAAGGAATCAGCCAGAAGAGGATACGTCTTGACCACCGTAAAGATAAAGGCGTGGGCCGACATTGTAGTTATCCCCCCGATGACACCACGTATCTGGGTAGGATATACCTCGCCGATCATTACCCAGGGTATCACAAGGAAGCCAAGGGTGCAAGTTATCGTGTAGGCGAAGATGCAGAAGATTGGTACCCAGGTCCAGGTTGCCGGAATATTGATACTCTTCCAGTATTCTAAAAGCCACATGTAACTCCCCAGGCCAACCATTGACAATCCACATCCTATGGATGAGATCAGCGTTAAAGGTCGACGTCCACATCGTCTACAGAGAATACAGGCTGCTATTGTCGAGGCGAGTCTCACTACTCCGAGGATGACAGTTGCCAGGTACTTGTCCACCGTTGCACCGGAATCTTTGATTATATCCACGGCGTAGAAGGTCAGAGCGTTCGTTCCGGACCATTGGTAGATCAGGAAGTACAGGAAAAGTAGAATAAAAGGTTTTATTGCATTGGGTTTTAATATAGCTGTCATTATCTCACGAAATCCTGTGAGTCTCTTGATATTGTTCTTGTTTGAAAAATTCACCAGGGCATCCATTTCTTTGTCCAGGTTGTAATTATTACCACGAAAACGTCTAAGGGCACTTTTAGCCTCTTGAGGCCTATCCCTAGAGATGAGGTAGGACGGCGTTTCCGGAAAGAGGAACATGAGCATCAAAGATACTAGAGGTATTATCGAACTCACTGCAGCACATATGTGCCAGGGTAGCATACTACCCAGGGCATACTCTATGAGAACCCCAGTACTGACTCCAACACTGGCCAGAGCGGTTAACATTCCTCGTAGATGAGGTTGGGTCACTTCACTGGTGTAAACGCGAGCTGGAGCACCCACCATTCCCGAACCAAGACCAACGAAGAATCTACCGGCATAGATCATCCTGATGTCCGTAGCGAATATAATTAATATCCATCCTAATAACGCCGGTACTTCCGTTACAAGAAGAGTGCATTTCCTGCCAAAAGTATCCATCATATATCCAGATAGCAGACAGCCAATAGGCGTCCCAATACTGGCCATGCTAGCTGCAAAGAAGATGTAATCGGTTAAATAAGAGCAACGTCATAAAAATACAAGGTATAAAGTAAACAGGATTTTTAACCTATAATACCTACCAATCCAAGATGCTTGAGAGTCATCGATCTTCAAGATACTATTCGTTGCTTTTAGCTGAGGAATAGCAATGGCGGAGAACCCAAAGACCATGCCAGTGTTTACTGTACCAAGTTGAGCGGCAAAGGCAGCCAGTACCTGCCTCAAAGCACTACCCCTCGCCTTTTTATCATTCTCCGGACTAGTCGGGACGATATGGACGGTATTATCATTCCATTTTGGAGCAGAGGGTACCGTCTGCGGGACTTTCGATGAGTTCACCAAGGCCCACGTCTCCTGGTTCTCTACCTTGTTTTTCCTGCAATCATAACATTCATCATTCTGAGGTGAGTCAGTTTTATCATTATGCGCCTAAATCTCATGCGTAATTTCTGTGCTCATCAATTGGACCATAAGCAGTCATCGATAAGCAGGATTGGCGTTGTCTAAAAATACATATGCTCAAACGTGAGCGCATCCGATTCTAAATTTGTCAGACATTGGCTTTGAGCCTATTCAAACAGCGTTATCACTGTCAGTATCTCTCAATCTTTATCACAATGGCGGTAGGCCAGACTTCCACGTGCAAAGAGCGCAGTTAACTTCAGAGAGTAAGTAGAAAACAGAAAATTCTAATGTCAGTGTAGTTAGCAGTCCCGCGCGAGGACGAATCTGTCAAATATTTATCAAAAATCACTGTCTTATCATTATTGTCACATGATTAAAGATTCGAAGTTGAATATTTTTGTAAATCAATTTTCAAAAAAAACTGACAAACAAACAATATCTTATCAGTCTTCTTTATGAGGGAGCGTCAGCCATGCCCGCACTACCATTTGGTAAGCTACAATTACAGTGTAGATAAGAATCAGCGAAAAGGCAGAAAGTAGTAGCACATAAGAGTACTTGAAGAAATTACATGTAACAGACCAAAAGTCATTTCTTATCAGTGATTATGTTCAATGAAAAAAAAAAGGACTGACAAACATGTCCAGTCTGCTTGTACTCGTGGAATTGATATAAGTATAATGGTGTATCTATTTTAATTAGTCTTATTAAAATTATGGCTGATTACCAATGACGCCATCATATGATAGTTTTATCATTTTAGATTCAGGTTCATTTGAGAATTTGACAAACATCTGTCTGAACTCTTTCGGTCATTTTCAATATAGGTTAGTTTCAAGTTGAATCCTATTAAATCGTGTATGTCTACACAGCCTATGTGAATCTAGTTTTTATCTAAATGTTGTATACAGCTATTATTATCTTTTCGAGCCAAGGACTGCTAACATTATTCCAGTAGCTCTGGGACGTCTCACACTCTTTGCGAGAGAGTGAACATGGTTATTAAGTAGAGGTATCTTGCTTCTAATTGTTTAGTGTTGTTACTGTCGTCATATTTATTGATAGACATAACAATTAATTGCCTCCAGTCTGTAACGTTTCAGCAGCGTTTCAAGCGATGCGATATCTTATTTGGGATCCAGTCAGACGTTACTGACAAATGCACGTGTGCGTACGACGTGTCTCATATATTTATACTGTACGGTTAATATTTTTTCTTCGGCATTGCACAGTACCGACGAAAACACGGCAATCTTTTTTTATCATTATTTTTAGCTGTAACGAACAAGACGTTGCCTTGCCCGGTTCTTTGTGTATTTGTCATAAACGTGTAATCTGCCACAAAATCTTCCATGTGAATTCTTGTCGATCGTCTATTTAGATAACTGCTTTCTTGATAGACCGTTCGAGGCAGTATGTAATTATTAGAAATATCGTTTCGTGTGTTTCTAGAAAAATTTGTCTTGTGTGGTAGTAACAATTTTGTATGGTAGTTTCCTCTCTAATAAGATTCAGGGTTAATGATTTGGGTGATAGTAACAACATGTAGATATGTAACTGCTGTATAAAAGTAAAAATGTCTAAGCAATTCTCAGCTAGTATTGTGTATCTTGTTATCAAGTAAATATTTATACCTCTGTACATAAGAATACACCTCGGTTGACCGTTGGGACTTTTCACTGCTTAGTTAACTGTATATATAGAAGACTCGAATTGGAAAGTCTTTAGATACTCAACTCTTTAACATATCTTTGTTAAATATATTTATTTTGAATTCCTGCAAACTTTTCTACGATTGCCTGTTATAGATAGACAGAAGGAATGTCGCTATAGAACGCTTGAATCGTATTTCAAACTCCCGTGATCAGCGACTAAAGGAGTTTCTAGCCAAACGAGCATCGCGTGTTCGACATTGACTCTTGTGGAATTCTTAGTAAATCGTTAGAACCGGACCGTGGGCGTTTATTTTGTGGAGGACGTTTGAATGCATCGCGACGGTGAGAGACTAGTGTAAATTTCTGGCACTAAATGTCAGGCTTATTTTGATCTGTAGGTAGGTGCGCTTATAATAGTCTAGAGCTAGTTATGTTATTGAAATAAGCTAAGTTGGAACGAATTTAAAAATGCCGCTCTTAATTCGTGTACTGATAGAGCTGTCTTGCGCTAGTTGCATCATCGAATGGTAAACAGAATTGCTTATCTACAGCAGGTAAATCTGGTCTGCATTATCACTGATAGTATATATTGAACAATGGTTTGTTTTTTTCGATACATCTGTTCCTCGTGTAGTTATTCGCTGCTCAATGTCCACGACATTGACAGGTCATCACGGACGTGAAAGAAATTTCAAATAGATGGGCGAATATTTTATCGGAGAGTTAAAAATAAGTGACATCTTTAATAATAAACTGTAGACGCAGGTAACGACTTTCTTAAATATACGGTAAAAGAGACTGTCGCGTGTTTTTTTATTTTCGTAATTTCACAAGCTGTTTTTTTATTCAAATTCGTATTCTCTGTTTGATGCAAATAGTCGGTGGTCAGTTTCTAGCTTGTTGCATTGCGATATACCACGTATATAGATCTATGTATAATTGCATATTCGTACATCCAGATGTACGCGGAACCGGGCGCGTGCCAAAGATAAAAATAAATGAATAACAAAAATCCCTTGCGTCATACTCACTCGGCCATAGCGTCTGGTCTTGACGGACAGCTCGAAGATCTCTATCTCTTCTTTGGACTTTGAAAGGGAACGAGGATGACGCGTACTGGTCAAAATGATAATGATGAAGAAGATGAAAATACGCACAGGGACAAAAAGACAGATACGAAAAGAGGAAACGTAATTAGTATGTATCACAGTTCGTTGATCACAGAGCGTCCGTTCAATATGATTTCACTTTCTTGCCCTTGCTTTTTTTCTTTGTCGTCTTAGCTCCAGTCCCTTTTTATTATTTTCTCTTCTCCTCCGACAGATTCCTTTGCTTGTACGCACGAGATCAAGGTCGAACTCGACGAGCTTGTCATTAATTGAGGTTAAGAACTTTTTTTTAATTTTCCTAATACCCGGAACGTTTTTCCAACCTTTTCTGTTTGCGTCACAGAGTGTCCCGGCGTTCACATACTTTTACGCAAATAATCGTCTTGCTGTGCCCTTTCGGTAGTATCGAGTTTATTTTTACTTCGTTAAACTTTTCCGTACACGGATACAGTCTGTAGACATTGAGATATCAATTGAATCTCCCGCCCTTCTAATTCCTCTTTCTCTATCTTGCTGCAGGTATCACAGACGTGCGCGGCGGTAAAACTAAAAATCAGCTGCTCGACACACCGCATAAACGACTAAGGACGACTTGTGTCGTTGCAAGAATAAGTCAAAACCACGTAAGGCGCCTCTCTCGCGCCCTGTCACCGCGAAGCGAATGAACACGCGCGACACTGCTCTGAGCTTTTTATATAAACCGATCTTTAGGCGGACCGAGTGGGCGGCCGTGCGAGATGACTGAGCGCGTATGGTGGTTGCGACTTGGCAGTAGTGGCCAACGACTCCTGTAGCAGACGACAATGAGAATCGCGCATTTACGGTGGCAGCACGCGCAAGGGAAAGTAAAGCTTAGCCTTTTCGCCATTCAGCCACGAACAATCATGGAAGTCTCATTTGTTAGACAATCGTCTGGCAGACAAGAACATAGGAATACGTATGCTGATTGATTCTCTGAAGAATAGGTTAGATTTTTATTTTCCACCTTGGATTTAATGGTCTTTCTAATACAGTATACTCAGTCTAGTATTACGTATGCAATTTGGAAATATCAGACAACCACAAGATTATCTCCTCGTTATTCTAGCATTCGGCTGTTAATCAATATCTGTTGGTTCAATCGGTGATAAGGGATTCTCCGCAAATAAGACTGTTTGATCGTTTCTTTTATCGCAGGACAATAACAATTTCATATCTAACAATGCCGTCGCTCGTAGACAATCTGTCACGAATTCTCTTCGTGAAAATCGCGATATCATTCGTGATACTTACGATTATTCTGGCGTCAGTATGCAACTGTTGAGAGACTAGAATTTTCAAGCGTTAGACATATATACGGCATCAAATATTCTCCTTGTTATTCCTCGAGTCTTCGAAGGAATCGAAATATTTGAACCTTATCAAATATTTATGGAGTTCTTATGCATTCGAAAATAATAGCGTTCTATTCTCGTGGATACGTTAGTTCCTTTGTTTTTATTTTCTTACGTGTAAAATTCATTATCTAAGAAAGGAGCGCTATAACTCATTGTCACGTTGTTTTCACTTTTAGATTGCCGTAATTTCCTTATCGCTGGAGTGCCTGTAAAGATCTACGTGAATCCTATCGAGATCGGCAGTATCATCATAGAAGATAAGGCATTTGAGATTCAGCGATTATTCTTAATTAAAACGATGCCCAACTTTCACACAAGCGCTCAATGGTAAAACGATAAGAGAACAAATATAGTAATATCTTTTGACGTTTGATTGCCCTCTTATCAATACAATCGTGAGTTATTAGTATTCGACTTTGATCTTCTTTCTATAATCTGTCAACCTGATTATCTCCTGTAGATTCTTATACCTAACGTGTCAAGTACATTGACGTCTATCAGCATGTGAATTGTAAAAACATTCATTCGGGTACCACGTGCTCAATGTTGTTCTCTCTACTTATTGCCTATTAGTAAGGATGCGACAATTAATCACACGTCGATGATCACAATGATATTATACGATAATAGAAGTATTAGTAGCTCTTATTGTGCATCACGAAGTTGGCAACAATGATGTAATAAGCGTATTAACTTCCAATGTACCGTACTGTCTTTGAAGAGTGTTAAACCCCCGAGATATTCATTTAATTTAATTACAACTGACGTTTATTCCCAGACGATCCCCACGCTTGTGAACCAATGCAGGTCCTATGAGGGCGCCAGCGTCGATACTCTAGACGCAAGAAGAGAGAGAGAGAAAGGGGAAAAACGATTGTTGCAAGAGATGGACGAGATCATAAGGCGTGAGATGTCCAGTACAGTAAGCGTGTTTACCCGCAAGTATAACCGGTGACTAATTAAATTTTTTCTACCGGCAAGACATACATAAGCCGCAATTGAAATTGCCTTAAATTGCTTGGAATCCATCCTGATACAGTGTAAAGCATTGGATTGAATATACCAAAGCTACAGTCGGAACTGGTACTGATGAGTCAAAAATTGTTACTATTAATTGGCTACGCAGCAATTGACCAGAGCGTTAATTAAAAGTGGGCAATGACTGTGGAGAAAAAAAGAAATTACAAAAGCCTTGAGAGACTTTTATCACGAGAGGAAGTGTGACTCGTTCCGGAAATGAATTTATCATTCGTATAGGAACTTTTAGCGTAGTAAAATTTGCTGGGTATATTTTTTTTCCTTATAGTTAAACTGGACAAACGATATTCAAATTTAAAACTTGCCCTACGTATGTTTTTGCATTGGTAGTCTGACGTGTTATGCTTATGTATGTTTCAAGTATACTCACGGCAATTCCTCTTGGGGCAGAGTACGCTGGAACGTGGAGTAGTTTCTATTCGCCATCCTGATGCTCTTCCATGCTACGGATAACTGGCGGTAAGCGTAAAACGTCAAAGAAAGTTATATACACCTTGTGAGTAGTATCTTGTGCTATCAGTTTTTCTTTTTTCTTCTTTTCTTGCAATGACACAGATGCACCCTTGCACACATTTTGCACTTTACAATACATACAATACAATAGATACAAGGAAACATCTGTGAGGGAGAACGATTGGCACTGGGTCCTGGTGAATTTTCATACGGGTGTATCTGTTAATGAAATTCGGTTCATCGTTCATCTCGTGGATTAGAAACAGAATGCAAATTTATTACCACAGGAAGAAACGTAGGAGCATGAGGTATCTCATAATTGAATAATACGAGGATTTGCGAATTTTTCGAGTTTTCTATACCGTCCGTGAGTGCGAGAGAGACACACTTATGGAATCCTAGGCGTGTGAGACAAAGACATATATACCTGGTCTGCAAAATCGTGAACCAGTATCCTATCTCGTATCACTGTAATGTCCGATCAGCACCCGTGTCTGCTATATCTTCTTCCTTCTTTTCATCCTCAAATATTTTAAACAACTTTAATCAACACTCAATCTGTAAGCAATGCGTGAACATTGAAATACAAGATCTTTTATTCTCAAATCTCATGTTAGGCAGATTGCCCGTATCGTTGAACAAACTCGAGTGCTTATTTTCTAAGATTATAATTGAACAGTCGATGGTTCATCTAAATGAAATAAGATTGGACATGGTCGTGATCGACGTATAGTGTGCTAACTGCGGCATGATATATTTTTTAGAACGGATCGAAGAACACTGGTTGAAGGATGCTGGTTAAAAACTAGTAATTAGAAGTCTTAGTAGGACTTATCCAGCAAGTAATTATTAATGGATCTCTTTCGCAACAATGTCCATCACCCACGACGTACGCGCATGTCGTCAGGTCCTAAAATACAAATCGGATAAGGATTGTACAGGAGGAAAAAAAGAGGCAAGAAAAACTGGAAATTTTTATAAAGCGACAAATTCAAATCTGTATTCATTTGGTCTTGGTTCGTTGAGTGATTACATAATCGTTTCTTTTAATGCACAGGGCATTGCAACATGTGACGCGAGACGAAGGACTTCGCGCTTGCTCACGTGAGGACACCTGTATGGAAATTTGCGTTTACGTTGACTCCTATCCAACGTAGATATCTGCCCACGTATTTTATTACGTCTTGAATGTTCAAGAGCGTGTAAATTTTACCCACACGCCATTCACCAAGTGCATTATACGCTCTTGGATATATTCGCCAACGTTTAAATGTATTCTGAGGTCGTAAGGGGTCTCGTTTCATATTCCCGCCCGTATTTGAAAATTGAAAATAGAACAGTCGCGCTTGTGGCTGTGGCTAAAAAAATTTTAAAATGCTCGCCGTTAGCCACGTAACTTGTGGACTAGGAAATTTGAGAGAAAAATACATCGAGCCTTCTTTACTGTAGTGCGTTAATCTCTCGGCCCGTCTCTTTGGGAATGTTGAAAATTTATTTTGACGTAATCGAGGGGCTCGTCGGGCATTCTAAGAAAGTAACATTCAAAGTGGGAGGATCTGGCATCTGGGGAAACAAAATAAATAGGATATATCTATAGCTTGAAGAAATTCGCCACGTGCTTTGATTGTACGCAAGATTCATTCATTTTGTTTTTTATTATTCAACGAGAGGGATTTCTCGAACGTTTTATGTCGGATGAAATATTCATGTCGCGAAAGACACCTTTATTACCTGTACGATTGTTCTTGATCGCACGATAAGGAATAAAAGAGGGATACGAAGATACTGTTAAAGATATGGAGGTTTCCATGGAAAAATTTTATTTTATTTACTCGCTTTTAATTGTTATTAACCTTATGATTATACCGAACGCTTCTTGTCTCTTGTGTATACGATAATGGCCTTTGTCAATGATAATTAATCTTATTAAATGATCTAACAAGGATCTAGGTATTGCGTTAACGCACTGTTTCCATGTACGCGACACTCTCTGTTTGTCCGGGCGCTGGATGCTCTGTGTAATTATTAAATGACGTAAACAGCATGGCGTTGAACGTTCCAGTATAGTAGAATGTTTTTGCGTAAATTAAGGATTAGCTGGATCTTTGTGAAAAACCTTGGAACGTTAGAATTCCTAGGACAAGGAATAGAATAAAAATTAAATACATAATTACCTTAGATTTTAATAATTGATTGAATTAAGGATAAACTATATGTCTAATACGTATTTATTGAACTTGTCAATTTTTCGAAATATCTCAACTCATGAGTTGTACGACATCGGTGTTCGTGTTGTGACAATTTATTTTTACTAAAGAATTTTTAAAAATCACAAGGTTGCTCAAGGATACAGTCGTAGGTCGTTACGTAAGATCAGCTTTACATTATCAGTCTCATGATGATCTTTTGTATTTAGAAAAAAAATCATATTTTGTAAAAAAAATCTACCTTTAATCTCCTTGACAATAGTCAGAGGAATCATACTGATGAGTGCAATGCTCCTTTCAATGCACCATGTTGCATGATTCATTTATCGAATTGTAATAACGTTAAAGATTATCTCTGTCATAGTTAAACATACAAAACTGTCAATTAAGGTAGAATACATTTTCGTCCAGATCCTATTATTCTTTTCGGTACATGGTGGTGGGTACTTGTGAATCATCAATTAACGCTATATTACGCTAATGCCACGACACGAAATATAAACTTGCGTGCATTAATTTGGTAAGTAGTTTGATTACAAGAGATACCGAAATGACTTTGAAGTACATTGTCAAAAGTCGAATTTATTATATTTGTATATTTCATTGGTCATGATATCACATGTTAATTGACTTAATTAACAATTGAACATAATAAAGGCTGGAGTTGGTCAGTGAGTAATATTACATTATACTAAAATTTGACATTACGCAAGGTTACTTTTACAAGTTAAATTTTACTTCCGACATTCAACCATCTGTTCATTTTTTTTTAGATTACATGTCACGGCCACGTTTCCCATATTAAGATTCATATGCTGTATATCCATATTCATATTATTTAATATTGGAACGAAAACCTACAGAGCTTTTTTTTTGTCTGCTAGATAAAATTCACTGTACTAAAATCTACTATCAACGTAATTCACTCCTTATCTGATCTATTCCAGTGGAGTATACGTGGTGAAGCATGTATGCTTTGAAAAAGGAGAGATTGCCCATAAAAGTCAATAACCTCAAGATAAACACTTTCGTTAGTTTTAATATTGTAATGTGATGTACGATTCGTTAATATTTATTATACGATCATGGTGGTGGCATGGTCGTGATGTCTTGTTCCGATAACGATTCGATTGATTGCGACACTGACCGAATGGCGGTTAAGAGGGAGAATGTAAAAATTAAAAGTGAGATGACAGACATAGATCTAATTGATGGCAGACGTGAGGACTGTGTAAAGAAAAGTCTGCCACTTTGTGGTTAGAAGTGTGAGTGTATGAGAGAGAGAGAGAGAGAGAGAGAGAGAGAGAGAGAGAGAGAGAGAGAAATACGATCGTATATGCCATGCGTTAAGAATTTTAATTTTAGAATTCTCGTTATTCGGTCGTTAGTGATTTGCTAGTATTTTTACGATTCAAATATTGGCGCTACAAATATGCACAGGTTCACGTGAGACATTAGGACTTTACTGCTAAAAGAAATGTTTTCAGAGTTTAGATGTTACACCATATGTCATATTTTGCGGGAAGTTGAGTATTATTTTTGGTAATTGATGTTATATTTGTTTTTAAATTTAATTATCACGTACAGATTGTTTATTAAGCATTTAATTGAATCTTATGCGAATAACAGTTAATGGCTCATTACGGGTATTGAAAATAAAAATCGTATAGTGACTCCTTGAAAAATCGAATGACGGACGCGCTCGATACATGTGAATTATTTCGACATTTTCGGACGGACAACGACGTCGTCGAGACGCCGTCTTGACGACGTGCGTCATACAAGCATGGGAAGGGGTATTATTTATAACCTATCGGTTAAATAACCAGGTAACCACTGAACATTTACCAATTTGCCAAGCCATATTTGCCAAGCCATATTTGCCATTTAGTTTAAATTTGCTGATTTCGCGGGCAAATGTCAAAATCAAACCGTTGACATTCGGTAATGTAATATTCGATAAATCGAATTGTATACATATCATAGATCGATATGTTCAGTCACATGATGTAGTATCCAACAAATCGTATGTACCCTAAATACGTGCATAAAATGTGAGTCCCAATTTGCTTTACTATTAAATTTAAGCGTACCTCAAAGGCCCACTCTAAGCTCCTATTTAATTGCGTAATGTACGCGTGTGATTAAAAAATTTAAACATTTTTTCAACGACCTCGGCCTCAAAGATTGCCCTCTGACGAATTCATACCATTTGGAAGGACAATCGGATAAAAACTGTGTTAAGGACAGTGTCACGTGAGTTTGCCATTTTTGTGAAGCTGGCTTAACGATTATCATTTCAATAATTAACGTTTTCTGATATAACGTTTTTATTCCACCACCAGCCAACAATGTCATTTTGACTTACCCGCCAATCTGCTTACCTGTTTACCAGAGACAATTGGTAACGTGACAATCATGCGGGGCACTAATGCATATTTCATACGTAAACAGGCCTAGATGAGCATAAAACAATTAGAACGTTGAAAAATTAGTAAAAAAAAGATATATCTAAGACTAAAACGAAAGAATTCGTTCAAAGTTGCCGGGCATAATCTCTCAATGTCGAGCAGCTTCACGAATTAGCAGTGACGTCATAGGAGATCAACGAAAGCCGTGCTTTGCATTGATTACTCGTGCTCGTCACCGAGCGCCCTGTTTGTTATCGGAAGTCGATTAATTATTTGTCCCATAATCGCGGCACGACTTAGCAATGTGACCAGTAGCGCATGTGACTGCCAAGTCATATGACTGGACTAGATAGTGTAATCAGAACGTGTTTTACATGGACTTCATAGGCTGCTGTATAAAGATTGTGTCCTCCTTCTTCTCGTTCTCCTCCTTCTCCTCCAGATTCAAATTCTACATCCTAAACCTTCTCCATCTCATTCTATTGCTCACCCTCGTCCTCTTCTTTCTCTTTTTCCTCTATATCGAATCCCGCAGAGGTTATCGGTGTAGCGTAACGAGTATAATCTATAAAAATTGACGTAAGTATACGAACGCATTCTTATGAATTTGGTATACTTAAGGTGGGAGTTTTAGCTGATTGAAAAGTAACATATCTCGTTAGACAACCGAGTATAATTGGTAACAATTGGTTGACTGCTAATGGGTTGACAGTAATTTGTAAATTGATTAGATAAATTATACGTAACTTGTACTATAAATTCTTAGCTAAAATTTATTATCCAAATAGAGCATATGGTGTTAACTGTGTAGCTTCTTAGTTTTCCGGGTAGAAAGCGTTTATTTTTTGCTTTCGACAGTTGGCATTCTTCGATACAGCTGACAGGCGGTTGGAATTTCACAAAGTTGTTGCTTCTCTTGAATTCGTTTCAATTGGATACGATTAAGGGAATTGATATGATAAAACAATTTTCTCTCTTTCTTTTTACCTTTTCAAAGTATACCTCAATATTACACAATCGTTTGTCAAATTTTACTCCGTCATTATCTACCTCATTTGATTCTTCAATAACAAGATGACTCCCTATATAACTGAATTCCATTGACCTCGTAATCAAAGTGAACAAATTAATTACGAACCGTTAAGAGTGAACAAACATTAAAAATACAAAGTATGGTTGTGCTAGGAAAAATATTGTTTACTTATTTACTGGCAACACTCAGCCTGCTGCCTCTAGCTCTTATGACACGTATCACTCTTACGTACTGTGTGTGCATATGCGTAATTTTAATTTCATCGCGTCAAAAATTAATTTGAATCCGCCTGTCTTTGTTTCCGTAATTTTGCATGAGTCGCCTAACTAAATGGCTGCTTTGTTTGTCATGCAAAAGACACGCCTTCTCATGCCTATGCACGTGACAGCCACGTGGTCGAGGCATGTGCGTTTTCCACGCAAGTATACACACTCCATGTATACTTGGTATAATAAAATATATGCAAGCTGCTCCAACCAATTAACATACACCAATGTAAAGTAGCGGAATTTATTCCTTTGCTAAATATAGTACTCTTATCTGTTTTTAAACTTGTTTCGCAGGTTCCGTTATTCAATATGGTGGAAAAACAACGTGCACATTCGAAGATACCTTTGAGGACACTGCTGCAAGGAAGATTGATTATATATGATTACCACGAGGATTGATTGATTTGCGTAAATGAAGACCAGGGTTGATGTAGACATTAATCACTATCTCAAAAAAACATTACTTGACCCAGTGACAGATTCATATGCTCCAATTAATTCCAGTATAAATACTGGTACACATTGTATACAAGGTATAGAGTATATACACTTTAATAGAAATTTAGTAGAAGGATTATGGGTTTGTTTAGGGATGCAGGACATTGAAATTTTTGTTATTTTCACTCTGATCTTGGTCGTTGCAGCAGCTGTGAGATTTTTTGTCTTGTACACTGATGCTTACTTTGCAGCACGATTTTGGCTGTTTCTAGATCCTCGTGCAGGTCTGTGAATATATTTTGGATATTTTCCAATTAAAGTTGGCTTTCAAGTATCATTGGCATCTCTGTGTACACCTTGCATCAGAGGGAATTTATACCAATGCTCAAGCAGCCAATAGCAAGCCTTGGTTGATTATTTTTTGGATTCAACTGATAGACGGACCTGGTCTGTCGCTGCTGCGCAATTTCGTTTACGTTCAGTTCTATCCCATTCAGCGATCTGGGATGTCATCAGATAATATAGCGTTTGGAAATTTCGAAAAAAGTGACGCCTGGTACAGCATTGCTAGTCTATTTCCGGTAATTGAAAAAAAAAGTATTGATCATGCGTTACGGTTTCTATTAATGTTATTTCTTTTTTTTTTAGTGTGTGGCTGATGAAATTAATTTTGCTTGACTGATCGATATTCGCCATGTCAGTTTCCTTTTCTAAATGTATCTACGTGTCTGAAGATTTGTCTTGCATCTCTCAGTTCATCGTTTTACATCTTTATGTCATTGCCGTCGCCGCATGTGGACGCAACTTGTGGAACGCGAACGAATTACTGGGAATTTAAATCGCGACTGTACTGTGTGTGTCTTCTACATAAATAATGGAAAGCTGTTACGTGCGCCTTGACACTAGTGAGTCAAGTAGCAGCGGCGCACATGAGTAAAACTCAATGAGAACGCGAGCGTCGGGACGCTTACTTTTTTTTTCATCGTCAGTGGCGCACTCTGTGAGGAGGAGTTCGAAGGCTGTACCAATGGCGGGAAAAATATCAACAATCACTCAGTAATTTATTTATTATTTGTACATTTGTAAGCAACTTACAATAAGTTATTAGTTTATAATTTAATTTTAATTGATTTGATTATTCGATGTTTTACGATTGGTAGGTTGCTTTGATTAATTGGATTTTGATGCATGTGCGAGGGGTAGATTATTTAATTCAGAATAATTGAAATGATGTTTAGATGTGACGCGTGATACGAGGCGACACGTTCCACTTTCTCACGTGTCACGGGCACGATTGTATACAATTGAAGCCCAAATAGTTTTACTTGTATCCATTGGAGGGTTTCGCATCCATGAAAATTGAATTTAGGCGATTAAACGTAAATGCTTTTTAAGGTCAATGCAGACCCTTCTTTACTGTCATTCAGTCTTCAAGAGTCTGCGGGAAATAATGGATTTCACTCACAAACGTATACATAAGATTTTATCCTCTATCCTTAAACCGCTGGAGGCAATCCCCGCCGACAACAATAATAGAGAAAAGTGTTTCCGCGGATTTCGTAATTGATAGCAAACACCTGATAAGAATAATGGAAATGAAATAAAATAGTTTATTAATGTCAAAGTAAAATTTCTATATCTACATTTATAATATGTATTATTCGGTAGTCTTTCGAACAATAGTATTATTTTTGCTTCTATAAACAAATATTGCTTTGAGCAAATCTGATCTTATTGAAACAATAAAGATGAAATGTAGTACCTAACAGTGTCAATTGATTGACGATAAAATGAATCGTGTGACGTCGGATAATATTAAATGTAAGTCAAATTGTTACATCACGAAATTGAACGTAATTGAGAATTTATTAGATGAGAATGTTGAACGTTTAAATTCCTCAGAGGCCCAGTCAATTGACGTGAGTCTTTAGTATTATTTTTGTGAAAAATTCTGTAGTATTTATCATGGTATTGCTAGGTGACTCTATATATTAAGTAACAGATTTATGTTATTGCAGCAGGAACATGAGGGCAAAACTGTTCACAAGAAGGAGGATCAAGGTGACCAAATGCCATCTGAAGAATCTACTAACTATTGGTCTAACTGCGACACATCCATATGGATGAGATCTTGTGAACATGAAGTGATAGTACCAATTTCTGGTGAAGTTATTGGCACTGTACCAAAATGGCTTTGCGGTATCTTGTTAAGAAATGGTCCTGGCAGTCTTAAAGTAGGTGAATACAGATTTGATCACCTTTTCGACAGCTCTGCTCTACTGCATAAGTAAGTAATTAGTTAAGGAAGGTACTCTGATTATGATACAAGTAATAGATTGGAGAGAATTTGATTAGATTTCAAATAAAAAATGGTTGTATCACATACCAAAGACGTTTCGTAGAGACCAATGTGTACAAAAGGAACCAGGCAGCTCAGAGAATAGTGTTCACAGAATTTGGTACCAAAGCAGTGCCGGATCCTTGTCAGAGTATTTTTCAAAGGTACAGTTCCTTTTAAAGAATATCTATTTATGATACAGATTAATTCTATTATTTTTCATTATTCTTTTATACAATAAATAGAGTGGCTGCTGTTTTCAATCTCTCCGAATCGCTATCAGATAATGCCATGATATCTGTATATCCATATGGAGATGAGTACTATACGTTCGCAGAGTCTCCAATAATGCACCGAGTGGATCCAAACACTTTGGAAACTTTGGATAGAGTTAATATTTCCGATTATGTTGGTATAATCAATCATACCTCTCACCCTCTGGTGATGACCGATGGGACAGTCTATAATTTGGGAATGAGTATAACAACTCGTGGTCCAGCTTATAACGTAGTGTGTTTCCTGCCAAGTCGTTTGACTATAGGTAGATAGTCTTATTTTTTAATTAACAAATCACTCGGTCCATTAATTATAATGCAACGCATAAGAGATTTATGAATATATCTATAGACGATTCTGGAGAAGAGAAAGAACTGTCCATGTTCGATCAAGCTACCATAGTAGCTACGGTTCCCTCAAGATGGATATTGAATCCTTCGTACATGCATACTTTTGGGATAACGGAAAATTATTTTATCATTATCGAACAACCATTAGCTGTAGCTTTGATTTCGATGGTAGCTTGTCAAATTAAAAATGAACCTATGTGCACCTGCTTAAAGTGGCATGAGAACGAGAACGTGAGTAACAAGTCAATTATCTAATTTACCCTATAGACTTTATTTTTTAATGTTATTCTTCTGTATTTCAGACATTGATACACGTCATCTCCAGAGAAAATGGACGAGTGGAGAGAACTTTTGTGGCAGAGGCCTTTTTCTTTCTGCATATAATTAATCAATTTGAGACCAGAGACAGGGAATATATTGTACTGGATGTTTGCTGCTATAGAGATGCTAAAATGTTAGATTGCATGTACGTCGATGTGATGCAGGTAAACTTTAATATGATTAAAGTCCAATTAGTATAATAATATTTAATTGCTTTTCATTATTAAAGATATATTTTTATTCTTAGAACATGCACAAGAATCCTGACTATTCTAAGTTATTCCGAGGAAGGCCATTACGTTTCGTGCTGCCAATGAAAAGACCCAGTGCGGAAATACCAACGGAACATAACTTAATAACAGTGAAAACTGTCAATCAGAGTCTGGAACTTTTTGAGGACCCAATTGTCCAAGACGACTGTAAGAGAAATGATGCTGATGACAAGAGATCCGAGTATTCGAGTGTTTTGGAGAAGAAAGCTTCCGCTCATAGACTTCCGGATGGTAGCATATTTGTGCGTCCTGAATTACTTTGTGATTTGGGATGCGAAACTCCTAGATTAAATTCTGACTTCTATCTTGGCAGGGAGTACAGATATTTCTATGCGATATCTAGCGACGTCGATTTAGAGAACCCTGGCACGGTAAGACACGTTTAATTAAATTAATAATCCATTAAAGGGAATTAATAATCATTAATGTTACTTACATCTTTTACAGATTATCAAGGTAGACACTATAAAGAAGACTAGAAAGACTTGGGCTGAGAAAGGTGTTTATCCGAGCGAGCCTATTTTTGTACCTGATCCAAATGGAAAGGTAAATTTTTATTTATTGTAGTATAACTCATGCATATTGTTAACTACGGATTCTTTTAGAAATGACTTAGCAAATGTATTTTATTTTAATTTTAATTCTGTTATAGAATGAGGATGACGGAGTTGTACTGAGTGCTTTGGTCTGGGGCGAAGGACGGGAAACGGAAGTTGGTCTGTTGATCTTGGATGCAGTTACTTTCGAAGAAATTGCACGCGCAACTTTTGTTACGCCTGGTCCAGTACCGAAGTGCTTACATGGCTGGTTTACGCTACAGAAGTGAATATTGATTGTAATGTATTAGGCAGTGTTTTGAAACTATTTTAATGGAATAAATTGTATTCTTTATTTACCTGTGCATTACGTTTATACTATATTAACATACATTCTTGCTTTAAGGATGCGTAATTCCATTTTAATACCTTGTCAAAATTTCCCAAAAAATATGAGTAAATTTCTGAATTGGCGCGTTTATATATGTATAGGTAGGTAGTGTAGTGCGTGAAAGGACATTTTTTCTGCGCAGACTCGGACTTCCCACTCTAAGCCGGTCCCGCTCAGGCGCGCTGACTGTGCTGCGGCTCATTACCGCTCCAGGCACGGCACGGTGATTGTCGTTTGTGGCGCCATGAGTGCCTCGGTGAGTATACCCAGGCTTGAGTGGCGTAGTGGGGAAGTCAGGGTGGCACTGGAACTGGAGTTCCAGTTGTGCGTTGCGATGGTACGTCATAACCGAACTTCTTCCTGCTGGCTGGTTTACTTGCAGTGTTTAACGTGGTTCGGTTTAGCTATGGTTCAATTTACTAGTCGGCGTTGAGATCCTGAAAGAGGGGCATTCTAGTTTTGGTTAAAATCATTGGTGAAGCCACGTTAAGCATTGCACGTGAACCAGGCACGTGTCGTTCAGGCTTTCGCTCACTATTTCATTCGCTGTGCCGCTCAACTCCGCTCATTGTGAGGCTCAGTGTCACTCGGCACTCAGCATCACGGAGAGTGACTCCAATTCTGAGTGGCTCGGTGAGGAAGCCAGAGAGATAGTGGGACTTGAGTTCCGGTTCTGCATTTCTGACATTCCGTCATAACTCGTGTAGAACTGAACTCCTGGGACAGTGGTTCCACAGTTCTGCTTTACATGATTTATGTCGCTATGTCATAGTGTAGAATTAGGACTTGAGTCGCCATTCAAACTACCCTCGGGTGTCTTCACTGGATCCTCAGGACTTAGAAGTGGACCTGAGTGGTGCAGTGAACGGTAAAGCGGGAGGACCTGAGCGACCCTGGAAAGAGTTCAGCTACGATGCAACATCGTGATGCAAAAATGGAATTCCAGATGTACAGTGCCTTCTGGCATTTCTCACTATGCTGCTTAGGTTTGGAGATGTTCATCGAGTAGCTCAGAGCCACGAGGGAGACAGTGCCGGTGCCCATGCAGTGAGCGGGAACAGAAGGAGAAGCTGGAATGTAACAGTCGTTCGCAGAAATCGATGGAACCTGTGCCCCTGGTTACGCCTTGTCGCTCGCAACTCTAGCAGCAACGGCGTCCCAGCAGAGAAAGACTCAGTGAACGAGAACCAAGCCAGAGCGATAAACTGTTCATTGTCACGACCAAGTCGAAATCAAAGTTTAACTGGTAGAGCAAAGAAGCTCCCGACAAGTAAGAATGACAGATTGATTTTAAATTTTGCGAGAAACTTCAAACTCAAACTCTACTTAAAAAACTGGAAGTTACGTTATGCTACAATACTAGTCTTCTCGCTCAACCAATTAGATTTAGATTCACTCACTGTGATGCTGAGTGCTATGAGCAACACAGATGCACAGTGAGTGGACTAGAGCGTCACAGAGAACAGAACAGTGAGAAAACCAGAGCAGCATCTGCCAGATCTACGCGCAATGTTTCACGTGGCATAATCAACAACTTTAATGATGACTACAATACTCTCAGAGACTTTAAGTCCGACTAATAAACGAAACTGAAACTAAACCGAACCACGTTAAACACCCTGAGTAAGTCAGGCAATTGGAACAGGTTCAGTTATGACATAACATTGGAGATGCATGTCACAAGTGAAACAAGCTCCACTGTCACTCCCGCCTGCTCACAGTATCGCTCAAACTTAGCTTGCCCAACGTGAATCGCTCAACGTGCTGTGATCGATCCGAAGCCTGCCGCGTTGCGAGCAACAATGATCCGGAGCGCTGGCGTGCCGAACTTTCAGGAGCGACGCATGCGCAGCAGCGACTTTACTTCTGGCGCCATAACTTACTGTGTTGACTTTATTACTTCTTGGGATCCATTCTGTTTGTACTGCTGTGTACTGTGGGTTGTATGTTGGAGTTTTTCAAATTAATATTTTAATAATACACTGTCTTTAATGGAAAAAGTTTTAAAATACAATGCGCAAGTGTTCACAAACCCGGAAGCTGAGTGTCTTGTTTTGTACTACTTATGAATATACAATTGAGATAATGTTTGTAGATCTTTATTTATGGCGTTGAACAGAAAATTACAGAATGTATTTAGAGATATTTATATGTAAACACTTGTTCAATTGCCTTTTTCTTCCTCTATGCGTTATATCCAAGCGGATGAAATTACATAATACGGAATGAGAACGGATGAAGATTTGAACACGCCTGCAGATATGCGTACCGTCATGCATGGGAGTATGAAGTGTGCATTTTAAATTGAGGAAGTTCCACCTAATCTTAGAGATGACGTTACATATATTTTATATTATTTGGCGGATTTTTACGAGATCTATTTTATCGGCGATCAACACTGACACGATGGTATTATAAACAGTGAAAAGTTTCAGGAATCGCTGAACAGATGGTGCTGAGAACGCTGCATCCGCAGCGCCGCGTAGTGGCATACTTTAAAACGCGTTAGCAAGGCGTCAAGGTGTTCTTTCGTTTTCTGGCAACGCTTAAAGATGGCTCCGGTAAGTTTGATCTGCAACAAAAATTTGGAAAAAGCATAAAGTCTTTTATTTTATATAAAGATATTAGTGCAAAAGTGACCATTGTCGTTCTTTACTTATGATTTGTGATTCATTATATCTAAGTTTATTAAGATGTGCTATAGCTAAGTGGATTCTGTTACACGTTTCTTGGCCAACAGATGATCCCTCATTGGGACTTCACATGTGTCACTTTCAAAGGCATCACTGAAATTGGAATATATTCTTCTATTTTATTGAAATGATTCTACTTTCAGCAGGTCCCTGTGAAGAAAGCCAAGCCACAAACTGGCAAGAAGCAGCATCTTCGTGGCAAAGGCCAAAAGAAGAAAGCTTCCCTGAAGTTCACTATTGACTGCACTCATCCTGTTGAAGACAATATTATGGATGTTGCAAACTTTGTAAGTCCCTAAGGATATATTAATATTTCACAGTCGGCTTTTTCGCAGATAGTTGGTTATTTCAATGTAACAGTATCAATATTTGAAATGATATACTCTTAACATATTTCTTTTTCCAGGAAAAATACCTTCAGGAGCACATAAAAGTTAATGGCAAAACCAACAACTTTAGCAATAACGTTGTCTTGGAACGTAATAAAATGAAGTTGTCTGTAAACAGTGATATTGACTTTTCTAAACGGTGAGTTATTGTCCTTGTTGTGTGATTATTATTGTTTTGCTCCTTGCTTGTGCAATGTGACATAAAGAGACACAAGGATCGAAACAATGATTTTATTATTAATATAAGGCAAATAGATATTATTCTCTGATACAGATACTGCATAAACTACGACTGATAATGCAGTGAAACAATAAGCAATTGGAGTACCGATATTTGCACTAATTCAGTACATTCATTTTTATAGGTACCTCAAGTACTTGACAAAGAAGTACCTGAAGAAGAACAAGCTCCGTGACTGGCTGCGGGTTGTTTCTAAAGATAAAGACACATACGAGTTGCGTTACTTCCAGATTAACAGTCAGGAAGATGACGACGAGGAAGACGCAGAGTAATTTAATGCAAAAATCATTTTTACTCTATCGATGACATTACAAAGAAACATCTGTACATACGTTATGTCAATAAATGATCATCGATCAAAAACAACTCTACCGATTTATTTATGCTATCAATAATAATCATAATATCAAAGCGAATAACAAGGGAAAAAAACGGTAAACTGATTTCACATCAAATAAAATGATTACAGTACACCAAATAAAATGATCTAACAACTATCAGTAAAGATATTTAGAGAACATCAAGTAGCAAAACTCTATTAAAGTTCCTATGAAACAACAAAAAATTGCTCAATCCTGACAAACAAAAAGAATCCCTGAATAACAATAAATGATCGTATAACGATGCGTCACGTAGGCGTAACAATACAGTTGTTCCAAGTCCATTTACATCACACAAGAGTTTCCTAACCAAAAATTCAGTATTAAAACTGCAAAACATTTCAAGAATTAATAAAAGTAAATCAATCTATTTAGGGTTTTTCAAATATTTCCAACAACCTACGAGTTTCCCCTAATAATAAGAAATAAATAAAACTATGCCGAAAGTGTAATTGCAGAAGCAGGGACTACTTTTCTACCGCGCAAGATACCAACCGCAGTGCGCAAATCTCCGAGCCTGACGCACGGCGATTGTTGTGACAGAAGTGACTGCTAGAAGGAAAGTGTATCTTGGCCCGTCCTCGTTGACGAGCATTAAAGAAAAATCTACAAAGAGAATTCACGTCACCGGTCGAGCACTAGTGGCCGACTGGCGATATAACAATATCACGATGAAGTTTCAATATAAAGAAGAGAATCCATTCGAGAAGCGTAAAACCGAAGGTGAGAAGATACGTCGAAAGTATCCGGATCGAGTACCCGTAAGTAAATCGTATAAACGACGTTATGTAAATGCTTTGTTGTATAGCTTGTATACCACTGGATATATTTATATTCATATCTATTGATGATTCAAATCCCCTAGGGATTAACGATTAAAGAGAAGGGAAAATTAAACATTTTCTTTCTAGTTCATCAGCAGTTGGTGAAATGGGCGACATTTTTTTTATTCTGGAAATCGTTCAAGGTCGTTTACTGGCCGTTGCACTAAGAGGCCTTTACGCTTTTTGCGTCGTAGATTCTATTGACTCCGATTCTTTCTTTGAGATTTTAGTTGGGATTTATTGTCTTCTAGATGCTTGGAGATATGATATGGTTCTATGGTTTCTTTGCCTTTTTTTTTAGCTACAAGGATCACTGACTGTACTGTGCTGCAGTTCAACACAGCGAATATTGATCTTGTGCAACGCCCAGATTATTACGTGATATAGTACACTAGTAACCTTACATGGTTGACTTGCTGTTTAATGGATGGTCAGCTTTAATACTCTTGTTAGGATATATTGTAGAATGATGGTTGTTAAACTACAAGTGAATCAATGGAAAGAATGAAGTTCAGATTTTGAACTACATGATTCAGCAAGTAGAGAAATTGGTAATTTTGTAGTAGTGAAATAATTTTCATTGAGAGTAATATATTGCGTGTATTAGATAAAGATGACGAATAGAGGAAATATAATAGATAAGAAGTCTGTTATTAGAAGATATGATTTGTAAGAGTTCAAGTTGAAAAACAACTGATTGTTAGAATGCTTTGAATACTGTCTGATCAAGCTTTCTTTTGTTTTCTGTTTCAAGGTGATCGTAGAGAAGGCACCTAAGGCCAGGATTAGTGATTTGGATAAACAGAAGTATCTTGTGCCATCTGATCTAACAGTGGGTCAGTTCTACTTTCTGATTCGCAAACGAATTCATTTGCGCCCCGAGGATGCTCTGTTTTTCTTTGTGAACAATATTATTCCACCCACAAGCGCCACTATGGGATCCCTCTACCAGGTAAGCAAACTTATATGGAACTACCCATGCAAGAAACAGTTACTACCTTGTCTTCTAATAGCAGAATACTCTGATGTTAGAGAGATCAGAAGTTAGATTAAATGCAAGTAAAAACAAGGAAAGAGAGTTCTATTACCTACTTTTGTTCTTTTTGTTCCATGTTCCTAGGAGCATCACGAAGAGGACTTCTTCCTCTACATAGCGTACAGCGACGAGAACGTGTACGGCAGCAACTAGGATTCAAACAGAAATCAAGCTACAAGATTAAACAACAAAAAGTAATGCAAAATAAACCCATAACAAGAAAGAATGAAAAAGTGTAATAACAAAAAAAAACTCAAATTATCAAGCAGAAAAACAGTACCCGCTCTCGACATCTTTAAGTGACCAGAATACCAACGCAATACGGCCATTATCGTTCACGTGTGTAGTCCATACATTATAGGCGCTTATCAAAGATGCAAAATGATAATATAGGAACAGAGGAATGTGAGGAAGCAACTGGAACAAAAGGAGGGTAAGGAAGAGAAGAAAAACAGCAGCAGTACCAACAATGGAATACACTCGAAACATAGCAAACGACCTCGACGAAAAACATCTTAAGTGCAATTTATGATCCGTTTCCTGAAGAAAATGAACCTTTGTTTGGTCATTACAGTCTCTTGGCTGTATAAGTAAACTTCGAGAAGCCCAAGAATCGATTGTATATGGCTCTAGATTCATGTTCTTGGATTTCGGCGACCATCCCAACGCCGGCCACATCGTACACGTCGATGCCGCGTTTCTGGCGTTCGCACAAATTCAAGTTCACGATTTCAACGTAGAAGCGAGAAGCGTCGTTGAGACGATTTTCACTTTGATTTCTCATTGACGCGATTTAGGCATTACTCGTGTGGCTTTCTGTTCTCCATATCAGTGGTGACTCTAATACCAGTATCCAATTGCTGGTAGTAGTTTCTGGCACTATAATGATTCGACGTTCCTTAAAAAAAATCACATGTGGTTTGTCTGGTAATTTTCGAAGTTTTTGTTTTTTTTTCACATGTAAAACATCCAATAAATTGAATTTAACAAAGGGGCGACCGTTTGGTAACGAAAGGAAGAGAAAAAGAAGAAGAATGGACGCCCATGGAATTCTCTATGTGATATAATATATCATTTCTTTTCATTTAGGCTAGCGTTATTATATTGTATTTACGTGACTTAGCGTTCTTCGACTAAGGGGTGGAAGCAAGAGATGGTTATTGATACAGAAAGAGATAAGGGTGATAAGGAATAAGAAAACAAAGGATATGTGAAGCGAGAGAGTCGAGAAATGCGAGTGAGTTTTGCGGTGTATATGGGAAAAGTGGTGAAATGAGAAAATTTTCTGTAACGGCTGGATGTGGGCCAATAAAAAAAGATGAAAAAGTACAAAAAAAGCCAAAGTAAATTTTATACGTTTTACCTTTCTTTCTAGTCATCTACCTTGTTATCCGTATTATGCTGTACTAAGATTTAGGTCAAGCTTGTTAATTTTTAAATTGTTTTTCCCAAGCAGTTGAACTTCCACGATCAGGTAACTATTATTCACTGATTAGTGTTCTTTCGAACGCTCTGAGGACTTTGTTCAGTTTTTTCCTGATCTCTTGGTTACCTTTAAAATGATAAATGACACTAGTGACACCAGAAATGACACTGTTGAACACAATGCGACCTTCACGAAACTTATCAGTTCGGTCTACAATTTGAATCAGGAAGACAGTAATTGGATAGTGACAAATTCCTTTATAATATTTACTATGCAAACGGGTTTTGGGATGCTGGAATCAGGATGTGTTTCCTTGAAGAATGAGGTGAACATCATGATGAAAAATGTGGTGGATATCGTCCTTGGTGGCTTGACATACTGGATGTTTGGGTTTGGTATGAGCTTTGGTAGAAGCGAGTTTACCAACCCATTTATTGGCCTAGGAGATTTTTTGATTGATCCAACAATCGAAGATGAATTTATGGGTCCTGAATGTGCTGCATTTCTGTTCCAATTGAGTTTTGCTACCACTGCTACCACCATTGTCAGTGGAGCTATGGCTGAGCGGTACAAGATTTGAGTTGAATAAATAATTATTGACTTTGTTTTACCTCTTTTATAAAATTTAAACGATTCTTATAGATGCAATTTCAAGGCTTACTGTCTCTTTTCCTTTCTCAATACTATCGTTTACTGTGTACCGGCTGGCTGGGTCTGGGGTGATCACGGTTTTCTGAAGAGGATGGGCGCAGTGGATATAGCAGGTTCTGGAACAGTGCATCTAGTTGGTGGTACCTCTGGTAAGACAGATAAGAGTAATGCCGTAAAGATTATCATTAACTAAGTCTCTTCAAAAAATAGCTCTAGCCTGTGCCATGATGCTTGGTCCACGTTTAGGTCGCTACGATAATGGAATAGATCAGCTACCTCTTGGTTGTCCTGTGAACGCTATCATGGGACTCTTTGTTTTATGGTAAAGATCAAACGAAGCTCTGAACTTACCTGGAACTACGTTATCACTTCAATTTACAGGTGGGGATGGTTAGCTTTCAATAGTGGGAGTACATACGGTGTTAGTGGACAACGTTGGAAATATGCTGCTAGGGCAGCGGTATCCACTATGTTGAGTAGCATGGGTGGTGGTCTGATCGGCTTGGGGTTTAGTCTGGCAAATCCTAAAAGAATTGATATTCTTAGTCAAATTAATGGAATACTCGGTGCCCTGGTGTCTGTTACAGGTATTGCACAGAACGCTGAATAATTAAATAGACATACAATTATTATAAATATTTTCAAGGGGGTTGCTTCCTGTATCAAGCTTGGGAAGCTCTGATTGTAGGAATAATAGGGGCTCTTATATCTTGCACAGTAATGCCAGCTTTGGATAGGGTTGGTATAGATGATCCTGTTGGTGCCTCAGCTGTTCATGGTACTTATGGATTTACAGTAGAAAAAAAAATATATAATTTGATACTGTTATTATATAACAATTCATTTAGGTGCCTGTGGCATGTGGGGTGTTTTAGCTATTGGATTCTTTGCGGATAATCCATATCCATTGTCAATTACCAGTGGACGAAAAGGATTGTTTAAAGGTCTTATTTTAAAATTGTTAATTCTTGTTATCCTTAAAACAATAAAGGCATTGTTATACTTCAAGGTGGAGGAGGGTACTTACTGGCCATTCAAAGTTTAACAGTAATATGTCTTGCTGTTTGGAGTTTTTTAACTTCCATAATTCTACTATGGGTACGTTCGCTCAGTATGTCATTTGTTGGCGAATTAAATAAAATATAATTTATACTAATAAATATTCTGGTATAATAAGATGGTGAACAAAGTTATCCCAATAAGGATGAGCGTCAAGGAGGAACTTTTAGGAGCAGATTTAGTAGAGCATAGTGTTCGTCACGCACAAGTACAAGGATTTATTAAAAAGTTTATCCTATCTTTCCTGTCCATTGGACAATCAGACACTAAATCATATTTCAGATTGGTGTTAGCAGAGCAATGTCAGTTCTACGACCATTCTCACGTCAAGAAAACTTCGACGAGATCGTACAAATAGGAATAAATCCAGGTGAAGATAATCGCTAACCAGGTGTATCTGTATGGAAAATTTATAATCTATTCTATTATAGGTCACGAGTCCTATCTAACGAGATATAATCGCATTAGGAAACATGACAGATTGTTGAAGTTCCTGAAGCGCCAAACGCGCAAAAGGAAGTCATCCGGAAGTGTAAAAATTCACACGATATCCGGTCCTGATATTAACACAAAAAAGGATGCAGAACCGCGTTTTGCCTGGATAGATTAAAATCGTAATAATTATCATTAACTTTTATCTCACTAGTAACTCACTGGAAATGTATAAATTAATTGGTGATTAATGAGTAAAGGGAGTTTAGATAGCAAATTAATACTTTTTCTCGCTAGCTGATAACTCCGTTCTAATTTCACTGACTACATAAGAACAAATGCCAATTCTAATCGCTGTTATTCTAATCGCAATTTTTTTAAATTGTTTTTTTTTTTCATTATATGGACGTACTTCTTTTTTCTACTGGACGTTTATATGGATACAAAGACTCCAAATTTCCACAAGACGCCTAAATATCGAGCGTCGACTACATCCAGGAACTCGTATGTGAACTTTACTGTAGATAAAGGACGTTTCACATTATTGTGAGTTATCTAAGTAGATGAACACATACAGCTTAAGACGATGGGATTATCACTAACTCGATTGGACGAGGTACTGGCACACAGAGATGGACGCACTCAAATGAGACACTTTCACTAGTACTTTTCTTGTTTGAATTGAGAACTAATAACTGGAGAATGAATGGCTCACCGGATATCACTGGCATTTCACTTGATATGAAGGGGAGAACAAAAAGTATACGTCCCCTGGAAGGTTCCAGGAACGAATGCACTAGATTATTGTCCTGACATTTCTTCACTGTAAACTGCTCTTTGCCCACTGAGCCACTTCTGTTGGAAGTCCTGAATAATTTTTTACAGCCTCCATTACTTGGTGCGGAGTCAACAGAAACTTGAAGAACTCATATTCTTTCTCTACCCTGGTGTTTGTTCCTGCTATAGGTGCCAGGAATTCCAGGTTCTGTGGAAAAAATTTTTGATAGATTAAATTATGAGAAATACTGAGCTACGAAAAATATTAAGACTCTCTTTAAAATGACATTGTGACTACCTTGATGTGCTCGAATGCTTTCATGATTACTGGTCTCTGGACGGACTGTATGGAGGAATTCTGGTTGACAAATTTCATATAGCGGTTTAAAACCATTTCAAAATTTAATGGTTCTCCGTCATAGATTTCGGTCTCGTGCTTCATGGCGATAATCTGGTCAAACGATAGTTGGAAAGTTTATCTTAGGATTAGATAATTATGTTATTATATTGAAATACTCACCAGACACAGCTCCAGAACAGACAGTCCTTCGAGCATAAGGACTTTATCATCTTGAGAAAATATCTTGCTAGCTTCGACAAAATCATTTACTTCTAGCCTCTGATGCTTTTCTGATAGGGATGATACAGCAATGGCTAGGAAGTTCCTAAAACTTCTTTCGCTGACATCTATTTGATACATTCGTTTTAAAAGATTAACCATTGTAACATTTTCAATTAAATTCTTTATGTAATCATTCCACATGGCTCCAAACTGGGGATCTATCGTGCAGTCATCATATTGTTGTTCAATTTTGTTGACATTCTCATCATCTGGTAAACTGAGCAAGTGTTCAAAGAGTTGAAGCCTATCATCAAAGGCTGAGATAGGCTGTTCAGCTCCTGACGTGTCACCAGGAAATAGAAATATTTGACGATGAGAAAATCTTGATTTCACTCTTTTCTCCAGGAGTTCGATGACATCTAGTCTGCATGTTATTCCCAACACACAAATCGGTGCCTTTAAATCAAGAAAAATAACGATCATATCAAGGTATACATTTAATATAATTAGTTATTAGAAATATTATTTACCTGGGCAGATTGAGTCACATCAAACAAATTATATAATAATGTTTGATTGTGATGAGCACAGAACAAATCAAACTCATCGAGTATAAAAATAACTGGTTTGGATCGCTTTTTATCACCAGATTTCAGGCATTCTAACAGAAAACTCAGATTTTCTGAGAAACTTCCAAAAACCTTATCCCCCACAGCATTCTCTAATTGCATCTGACGAGTAGCATCTTTCAAAGCAAGCCTATCATCGGTATGCACTAGACCATGTAAATTTACTATGAGAGCATTCTCTTTAAAGGACTTTAGTGTTTCCAGTTCCTTAAGAACACTATTGACAAGCTAAACAAGACAATAGACAGTAAAGACAGTTGGATCATATAAAAATAGGAAATCATACAAAGATTTAATATACTTACTGTAGTCTTGCCACTGCCACGAGGACCAATTAACAGTGCGGAGTTACTCTCACCCATTTCAACTGTTCGTTTGAGCAAATCATAAACATGCAGTCTTTCCTTGACATGATGACGGAACTTGGCTTCAGGACACATTATTTTCTTTTTTAAATATTTACGTGTAAGGAGTATCATATTGTCCTGGAAATCTATGGCCATGTTCTTCTTCTTGCTCATCTTCCAAAACTGCTGTCAAGAATAATAGGAATGTACTGTTGTGCATCAGCATCTCAAGCATGCAACTACTGTACAGATAGAACCATTCAACTGGACAGCTACTCACCCTTGTATTTCTCTAATTATGTGAAACAATATTCAAAGTTTATATCGTAAAACAAGATAATACGAAAAGTTGGACTACTTCAAAGCTGTGGAAGTAATTAACTGGCTAGTGGTTACTGCGAGCGTCGGTTTTAAAGGGACGCGTAAAGTCAGATGTTTACCAAATAAACATGGAGAATACGGAGCCACAGTCAATGAAGAAAAATTGTACGTTTCTATTTAATCGTCGTAAGATAAGAAACATTGCGACAAGAAAGCGTAAAGGTGTCGAGGATGAAGATGGTGAGTTATTATGAAAAATTATGGCCGATAACTGATCGGTTTATAACCCTTTAATTTCATTACTTAAATTCGATTAAGATTTTTAGGTTAACTTCTGTTATATTTTGATATGTAATTATTTGTTTTTTATACATTTTAGATAGTAGTGATGATGAGACTACTGTTGTTAAGAAGGATAAGAAGCAAAATGATCAGAATCCCATGAGACAGAGCGTGAGCAGTTTATAATATTCTGTTGTAATACTATGCGTTATATTATTTCTTGTTACTGTATTGACTCTCTGTTTCGAATCCTTGAAAACAAGTTTTTTTACAGACTAATACAAAGCGTCAGCAACGTAAAGCAGATGAGGATGACAGTGGTGAGGATGATGGAGTAACAGTATCCTATAAGAGCAAAAGAATACCCATGCCTGCTGGTCCTAGTGACCAAGGAGCCACAGCAATACTAGAGACTGAAACTGAAGTCGACAAGGATGCTCAGGCATTATTTGAAAAAGCTCAGAAGATAAACGAAGTAATTAATCTTAATATTTCACTATAAAAATATCATAACCTCGCCAACCACTAAATAAACATACAGCTCCTAAATTTTTGTAGGAACTTGAAGGAAAGGAGGATGATAAGATATATAGAGGCTTAAACAATTACGCACAATACTACAAGAAAAAGGATACTGCTGCTGGCAATGCTTCCAGTGGAATGGTACGCAAGGGACCAATACGTGCACCAGCTAATCTCAGAGCGACTGTCAGATGGGATTATCAGCCGGACATTTGCAAGGATTACAAGGAAACCGGTTTCTGTGGTTTTGGCGGTAAGTCTTTCCTCACTAGCTGTAAGAATTTCTATTTTCAATATAGCTTTTCATATTTTCAGACAGCTGTAAATTTCTTCACGACCGTTCCGATTACAAACTCGGTTGGCAACTTGAAAGAGAAGCTGCTACTGGGGAATACGATAATAGCGGCGACGAGGATGATAAGAAATATGAAATAGACAGCGACGACGACAACCTTCCATTCAAATGTTTTATCTGTCGTGGCAGTTTTGTGGATCCGGTTGTTACAAAGTTTGTAAAACCGTGAAAATCTTGTACAATCCCATTTAACAGCTTGAATTTTTAACATCATCTGTCCATTTTTACAGATGCAAGCACTACTTTTGTGAGAAGTGTGCTCTGGAGCAATACAAAAAGAGCACACGGTGTTTCATATGCAACGTGCAGACAAATGGGATGTTTAATCCCGCTAAGGATTTAATGGCAAGAGCGAAGATGGAGGAAAAGGAACGTGAAGCTGAAGAAGCTGGAACCAGCGATTCTGATTAAATCGAGAATAGAGTTTAACGCAGTTTTTCCACATTTTCTTTCATTTCTATCAATAAATTATCCTTTTTAAAATAAGCCTTACGTTATTTCCTTATCTTTTATTCTACACAAGGTGCTCCAAAAAAACTACAATAGAACATGCTGCATAAGAAGATATTTCATAAAATCAGCTGACAAATCTTCCAGAGAAAATTTGATGCTCAGACAGAAGCACAGAATAATTCTTAATACAGTTATCAGTGAGCTCCCATTATCAGTCAGTTATCGTTTTCAAGTTTCTTATCAGAGAACCTCATTGACTCACGTCGCACATAATTTCATAATAAAACTCAGTCTGTTCTCGATATAGAATCAAGCACATTGTCACCCAGAACATCTACCAATAAAAGTCCCAATTAATAACTAAAATCAAAATGATAATAAAGCTGGATCAACGATACTGCTGTGAGAGTAGCGTTTTCATATAATAGAAGGTACGTTCGTCGAAACTCCAAACAATGTGAGCAAGTGTTCATCAGGTATCAAATAGTTAGGCGCGAGTAACATGTGGCTAGGAGTTATCGCGTATCACTTTACTAATTAATCAAATGCATTTGCCCTTTGTTAATCCAGCAAATGCTGTCGCAAGCGGCTCGACATATGCAGAGAGAGAGAGAAAGAGATAGTGCGCGCGAGAAAGACAGAAGCGTAGAGAAAACTTTGGACTAATTTCATACGTTCAGACCTGCTGAGTTTGAGCAGTCATGTGGAATCTCGAAAGGAATAAAATGTCGTGCGAACATAAATGGTGATGAACATTAGATATATTAGAAGTATATATATAGGACAGTGTAATCATCATCTATCAGCTCACATGCAGATACACTTAATAATGATGATGACGATGATCCGACTGTGTTAAATTTGAATATTCATGAAGCGCGTGTATGACTAATGACTAGTTTTCTACGCAGTAAAACTATACGGAATAATAAAAGCAAAAAGTGAAAAACATTTTCATGTTATCTGCCGAGTTTCCATAAGGTGAACAGTGGAGTGACGACTATACAATTTTACAACAGGAAAAAGACGACTCGCTTTCATAATCAAAAACGCTGGATTAAGATTGAGTTATCATTTTGAAAAATCTCCATTATAAATTTTGCATCCTGCTAGACAGTTTCTACGAATGTAATTTAGCCGGAAGAGCATTTTGAAAGTGACACATCAATTCGCGCTCTTGCCTGGATGCTGCATCGCGAAATCCCACTAGTCCTGTATCTCAGTTTCTCCATTAGGATATTCCAGGTCGGTTGAGAATCTATTATGAATTCCATTTAACGGGGACTAGGGACAAGAGAGATAAGCCGACGTAAACTCTAGAAGTAAGTCCGACTGAGTTTAATTGTGCCAGTTGAGAGTAAGTAATGATATCTCAATTGGGCTAAAATTAATTGCACAGTGGGAGGTCATCAAGTGAACGTCCAGTAAACATCATGCAGCATCCGAACCGTGGGGGACATAAAGTGTACGAATAATTCAGTATAATAGTTTTGAATGACATAATAAAACGATAAACGGCATACATAGTGTCAGTGACGTGCGGTATAAATACAATAATTATCGAATAAATACACAAGACGTGATTGTTATCCGTAATAAGAAAACTTAGTGTCTCAACAAAAACGAAGGTAGGTGAAAAAAAGAGAAAAAATAAAATTCATGTAGTACTACGAGTCTGAACGATGCCCGGGAATCCCCTATTTTTATAATAATATTCTTCAATCAATGGATGTCCATTGAGAAAAGTAACAAAGCCAATCTAGACAGAGTGAGTCATTCATGCGAATTCATCCGTTGGTCTCAGGATGATCGAGTGGTACAGACAATAATACGAGGTCTGTTTGTCCGCTTGTAAGGCAAGTGCACGAGGTGCGATAATAAATTTCGCAACTGATAATTTTTCAAAATTGACAAGGACATTGGTCGCGTGACGATATTTAATTAGAAATTAGGCTTGTACTGTGGTACAGTGGGTAGCGCGGGGGAATTTATCGATTTGAAATGATGTACTGTACCGATGAAAAACGTCAGTTCCTCGGCACCAGTATGGGAGGAGGGAATCCGGTAGATAAATGTAAGTGAAACAGTTAGTATGTCCACTTGAATCGATAGAGAATGTTTCTCTTGATTCGTTGGAAAATGTCATCGGACAGCGGGAGCGTAAGGACGGAATTTCAAAGTGCTGGCGAGCCGTCGAGGATCGCGAGGATGTCCTACGTATCTGGGATTTTCTATTATTCGCGGTGAAGACTGAAATAAGTAAGAGAGAAAAAAAATATAAAAATGGAGTTTTATATTTATGAGATAAGAAAAGGATATATATTTCGAGATACCTAATCCGTCGCGTTTATCGACTCCACGACGTCGTACACGTCGTCGCTACGTAGAGTTCCTCGATGTCGTCGTCGGCGTCCTCGTCGACGGGAGAAATTGATGCTGTGAAGTTTGTGCGTCTTTTTCTGCTCGCTTCGTTAAATTTTACTGACTGCTTTCTCTCTTTCCTTTGACGTATAGAAAATAGAAGGATTAATATAAAAAATTACAGTCGCATGTGGCAGGTTTTCTTGTATACCGGGTGTTCAAGAGTTTGCTGCACTTTGTTAATAGGCTGCACGTTCTTTAATTACTTGTATAACGATTAATGGTGTGGTGTCTCTTGAGCCTTTTTATCTTTTGAAAGGAGAATTATATGAATGTGTGTGATATATTACATCAAACTACATCTTTTTTAAATTTGAAGGGCGCAACGAATTAATTAATTGCGAAAAGTCACGCACATTTAAAAACCAGTTTCTTTTACCGTGGGATGCTGATGGTTTATTGTTGTATTGTTAAAAAGTTTCTGCTGGTAAAAGACATTTTTAAATATTCTACCGATTATCGGTAACACTGTTTTGAGATAGCATATATTTTTTCATCTGAAGAATACTCTTACGGGAAAGTCAGCCGTAAGGAGTTTAAGTCAATAACTATAAAACAGGTAAGTGATTGTATCTATTAATTTATATTGTCAATTTTTTTAATTGATTCCAAATAGGCGCTTTGGCATAAGATAACGAATTGATTTTTTGCCAACAGTTTTTTTTTTTTAATTTGCTAATGGAATTTGGTTTTCAAGATCTCAGAGACATTCAAGTAAAATGAAATTAATATCTGCATATTTAGCTGGATATATCGGTATGTACAGGGCGTGCCGACAGGAGTGTACCTTCCTTATCACTAAAACTAGATTAGAGTGAAATGATTTATTGAAGGTTAACTGTGTCCAGTCTAGCTTGAACCCAGTTGTTGCTTTAAATAGGGATAACTGATATAAGAGTAAAGCAGAACTTGATATCAGAGGAGTTTTTCAATTTCAATTTATATCCTCAGAAGATTCCGTAAAAGACTAAACGCGTGAATTGATAAAAAATACAAACATTTTCAGAAAAACGAGAGCACGGAACGGTGAAATTAATAGTTTGAAATTTATGGTTCCGGTATATTTATTTTAGGAATAGAATAACATACGAACACTTCTCGGAATATGAAACGGACAGTAATATCTAAAAAGAAAAAGAAATGGACTCACTAAAAACTATATAATCGAAAACGTCCAACATCCTAGAAAAGTCCTTTGAAAGTTCCTGTTCTTATCTTTTATAATGCTTTCCGCTTAAGTTCGCCGTAGGTTCTGAAAAATAAAATGTAAGTTACTTTCAAAAGAAAATATGTCCTACACCAACGGCAAAAATTACAAGGAACAATTCTTATTAAGAATATAAAACTATTTATAATTTCCTGGGACTATGCCATGACATCATAGTCCCTTTACAATTCCTCATCTGGACGTGAATTCTGACAACCGCATAAATCAACGCTAGTCGCAGTAGCACCAACCGTAAATCCATCCTAGACAAGCGCTAAACAATACTCCTATCACCATGGCACAAAATGCACGGCCAGCCAGGTGATTTGGCATAAAAAGCCAACATTATCTACTAAACTTTGTTAAATATTTGTCAACCAAGAGCGTCTGGCGTTCTTTTGCGAGCGACAATATCTCATTCCGTTTACTATGTCATAGAAACTCACAAGAACCTGGTGCTTTGTGATTTTCCCTAGTGCAAATCGAATTTTTCCTTTTGGATGTGGAAAGTATTTAATTTTTATCTCGTGTACGAACTAAAGAAACAAAGTAACAATAGAGAGAAGTACATGACGATAATGCATCTTTTTGGGATATTTGTGGAGTAAGTGACGCCAATCGTCTTAAGAAAAATGAATAAATATGGTAAAGAAATAGTGACGATTATACAAAGATGTGGTATATGCACTGAATGTAATTTAATACATTTTCTTTTCTAATTAACTTGCCACGTTGTTCATTATACTAGGTGGTCAAACTAAAACGAGTTACAGCAAAATTCTAGACTGTGATTACATTCAGTTGAATCACCCACTACGTCGGTACTGGCTTTATATGAATGTATTCCTAAATACCGATATTTTATATTTTATATTAATAATTTATTAACTGGGACTAGATATTCTTGTTGCATATTTACTGCTAACAGGGAACTGCTATTGTATGCTCTGGATTAATTTGTACGTGCTGCTTCGTCGCATATTTATTTTTAAATCCATAGAAGTAGCAATCGAAATTCAACACCGTTACTATCTTAAATCAATCTCCATGAAGATTAAAATCGCTGAGGATTTTTATTTTTCATGATTTCAGATGGTTTGTGGCAGTGATGCCCTCGTCCGAGGAGGAAAGCCAGTGGCTCGTGGGAACCGGAGCCGTTCTGGGTTCCTCAGGGACTGGAGTGCCATCGTCAGGGTCTGGAGAACGTACTCCGGGCACTAGGTCTACTCTCTATACGGAGGAAATGAGCTCCCAGGTAGGAAACGCGGCTGCGGCTGGCGTTAATACATCATCGGCAGACTCGGCCGAACACGACTTGATAGATTCTACAGCCGATGCTACATTACTTGCTCAGTTTCATGAGGACGCGATTAAACAGGTAAGTTCGAATAATCTGTGTAATATAGTACTTTGCGATACAAGTGCGAGAAAGCGAACTTTATAGGCAGGCGGTGAAGTTGGTCGCATGAATCGCATACGAGTAACACAACGGCACGAGCCGAAGCCGAGTGCTGTTTGTTTTACGAGTGCGGCGAGTGTGACAAACTTCACGAACTGCGTATAATGTTCGCTTTATTGTACCAGTATCGCATAATATATTCTGTAACGAATGCATGAAAAACGCTACTTTTTGTGCCTCCAAAATGACTGGAACATCTCTTTGTTGAAGGAGGCAGCCATAAGAAGAGCAAGGAAGGTTTCCAAAGTGAATGCATTTCGTGACAGCGCGCGAGAACAAAGTTTACTTTATCGCACTTGTGCGAGAAGAAAGCACTGTGCAATAATGTAAAATTGGGCCGTTTTGCGCATGCGCAGCATTTTTATCGTATCCATAGCTATAAAGTGCTACTTTCACCACACTTCGGAGGCACGAAATGTAGTGTTTTTCATGCATGAGTTACATACAATAATTTACGAGAAACAATGAATGTTAGGTAAATATAAACGTAAGTATTGTTTATAGTACGCCGTACGGTGAGTGAATGATCTACGTGCGCGCTTAACGGGTTGCCATATAAAGTGGAGAAATTAATAACTACGCAGGCGCCAGAAAAGTCGCGACGTCTATTTGGATGTGTAGATCAGTCAAAAATCCTTCGCGAGGACCAATCGCATAAACTGGTTTGGTTACCATGGAAACTGTTCTTGGACTCCGAACGTAACCACAGCTTGCGGCGTCCCTTGTTGGCGCACAATGCACTTCGCGTTGTCGTGTGGCTGCATTTTCGTTTGCTAGCTACAACTTATTTTTGAAATTTTTTTTCTTTTGATTGTACGGGTATTAGAGCATTTCTACAACATGGAAGAGGCGCTGGATGATTCCATCGTGAAATTGAAATACAAACCCCGCGAGCTGCCCAGTTTCCTCAGGGAATTTCCTGTAAATATATTCGTGATTGTTTGTCCGAATCGAGGTTATCGCGTTCCTAGCTGTAGAGGATGCATGACTACTTGTACATTATTACTCGGGGGAGTTTGAGAGTCTTGTACGAGATATTTCATGGTTTTCATTTAATAGTATGTATGGGAACGGTCATTTCATTCATTCTGAAATTACTTTGTTCGTTTACAGGCTGGTGTAGGTTACTTCCAAGTATTAGCAGCCCTTTGTACCGGTCTCAGTCTTGCTGCGGATACTGTGGAATTCTTTGTTGTTCCTTACATTCTACCCAGTGCTGAGGTTGAACTCTGCATTGAAGACAATGAAAAGGGATGGCTTGGTTAGTCATGTTTCTAATATTTTTAGATAAATGTCTTACTTCTATAACATTGAGGATTGTACTTTTCAAGTCTATCGTATCCTAAATGATATTCTTTTCTTAGGCAATATCACTCTTGTTGGTCTTGCCATTGGTGGATTATGCTGGGGTGGTTTAGGGGATCGACTTGGCAGACGCAGAGCACTGCTCTCAGCAATGGCAGTACATGCTCTATTCAGTGGAGTTGCAACATTCATGCCCACTTACGGGACTTTTATGACTGCAAGATTCTGCTCCGCAATTGGGTATGGTTTTATTGACGAATACTTTCAATTTTTGAAAGAAAATTTCATAGACACAATGCACTCTTATCTTATACCTACAGTGTAGGAGGATCCTTGCCACTAGCATTTGCTTATCTAGCTGAATGCTGTCCAAGATCAAGCAGAGGTCGTTGGACAGGTGCTCTCGTAGGAGCAGGTGCCCTTGGTGGAGTCTATGCAGCTCTGCTAGCCTGGGCCATGGTACCAACAACTGGAGAAATGGTCGTTCTCGAAAATAAAGAACATTTTAGCGCCTGGCATCGTTTTCTGCTTCTTTGCTGTCTACCTGCACTCTGTGCTACAGTGGGTCTTGTATTCCTACCCGAGAGCCCGCGATATCTTATCGAGGCTGGACGAGATGTCGAAGCTATGATGGTGTATCAGGTTAGACAGCTTTAAAAAAATTTAATCTCAAGATTCCTAAATTTATAATTTGTTCTTCTCCTTCCAGAGGATATACAAAAGAAACAATGCTAGGAAAGGTGCTACAGGTGCCCAATATCAATTGTCAGAATTGGAACTTCCTAGTAAAAGGCCGCGCGGTTTGGCGCCCCCATCACCAACGAGTCATGCCAGCGTTTTGGCAGATATTATGTATTCCATTGAAATGGTAAGACAGCTGTATAACTTAATGATTATTTTGGAACAAGAATGTAACAGCGTAATCTTACATTATCACAGTTTTGGAATTCTTTCTTGGAGTTATTCTCAACACCACATCTCAGAGTCACTGTGGTGCTTCTAGTCATTTGGTCTGCCGCTGCATTTGGGTAAAATTTCAGTTTTTCTTCTTATACACACATATCTTATATCTTATGCAGACTATGTAATTTAATATAAATTTACAGACTTTATGGACTGATGGTCTGGTGTCCAGAGTACCTGAAACTACTGAGAGCCACAGAATACGAAGCGCACACAAAACAAATCGTAAACGAGACGTTTCATGATCAAAAATTTACTGGTTCCTTGGAAAATAGCCAGTACAAAAATTCCACTTTCCTCAATTGCCAGTGAGTGTATTATTTTATTGAAGATGTAACCACTTCCAACTCTATTGAAAGTATTGACATCGTCTCTTTGCGTTATACAGGTTTACAAAGATGGTTTTCAGTCATGTAAATTTTGACAATTGCACCTTCCATTCTGTGGAATTCAGTAACATAAAATCTAGCAAAACCCACTTCACAGACAGCATTATCGTTGACTCCAAGTAAGTTGAGAAAGCATTTTCAAAGTTGCAAAAATTTCAATGTAACATACAGAGACAAATAACATTTCAGATTCGTCGATACGGATTTGTCTGCTCAAGTATTCACCAGATGTACCTTGGAGAATAATACAGAATTGAGTTTAAGTGGCCCATGCCCCACCCTGGATCTAGATTACAATATCTACATTGAGGAAGCTCTCCATGGCCATTTGGTAGCCCAATTAGCCTTCGTACCAGCAGCAGCCCTAGCTGGACTGGCTCTGACGATACTTCAGCGACCAAAAATGATAGGTGAATGTGAAAAGTAGCTGCATTAAAGTTAAGAATAAAAGTGCTACAACTCTTAATCTGTCTTCAGGTATCTCTTTATTCTTCTCTTCCGTCGCTGCTTTGTGCCTGATGCTGGTAGGCACCAACAGTTCGGCAGTGCTTGGCTTCGAAGGTGGCTTCATCGCAGTCTTCGCTGTCGGATGGACATCGCTTACCTTAGCCACAGTTGAAAGCTTCCCAACGCATCTAAGGTAAGTTTCATCGCATGTTTTCTAAGACAAAAGTACATTTCAATATAAAGAACTCTAGATCATATAAATGCTTTGAATTTCTTAGGTGTACAGGCTTCGGCTTCATGACAGCTGGTATCAGATTATCAGGATTAATAGGCACAGCGACCTATCAGACTCTAGTTGGTGCCCCACTGATTGCTCCGGCTCTTTTGACAGCCACTGCTCTACTTGTAGCCAGTGCAGCTACGTTCAAATTGCCACATACTCACACAGTCTTCTTGTAAGCTTTTCCCCCACCGAAATCTATCAATTTTATCCCAAGCACGATGGATTATTTGTTAATAGCGCTAGCAACAAGGCACTCCCATTGTTCATGCGAAAATAAGATCGCTGGACTGGCCATGCCAGCTATGTTAGTTAATGAAAGCCACTAATAAGCTTGTCGCGTTTATCTCATCTGAGAGACATAACAAAGCGCACAGCCCATTTAGCCGAATGAGATGGAACGAGATATATCAATGAAAAATATGAGGAGGTGACACGAGGCAAGAGAGCCATACGATAATTGATAAAAGAGATCAATTTTAAAAAATGTACTGCAATGACTAAGTGATTATTAGCGAGAAAGTCGCTTCTTAGAAGCTTGGGGTTAGCGCCAATTTATTAATTAGACAATCCCGCATACGTTCCAAAGTGACGGGTCTTTTGAGCTCTCTTGGACGCAAATCCAGGATTCTCATTTTCTAACAAGAATACGTAAATTATTGGAAGCTGTGCTAATGTAAAAAGAGTGTCGCAATATGCGATATCTTCAAAGTTATGGAGATGAAAGACTAATGCACGAAAAGCATATCAAGAGAAGGAAATATGTCCAAGGGTGAAAATGTCATTTGGATGGAAAAATAATAATCTGGCAATAAGAACCATATCACTGTCCTTGAATGATTCCGATTGCCGACAAGAGTTTTTGCTGGATTGAAATTTTAATCGTTTAAAAGTTTCCATATATGTTCTCCATTTCTCTTCCTCGTAGAACTGTTACCCTAGAAGAGGAGGAGTATACAGATTTTGTTCGTCTATGATAAAAGACTCGAACGCGCCAATCCTTCGTAGCTGAAGCCATTATTAATTAATTAATTTTACTCAGCATATCGTGCTCTACGTGCGAGCAACATAACAGCTCGATTAAAATTACTTTGTAGGATATTTTAGGTTTACGTATACTTTGCTGTATACAATCACATCAATGGTTTAATGATATTCGTTGTATCAAGAAACTGAGAATGAAAATGTGATGGAGAAAATGATGAGCGACGATCTTCTTTCTCTAGTCTATTTAAAAGAAAAATTCCTTGGACTCTTCAACGTACGACATCAGAGGAACAAGAGATTACATCTTGCTTAGAGACATATTAGAAACAAGAGGAAAAAAAGGAAAAGATACACATTAATTCCAATGGCGGATGTCGATAATCGCCGTCATTGCGGCTAACTTCATAGAGACTGTTTTTAGATTATACATTCGTATTGCTCCTAGGGGCATTGGTCGCCCGTAGATTATAAATTAATTTACACACTATATATATATATATATATATATATATATATATATATATATATACACACACGACGATGCACCTCTGACAAATTATACAGTATAAAAAAATGCATCCCCCCAAGTGCTTCTATGAGAAAAAGAAAATATTTAAAGAAATATAATTAAAACATTTTACGCATCGCATTCTTAGTTCCTACTTGCGTGAATTTTCAAAGGATGCAAACGGCGATATTAATTTATGTTATTTTTGTCTCCAACGTCCAAACCATTCAATTATATAAATGTGCGATCCATTGGAAAAATAGAAGGATGAACGGAGACGTGTAGGAAAAAATTGATAAGTCCGACGTACCCATGTGCATTAAACGTGGGTCAGTATAAAATCGTCCTCCGAAAGCAACGGAGACGAGATCTGTAACAATAAAGAAAGTTGGAACAAAAAACAATGCATTTAAATTACCATTACATAATGTAAAAATCAGCCATGTCCTTTTAAGCGTATAGTTTGCCATTATAATTTTCCCTTGTCTAGTTTCCTTGGAAATTCAAATTTACCACAGCATCCCCATAGGACATAGAATAAGCTGACGTGCTTCCTCCTTTCATTATACAAAGAACATAAGATCGTTTATTAGATAGATATATATGTATATATATATAATATTTATAATATATATCAAGTTTTACAAATATTATCACACACTTGTTATGAATGTTTTATCGTGGAGCGATGAAAGGGATTGATAATAGTCAAATTTGTTTTTTTACACAGAGAGAGAGAGAAAAAGGGAGTTTTCCTGTTTTTTTAAAGTCTGTCCGTAAATTTTGACTATGATGAGGAGGAAGGAGGGGGGCTGAATGGTATAAATGGACCTGGTCTCTTACACAATACCGTATATAAATATAGTAAACGTATTCCAATAGTGGCAACCATATATAAATAGCCCAGTGTAAATAGAACGGCGGTGTCTTGCTTACAATATATATATAACATAATAATTACAAATACTACGTGAAACTCGCCAAAGGTCGATCGCGCGAAACTAATTAACAGAATAAGAGAGAAAGCGACCGCGAGAAAAGATAAATGTAACAACGTGAACAAAATTTAATTCCAAATTAATAATAACGATGACGATCAAGTGAAATTTTATCAATCGGTTCTTATACATTTTGCATTTGTGTTTTTGCTTTTGTTAAAAATAAATTTAAAGAACCAGAATGACGAGAGCGAATCGTAAGGACGACGACGTTTTACGATCAATAAATAATAATAGCGATTGTATATAGATAAATATTTATATATATAATATGTTTATGTATAAACTAGGCTAATTATACTTTTGTGGTAAAATATTCCATATTAGGCCTCGAGGCGTAGGCCGCGCGTGCATATCGAATCGCTTTCTCGATGCCGTCGTTACGTATCTTATATTTATTATTAATTCTAATAATATTTATCTTGTATGTTATAACGCATACCTATTGTACAAGCTGTCTTTTCCCTAGTTTCTATCTTGTCTCGTGTCATCGTGTAATATCGAGCATCCTGATTCCCATTTTTATGATTTTCTTTTAGACTTCAAAAAAACAAAGTCAACGGTTCGAATTTCAGATCTTCTTTTTTACTTGCTTGATCCACGTTGAACATTTTGACTAAATGACGAGGCGTCGAGAAAAGAAGGAAAGTGCGTAAACATCAAATATATAAAATTGCCTCCTCGCTGTCTGTGAAAATTAGTGTTTCTGTGCATTCATACCCTGCGGCTAGATGTCTATCTTGGTATATTTATATATAAATCGACGGATATGTATCGATGAATATTGGCAGTTCGGTAAGGGGATAGATTGACCCGCATTAACGACGTAAGACGTCGCTATGCAAATACCTCAATCCCAAAATAAACGGTCAGAGTAATACTCAGAGAGTCGAAGTCCTGTTGTACAGATTTCTCTTTCTGTCTTCATTATACTTTTTGTATTGTTATTCGGATGATTTTTCTTCCTTCTTCCAAGGCGCATGCGCACTTTGCACATAAATAAACTATTCTTCCCAAGAATCGAAAAGGGGAATTCCCCGCGATAACTCGATAGTTTTACAAGAGAAAAAAATATATGTAATATACATATATAATATATATACATGTAAGTTCATTCCAGTGAGATCGTAATACTAATGCAACAACCTTAAACGGAGAGAAAAAGAGAGAGAGAGAGAAGTACGATTTTTTTTCTTTATCTCCTTTCCTTCAAATCTTCATAGGAATTTTGAATAAAGAAGCTGCCGCAATGATGTGTCATAGGGTAACCGCCGTTCACCAGTGGATCCTCAAACACTTTCGTCCAGTCCCGAAATGCTCTCGGGAGAACGAAAAAGAAATAAGAAAGAGGAAAAAAAAAGAGAAAAACAGTATAATTCTCTACCTTCAGTCAAGAATATCCTGAGAGCCTGTGGTTACTGGTTGTGCGAATCCTTTCTCTTTTTCTTTCAATCCTAAGCGTAAAATATGGCAGTCGTTCGCTTCCCTAGTTCAACAATTCAAAATATCCCTAACATTATATCAAATACGTATCGCGTATGTTATGTACAGGGGGTGGGGTTGGGGGATCTGGAATTTTTAAAAATGGCGAGACGACCAAAAGGACGGGCACCTCGCGTCACCGTGTAAAAAAGGACGTCGTTATTTTTTCGTTAAAAACACGATTTTTTAAAAAAGCCTAGCTAAAAATGTGTCCCGAATGTTTTGCACCTGAAAGCAGCTTTGCGATTGTTCGACAGCTATTCCAGGATACGCTGCATAGATATAATAGTTAATAATAATCTTATTATATATATATATATATATATATAAGGGAGAAAGGGACACGTTTTTCAGGCCGTTTTGTCGCACGACATTAATTCTAACTTAAAAAGCTTTCTTAATATAGCCGCCACGCGTATAGACTACTAACTACTAACGATTGGCAAGTATTTAACTCCTTGAGTTACGTTTCGCGTGCACTGTGTAATTAGTACCTTCCTTTGTATTAAGAAACTTTGAGGGCGTTTTTAATAATAATCGCACTGTCTTATTGAGAGTAATTTCTTGCCTCGTATCTCGCTCTCCCATGCTCTCAATCGGGATGGCACGTGCTTTCTATCTTAGGAACACAATCTAGCATTCGAATTCCGACGCTGTTATGGCATTCAGGTCCTTCATTAGTCCCTCTAGATTCGCCATCTCTTGGTTCAACTCCTCGGTGCTGTATGACGGCTAAAAGTGAGGATTCAAAAAGCGGAATATATCAGTGGAGTGATAATTCATTTAGATGAATAATTCATGTTTATTGTGTAATAAAAGGTTTATTACCTTCAATCGTTCCACCTCGTCGGGCGTGTGAGACGGATTTGAAACGGATGCCAGACGGTTCTTTGCCAACTGAGAACCGGAACTCGGTACTTTTTTGTACGGACTACCGGAAACCGTGGGTCTTACCGTGACCTGGGACACTGAAGAAATAAATATAGTACAAATTATTTATTTTACCTACAATTGTTTATTGGATTTTCAAGCGCGACGTACCACCGTGCTTTTGCTGCGCGGGTGTCGAGGGTGCTGACTGCGGAGGAGGTGCAGGAACACTGAAACTCTTCAGAGGATGGCCCTGCAGTCTTTTACCGGTACCACTAGGTTCTAGAACGGGTGTACTGGAAGTAACTTGACTTCCGCCACCGTAATGTCCAGGAGCGTACTGACCACCCTGCGTGTAGGGTTGTCCGCCAGCGCCGTAAGCCATCTACAGGAGCAAGGGTGAATTATTAACATTGAATAAATACGAGCGAGTAATTATAATACATAATATCGCATTATATATCATTATTGTACCTGATTCTGCAGAGGCTCGTACGTGCTGGGTACGTTGCAGGAATCCGGGCTAGATTCCGGCGTAGGCTCCAGGGTGACATGCGCACGGTTAAGACTGTACTGCGTAGCCAGACGTGGATACTGCGACGTCCTTACCGCAGGAACATCCCCACAGGAGCCGAGTATAGCAGGCTGGGATATGCTACTGTTCACGATAGGCGTAGCCGTGGCTATAGCTATAACAGATACAGCTCGTCCTGACCTATCTCAATACTCTGTAGTATACTATCAACATTATATCTATAAAATTAATTAGCAACAAGCAACCAATTAGCAATGTGTTCGTGACTTACGTTGATGTAACGGAGCACTGTCAACTGGAAGTGTAATGAGTTTAGGTTTATGGCTTCCACGACTGTGCTGTCTGCTTAGGGTCGAGCACTTCTCGTCACCGTTGCCTGATGTTTAAAGAAGGCGCAATAAAAGGTGAAAAATCAAAATCAAAGCGACAGACAACCAAAAGATGGTAATAGAAAAATACATTAAAATGCAACTCATAGTAAATAACTTAACACCTCTAGCATATTCGTTTATCGCTTACCCATATAACTAGGCACGTAGGTGCGCTTGTCCAGGGAACTGGAATTCACGTGTATATTTTCTTGACTGTATTCCTGATTGCCAGACCTGGGTAAGGTGTTACTCACGATACCGCTGGTCGAAGCCTCGCCATTTATCGAGGACTTCTCCAGGGCCTTCAGTTCCATCTGATCATGATGGATCCAAAGGTCTGGTGGTTTTATGTTTATTTTTTGATTAGACTCCTTCGTGTGCCTGAACATGAATCATGGGACGATAAACGGTCTGGGTACTTTTCACAAACTTTTTATAATGGATTATGCTAATGAAGAATGATTTCGCTGGTTTTACCCTTTTTTGCGATCTGGAGTGTCGGGAGTTCTGCGACAGCATACCACCACGACTACCACTGCTATACCAGTGATAAAAACGATAGAACATCCGACTATTATATATATTAAAAAGCCAGATAATCTTCCATCTGTAAGTTAGTATTATTTTTTTATTAATAATCTTCATTTAGCTCATTAATACAATTTTTCGTACTGGTGCTACTGTGCGATTAAGCATTGACTAGTAACAGATACAAAACGTTAAAAACAGTGTCTTACCTCGAGCATGCAACTCGTCATAGAAATCCATGCCATTACCTGACATAAAAATGAAAATGAAAATAAAAAATAGAACAACGAAACGTGTAACGGTTATTTGAGAGAGAAAGAGAAATAAAAATTGTTTTCTTTTACTAATACAATATGCTACTCAAGAACAACATTAATTATATTATTTCTTATATATCAGTTATACTTACTCGGTGGTGTAACAAAGTGCTCAATGGGACTATGAAGACCAACTCCTTTGGAATTCCTAGCTTGTATTTTGAAAGTGTAATTCGTGCTGGGCTGTAGACCTTTTAAAATAAATTCACAACGATCGCCAACTAGAGCCTTGGCCATCCAGCTGGAATCCGATTCTTTAGGCGTGGTCGTATATAGAATTACGTATCCTGTGGAACAATGATACGATAATTATCGATTTACCTCGCAAGATGGCAGGACAATTTATTCTTGTATCTATAATGAGCTTTTTAATACGAATGAACTTCTGTACTCACCTGTTATTAGGCCATTCGGTGACTTGGGTGGCTGCCAACGTATAATAACGGAATTTGGACGATCTTCGACACTTTGTATAACTGGTTTTTGAGGCGGACCTGGCGATGCTTCCAGAGTTTGATTCACGACGACCATACTCCAGGGTGATTCGCGATTTCCCTTTACTACTTTCACAGTAAACTCGTATTGCGTATACGCCTTGAGATCATTTATCATGCAATTGAGATCGGACGTATTATAATATTTATAACGAGGATTGCTACTGTGATGATTGCTGGTGTAACGCACCAAGTAGAATCTCTTGTCGGTAATGTACTGTGAGGGCAATTAAGAACTGAAGTTAGTTGGATAATATTTTATATGTCATTTTGGGGTAATTGTCATTACCTGACTTTTTGATAACGTCATATCCGTCCAGTACAGTACTACTGTTTTGTCGGACAAAACAATAGCCTTCAGACCCACTGGTGGAATTAATGGTGCGGATGATTCCGGTACCGAACGCTCTGTAGTTCTTACATTGGCGTAAACCGGAAGTCCTTCGCCAGCCTCGTTATTTGCTTTCAGAGATATTACATATTCTGACATTGGGTCTAAAAACAAACAAGCAATCAATAGAGAAAGAAGGTAACACAGCAAGTTATTCACAAACGATAAACCTTGTCAGTATTGTAAAATAGTAAAAATTAATGTACATACCTAGAGAGTCTATGAGGAAATAACGTTGCTTCCCGTCTAAAGTCTGAGTATGCCCATAAGGAAAGCCTTTTCCCCAGCTAAGAAGATAACCCCTAATTTTCACACTTTGATCCTTAGGCGGATTCCACCACACGGAAATGGAATCGGACATTGGCTTAGCTAGAAAGCATAATTGGCACAACATAAAAATTTTATCTACAATAAAATTGACTAAGTAGATTTAACAGGTATTTACTCACTTTTTATCATACTTGGTGCATCCGGTACTTTTGATTCGTCCAAGTCCTTTTCATAAGTCTCAATAGTCATCCATTCGGTCCAGGGTCCTGTCCCATTGACATTGAACGCACAGATTCTGACCTGATAGACGACACGTTTTTCAAGATCAGTCAATAAATAAAGACGCTGATTCCCTTCGGTAGTCACTGTATTTGGATGAAATCTCCGATCTTGGCGTCGGTATCGAATTTTATATCCCGTTATCACACCGTTCTGACCTTCCAGAGGTGGTTCCCATCGAATAACTATACTCTGAAAAGTAACCAAAAGAAAATGTATATCGAGAACAAGTATGACAGCCATGTTATAATATTTTGTCTTACCGTAGAGCTTGCTGCTTCCAGTGTGAAATTATGTGGAGGATGCGTAGGAGGTGCACTATGTGTTCTTACAGTTATCTCATTAGTCGATGCACCACGTCCATTCTCATTAATAGCCTGAACCCATATATTGTATTCAGTAAATGGTTGCAAATTTTTCAGCTCTATCGTAGTGCTAGCAGTTTCCACAGACTGCTCTTCGCTCTCACCCTACATTTAATTTGATAAAAAATATATTAATTTATTTATACACTTACTCTAATATTACTGTGTAGATATAATTGTACCTCTATGTAGGACACAATGTACTTGGATATCCTTCCAATAAGAGCCTGAGGCTCTTCCCATGTTAGGGCAATACTGTCACTTCCGGTAGCGTGTCCTTCCAAGTTAATAGGCGGATCTGGTACGATGGCCTTGAATTAAGGATACAATATAAATGAAGAAAGATATTACTGATATATAGGAAGAATAGTATGAGTGTTAAATATTTACAGCTTCGTGAGTAGTGACTTTTAATATGTCACTAGATAATCCTGCACCTCTGCTGTTGTGAGCGACAACCCGGAAATGATAAGTAACACTGGGTTGAAGTCCAGGTACCATAACCTCCAATTGTTTTTGGGTAACGTTGATAACTCGTTCACGCTGACTACCATCCTCCTTGTAGTAGACGTTGTAGGCAAGTATGTCGCCGTTACTGTTTTCAGGTTCCTGCCAATGAAGAGTGACGAATCGCGCAGAGACTATGAGGAGACTAAGGTTCCTTGGTGCCGAGGGTGCGGTACCCTCTATCGAATCCAGACTCTCGGTGTTGTCTAGAAAATGGGGTTTTGGATTGTAAAGGAAATTGGGATTACCGATCGATCCAAGATAATCAGCTGGATCATCGGATGGACTTATGGTCAGTGGAGGATTTGGTGTGAATGCAGACTGTGTGTGTCCAAGAAGTGTGCTAGGATGCTGCCAGGTGTTGTTATAAAGTTGACGGTGCAACAATAATCTCTTTTGTGGGGTTGATGATTTTGGTGTGGTAGTTTTGTGGGATAATGATTTTTCTATAGGATTGTTAGTTGATCATGCATTGAGATAGTTACGGAAGGAAAAAAAAGAAAATAAAAAAAGAATAAGAAATTATAAAATAATAACTAAATCATAATACAGAATAACAATGTTAGGAGTATTTTTTAAAAGCGAAGAAAAAATAAATCTGTAAAGTACATCATCTAAAAATCCATTATTCTCCAGTAATATAAGTTTTCTTACTCGGTTGGTTTATTGTCAATCGTGCTGAAGCTTGGACGCTGCCTGCTGAATTTACTCCGATACATTGAAAAATTCCAGCATCTATTGGGAGAAGACCATTGATCCTCAGATTGTACCTAGGATTTACCAAATATTTACGTGCTCCTTATAAAATTAATTGTTTATCAAGTTTTGTGCTACTTCACAATTCAACAAGAACAATAATGCCTACCCATTAACCAGCTGCCAATAGGCGCTCAAGGTGATACGTTCACCATTTTTCAGCCAAGTCACTTTTGGTTCTGGCTTACCATAAATCTCACATTCGAATTCCAAATCCTGATTCTCATTAGCTAATTTGTCTTCTGGTTTTCTTAGAAATCTTGGTGGTACTGAAATAATTAAAAGGCTTGTAACGTAATTTTAAAATACTTTGAGTATTCTAGATAATATCTTACCCTGAACGTTCACTTCGGCAACCGCGTCCTGAGTGTCTACGTCGTTCTCAGCTCTGCATTGATAAGATCCATGGTCCATTTCTTGGATATCAGATATCATGAGACTTGATGCTGCGATCCTGTGATACCTATAGAATATAAATCATGCGTATCAGTTCCAAAAAACTTAAATCACGTCAAAATTTCATTTCAATAAGTCACGTTTCAGGTTGGGTTACCTGGAGTCAAGTTGAGCCAGATCAACAGCAACTCCATCCTTGAGCCAAAGAATCGTCGGTCTGGGATTCCCATTAGCTGCGCACTCCAGGGTCACAGTAGAACCTTCCACGGCCGCCTGCTGCGAAGGTTTGGCAATGAATACTGGAGCGGTAGTACCTTGGTCTGCAATTAATAATTAATGATTTCTCGGATGTCTGTAGTAGCAATTCACCATTTTCACATAACATTTTTATTTTTAACCTACCAATATCACTAGGTAGTAATGCGAGTTGCGCTTTGTTGCTGAGTCTAAATTGTCCGAACCCACTGGCATTGCACCTGTAGGACCCAACATCTTGGGGCTGAACTTCGTCAATCTCCAGTGCGCCTAATTAGATCAAGGACATTTTATAATACATAAGACACCCAAGAATCTTGAGAGATAGATCATAAAAGATTAGAAGGACTGCAATATATTCTTTACCTGATGGTAAAACAGTCATACGAGTCTCATCCAGTAACAATGGATGCTCATCTTTGAGCCATTGAATAACAACAGAACTAGAAGTGGATGGAACTGCACAGCTCAGATAAGCAATTTGTCCAGGATAGACCATAGTATCTTGAGGTTCCTTTTCAAATCCCGGCAAGCCTATTGAGAATAAATTATTGAAAAACTATTATTAGGCATCTGTGACAGCCAACAATTTGATAATCAAATAAAAAGAAATACTAACTGGCAAGTATTATACTGGCTGGCCGGGACAATATAGCTCCAAAAGGATCAACACTAGCTAAACACCTATAGTTGCCAATCAATTCCGGATTCCCTGGATAGACACTACTAATATAAAGAGACCCATTTGCTAGCTGCGACCTGCAATAAAGAAAAACCAAAGATATAATAAAAGTTTTTATTGTTGACCACATTCGGATTGAAAGAATAAAAATTCAATTCAATCAAACACACCTATAACTGTCTCCAATAAAGTTAATCGGTTGACCATCATCAGTGCGCCAGTGAATAGTAGGCTGTCCATAGATACTCTTCGCATTGCAATCAAGACGTGCTGCACCACCCTGTTCGACAATGACATCCTGAGGCTCAACGGTGAAGTGTAAACCACCAGCAGCATCAACTGAACAGTAATAGAATAAACAATAAGAAACCTACAGACATCACACTCAGAGAACCCATTGTTATTATATAAATCAAATAACTGCACTCCGCATTCATCCATTTTCAAAGATTCACAAATCAAACCAGAAAGGCCACCGATCCAACAATAATGTCTAGAGCCAACAGATGTTGAAGTAAGTACAACAATCAAGAAACAGTATAATTCATAGTCGGGCAATATTGTCAATTACTCTGGCACCCCAGTAACTTTCTGGCATCAGCAGATGGTTGCAGGTGCAATAAACTTGACTCTTGCCAATTCACTGCCAAACAATATAGCCCCATAGAATTAGCACAAGATGAAATGAAGTGTAGAAACCGACCCACGTACATTACATTAACATGTTGCACATACATCAAGTATGTCATCGTACACCCACGTATGGCTGCTATACACAGAAACCATCCCCTACAGAATGTTAGGGTGTGTGTGTGTGGGGGAGGGGGAGGGTTAACGATCAAGCAGAGACCTAGCCTGACCCAGCGGACGGGCTATAAGCTATCAAATTTCGAGGCTGCGTACCATGACCCATTCGGAACACACGTGTGGGTGCAAGGGGCCAGAAAGGGTCCGTAGAAAGGAGGAGGAAACAAAAAGGGCGGCAAACAAAGGGCCAGCCAACCCCAAGGACAAATCCAATAGCATCCCCCGAGGCAGTGAACCATCCCTTAAGCCTCTGAAGTGAGAGGGGGGAGGGAGAGGGAGAAAAACAGGAACAATGGCGTAGGATCACATCCAATGGAATCCATGACGATTCAGTTCTATTGCTCTTCTCTCTATGTGCATTCTTTCGGCCTGTGGTAAGCGCTAGGATCTTTTGAATTATGTCTGAATGCATATAATTCCATATTCCATTTGATATATAACAAACGTTCACTGAGTTTGGCTACGGACGGTAATACTTTCTTCAATCTCTGCAATACGGTTAACACCACTGGACACTGGCTGAACCGTTAAGATAGATCATCGTATCAAATAACGAGTATAATCAAGTAGGGCGTCACTTCAAGGAAGTACATAACTCGATAGTTAAACATGATTAACCAGTCTCATCGCGCGATGTAACAATAAAAGGATTTATTATACAAATTTATACTACGAACGGAGTTTCCAACGTGCGAGGATAAATTAATACGAGGTTAATGCATTAATGCTCTCTTTGTTCCTGAACACTGTATGTAGCCGGGTGATCCTAGTAGGGGAATAGAGAAAAAATATAGAAACAAGAGGAAAAAGAGTTATTCCCTAGAACAAGATGCGTTTTTCCCTCGAGTGAAGTTTCGCGCCTCGTTGCCTGTAGCAGACAGTTCGGCGCGTTGAATAAGAATGAGGATAAGATTGCGTGAAAGACAAAGAGAGAGACAGTGTGTTGCCGGCAGAGCTTGTGAATAAGAGTATTAAAAAAAATAGAAAAGAAACAATAGACATGGAGAATTCGTCGCTCGTTGAAGCGAGATTCAAAATAAAATAAACGTGCAACCGTTTGATTTACGGTACCCAGCATCAACCTACCGCACGGCATACCGAAATAGACCACATAGAGACTATTACGCCGTATGCACCGTGTAAATATACCACGGTAACACAACTACCGTGAATACATATATACGTATCTATAGTCTTAGCTTGGCATTTATCGGGTGTTCACAAACGTTCCCAGCCGTGCGACAACGATCACAGTACTTGCCAGGTAGAGAAAAAGAAAAAAAAAGAAATAGTTTAAACTCGAAACTGTGGCGATTGCCTACGTTACCGACGCAGGGTCGATAAAACAGACAAAGCCTAAAAAGGAAACGAATCAAGTGAAACAGGAAAGAAATAAAGATCAGTGACCTAATAACGTATTAACTTCACCTAGACATAAGAAGAAAATGGAAAAAAAAATTCGTGACTGGTTACATGTTTTCCGCATTAAATCACCAGGAGCCCATGCTCGTGACGATCCCGGGATACGTTTTACCTGGATCTACGTGACTCTACATGGGGCTGGGTGATCGCGGCGTCGAGGGAGAATGCTAAAAAGTGTGGTAAAAGTGGTCGACACGTGACGAACAGAGCGTGAAGGCAAAAGGAGGTAGGGCCCCAAGAGTCTAGTCTACGGGGTGTCCCCATAAATACCGATAAACGTCTAGTAAGCTTGACAAACTGAGGGTGGAACTCCAATATCCCATCGGCAAGGGACAATTAATCGTACCGGGATAAATTTCTTACGGCGTTCTAAGGATACGAGTCACAAAGAAGAACGTAGGAAACAGTAAAACTCCGAAGGACATACGACTAAACTAGAAACTAGAATTCTAGAAGAAGAGTATCCTGATATTCATCTGTAACGAATCGACGAAGAAAGATTTTCATTTTGTTCTAATGAATTTCGACGTCGTCCTGAAATCCACGACAAGATAAAGTGGCATCCACGTACGTCGGATACGCGAGCATTGAATTCGACTGGTAGTAGACACTAACCAGGGTAGGGAAGGTGCGTAAACTACAGCGTGGGCGATAAAACCGGTAAAGTTACAGCTTACGAAATACTGTCCAGCTCTAGTCTGATATATCCATAGACATATTTTCTATAGGGTATTAAGAAACTTCTTTTTTTCTTCTTAAGAAACCAACAAACTTCTCGTATCCAAAGTGAATCCCCAGATAGAACTTTTTACGGAAATGAAAAGTGACTTAATAAAAAAAGGTCTTCCCAGGTTTCTCAGCGTCTAGAAACGAAATTATCCAAAGAGATTGCTCAGTAAGCCTGCAACATATAAGGGAAACGCACCGTTGAAGTGAGATCGATCCGTGTCGACGCCGACGTCGTCCTGTGATACGTTTTTCGCGGGTAAGCTCGCCCCACGATAACGTAACTGTCTTTAATGAATCTTTAATGGAAACGATGAGTTCGCGCATGCTATACATACGTTAACGTCCTTCTCTATACAATAGCAAGGATGTAACTATAGATACAGAAGCCAGTGTATATCGTTTAGTAATGGAGTATATTGTTCAGGGTTGCATTGAAGACAGGACAAAGTAGTCCTCTCCCCATCTATGCCATCCACTGAATTCCATCAATTTATTACTGCTTTATCGAGGGCACTGGACTGTCTGCTGTTTATTGAAAGACAGAGGGATGCTGGATGACAGAGGCTGAACGTACGTTAACGTTGTAGTGTACAAAATTGAAGTAGAAGAATGAAGGAGGAGTCATTGACAAAATTTTAGGGCGTATATGAAAGTAAGACCAATTGTATGTGCACCCTGAGTCACCCACTCAGAGAGATTCTATTCGCTACCCTCTCTGTGGAACTGCAGGCTCACCAGCCCTCTCTTGCTCTCTGTCTCGTCACTGACTACCCGGTAACTCCTCTCTCTCTGCATCAATAACAGCCAACCGATGTGCAGAGGCTCTCAATTCCAGTATCGCCTACGAGGTACGCCCCTCTATCATTGGCCTGTTTTTTCTTCTATCTGGGGTTGGACCACTCATTATTTTTCCTTTAGGCAGTTGATGTTCCTGTGAGATATAAGTATAGTGGGACTCGAGATTGCAGCTCATGTTATTGGGTTTTTGACACTATGGGAGACACTGAAGGAGATGGATGCGTTTTTCATATGAAGAGTTTTTCAGTAGAAGAGTTCCTGGCGGGAGGACGGAGAGGGGAAGGCTCCTCGAATTACCAACCGGTAATTTTCTATGGATTCACTCTTATGTTCTCTCTCTTCCTTTTATGTTTCATTTTTTGTTTTTAATTACACTTTCAAGTGTATCCGGTATCTCGTATCAGCCTGATGTAAACGTATAAACAGCACTGGCCTCTGTGTTAATAAGAAGAACACTGACTGTATGTGTGCTGGGGAAACTTTTTTGTGACGGTTGCATATCACGATGAGTCGAGAGTCTCAATATTGTTCAATTTGCACAAGAGGAAACGTCGAAGATAGTTGCGTGGCGATCAGCGAGGACGAGGAGTATGCTCTGGAAAGGAAGTAGGATATTTGCACAACATTCCATTGTAGATTGTCTCATTGTGCTCTGATGACTGATCAGACAAATGTGGAATAGATACTTCAAGTAACTTTTTTTACAATTAACTATATTTTCCCTTTAAGATTATACATGGAAATTAGCTATGTATTTCTGACAAGTTGCAAAAAAAGATCATTCAAGAGCAGGGTCGCTGACCCTGAGAAGCAGCTATTGATAAGATCTTATCTGACCAATAGCTAATTAACAAAGATCATAGAGGTCATTCATGTATTTCCAAGTGAGGCCAAGGATCCCAGATTATTGGTATAACTGGTAACTGATGCTAATTACAGTTACGCAGGATCTATATCTATATACATATGGATAGTCTATCCATATTGGATCTATACATGTATATATATCCCGTGAAGTAATTCCTATTTAATCCTATCGATTTCAAATGGTACAAGGTGATACCAAGAGAGATAAGATAGGCTTGTTTATATAGACCTAATGAAACCTCTATATAAAATTTTTCATAGAAATCAAAAGCTGTAGTTTATTATACATCTAGAACATGGGAGCCAGTACCTACCTAGATCCAATCATAACCATTATCCCTGTCAAAGAAATATGATTTATGATAGATTTCAAAGCGTGAAATATAAATTCAATTATTACAAATTAACCAAGAGCAGGGGTATAGCTGCAGGTATAGAAAGGCAATGGTAAGCAGTAACAAAGAATCTCTGGATCGATAAACTGGCAACTCATTAAATCTCTGAGCTTGTACTTAGTGCAAGTAATTAATCCAGAGTAATGAAAAATTAAAAAGAATAAAAGAAACTGCTTAGGCAGCAACAATATTTCCAAGGGCTTATTCAGAAGTGTATGGACAATATGCCTTAGTAGATTTAGAACATACACCAGTAACTGGAATCTATGAGCCTGTAGGGATGAGAGATGAAAAGAGATAAAGACGAAAAAAAGAATAAGAGAACTATAAGAGCAAAAAGATAAAAGAGACGCTAGTACCCTTCCGTCGTGGTCAGAAATTATCCCCGTGAGCATATAGCACCTGTGACTTAAAGGACCGATCTTAACTATAAATAACAGGAAACTCAAGAGTGTGTGACTGAACGATAATAGCAGGGTGATTAAATAATCAGGGTAAAGGATTTTTGTCCTGTCGGGACTTACCGGGCCTCTGGACCAATGTCAACAAAGCGAATGGAAGTAGAAGAACGCGCGGCTCCATTGGACCAAGCGGGTGTCACAAGGCGGATTCCTGTTTTGGAATTAGATGCACTTAAGACTTAACCAGATCACTGGCTTAACACTTATCAATTGATTATCACGTCACTATTCACCATCGTGCACTACGCACTGTAAATGAACTCGCTAACGTCATTTTTTTAGGCACTTCACTTGCGACAACGCGCTATACTTTAACATGGCTAACCGACGAGTAAACACCTCCGCATTGTATGGATTCGCTACGCGCACTAGTATTCGAGCATCGAGCTGCTCCAAACTGGACTCATTGACGACAGCGCTAATGCGGAGGAACTATTGACTAAAAGATCCATCGCCTGCTTGAAAACGTCTGTCAGTTTGAACATTGTGATTTGGAATTATTATAAGAATTTAGTCGTACAAATGGAACGTTATATTTCAATTATTTATGCTAAGCAATGAAATATAATCTTTTTGAGAGAGTAGATTAACGTTAAGATCTATAGAGATATATTAATATAAAAGATTTTTCTTGGAAATCGGAGCATTAGAACTTTTTTCATGGATACTGGCTATGCCATCGTTGCATCTTTTAGTTTATGATATTGGTAAAGCGTCTTTTCTTATGAAAAAGGTTAGGTTGTGTTTATGAGAGTGTTTACAGTAAGCTTTTATTATTGAAATTCATGTAGGTTTTCTCTGGGCGTGAACGATATCATATTTTAGCAGGTTTCTTCTACATAATTGGTAAGTTCTATGAATTTTTTACCTTTTTTGAGGGATTCTTTTCATCTTTTTTGGTATACTTGTTAAGTCACTCTTAGTAACTTTTCTTATTTCCTCAAGAATATTTTATAAACCGGCAAGATGTCGGGAGGGATGTTGTATGGAGGTGATGAAATTGGTGCACTGGTATTTGATCTTGGTCACCATTCTTTACGTGTTGGCTATGCACAAGAAGATACACCCAAGGCTGAGATCCCTGCCGTTGTTGGGGTCGGTGAAGATGGAAATTGTACAGCTGCTAAAGTTGAGCCCATGGATGTTGATGATAAGAAACCAGACAATAATATAACACAATCTGGGACCAAATATTATATTGATACTACCGTACTTCATGTACCTCGTAAAAATATGGAAGTCGTTAGCTATATGAAGGATGGTATGATAGAGGACTGGGACCATTTTGAAAAGGTAATATTCTTTATCTACAACAGATTTAGTTTTCATAATATGATATACTAATGTTACTTGGCTAGGTTTTAGATTATACCTACTCCAAAGTTATTCGATCGGATGCTGAATATCATCCCGTATTATTTTCTGAATCGCCTTGGAACATACGTAGCAAAAGAGAGAAGCTGACTGAGCTTATGTTTGAGAAGTACAATGTACCAGCATATTTCCTGGTCAAAAATGCTGTTCTCGCAGCCTTTGCTAACGGACGAGCTACTGGAATTGTAGTTGATTCCGGTGCTACTCACACTTCTGCTGTTCCTGTCCAAGACGGCTTTGTTCTCACTCAAGCAATCGTAAAATCTCCACTGGGAGGTGACTATATAAGCATGCAATGCCGACAATTTTTACAAGTACGATCTTCTATTAGCATCCTCTAAGAAAAATACTTGTAGTAGTAATAATTTGTAAAACTTTACCGATCACTAGGATAACGATATAGACCTTTCGCCATCGTACATGGTGGGTAGTAAGGAAATTGTCAAAGATCATGAAAAACCTCGATGGGTCAAAAAGAAAGGACTCCCAGAAGTGACAAAGTCCTGGCACAATTATATGGTAAAGAAGCTAGTGCAAGATTTCCAGGCGACGGTTTTACAAGTCTCCGAGACTCCCTATGACGAAAAGATAGTATCTACCGTACCAGCAGTACAATATGAATTCCCAACGGGATATCATCAGGTCAGTTGCTCAAAAATCATTTTACAAAAATACGTACAACATCGTATACCTTTCTTTTAGCAGGACTTTGGTAGTGAACGGTTCAAAATCCCGGAAGCCCTCTTCGACCCAAGTATGGTCCAAATGCGTGGGGGGATGGTCGGCAACACAATGTTAGGCGTCGGCCACATAGTTACAACAAGCGTCGGGATGTGCGACGTCGACGTCCGACCTGCCCTATATGGCAGCGTTGTTGTTACTGGTGGAAATTCATTTATGCAGGTAAATCGTCGTTAAACTCCCCGATTCTTTTAATATCTTTTAGCGATCATAACTATATAAGACCTTATCGTCTTTTTTAATATTTAATTCTATTTATCCAGGGCTTTCCTGAACGACTGAACCGTGATCTTTCAATGAGAATACCGTCAAGTATGCGCTTGAAATTAATAAGTGCTAATGGATGTGCTGAGAGAAGATTCGGCGCCTGGATAGGCGGCTCGATTTTGGCGTCGATCGGGACCTTTCAGCAGATGTGGATATCCAGCCAGGAATACGAAGAAAGCGGAAAGAGTCAAGTTGAACGAAAGTGCCCCTGAGTCTACGTGGTATTTATAAACACTGAGTTAAAGATATAAACATTTTTCGTATTAAAAAATACTTCACGCGACTTCACTACACGTAAAGAATTGCAAGAAATCCGTTGCGACGCCTCTGGCTACTGTTAAACAATTTTTTCCAAGACACTTCGCATTTAATCGTCAGTGAAATGCGAACCATTTTGGATTAATTGGTATACGAGTTTTTGTCTGCATTAACGTACGCGTTTATTATATTATGTAATCTGTGACATTTGTAAAATAGACTGGACAATATTGAATCGAGTATTTTTTTATATCTTTTTATTTTAAAAACGTTTCTTTTTGCATTTCTTCAAAGCCATAATGACTCCGTGGTACTAGATTATTTATTTATTGGGACTAGTACTGATGAAAGGAAAAAGTTAAATGATTGTAAGTGGAATCGATCCGATAATGGCTGCTATTTTCTAATTATTTATTCGTAATTATCTTATATACAATTTCTGGAATCATTCTATACACCAAGACCCTAAGATAGCTCCTGGTATCTCCTTTTGTCAATCTTTAACCAGGTTTCACACTAGGTTGTCCTACGTTCGGGATGATTCAACAGTTTCAAATAGAAAAATTTATTTATCTCAACAAATGGTTTCTGAACATTGTTGGCCTATATCCACAGAAATCGTGGAGATTTGTTACATCATTATTTTGCATGTTGCTTCTTGTGATACCGCAGTTTGTGCAGATTTATTTATTCTGTACTGATCTGTCAGTGATACTTGAGACGAGGTAAATTATTTTATATCGTATTGATGGAAGTGATTATTTGTTATAAAAAATTGCCACCACAATCTGTATATTGTTAATGTGTTGCTCGCAGTTCGGTTTTATTCACAATTCTGTTAGCGATGCTAAAAGGCGCCGTGTGGATATTCAATGGTAAATCTATGGAGGACTTAGTGGGATTTTTATTTAATGAGTATTGGAAGATAATAGAGTCTTTTGACAATTCTAAGACTCTTGTGAAATATGCTGGGTACTATATCTGTGTATATTATTCTTATGCTATATATATTTTTTGTTTCTCTTGGATTTTTCATTGGAAAGATATTTCTGGTTTTAGATACGCTAATAAGATGACCAAGGGTTATACGTTTTTAATAATAAACGCTTTACTATTTTTCTTCAGTTTACCACCCATTGAGATACTCATACTAAAATTTAATGGCACTTATAAGAGCAGTGATAAGCATTTTCCATTCCCTGCGACTTATCCAGACTTTCTTAAGGAGTTTCCATATTTTCAGGTAGCACCTTATAGTAAAATCATTTATTGTATATGCTTCTTTCTTAAAGGTAGTATGTGAATGGAAAATCATTCATTACCTTTGAGAAAAGAATATTCGCAACTGAAAATATTACTATGGAACACCATTGAATGGAATTAACTCAGTTTCATCTATAACATATTATTCTGAAATTTTTAATGTACTATTCAGATTGTTTATTTCTCACAAATTATTGCTACAATGACTTGTGCTTTGGTGATACTTGCCACTGACACTTTAATAGCAACCGCGTTGTTTCACACTTGCGGTCAGTTTGTTGTTATACAACAAAAACTAGAACTTCTCAGCAGTAACGACGGACATGAGACGGGTGAAATGATCAAGAGGAAAATAATATTAATAGTGAAGCATCATCAAATGGTGATAGGGTAATGATGAAAATAAGTTTGTTGTAAAAAATTCCCAAAGCTCTCTTGATGTGCAAAGAAAATAAATTTAGGTTTTCGAAGAAAATGGAAAGGGTATTTAGTCCCATGATGTTTCTTCAAGTATTTGCAAGCAGCATGATAATTTGTCTTGTCGGACTACAAGTTAGCACAGTGAGTAGAGCGACTTAAAGAATTAATGAAATTTTTAATTACAAAAAAGGAATTATTTTAACAGACATTTACCAACCAGTACAAATTAGTCAAGTATTTTTCGTACTTGCTAATGGCGTTGTTCCAGTTGCTACTTTTTTGCTGGCCAGGTGATCAATTGTTATTGCAAGTAAATATATGATTTAATACCTCACGTTGTTTGGAAGTTATTTAAAAAATATAATTAAACGGTAAATAAATAGAGTGGCAAAGTATGTCAGTCCGCATACTTTACAAAGTGGTACCAGTTTGGTAAGGAACGGAGAGGTGAAATACAGTTGATGTTGTTACGTAGTCAGAAGCTAATTGGTATAACAGCTGGCAAGTTTTACTTGATGAGCTTAGAAAATTTTAATGTAGTAAGTAATATTATCGACTTATGATTTGACTTTAATTATTGTCATTAAAAAAATATATATTTATTACACTATCATAATAATGCCATAGGATTGTTTAACACTAATTAATACTATTTTAATAGATATTGAGTACCTCCATGTCGTACTTTATGGTGCTCAGGAGTTTCAACTCATCGGAGGGTAAATAAAATTTTTCTGACCAAACAAAAGGACTGTCAAAATCATGGCAAGTACATAAAAACATATTATTAAAAAAAGATAGTTAACTAATAATTCATTTACAAGTGAGGTCCCCAACCAAAATACATTTGGCAGAGATTATCAACATTCGTTGCTTCCAATATAAGATGATTTGTCTGACCTTCGACACTGAGATTAAGAGCTATGTTATCCAACTTTTTTCCATGAGAGCGTATAAGACCCTTAAGACGTTGTTCTATGTTTTTTATATTCTCCACAGCCTGTTTAAAGATAAATTAAATAATTTAGAACAGAGTACGAGGTCAGAGAGTTAAAAAAATCAAAACTTTTTACTTTCGTACCTTCTCATTAGTTTTCTCACCAGCCTCGCTTGGTTGATTTTTATTCCAGGTTACTAAAGGATCGTAAACGAATGGAGTAAGGATACTAAGCAATGTAGTAGCTTGCTGCCTCAGGACGCGCATTGTAGTCTGACAGGACCTTCTAAATGGACCTTCGTATTTCAAAGGACCCATAGCATCTACCATATTTTGCGTTAAACGGAAGGGCACTCGTTCTGGCCAGTCGAAGTACTCACCCTTAACAAAAAATATGTACAAGAGTCAGAAACAGTTGATTAATTAACACGTAATTACTTTTAATAATTACCCGATTAAATAAACAGTTGTAATCCACGTGAACGCAGTCCCCACATTTTGAATCGAACAGTATATTCTCACCATGACGATCACCCAGTCCTAATATATATCCTACCATGGACATTACCGCGGTAGTCCTTATATAAGCTGTTCGTGCCTCGTACCTAAACAATTAATTTAATTAATGAAATCTTATCAACTAATTAACAATGATATACTAACCATCCATAAGGATCTGGAAACGTGAGACGAAACCAATCGCCAAGGACAGGAGGATACCTAGGAAGTAATTTATTGACAAAAACGTTTCTTTTATCTTCGAGAGAATCCTTTAGACCTGTCGGTATTAAATAAATTTTTAAATAGCTACACTGTTGTATTGTATGTTGTTAGTATTTGTATAGCTTACGGCAAAGTGTACTCTTCAATTCTTTATGATTCATCCCAACTCCAAGTTCCTTATACATTTCCATAACTATTGGTCGAAAGCCAATCAAGTTTTGTACCCATTCTATCAGACCGCATTCCTCATTTAATGGTACGACACTCTATAATTCATTTAATTATTTAATAAAATTATGTCACTTATATTTTGCTCGATCTACACATCTACTTACATAGGTGCGAATGTAAAGCCTTCTACGACGTGATTCTGGATCTTTTTGCAGGTACTTATTGACAATATCATTAAACTCCATTAATCTGAAGTCCCTACGTAAGTCATCGGTTGGTTTGCACATAAATAAGTATAATTGACCATCGGATCCTCTTAGACTGATTCTTTTTGGTTTCTGCAGCGAAGCCATTACTGTGACAGTGTCTTCGATACCAGTAATATGAACCCATTGGCTACTCCGAATGAAGAATTCAATAATTTTTATAGATTTGAAAGATAATATAAAATAACCTTCTGTATACTCACATAGGAAATGGATTATGCTTTTCGAAAGACGTACCCTTAATGGGTAGATGAAGTTGTCGAAACTTTGTCGTAGGCATCATTATGGCACTGTAATTCGGACCAGCCAATAGCCTTGGCAAAGTTTTAGATAAGGTAGTAATAGATGCTGTATTGGTACCCTGTGCAAAAATTCAATTCTGGTTATTGTGGGTAACTGGATAAGCTAAAGAAGATAAACAAGTATTATATTGAAAGTTCTACTCACTTCAGGTATATTCTTGTTGGAGAGCTCGATAAGTCTTTCCCAAAGTTTGTCAAAATCTTGAACAAGCTTGTAGAGTTCTGGTGTCTTCAGCTTTGGATGATTCAAAATTTCTTGACATCTTCTTTGGCGCATAGGATACGATGACTGATCAAAAAAGAAAAGAGATAGGACAGTTGGAAATATTTGTATGGAAGAAAAATTGTACCTTGAAGACGGAAGCCATCATCCACAAGCAATGTTGAGGATAAGCAACTATCAGTTTCACCAGTATGAAACACAGTGTGTTCTGAACTTCTTTGGCAGGATGACAAATCCTGGAGACAAGTTGACTGAATGCTGTGAGCCATATGAACGCAGGCAATCTGTCAAAGTAAACGTCTGAAAGACAAAAAAAAATATAGACACTTTGAATTTAATATAAGACAAAGAAATAATATTGAAAGGTGTTAAGACTTCACGGGGTTTACCCATAATCCTTGTCATCTTCAGAAGTGTGTCTAGGCGTGACTTCATTGTTGAACTGTGAGTCTGAGCGCGTGAACCATAATCTAACCATATGGTTAACATCCTGGGGATAGACTGATGCACATATTTGCATCCATATTGAAGTGACTTTCCATAGTTATTCATCATATGTATCTGCAAGTCACTAAAATACGAAATTTTGAGAATAAGATGATATCAAAAAATAATTATATGCTTACCGGCCCTTTATGTCCTTTTCCTCGTCAGTCATTTTATCAACTATAGTTTCGAAATACAGAGCACAACAGAGAAGACCTTTTTCCCAACCACGCCAGACTTCGACGACCTCCTTGTAATTCGCAATGTTGCCATCAGTGTCAACGTTTAAAGTCTCATCATTGTACTTGGCGAAAAGTAACTTAGCCTTGAGATAAAAAGACAGATAAAAAATATTTCTTAATTAAATTTAATTAATTAAATCCAAAAACCACTTTAAATACCTTGGCACACTGACGACGTTCCTCAATACTAGTACCAGATGGTAATTCTTTGTAATGACCAACCGGCTGAAAGCAACTGGCAAAGCAGCGCTTCAATGTCGTAAAGGCTTCTTCCTGGCAGCCTTTTTGCCAATAAAGTTGAGCCTGCTCTATGTACAATTCCTGAGGTGGACAAGACTCCATGGCAGAAAGTATATAAGTATAAGCTTGTTGATATAGACCAGCCCTGAGTATATGTATAATATTACTTTCAGACTTAGTATTTAGCTCCGCAGTACTTACTTTCTTGCAATTTTTGCACTCTTTAACCAGATCTTTCCAATTTCCTCGCGTAAAGTTGACCTCACCGACTGTGAGGACTCCTGGTGTAATTGCACGGCAAGATCTAAACTGGCACGACGCATCCCTAGGACAAATTCGACGCCCCGAGATGCGTGTATCAGTTGACTTCGTTTCTCCCACTCCTCGAATATCGCTGGGAGATTCTCCACGTTCTCCAACATCATCTCCGTGGCCTTTTCAAACTCGTTTAAGATGTGAAGTCTAAACATAGAAATATTTAGATATCTTAAAGAAGCGAGACTGCCTAGTAGCACTTACTTTGTTATGTACGAATAACTCTGCTGATAGGCCCCTTGATGTGAAGTTGCACCTATCAGAGATACGAGCTTCTTCTTGAGATTCTGCAAATTAGGCTTGACTCCGGACTTCAAGTTTTTAAGCAATGAACACTTCACTGTTTTCTGCTTGGCATCGTCCAAACGGGAAAAGTGCGCAAGGCGCCAAAAGGATTCATGCTCCACCATAAGAATCTCTAATTCTGGTCTTTGGATTTACATAGTAAGAGAAGAATCAAATTATTTTTAAAATTCAGACATGATTTTATTGATTTAAAATATTTACCTGCTATTTAGAACACCCTCTGTGATATTCATTGCAGTAAATGGTTGATCAAGATCAAGATAACACTGGACCATTCCCTGAAGATAGGCGGGCTTCAGATTCTTCTCCTGTGCTAGTTTCTCATAGCACATGGCAGCATCCTAAGGTAGTACACGATAGAGGATTATTTTTTATTTCAAGATTTTATACAATTTCAAATATTTACCTGCAATTGCCCACTAATTTCATGCGCCAGAACAAGTTGCTGAAGCGTAGGCGACTGATCTTGCGTCGCGAGGATACCGGAAACACCGTCCAGATCCTCTAGTTGGGCATAGATTTTCTGCAAATATTGTTCTCGTTAGTTATTTTCTTTATGTTGTTATAAATAAATTTTCACTCACTGCTAGCAAACCACGTTCTTTTATTTCCGACAATCCTTTGCTATTTTTGGTCATGTGCTGTTCCAAGTAAATCAGAGCACGATGATACTCATGTGATTGATAACATCCTTCAGCTAGTACTAAGCTATCGAGCTTGTTGCAAAAATCTAAACAGACAATAAACATCGTAAGTTTTACATGGATAAAAAAGATCTGCTAAGACCTTGCTACCTTTAATCGTTGCGAATTTTGAGTTTTTGTACATTCTACGTTCTCTGAGCCAACGTTGCAGGTGATCCAAAATTGAAAAGACAACTTGAGAACAACGAACACGTCTGGCTTCATCTGATATCCTGGTGGCACCAGATTCCATGACGTATTTATGTCTAAGGGGTCTTCTTCGAAGAAGTTCTTGATCTAGCTTATTAAACTCTTTACCACTGATCACAGCCATCATTTCCTCAGTCAGTTTTTTGCGTTCATTTTCCGTTCCATTAGCCACGATATGACCTTTCCAAAGAAAGTAAGAAGAATGGAAAATCAATCAGCCACAAACATAAAATAATAATTTATAAATAAACTCACAAATTATATAAGGCATACAAAATATCAAAGTCTTGATATCCCGACGAAATGCAGGTCTACATGCATTTATTATGTTTGCCAATTCAATCTGCCGTACACTGTCACACATACTGCATACCCAATTGTAAGCCCATTTTTCAAAAGTCGAGCCAGCTTCAGATCTAAAATATTTGATTTGTTGTATCATTTAACAATTTTCTTAACCATCATTAAATTTCATAATTCTATAACTGACCCGTAGATGGGATGTGGTTGTTGAATATTTTCGCTACCAGTTGTAATCTTATAATGGGATGTCAAAAAGGGTGTAATCATCTGCTGCATTGTTACTGGAAGACTCCGCCATTTGTACTTATTGTTACCATGCGGTGAGATTCCATAGGTTTTTAAAATTTCCTGAAAATACAGAACAGAATTTAGTAAAACTATTATATCACAGCAACAGTAACTATTGTATAACGTTTGATACGTACTTGAATGGCCAGTGAGAAACAGTCCATGCTCTGTGTACTTTTCTGCGCCTGAAAGGCTCGAACCAGCTCAAATAACGTAGCACAGGCAAATTCTTCATCCATATCAACTATGAATTTACTATCAGCTGTGAATGTAATAAGAGATGGAATTGTTAATTTTGATTTCTTAAAAATGTATCCCACCATATATAAAATTTATCCCACCTCTAGAAACGATTCGACGTGGAAGTAAACTAGGCTCCACTGCACCAAGTTCGCCAATACATTCTCCATATGCTAGACGGATATTTTCATTCTTGTCCTGACATCCGGCTAGCAGGTGATCTAGCAGCTATAAAAAAAAGTATGTCTTGATGATGAGCAATTAATTAATTGACGACTAAGATGACAAAGCATACCTCGACGATCAGAGGATGCACGTCTGTGTCATTGAGAATTAATTCATTGATGCCTGTGCGATGCTCTGATAAAAATTTTTGCAAATGTATTAAAGCTTTCAAACGGACTTCCTCAGTCTCGTGCGTTATCCTTTTGAGCCATAATTTCAAGTTGTCTTCCATGCTGCTGGGTCTGTGAAAAGTAATAATTGATGATATACTGTAAAAATGTAAAATTAAATTTATAAACAAGAACCGACTTACATGGCTTTCTTCGAAAGATTCCTCACAATCTGTGAGATATTCTCAGTAGTTTTAATGTCATCGATGAAGAATAATTCAGCAATATTGTCAGCAATCAATCGCTTATTCTGCACTATGAGGTATTCCAGCATTGCGTTGACTTTGTCTGGATAAATTTCCAGCAATGTTATAAGTGACACGCAGATAGTTAAAAGAAGAGGACCCAGGTCTTTAATAAAGACACTAAAACAGTTTAAATATCTAACTAAAATAATCTCTTGAAATTCTAGATGAAGTGAAATCAAGTTATAAATACTTGTGAAGAAATGCATCCCAAGCTTCGCAAGCCAATCGACGAAATCCTGGTCGTTTGAAACTAAGTGAAGTACGTAGAGTAGCCAAAATTTTATATCTCAATGGCGTTATATGACTAGGACCCATAAAACGAATCAGTACAGTCAATGATACTAATGCTGATTGCTGAGTGTATTCATCTGAACGTGGACCAAGATTTAAATCAAGATTCACCAAGACACCATGGAACCGAGGACTCAAGTAGGTCGCCTAATAACAGATTTGACCAAGAGAGTATTAAAAAAAGATAAAATAATTATTAGAAATCATTAGAGTTAATATTTTTATTACTAACCAAGCTTTCCTGGGTATCGAATCTTCCTTTGCATTCTAAATCGAACTTTGAAATCATCTCCAAGTATTCAATGACTTTGTCTACGTCCTTGTGAAAATTCAGCAACAATTCGTTGAATATACCCTGTTCGGTGATGGTAATTCAATAAGAAATCAATAATGATCTAAGAATGTATAATATATCATTCAATTAATTGATTTACCATGAAGGATCGAGTAGTTAAATCAGCTATACTTGTTTCAGCAGACTCAGAAATTAATTTGAAACACTGTGCACCAATCATGCTGGATTCGTTTAACAGTATATAAGGGCAGATATACTGAAATATCAAATATAACAAATTATTTAATAATTGCAATTTTCTTGTGACCTAAATATTCTTATACATACTTGAAAGTATTCAGAAAACATCTGCTTCTCATCCATCGTTATAAGCTCAGCAATATCATGAAGAAGTGGACTGGCTTTCGGTTCCTGTACGATCAATGGCAACAAGAAGCACACAGCATGGTGTCCATCTTTTCTTAACAATTGTCGAGATCCTTGAAATCCTATACACTTAGCCAGACGATGAAGAGTAGTAGCCATGTTATAAGAATATTCAATATAATTATATACAGCACTCCTCATGATGAGCTAAAATTACAATGGATCGGTTGATCAGAATACAGTTTTGACTATGCTTGACAAGAGAAATCTTTGTGACATTATTTACTCTAAGAAAGTCCTTCTTGTAGCGAACGTATAAAGACTTGAGAGAGACTTTTCTAGATTCTGCAATTTGCTGATAAGCCATCGTAGCCAAAGCAATAGCTAAGGAACTGGAATTTGGATGGAGTATCGTTATCAAGAATATATTAAGTGTTCGCCTCTCTGTCAAGTGACAAGGAACCCTGTAAATAATTTTTTTAATGTTATTCAAGAAGGGATATTATTTATTTTTACTTGAATTCTTATTACCTAACAAATTCTCTAGCCGTATCCAGAAGTGTCTCATGTATAGCAGTGTTAGGTAATTCCAAAGCCTTTGTTAAGGTGTCTCTCATAATTGCAATAATCAAATCTACAAAATCCTCAAGATCACTAGGAATGTTATCTTCTAGTTGGATTTGAATATTTTCATATAAATCATTAAAAATGTAGGACAATGTTATTTTATTCTGAAATATTGCTCCTATCACTTTTGCAACATTCGCGCGAATCTCATCATTATCGTCATGAATGTACGTGGACCACAAATTGGCTATTTCAATGGAATTGAAAGATTTCGCGTGATTGGAAAATCTTAGAAAGTTCCTCGACATGCACAGACGCACTTCAGTGAAGTTTGAAGTCAGCAATTTGAAATATGGTTGGAGAAGTCTGTCACAGCTGTTTTGAACTTTAGCGAATTTTCCAGTAACATTGCTGGCTTTTTTATCACAATCCTTGCAGACGATTGTCCACTGTGTATCGTGTTGAGACTGCCTGATAATTTTAGGAAAAATAATAATTAATATATACATACGGATATGATTATTTAAAGTAAATATAAATTCTCTTACTTCGCTATACGAGCTCTTCCCGACAAAAAACAGACTCCATGACCCAGAACATTTCCCAGAGCTTCCTGGAGTTTTTGTTTCTGGGAATTCAAAGCGTAATTTAAAATGTTCTCGTTTATATCTTCCAGGTTTATCTGAGGATCCCTTATAAGCAGTATTGAGTTTCTGAAATCAAATGTACCTGCCAGTGTCCATTACTTTTATATTATATTCGTGTTGCTTACTGTATCGCAGCTACGGCCAGTTCCACTTCACAATTAGTTACACAAGTACGTAGTAATTCTATTCTCCAATTTCCGGTTCCAAATTCACAGAGAATTTCAATGTACTTGACCTTGGTACTGACGTTCAAACACTTCGCTACGGCTAATGTACTCTTGTCGATCTTTAAAACTGAAGGAAGATCCTTAGTCCAGGGCAGAGCCAAGACTTCCTGAATCTTTAGTCTATTGGCTTCTCGATGAGCCATCAGATGCATCATGTTCTCGAAGACGGCCTTTTTTGCGTGATTACTCTCACTGGATAATGTATTCAGGAAGTTTTCCAGGATGCGCTGCAAATCAGAGCCGTATAGTTGTACTCGAATGTTGTTTTCTGTTATCCAGGAATCTAATAGTCTGGATGATTCCAAAATGCTGCAGGATTTGTCCAATTTCCTTATATCAACGTTCAACATTAGGAACTTCTTCAAGGCATTCCATAAATCACTAAGTTCTGATAAGTTCATCATTCCTTGTACTGTTCTTGTAGCAATTTTTATTTCTTCATAAACAAAGTAGATTAACACTCCCGCGAAGTTCTAAACATATGTAAGGATGCAGGTAAGAAATTGTGTTATCTTTAAAATACTGGTGCGTACTCACAGAACTGTATTCCAAGTATTGAAAGAATTTTCGTTTTTTCATATTGTCACAGGGTACTGGGTACTTCAAGAAGCATTCTTTGATTTTTGTACAGGCTGCCACTTCGAGAGACTTTAATTCTGTGAGAATTTTGCATCGTTAAATTCGGCTCGTTCTATAAAATAATCATTAGACTCACCAGTAAAATTATCGTAGTAAATCATATCGATAATCTCAAAACAAAGATCCATTATGCTCAAAGATTCATTGAGATTATTAATGAATTTTATCAGAACTGTGGAGAAATGGGACAGAGAATCAGTTGATAAATCTCCAGATGTCTTCCAGGCTGGAATCGTCTTGGCAATTTCAATTGTATAATTGATCAAACTAATTCGGTTCTATAAAAGATAACTTTACGATAATAATTATTCACACAGGATACTTATTGTGTATAAATTTATAGTACCTTGTTCCCATCGTTACAAAACTTTACTATTTCTGTAGCTACATCTAATGCAAAGACTTTGACCTCTGGTGCTGACTTTCCCAGGATCCTGAATATATTATCCCAGAGTTTTGATCGATCCCAAAGAGTTGCATCGGTTTTAAGAATTATCTTAAAGAGTAAAAAGAATTTTTAAGTAAACAGATCTACAGGAATGATATCGCTTGGCAAAAATATAGTACTTTTAAAATTGAGATCAAGGCAGATGATATTCTGTTTCTTAATATTTCTACAGAAAATGGAGTAAGGTCTAAATTTTCAATGGTTACATCACTTTTTGGCTTAAACTGAGACACAACAATGCGTTCTGGCTCCGATTGGTCATCATTAAAATTCAAGAGTACTGTAAACAGAATATAATATTAAATTTAGGAAAAGAACTAAATGACAATAATTACAATACTTACCATCAAGAATTGTCATGTATTCTGATGTTATTCTATGAAACATAACAAGGTGATGGCGATACAAAATATGTATGACACATGCCTGAACTTCTATGCTAAGTTGAAGAACATCATCACTGACTGGAGAACCGATAATATAGAACATTGTTCCAAAAAGCCAGGTGGTAAAAGCTGTCAAAGTTAACCGATAAAAAGGAATAAACAAGTTATTACACAATTTATAGTAAAATTAAAATCATACCAGTATATTGTTCTTGGAATAAATCATAATTTGGTCCAGTGCCTTTGGGTGGAACCAAAATGTTTACCAAGTTCGATGAGCCTCGGAGAATAGATTCCAGCAATGGTATTAAGGTTTGCTCCGTAGCACTGTTACCCAGATCAGCAAGAATGACTTTTATTGGATTATTGATAAACTGCCATACAGTCTCAGTGACTTTAACACTGTAAAATAAGAATTATAATATTGTTAACATTTGTCACACTAATTCTACATAGGTAGTAGTTGAAAATGTAAAATACCTGTTGCTAGTCTGTGAAGATTCTGAAGTATCTTCCACTTCCATTGTCTTCTTTTAAATATATTTCTGTATTTGAATATATTCCAATTTCTTACCAAAGCTCTCATTCAATTCTTTATAAATTAAATATTTACAGAACTAAACAATAAACAATCCCCACATGTATATGAAGACAGATTACATCCAACGCATGGTAAATCAGAGAGAGACCATCTTTGAAAGATCCTGTAGACAGTTGAAGCCGCTTGAAGTAATGATATAACCTGGTAGCTTGTTTGTTACGAGTATAAATTGAGTCTGAATAATTTTAATTGCTGTAAAATAAATGTTTTATAGTAAACAATTACAACGGTGAGAATTACAAGTAAGTAATTAATGTTTGATTTTGTTCAAGTATCTCTTGTATGTAATATTATGTTGGATAATGGCCAGTGACGCTTGATGACTTAATAATGTCACTTCGAAATATTTTTAATTATTTTTGGATTACAGTATGAATTTCCTTTTTGGATGAAATTAATCTAAAAATGAGCGAAAGTGCCGCACCCAGCGAAATTCCCGAAAGCAACGGAGGGCCTGAACCACCTGCATTTAATGGTGAAACCGAGGATCATTCAAGTAGTAATACTGATTTTATATTACTTATTTAAATAATAATACATTACCTTTAAGAGGCATTCAGTAATATTTAATTTCCTTCTTATCCATATATTGTACTTCATTACAGACAAATCTCCAGCTAGTGGAGAGGATAAAGTACCAGATTCAGTATCTGACAATAATATTAAAAAGAGTAATATTGTAACTGGTAGCGGATCTACTGGATCTGTAAATACTGTAAATCGTGGGAAAAAACGCAAGAAAGTTCCAAGGGATGCCACAGCCCCTAAGCAGCCACTTACTGGTTACTTTCGGTATGGAAGTTATGCAAGATATTGATAAGAATATTTTACCACACTGCAGTACTAAATATTCTTTCAGATTTTTAAACGATCGTCGAGAAAAAGTTAGAACTGACAACCCTACAATGCCTTTTGCCGAAATTACCAAGTTATTAGCAGCAGAATGGAGCAGTTTACCTTCTGATCACAAACAAGTATGTTAAGCATCAGGTTCCGTTGTATCTATGTATTTCTAATGTTTCTATAATTATTCACAGCAATATCTGGATGCTGCTGAGCAAGATAAGGAACGTTACAACCGCGAATTCAGCGATTACAAACAGACAGAGGCTTACAGACTCTTCAGTGAGAAACAGTCAACAGAGAAGCAAGTAGAAACCAAAAAAGAACGTAATGGAACTGAACCAGCGTCTGAACAAAACGTAAGTCGATAGACGTAGATGCTATTGTAAGAAAAAAAGATGTATTGTAAAAAACAAATGATGGCTTTCATACTTTAACAGGACGTTCAGCCTGAAAAAGATAACGATTTTTCTGGTTTCGACATTCCAATCTTCACCGAGGAATTCTTAGATCATAACAAAGGTGACATAACTTTACATTTAATTCCTTAAAAATATATTTGATGTACAAAGTTTAATGTGCTAATTGTCTTTACAAAATATTATAGCTTGTGAAGCAGAACTTCGACAACTTCGCAAAGCCACTTCCGACTATGAAGCCCAAAATGCTGTGCTACAGCGACACGTAGACAGTCTTCACGCAGCAGTAAACAGATTGGAGTCAGAAACAAGTCAGCAACGTACAACTAATCAGGCTTTGCAGCGCCATTTGGATTCACTTCGCTCCCAGATGGCTGGTTGCTTCGCCACAGTACCACTTCAAGGTTCCTATTAACTTTCTCTTATTAAAATAGCTGCATGACTTTCCTAAAACACTTCGCGATCTGTTCAATTCATAATGCTTGAGGTACTTCTCTTCAAACCTTTAGTAAAATCTATTCTGCTTTACAGGAACTCACGATGGTGCAACGATACAGAACATTGATGATTACGTAGAGAGACTGGAGTCCTTATTAAGTGGAAACGCAGAACCATCTCTTAGGAATGCTGCTCGAAGTGCTATATCTCGTTTGGAGCTTATCGGATGACGATCACCTCCTACAGCTACGACGCTGAAGCATCACCGATCACGACACTCTCATAGAAAGTGAAGTGAACTCTGGAAAAAGTTTATTCGTTTTATTATTTCTGAGGTACGCGCAGCTCGTTAACTAGATATTAATAATGGTCAATTATTATTTATAAATTGATATTTCACATTGTAAATTATAATTTTTCACAGTGCAGTGTTGTTTTTACTTATACAAATTTCATGATTTAGATCAGGAAGATGCTGTGCGAAGGACTTACTATGTTAATAATAAATATCATTCTATCTTATCAGGATTTCGCACGAGTCCTAATGAATTCCTTAATTTCTCCAGAGAATGTCTGTTAACAAGAAATAATATTATCAATCTTTTAACGTAGCATTAATTGATTTTATTTATACCTTAAGGATGCTATGTTTGTTTTTCCTTTTATCTTCGCATCATAAACGTAACTTTCAATTTTGGGCAGAAGACCCCTTGCTAATGTAGGACTTATCGATCCTAGGACCCGGATGAATTCAAAAGTAGATTGAGGGGGATTTGTCAGTAGACACTTGTCCACACTTCTGCTCAAAGCCTCTTGAAATTTATTTCTGTAATCAAATTATCCAGTCAGTTAGTTATTAACTTACTTCATTCGATTACTAACCTGATTAAAACATTTTCTTTGTAGTAGCAACTGCACATAACTTCGTTTATAAAATCTAGCGTCTGTTGCCTATGAGGATGATGTTCGTGAACCTTAACGTAACATCCAACAATGCGAGTTGTACAAATTGTTACGATTAATTCTATCACACAACTTTTATAAGCTGTGCCAGCCTTCAGGACATTTCTTAGCAATAGCATTACCTGAAATTTGATTTAGAAGAAAAATCAATCCTGATCACACATCAGCATCATTCTAATAAATTAATAGTAAACGTACCAGGTAGCAGATCTTATGTGTTGTATTCTGAACAAAGGTAATAATAAAATTGCCAGAAAGTATTTCAAGGATGAGTCCTAAGAACTCAGATTTAGCATCTTGGAAACACTTGAGTAGAGATTCAGATATTTTGCAGGATCGTGACCCAGTAGTATCTGTTATCAAAAGTGGTAAATATCTAGCGAAAAGATCTCTGATAAGCCCTTGCAAATATATATCCGCCCTCACGTTTAAACTCTCCAACCCGAGGATTACAAGAGAGAATATTTGTTTGGCTATACTAATCACATAGGCGGGTCCTTCTGTTTCGTGTGGGAGAAGTGTACGCGCTATCAGATCTCGTAGCATATTTTTTGGCTAGATTTTTAAGTAATACGATAATTAGTAAAACATTCAAACAGTTAAATCTATGGAAAACATACCGAAGCATACAGCATTGGTGAACAACAGAAAATTAATGTACCAATACAACGGTATATCCATACTGATAAATCAGAATTTATGGATTCATCGGTGATTGGTCCAAGGATCCATTTGTGTACGTTATTAAAGTACAGACAGAATTTTTCATCGAAAGCAGCACGATCATGCTGATTCTAAAATTATCGTTACTTATAGAAATCTCCCAGAGGGTTTGTGTATTACAAAGTAAAACGTCTTTCCGATACCTGACAGAGGGCTCGCTTCTTCATTAGCATCATTATGAAAAAAAAGATTGCTCTAGGACCATTTTGAAATTCCTGCAGTTCATCTACAGTTGTAAGCACTTTCTTTATCTGATCCATATTAGCCACGTACTTTCTCAAAAAGACAGACTGTTCATGCGTTTCATCGTTATTTAGAATAGAGCATTTTATCCATGCCTGAAATGAAACAAGAATATATATCATAACGTTAAAAATAATTAATCAGTCTTCACTCACCTGTATAATAAAAGTATCAAAATTATTTATTAGAACTCTTAAATTCTTTATTTCCTCTTCCTTCTCCAGAATTAATGTAAGATAGGCTCGTGTTATCCTAAATGAAGTATGATACAGTCATGAAGATAAGGGGACGTAACACAGTAGTTTAGTGTGGTAAGATTTATATGATTTATACCTGATATCCTTTATCATAATGGACGTGCTGAAATGCTGAAATAGAGACACTGCAGAATGACTGTGCTTCTTCGCCATTGCAGGATAATGCACAGCATGAAGAGTGAAGAGGAATGCTAATTCGGCCACACTTTCATAATATTGGCTTACTAATAAAAGATCAAAAACTAATTGACGAGCCCTGCCTGCTAAAAAGTTCCACATAGCATTCAGCATTCGTTCAATACCTGTGAGAAAAACATTACAGTCTATGACTTAGAATACAGAATATGAAGAGTAAAAATGAATTGAAATTGACACCTGGACTTTCAGCCTTTGTATATGTGCATTTCTTAAAGACATTAATCATTAAATTAATTAAAGGGCCTGCCCGGTTTTTAGGACATTCCAAAAAATATCGATCGACCCAGCCATCGATGAAAGTGTACTCGTCAAGGTTCATCGATTCACTATTGCTCAGGATAACTCCCAATACATCCACGAAGCTGGACATTATTGATCTAGTTGCTTCATCCTTACAGCAGCTCATTGCGTTTACCTAAAGTTTCTTTACTGAAGCTCTAAAAGTATTGTGTATAATATTGAGATACGTACCACTGGTATACATGCTGCAGTGACTGTGTAATATGAAATTCTTCTTTCGTTGTATAATAACACAACTGCTAAATTTCCTTTCCAAATTAAACTTCGCTTTTTACTGTCATTACTTGGAAGTTTTGATATTGATGGGAGTAGCTTCAACATCATCGAACACTGTAAGATAATATGTTTCGTTGGGTAGAATAAAGATTGAAGTGGACTGTCATATGAACGAAAAAATATTGTACCACATTTTCTGTGTCCGTAGTGACAGCTAGTGTGAGAAATAAAGAAATAAAATTGTAGAGTCCAGGTTCGGAAAATTCTTTGACTTTACTCTCAGAGAACTTTGAGTATACACGTCCTTTTATTTGATTCCAAACTTTTGGATCATTCGTGCTGTAATTTCTCCTTAAGAAACTACCTAGATAGCAGAGTGAAAAATAATTAAAACTGTCATTTAACTTAAACTCTATGCATTTACCTAGAAAACGCAGAAACATTCCATAACTGGATTCTTTATTCTGCTCAAAATTTCCTTCTATCCTTTCCTTCACTTGCTTGAGGATATCCGCTGGTGTTTTTCTACAGGTCTTATTAATTATTGTACCTTTTATTTGGAACAGAACAAAAGGAAGTGACCATAGGATACTTACTTTTCTAGGGACACTGTCCAGGGTCCTGATGTCTGCATCAGGAAGGGTTGATCTAATCTACGGTGAAAGCAATCCCATAGGAAATAAATAACTTGGAGCCGCGGTTGCCACCATTCACTTATTAAAATTCTCAATAAAGGAATCATCACTTTCAATTCTTCATCAATATCATCTCGTTCACCATCCTTACCACCCTTGTTCACATAATTCTTGAGGACCTTCTCAACTTGGTCATAGTTTGGTTTGATCTTTAAACGAAAGAGTAAAAATGTAGTAAATGAGCTCTGGAATTAAATTTAATTGCATCGTTCTTTTTTTTAATTACCCTAGCAGATCCAGAATCTAGATAGACACCATCATTATTGTATCCATATAATAAAGCCATGTGATAAATCATCCAAATGGAAAAGAGTTCAAGATTCTTTACATCAGAGACTTCACTCAATGTTGTATTGATGTGATCCCAAAATGTCTGTATCAAAAATTTTGTTGGATAATTACTGTGAAATAAATTTCTTTATTATTTTATAGTACCTTGGCATTGGAACGTGTTGAGAGATTGTCAATAAATATCTGTAGCATTAACCAAAGTTCTCGCATACATGTGCAGGTGTAGGGAGTCTTTTGTCTTAAATCTGCTAATGGAATCTAGAACAATTTTAATATAATACAGATTTGTTTTAAAGATTATAATCCTTATTGTTATCATACCCTTTCAAATAACTTGGTGGCTATATACATAAGATCTTTAATCACTGTTCCCAAGACAATATCGAGATCAGGATTATTGTCGCAAGAATTTTTCCATGGGACTGTTTGAGAGTAGATAAGTGTTATGCAAAGCCAGCGTAATTCTAAATGCATGTGATACATATGAAATTCTGGTTGTAAACACTAGAACATACATTTAACATAAACTTTATTAAGGTTTATATTTTTAATTGTATTAAAATAATTGTAAGACCTTGTTGCCTAAAGTGGAAGCTGTGTAATGAAATGTTGAGTCTGGAATGCCTCTGAGTCTTCCTAAAAAATTCTTTATGACTATTAATAGTTCATTCAAATCATTTTCCAATTCTGCACTAATTGAGTCTTGTGCATCTATATTCCATTTGATGCTAAAAATAGAAACATGATTTGCATCAAAGTTCTGTTTATTAATTAAAAATAAATTTGTATCACCTGTTTAAGTATGAGCGAATATATACAAGAAATTCACAGACTGTGATTCTTATTAAATAAAAGTCTGTCTTATCCTCGTGCATATTGTTTGGTAGATGGTGATACGTTTCGTGCCTATTAAGTATTTTTAGTCTCATTCTGAAAAAAAATAATGAATAATAAATAAGTCATTGACTCATGTATGGAGGTAGTATAAAGAAAATGAAAGAATTTAGAAGCTCACTCCATGCATTTAATGAAATGTTTCAAATTGAAAATTGCTGTAGCTCCTGGTACAGTAGAACCAAACAATTCAACCTGCATGTGAGCATAATTGAATTCTTTATGAGAGAGAACAACATTTTCAATTTCGCCACGTAAAAATGAATTTCCTCTATTCAACTGCCAATCATTTGCATTAACTTTCCCGTTGCAATTAAATGTGCAATCTGTATCCATCTGTAAAATTAATTAAGGTTACAAATAATTATTATAAAAAATTAAAGGAATTATAGTCAAGTGCGAGGTAATAGGAAAATTCAAAACTCTAAATCAATACCTTATGAGTATTTAAATATCTTTATTTATTCAACAGTTATTTATCCATGAAAATAAACAGAAGGCTCAACTTTAAGCGGAAAATTATTTCATGATGAACGTAGCCATTGTGATAAACGGAAACACGTGCTTCTCGATGAGAAAGGATAACTTTAATATTTAAAAAATCCCAACTCAAATGGTTTTTTAAATGTTCATTATTTATTTTTCGACTTCTCTAAGCCTTTCTCGACTTTTATATTTTTCATTTTGTTGATACTCTTGTTGTTTGTTATCAACGAATATCTCAATTTCACTGATAACTTTGGGATTTAACTTTTTCAATTTGCAAAGAACTTTTTCTAATCGATTTTTTAAGACTATGGTTCTTGCAGCTTCAATAAACTGTGAAATAATGTGATAACGCAGAAACCAGTCATCAGTGATTTTATACGGAGCTATGAAGTTGGGATTCTATGGAGAAGGTGGTATGATAAATGTCAGTATAAAGTATTTTTAAGAAATCTAACAATATTAATTACATCCAATGAACTTCTTAATGTTCTCTGTTTAATTTTCATTGCTTCCTGTCTCGTCAATAATTCCTCATCTGCTGTAGTTATTGTAGCATCTCTGTACCTTGACCAATGTTCTTGACGTTCTATCATTATTCTATCAATCTCTTCCTTCTGTAGTTGATCCAATTGAAAACCCAATTTTGGTCTATGATAAAATTTTGCTGAATCATTTTCATGATTGCAGGATTTGACTCTATTAAAAAATTCTTCTATACGTTTATCTCTTTCTCTTGCATCATTGTAAAAGTAATCATTAAGAGGACCTGCATAGCAATAGTTATTATATTTATAATTAATCTAAGTTGTAATAATTTAATTAATTCACCTCTTAGTTCATCTACGGTATGCGTTTGAATAAGATTATAATTCAATATACAATTTACACCATGTAAACTGTACAAAGGTATTTGACCCAATTGCTTCAATAAAAGATCTTCGTAGCTTAGTTCTTTTTTCATTGAGAACTCTACTTTTGGGGATAAAATTTTGGCCTTTCTTATTGTTTTTTCTGTATAGTCAGATTCTTTGACAACTTCAATCTTTGTGAATTCTTCAACAGGTTTATGTGTGTCCTTTACTTGTAACTCGGGCCATGTATATGCTATGAAATTTATAACAAAAGGTGACTTGCATATTTCTGGTATATAAATTTGAAGATCAAATGTGATTGTTACGTATCTCAAGGCTTTGTAATTGATCTGAACTATCACAGGATCCTGTCCAGGACACAAATGCCCTGCAAATTGAGGATATACTTGGAAATGCAAATAATGAAGATTCATAATAATATATAATTATGACCACAATTTACCTTGTAATGGATTTACAGTGACACTAGGTTCATCACTAAGTATTAGAATGGCAAAAGAGAACTTTTTACTTGGGAATGAATGTATTGGCAATTTATAAGATACTCTGAAACATAAAAAAATGTTATTTAGCTAAAAGAACTATACATCTTATAACAATTTCTGTCATTTGAATACTTACACAGTCCCTAATAGAACCTTTCCAAAATTTACTCTAGTAGGAAAGTTCAATAACGTTTCAGGTTTGGCTAATATTTTAATAAACAAATTTTGATTGTAAAGACATCGAAGTCTCAGAACATCATTGTATTCTCTAACATCTTTAGGATAGAAGATAACTCTGAGATTTAGTGACAAACCTGGAGATATCCATACCTGTAGAAAGAATTGCAATAAATGCATTTTTAATAAGGAACATGAAAAAACAAAATTATTACCGTACTACTGTTGGAAACTTTAAAATAAGAAGTATCCGGTGGTAAGACTTGCACAGGATATGGTTTAAGTCCAATGTTCAATATTTTCAAATATTTCTGCTGTTTTTGAGGATACAATGTATCAAATGTGAATATCAATTCATCAGGAATCACCTTGATAAAATCATTCTTCGATGAATCCTTGTAGATATCTGGAACATGACATAAAATTCTTTAGATTTTTCTTACAATAAAGTAATGTTTTATTAAATAAATAAAACCATCATAAAAAGTGTCACGTAAGCTTCTTTCCTTCCTGCAGAAGTCTTGACGTATAAAATTTAGAGTATTCATTAAAGTTTCATAAAAGATCTAGCATGACCGTCTTTCTAAATCGAAACTGCCGGTTCTACAATAGCGGGGATAACAGGAAATGGAAAGTATCCAAGCATCCCTGTTAGATAACTCAGCGAGGATAACTCCAGAAGATAATTTCAGGCCTGCAGTAATCTAGCTGGCCAAGCCGGACCAAACGTTCATAGCTAAAAATACAGCACTCATCCATTCTTTGTCTACGCTTTTCCTTGGAAATTTGCATATTTATTTCGATAAAAGAATAACCCTGTAGAGTGTCAAGACCGCGGGAGATTGCCTTTGTTTAACACGGCCAAAATATGTCGGCTAAAAGGTTTTATAGAACATTAATTGCGCCGGTGACAGATCAGGCCTTATCAAAAAGTCGCGTTTGTTGATCCTTAGAGAGAACTGATCAGTGTATTATTTATTTCAAATAGTAATAATGAATGTGCAACAGCTGTATGAGGAGGTATAATGTCCAATTATCTAAAGAAATATTATGGACTCCTTCCGTGCTCATATCTCATATTAAAAGTTTAAATATTCCCATAGACTTTGGGCACGTTTTGGAACACATATGTTAAATCGTGTGTTGATGAGTTTTTGTGTTTCTTTTATAGCCTCTGCTGCTCCAAGCTATATTCCTAGGAGATGTCCACCAGGTTCTGTCACTATTATCTAGACAAGAAGATGTACATTGGCAGGATAACATGCAGAGAACATTACTCCATGCTGCTGCGTACAAGTAAAGAAAACACTGATATTTTGCTGATATATTTTCTAAAAAAACATACAAGTACTATATACTTTTTTATACTGTTCATTCCAGAGGAGATCCTGTTATAATAGATAATTTATTATTTCATGGCGCTGCTGTGAATTGTAAAGATAACAAATGGTTGACACCATTACACAGAGCTTGTTGCTCCCGTAATGAACTTGCAGTGGATAGTCTTCTCCGGCACAAGGCAGATGTTAATACACGAGATCGCAGTTGGCAGACTCCATTGCATGTTGCTGCTGCAAATAACGCAGTTCAATGTGCTGAACTTCTTATTCCACTTTTCTTCAATATTGATATAACTGACAGAGGTGGTAGAACAAGTCTTCATCATGCCACTTATAATGGGCACTTGGAGATGACGGATTTACTGCTCTCTCACAATTGTGTTGTTAATGCGTGTGATAAGAAAGACAGAAGAGCTTTGCACTATGCTGCACATATGGGACACGATCTTGTTGTAAGATTATTGATTGACAAAGGAGCTGATGTGGACGTTAAGGTAATGTACTATTGTTATCCACCAAGAAACTATCCCTCTCTGAGCTTATCATGTACAAAGATTTCAATATTCTATTTAGGATCGAGAACTTTACACTCCACTCCATGCTGCAGTTGCATCGGGCAAGGTAGAATGTGTCAGAATCCTTATAGAGGCTGGTGCAGATATAGAAGCAAAAAATGTCTATGGAAATACACCATTACACGTAGCCTGCCTGAATGGCCACGCAGATGCTGTTTCAGAGCTCATTCATAATAGAGCTAATATCGGTAAGTACCCTGATAATATTTTGAGAGCCCAAAAAAAAAACGGAAAGATTTTCAGAGGCTGCCAACTACCGAGGGCAGACACCACTTCACGTTGCTGCGGCGAGCACTCATGGCGTAGATTGTTTAGAGGCTCTATTACGATCTGGTGCAAAGATAAATGTCCAATCAGAAGATGGACGTACACCATTGCACATGACTGCCATCCATGGAAGGTTCACCAGGTCCAAGAGTCTCCTAGATGCTGACGCCTCACCTGACATTAAGGATAAGAATGGAAACACTGCTTTACACGTTGCTGCATGGTATATCCGAAGAGATGCATTTAAGAATGTTATTCAGCGTTCATTTTACAGTGAAGCTTCATTCTATAATTCTTAGGTTCGGACACGAGTGCCTGACGACGACTTTGTTAGAATGCCGAGCATCCCCAGCATCGCGGAATGCGGATCAGCGTACACCGTTACATTTAAGTTGTCTAGCAGGACACATAGAGGTAAGATATTATATTATATATTATTGATGTCTGCTTAACACGAGTATGCTCTTCAGGTTTGCAGGAAGTTACTACAGGTAGACAGTCGACGCATAGATTCCAGGGACATTGCAGGACGTACACCTTTGCATCTGGCTGCTTATGGCTGTTCCGTTGATTGTTTGGATCTCCTGTTATCAAGTGGCGCAAATTTCAGGCTTACTGATAACGATAATAGATTAGCCCTGCATTATGCAGCTAGCCAAGGACATTATCTCTGTGTATTTACTCTGGTTGGATTTGGAAGTGATTCTAATGCTCAGGATGTCAATGGTGCAACACCTTTGCATCTCGCAGCTGCAGCATCCAATCCTCAGGACTCAAGTGCACAGTAAGCATTAGAATCCTATAATATATCCAATATCATATTCTCGTTTCCGTACGTTTTTTGTATTTCTGAATCTTTCAGATGCGTTCAGTATCTGCTAAAGCACAGAGCGGATCCTCGTCTACGAGACAAACGTGGATTCACTGCAATCCACTATGCAGTTGCAGGTGGAAACCAACCAGGTTTGGAAGCTCTCCTACAGGCATCACCTCCAGGAAATGCAGCTTTACAATGCAGTTCTGGATCTTCAAATCGTCAGGATCCACCTTCACCAGCACTGACACCACTTCATCTTGCCGTAAGTAATCTCCAGGGAGATGGACCCATAATCTTCAAAATTCTAAAAGCTTATTCAATTTTTAGGCTTACCATGGTCATAGTGAGATCCTGAGATTACTTTTACCATTGTTCCCAAGCACTAATATTAAGGAAGACACAGGGAAACATCCCCTGGACTTAGCTTCGTACAAGGGTCACAGAGAATGTGTCCAGCTGTTACTACGACGTGGAACATCGGTTTCCGTGCAGGTATGCCTCTTTTTCTCTGTCCCAGAGGAATTTATTCATTGTTCTTATATTTTCTAGGACTCCGTTACTAGAAGAACACCTGTACACTGTGCAGCTGCAGCAGGACATTCCGATTGTCTAACTCTTCTTTTGGAAAACACAGAAGATCCTACTGTAGTTGATCGCTATGATGCTAAGCAAAGAACTGCACTGGCACTGGCCGTAGCTAATAGTCATACAGACTGTGCAACATTATTATTGAGATATAAAGCCGACTGCAATTTACCCGATGTCAATAAACACACTCCTCTCTTCCGAGCAGTCATCCAGGATTATAATCACCAGCTCGTAGACCTTCTTCTAAAACATGGCGCACGAGTTGCCGCACAGGACAGTAACGGTAAAACTCCGTTACACCTGGCTGCTGCATGTGGAAGGTCTGCACCTGGAAACAGAATTACTTTCTTTTAATATCTAACAACAGCATAATAACATTACTCTTTTTTATAGACTTAAAGCTCTAGCAGCATTAGTTAAGGCTGATCCTAAAGCAGCTACGCTGAAGGATGACCAAGGATGCACCGTACTACACTGGGCATGCTATAATGGAAACTCCAACTGCGTAGAATATCTCCTAGAACAAAATGTTATAGATTCATTAGAGGGTAGGTAGTAAAAGTATTATATAAATTTCGTGAGAATGGTTGATATATGTTTTTTTCTGCAGGTAATCCATTCTCCGCTGTACACTGCACTGTGCACCAGGGTTCTGCGCATTGCCTTGATCTCCTAATAAATAAATTTGGAGGCCAGACTGTCGCTGCCCCTAGGGACACACCTGGCGGAAGGCTTCCACTTCACATTGCAGCCAGTGCCGGTTCTGTAGAATGCGCTAGATTAATTTTGAGCTCTGTAGGGCCTGAATTAGCAGGTCTAGAGTCTCCCGATTACAGTGGTCGAACACCGTTACTTAGTGCAGCTGTCACTGGACAATGCAATGCGATTGGTAGGTTCTGAAGTGAATAACAAAAATGATTGATATATCTCACACCTAGGAAACCCTACTGAAATCTTGATCTAACTTGACAGAATTACTATTGGAATGGAAAGCGGACGTCCGTGCCGTGGATTCTGGTAAAAACACTGCCTTGCATCTCGCCTGCCAGAGACGTCATTCGGCAGCTGCATCTCTTCTCTTGGACCACATAGATTCCCTAAGGTCAGGTACAGATAGCACACAGCAATTAAAAACCTCTGTTATCAACATGGTCAATAAGCAGCAACGTACTCCACTTCACTTGGCTGCGAGAAATGGTTTAGTTAACGTAAGTAAAAGGAATAATTGATTAACCATACTCTAGATAATAAATGAACGATTAATAATACACTGAATAATTCATCATTCAGATCACTAGAAGATTGCTCCAACTAGGGGCAAGTGTTGTCGCTGTAGATGCTGAAGGTTTGACACCCGCCTTGGCCTGTGCCCCAAATCCAGCAGTAGCACGTTGTCTAGCAACAATCCTCGCAGCTCACGGTATGCTTATTTTATTATCTAAATTATAATATTCTTATATAAAATAACAATTGTCATTGATACTCTACGTATTTCTCAGGCCAAACTTCTGAAGCTGCTCAGCAATCGCCGTCCATACAACAAACCTCAGAGGTCTATCTAAACGGCCGCACCGGAGATTCACAGCACAGTTCAGACTCCGAATTTTACTGACAGCAACTGACACGCTTAGACCGTCGATCCTTCCAGGATTTAAATGTTGATACGATGAGGGGTAATATAGAAGCTGCACGATTAGTCTGGTCTAGCTGTTGGCTCTTCTCAATATTCGCATAGAGTCACATCCTGGTGCATCGTGGGTTCTGATAATTAAATAATGCACAATAAGCGATCAAAGATTGTCAATTGAGAATCAGTACTCCTTTGCAAGTTTACCATTACTACTCTTCCCACTACTACTGCTACTGCTACTACTGTTACTATTACTATTACTACTACCACTACTACTACTATTACTACAGCTACAATAGGCATAGTTCACCCTAAGCAAATCGTAACATTGACAATATACGTGGCACCAGTGCTAACGATATTTTCATATTACTAACTAAATCAGCTAAAACTAATATGTCAATCCGCAAAGAGGCATTCCCGAGGGAATAGGATATAAGAATACAATATTTCCAAAAGCAGGAATGACAATTAGAGTACAAAAATTCCAGAACTCTATATTCATTGTACCTCTTATTACGGATGTCCAATGAAACAAGGCGCTAATTAATTAATCCGATTCCATTGTGCAATTCTCCATGACATCTATATTAAATGAGAATAGTATATTCTGATATAGTATATGACAGTTACTTAGGAGAGGATTAGATGCTAAGTAATTCCATGCATTAGGAGAGAACAGTCTTACACACTCCTGTAGGAGCTAAGCGGATTTTCTAGATAATCAGTTCTAATAACGTGATTCTCAATTATAGTATATTCTGATACTGCGAAATGGGTATAAATCTATAGTAAACACTCATGGCCATTCCTCGGGTATTTCGCAATAGTTAAAAAGTACGAAAACCCATATCATTGCACTTGGAACAATAAATTCGTACCGACGCGAAATGCAGAACGATCTAGAACCGCATAATAAATATATTGAATTAACACGTAACGATAAAATAAAAGTCAATGGAATCGCGCTGGCATTTGAAAAGTGCCGCGTCCGAGGAATTCCGTTTTGATTAAATCATTAGTAATTTCGTAACAACGTTAATAAGCACAATCGTTTCTCCATAAACATTAACAATTATTATTAATTTATAACGAGCTTAACGATGGACAAAAAAGAGTTCACTTATACTTTGTATCGATGACGATTGATTTCTCGGCGTGTGACGTCGTGCTAAAAAAATGGCATTTATTAAAACAAAAATGTATTTATATCATAAATACAATGTTCCATTATCGTATAAGTTTTGCTGTCACAGATTGACTGTCTTCCATAATTATATAATGATTTCACCTCGATCACGTCTCGTAATTGCAATGAGTTGTTTTACTTCCTTCTTTATTTTTTCAAAATTATACAACGTCGAGTTTCTCGTCCTAGAATGGAAAAAGAGAATGAAAATTTAGCAATAAAAACAATTATTCAATACACACACTACACGTGGAATTTATAGATCTTATTCGTTGACGTTTCTAAAAAAGAAAATGCCTCGCGTAAAATTCATTTTCTTTTCTCGCTTTGTAAATACTTATAAGGGCGATTGTCCTAATTCTCCCTACCGATAAAGGGACACGATGCGCCTGTACATAATTAATCTATGAGTAACATAAAAGGGAATAAGGTTGTTGAGGGAAACTAATACATACGTACTTTAGATATGCGCAATCGATATTACTACATATTTTCATAGTGAATTAATTTAGCGAAGCCTCGACTGCCTCAATGCGAATTATTCACATTGATATATGTATAAATGCATATGCATATATATATATATATATACACACACACACTATACTGTATTGACATTAATTTTGTACATTTCGCTTGGTCTCATACAATTATCATCAGTCCCAGCACTAGGATTTAACACTGGGATTGTCAAGAAGACAGTTTAAAGTTAAACTTAGATTAATTTCAATTTAATTATCTTTTTGTAATACTAAACCCTCTCTAATTAATCCAAAATTCATTCCGTGTCGTTAACGATAGGAATCGATAAATAAAATCGAAAGAAGAATATTGTTTCTTTCGACATGTGCAGTACTTACCACGATTTCTAATCGATTAGAGGAATAATTTTTTTTCTTTTTTACACATATATATATATATATATATATATATATATATTTATTTATTTTCTAAGGTGTACGTATTATACAGGTCGACTATGTAACAAATATGTATTTTGTATTGTATTGTACACGATCATGTACACCAGCACGTGTAATAACTACCCACGTTCAATTATTCGTCGTTGTTGAATACCGAGCAAGTAATGTATACATATTAAGAGAGTCAATGATAAAGAGAGTGAGAGGGAGAGAGAAAGGAGGAAGGAAAATGAAAGAAAAAAAACTTAACAAGATGCAACGTCTGTGCACGTTAATTTTTGTGGTTCAAATGTGCAATCCGAAGGCGTCGGTACGCGGTACTCTTGCAACGCCATTTCCGCCCTGGGACGCCTTAAAAATTCTAGACGCCCAATTGGGATAACACGAAGAGCTAGGAGGTAGGCGTCAACGTATCCAGGTAAAAACGGTCGCTGTATTATTGACCGTGTGATCATTTAAAGTTTTAAAACTCTCTCTCTCTCTCTCTCTGTCACTTTATTCTAACAATTGAAACCGAGGGGGTGTTATCAATAATAACGAGACGCACATAGACTCATTGTCAGGATGTCGACCTAGGACCTAATTAAGGTGATGGACGCCATTTGGCGCGCCGATAAAATAATAAAATTATCAATGCCTATTAAAAAGCGACTTTAACAATTTAAGAAATCTTAGGCGTATAAAATACTCTGTACTACGGATAGTACTAAAGTATAATTGCTGTAGTAGAGCGATAAGGCATAACAATAAAAATACTATTTTAAATACCGTAAAGCTGTATTAATTATCATTCTTTAATCTGCAAAAGCAATTGATCCACTGTCCCATCGCGTATAGATTTAATATCACAGCCAAAGTATCCATGGTCCAGGTTTAGAAATAAATGTTTTAAGTTACAACTAACCGATTGAATATTCAGGATTGAATGTCAATGGCGTCAGACGACCCGGGCGTTGAGGAATTCTCGCCATTTCGACGTCTTGGTCGCCATGGATTGCGTCGAGACGCCGGAATACGTATCAAAGAAGCACGCAGACCGTGGAGGCATTTCGTGTAAAATCCAGCCACGCTTAATACGACCGAAAGGGTCGAAAATCACCATCGTTGACTAGGGTAGTATATTGTACGAGGAAGTGGCGACATCTGGCGACGAGACGTCCCAGTTAAACCTGAATATATACAGATATATATATACTCCTCAATCGTGTAAATCGAGGGAAAGGTTCGAAAATTTCGTTTACGTAACAGGAGAACCTAATCGGTGAGTAGGAAATGTGCAGATCCTGAGCAGGAGTGTACATTTCAATAATAATTATACAACGCTTTGAATTAAATCTTACAACTTGTTCCTGGACTACGTATAATAATTGCTCGGTGCGTTACCACCTGGGCTAGAGTATCCCATTCCCCGTCCTGGTACGTCCGGAACAAGATGGGCCTAGGGAAGAGACGATAATACGAAAGGAGAATATAAAGGCACACGTGAGGATTCTGTGAGAGGCGCGGAAGGTCCGAAATCGAGTGTTTATTCACGGAAAAGCACGGCCACGAGGAGGTGACACGATCAGGTAGTTTTATAAGTTATTTAATTTCGAAGATCGGCTGCCAGTAACGCGCTCGAGTATCAGGATGACATGAGAGGAGCGAAGTCAAGGATAGTTTGTATGGCGGGAACACATGTGTTTTCAAAGTATACGTATAGGTCTATTGTATGCACAGTGCACACGTAGTGTAATATATCGTAGAAATAATGACTACGTTTACACGACCAGTATATTTATAATGATTTAAAGGGATTGATAAATCGTAGACATTCATACTTGTAAGGAATATTTGGGATTGCTCAATTCCTTTAGATCAGTATTAACATAAACCAATTTAAGACCGTCGTATAACCATAGTCAATGATTGTTTGAATGATAGTCTTCTTTTTTTTCTTAATAAATAAAATGTATTGTGATTTAAAGTAACTCGTTCGTTCAACGACGATAATTACATGTATATTATAATTAGTATATAACGATTAAGTGAATATTTGACATTGGTTTCACTTGTTACTTATGAAGGAAGTCTATTTTTTTTTCAATACAAATAATATTCCAACTAATGGAATAATTGATCTAGAAGAATTCTCTTTACCGATGCTCTGCCTATTAGTATAGACTAGTGTCCGTTTTGTATATAGGAATGCTTTTTTTTCATAATACTGATTAAGGTTTTTCGGTATTATCATCCAAAATATATTTTCAATGATTTCCCCGTCACAACGTTCGTAAGAGCTCTATAGATAAGCGTGCTCTATCGAGAAGTGTTCCCTCTTACTGATCTCGCGTGCTGAAGACTTTTCAGGCTTCTCCGTACCTTCTAGACTCATGTCCAGACAGAAATTGTCATAGCCAAAGGCACTGGTCTTTATCGTCGAGCATTTGTCGTCGGGAATCAAAGAGAACTTCCTAAGGGTGACGTTCTTGATATCTTGTTCTAAGTTAGGAGTTGAACATTCAATGTCGTCGTTGTCCTTTTTCTTCGAAAACAGAGTTTCAATTTGTTCTAAGCTCCTGCCACGTGTTTCAGGTAATATAGTCATAGCGAAGATCGCACCAAGCATAGCGGCGCCGCCAAAAATCCACATAATGGCTTCCAAGCCGATACCAGCACTGACGTCAGGATAAGATTTTATAGCTCCGAAGGTTAAGATCTGAGCCAAGCACGTGGTGAGGCCACTGAGGGTACCTCGAAACTTAAGAGGATATAGTTCAGAGGTCATGACCCAAGGTAGAGTGAGGTAGCCTATCATGGAAGCTCCTACGTGGCCGCCTATACAGATAAGAGGTATCCAGGAAGGAAAATTAAATCTAATTGATAAAGCTACACCGACTGCCGATACTGCCATTCCTAATCCACTGGCGCAGGCCAAAGGTCGCCTGCCAAATGTCCTAGCAAGGCCTGCGCCTACTATTGAGAATATTAAACGTACAACACCTATTCCTACACTGCCCAGGTACTCGTCCACGCTAACTCCAATCTCACTAAGGACAGTCACCGCGTAGAAGAGTATCACATAAATCCCGGACAACTGTTGAAACGCGAAGAAGAAGAAAAGGATGAGAAACGGCTTCCACATGTTGGGTCGCCAAATTGCGGTTAGGATGCCGTCTTTCTTATGTTTATCCTGACTATTCGAGGAGCAAAGTTCCTGATGCTCGACTTCCGTCGTCCTTCCAGGACCACGTAGCCAGAACAGAGCCTCCTTGGCATCGTCCATTCTACCTCTGGCTGCCAACCACGCTGGAGTCTCAGGTAGCAGTCTGTACGAAGATTGAGATTAGTGAATTTAATTGACCACTTTGCGAATCAAGCAGACGCAATGACGATAATAATTTATTAATTTAACTAGCCTGGACAGTGCCAATGAAAGTATAGCTGGTCCAATGCTAATGGCAGCCGTTCTCTGCCACGTCGTTATTGCTCCCATGCTGTATATCATCAGAACCCCAAAGGAAACCATAGCAGGGCCCGAACTGGCAAGCCAGGCTCTTTGATGCGGTGCTGCAGCCTGTGAGATATAAAATTAATTATTTCATCGCTCCTTCTTGTATCGGACAGTTGTGTTATTAATTTAATTTTACAAAACAATCACCTCACTAACGTATAGGTACAGGCCGTTCGCCATACCGGTACCAAGTCCACTGATAAATCTGCCAGCGTACAGCATGGGAACGTTGGTCGACAATGCGATGAGCAACCACCCAGCTGCATGTGGCAATGTCGCCAGGGCAACGGCAGACCTGCGTCCAAACCATTCGGCAGCAAGGCCAGCGATAACCGCACCCAATGGATTTGATATGACACCAAGACTGGCGACCCAAGATGCCTGCGACACCGTGGCAAAGTCTGTCTCCAACAGTTTCGGTATCAGCACAGCGCTGAATCCTTGGGAGAGCCCGACGGATATCTGTCCGCTATGAGCAGCCAGACCAGCCAGAATCTGAAAGCGATAGAAAAAGTGAATAAAGGGCGCAACAATTTTATTCCGAGGTACAACGAGCGACACTGGAGAATCCTTTAGAAATTGTCATCCTTGAATCGGCAAATTTGAAAATCATTAGATTTTCACGCCTAAGGTCACACTTTGGAAATACGTTCAACGAATTACAACAGTTACGTCAGATTCGATTATACCGAGCATTCGTAGGAGTTTCGTTTCGTCTACACCGACAGTCCAGCATCATGGACCACAGATAACATAGAGAGAGAGCAAGCTCAATTGGTAAACCCTGAATATTACGAAATACGATCATTGAATAAAGTGGCTTGCTAAACCGGAAGAAAAAGTATGAGAGATTCTGTCAATGATTTCTCTGCCAATAAATCTTGCTCGCGCGAGTATTCGCCAAGTTAACGTAATTTTTTATACGCTGCAATCGGTAGCTTACAAACTGTCGATCCTGCATATAATATTCGTGGGTCTTTGTCAAGGACTATGCAAAAATTCCCCATTTACTACAAGTGACAGCTACGTTTGGATCGTCACGATGTTAAAATCAACAATGTAATAGCTACGTACAACGACAGATTCTTTATGACTATTGTATCTCCGAGTGTGACATTTTAATGTCGTAGGTACGTATACCTGTCACAATATTGTTCTATGAATTTATATAGAAAAATTACCTACCGACATGTATTTGCTATTTGGCAGGAACATGTTGCAATCGGACAGACTTGTGTTCACAGTGTCAAATAATTCTTTGATTGGCACTGTGTTAAATTGAGGGAAAAAATTACCACGGCCTTTCTTCACAGACTCAAAACCCCCAATGGATCGTTAAGGGACGACGAGAGACTTCTGTACCCGTCACAAGTTAACAGCACCGACTCGTTCGTGTCTTATCAAAGTATCTTTGTGATAACTCTCGAAAACTAAAGCGATACAAGATTGCAATAATGACAGATGGTACGAATGAAATTTGAAAAAAAAGTTCCTGCTATCGAGCAGAACTCTAGCACTGACTTACTGTATATGTGAATTACGCATATGCTAGCACAGTATACACTGGCGGTAAAAACACTTGATCAAATTGATCATCTTGATCAGCAAATGATTGGGAGTATCGATTATTTCTTGGATACGATAAAAAAAAAGTACAAGCCCGAGTTTTTCTCCAATATCAAATTTAATTCGTACAACTGTTTTGAATTGAAATTGGGTCGAAGTAGGTAAATTTACATTTTTCAAATATTCAAGAATACATATTGGATCAGCGACGCGCCGACAGGATAATTTATTTATTTAAATAATAATTTATCTAAGGATCGTGCATCGCGCGAACCCTTCCCTTTCTTCGTGAAGATGCCGAAGGACGTGGCTCCGCTTGTGTCGTGTCACGTGGTCGGAGATATCCTCAGGAGATAGAGTAAGTCTTATCGTTCTGATATTGCACTGTATCGCCATTTCAATATGTAATTTTTTTCTTTCATATACGTGGATATCAGAGTTTAAAGGATACTAAGAGAGAGAGAGAGGGGCGAGAGGGAGAAAGAGATTTGGACATACGTATCTCCTTTTCCAAAGAATTCAATGACGTTTGCTTTACTTTGACACTTGATAAAAGGAACGACCATGAATCTACGTTCTCAGATTACTTCGGAGCTGGAGGCTTTTATAGTTTAATATTGTAAAAAAAATATCGTCTACGTTCATTTAAACGTATTCAATGTTTTTCACGTTATTCCTGTTTATCCACTTTGTTTAGTTACTTGCTCTGATCACACAGAGGCCTTAGAGGATGATGCAAGGGAAGGAGATTGGAAAAAGAAAATAAATAATGTGCACCAATCCGAAGAACTGGAGTATGTAAAACTTGGATATATATATATATATATATGCACAGCAGCCACAGAGAAAGCCCCTCCTATCGGATATTTTCGGACTCGAGTAAATAGTCTGTTATTGCTGCGCCACAGAAACATTGTAGAATGATAAAATTGGACTTACACCTTTCGAGTCCCCGGAGTGGAGTAGCTTCCAGTATAACTTTGCACGGGTAATCATCCTGCTTCAGGATCCACCAAGGCAGAGAGGATCTTCGTACGAGAAAAAAAAAGAAAAGGAAATAAGTAAGAGTGAAAAGGAGAAGAAAATAAATAATTATATTAAATTGACAGAGAGCAAAGAGAGCGTTTGCACTGTCGGTAGTAAAATACGAAGGTAAACGATACGTATGATAAAGGTCGTTATATGTGGCCCCTGGTTCTCATTAATTTCCACGACGAAGAAGGGCCAACTCTCTTTTAAGGCAAATGCCATTCGTCAAACGAAATGTCCAATTGAATAATGACGATATTTACCGGACGCAATCATTCGATGACTCAAAATGTTTAAGGAACGCCGCGAAAGGGACCTTTGTGGTCACGTGCATGTATCATCGTACGTGAGTCACATGCAGCAGTATCGCGATTAATCCTGAGCACTTTAGCTACTAAACTTCGCTGTAATGGCTTTGGCGTATACCTTCTTAAATGGTACGCTACTGCAGTGGCTTTCCTGAATGTGTTTTTAAAGAGTATATTACTGCAATGGCTCACTCTGTCTATAGATATGTTTAAAATATCGCCTGACTGTCTGATAGGGTTGAATCAATAACTGACGTAGAGTCTATCAGGAAAAGTACTACGTGGTGTAAAAAATATTTTATTTACATTTTCCCTAATGTGGCCATTTGCAGCGTATTCTGTTTATAGGGGACGAAGAAAAATGGAAAATTGACGATGCGCGCGTTTCGGCTTCAATTGATAAAAGAAACAGTGAGAAAAACTTATGAAGTTGAGTCATTATTTTAACAAGCGTCAGAAATATACCCTCGCGCCCATTGTAATTTCCTGTCACAGAAACAGACATTTCCTGTCAATTTTGTAAAATTGTAAATACCGAGAAAAAAATGTTACGAAACTGTGTGTAGTGTGCTGAAAAAAAATTATATAAGGCGATCACACCACGAATGTGTCGATTTTTATTTGGGACTCTGCGTCGTCCCTTGCTTTAAAGCATATCGCGTGCAAAAATACTATTAATTGCTATCCGTATTGGCTTACTGTGCATTTTTTCGAACTCTTTACGTAAAAATGTATAAATAAATTGTTATTTAGTTATTTATAACTGCATTCGGAGGTAACGTCCTACTGCACGTATCGTTCGTGTACGTCGTGTTGAAAACAAAAATTCACAATCTACGTCTTTAACGCTTCTGTATTTTTACTCTGTTACTTTTGGAAGCGAGCCAGACTTTTTTTTTCAAATTTAATTTTTTTATCTAGCCGACTTGTTAGAAATAGATTGCGCGTAGTTAAGGATTTTCGATGTTCCCGTATCGCAACTGTTATCGGCGGATCTTCGCTAATGTGACGTCTTGCTGTGATTTTATTAACAAGCTTTAATCTTAAGATCGATAATTGAGACTGATAATATCTTATTGGCATTATTATACATTCGATCAGTTGACAAGTACATGTTTATATAATATTGTAAGATTGCTACTAAATACTAATAATAATAATAATATGGGAACTCTATTCTATAATAATATTGTCTGCGGGAAATGTGACATTATTTTGATAAAAACCAGAGCAAGTGTAAAAATGACGAAAGAAAGAGATAAAGGATTTATTTAACTATCCATGAACTTTTTTAGAGGAAATGAAATTGTGTTATGTCAGAAATTACTTTTTTTTTAATTAATTCTCTTGTATTCACGGGCACTCATTAACATACAGAAAAGTATATTGGTTATTGTCAATGGGGTGAAATAAAAAATAATTTAAAAAAATGAATAGACGAATATACCGAGCAGCGAGAATTAAAAGCGCGTAGATCGGACGAAATGACGAGGAGCGAGATGAGAGATAATAAAGAGAGAACGAAGAAAAAAGAGTGAGTCGTCAATTATTCCAGAGGGCGAGGTATTCGTAAGAATATTATTTAAATTTATGATAATTAACCAATGATGTATTTCGCAGCCATTGCATTCTTTCTCTCCATCTTCTTTTCGTTTTGATTTCTTTTCTTCTTGTCCTTGCTACCATTTTTTTTCATTCCTCCACCGATATTTATTCCTCTTGAAATTAGATACGAGTTGACGTATGACAACAGGAAAAATAACTTCCATCTGATATCAAAATACGAAAAGCAATAGGTTGGCCTATTATTGATTATATTTTTTATTGACATCTCCGTTCTACTACGCAATGACATCTTTATCAGATATAAAATAGAATGAATGAGTCAAACCCCTACCGCTATTGTTGCGAATGAACCTTGATAATCTACAAACGTTAATCTTAACGTAATTAACGTAATTCTTAATACCGCTGAAATTCTATCGAAAATTCAAGTTATGTCTTTTCCCTATATTTAGACTTGCCTATACACAATAATGTTTAATGTTTCCGCGCGCTTTTTTATCTTCCTGTTCTCTTTCTTTCTTTTATCCTTTGTTATTCTCACAATTATTATCACCGGTAATTTTCTCGTACTCTCACGACTGGACTGCTGCTTACGGATCGTGGGGTATTCGTGAAAATGACTTTAGCAATTTTTTCCATCTTGTTCCAACAAAAAACGCGGTACTACGGGACCGCAATAAACATTGCGACAGAGCAACGCATTACAAGAAATAACCGCGAAATTTGTGTAAGATAAATTTCACGTTCCGTTAAATACGTATAGTATGTGTCATATCGAAAGGGACGCTGTTCGTTTTAAATATAATTTGACAGCGCAGTCGCATAATGAAAAAAAAAAACAGGATCCATTAAGAATTGTGGGTACAGTTATTACTGATTTCTAATAACAGTGACGTCATATGTTCAAAAAAAGTTAACATTAACACTCACCTGAAAACAGGAAATAATCTCGAGTTTCTTAGCTTCCGATAATTGCGTGTCTCACGGTGAATGGATGAAAGGATCAACAGAATGTCCATAAAAGTCAACGATTTGGCACGCGTACCAATCGTCGATTAATATCATTCGATTTGATTGATAAGGTAAAATTAATAAGATCATCAATATCCCATAAAATAAGTAAAAACTTCTTCAAACGGTTTTCACTGTTTGTCACATTTTTTCTTAGTCGGACGTGATGCTCGCCTGTTTCTACTACGTTCTCTTGTTTTTGCTCGTGGAACGTTACGAGATTAAAGGCGGGAATATTTAAATGACGAAAAGGGATTTCTCTCATTTGAATTTCCACGTGTTTTCGCGCGTCTGCGCACCACTGTCATTCGTCTTTGTCGAGTGATTCTTGCGCTCAACCGATTCCGCAGTAACTGAGCTGTTCGCCGTGCTCGCCAGTGAATTTATATCAGGGCCTTTCGAAACGTCACCTCCACGGCAGTGAGTCCAGTGTGTAGTTGATTCTCTAGGTGTTAACCTAGTTGCGCGCGAGGGAATGATTGTAGTCAACAAGAGAGAGAGAATGAAAATTAAACCTCATGGAAGACAGTGGAGAATTTTCTGATGAGGTTAGAACGGATTCTGCTAATGGATAGAGAGTGAGTGAGAGAAAATTCATCGAAAATATTTTAACGTAAGGGATTTTAATTAATACTATTATAATGGCTAATGATCGATGGTAATTGAGGTGAGCAGGGAGCATTGGATAATATCTTAGTGGGCATATAAGTTGAAGACACTAGTTATCCTCGCTCGGTGCTGTTTTATAACGTATTTTAATTTGTTATACCTATATCATTTTCCTTTTCTATTTGCCTCATGGCGAATAATCATGTCGATGAAGAATTAATGAGATAATCAATGCTGAATGATGTGCTTTTGGGCATAATGGCAGTTAGGTATGTGTACGTCGTACGGGATTCCAGAGAGTGGCAAAATCGGAAACCTTTGCACCTTTTTTGCAATATGCTTAATGAGAACCTGTGAAATGAAGAAAAATAAGTGTAGGGTCTACTCGATTGCGCAGATTTATACGAGCGAAAGGAATTTTAATATTTGATAGCTGTCATCATTATAACGTCGTTACGATAAATTCGTCGTTACATTTGCGTGGAAAGCAACAACTAATTGCACCGGCGTGAATTTTTTGGCTGGTGAGCATAGAAAATATTCTTTACCAAACTTCTTTATTCTTAAACACGGCTAAACATAATTGAATAATAAACTAATGCTTTCAAAATACTGACGTGTGACCAGAGCTAAAAGTTCGCACGAATTTTGCACGATCCTTTCCAAATGACTGTATTTTACGAAATTTGTTTCGTATTTTTCGTATTTCCGCCGACGTAAAAATAATTGTTTCTCTTGGCTCATAATTTGTACTCGTGTGACTCCTGTCGCTTACGATCACGGCAGAGTAAAAAAATCTTTAACAACTAAAATGAGATTGAAAAAAAGTGGCGCACTTATTTGGGTACGTTAAGTTGTTACTCTAATCCACCGTCCGTAAAAACAAAATCTGCAAGAAAAATAGGAGCTAACGTTGTGTTGTGACAAATATGTATAATCGACGACGGTTTGAAAATCGTGGGAAAATCGTTAAATCACAGGAAGCGAAACGCGAGCGAGAATTACCTAGTTATTAAAAATTTACCAGAGGCGCCTCCTGTAATATTAAGAATTGCATAATGGAGTAGACTTAAGATAACTGAATTCACGGGCTGAAAGGTTTATTTTCATGTAAAACCTTTCTGTCATTTATTACTGAAAAATTTACTTACGTGACAGCAACTGTAGTTACATGGAAATACAAAATATCGACCTAAAATGAGGTGTCGATAAATTGTTAGAAATTAAGAAAATTATTAATCATAATTAAACGAGCTTTCACAAGGACCATTGATATATGAAAATGGTATGAAATTAAAGATAGCAGAGATAATAGCAAATACTATAAAAATAACCCTTGTTTTTTTTCAGCGTTAAACACAGCCGTTATATATATATATATATACTTATGAAACATTCTACATATGCAGAACACATGTTGGTACCTACTGCAGTATAAGCAATGATATATACGTATATGCACCATCTAGAAAATTCACTATGAGAGAATTCATAGCTAATACGTTACCATACACGTTACCACTCACATAGTCTCTCTACTTGCACATCTAGTTATGTTATAATGCACACGTCATCTTATGTAACTAGGGATTTACCTTATTGTCGCGTTCTAATGTAAGAATATGGTATCTATAGCTGTGGACATTTTTTCCTGGATCATAAGATACACGCAAAAAGATGAATGATCACACAATAAAATGCTGAATCAGAAGATCATTGAATTTTTTTGTAAACATAGTAAAATTTGGATATCCTCACGTGTTACTTACAATACGTACCTACCCCTGAGAACGTACATTGTATGCATACATTTTTTTGGTATTTCCAATAAAATCCAACATTACTGACCATCGTTTTACCAAAGTCCATTCTTTGAAAATTCTATGTCAAACGAATAAAACATCAGTGTACCAAAATGCGATACGCAAATGAGGGAAGGAAAAAGACATCAGACAGAAAAAAGTGTAAGAATCATATTTTGCGCAAGATTTCGATTGACCTCTAAACGGTAATTTTTGAAGAATCCAAAATTTTCAATGAACGCCATCATAGATTGTAAGTGCAACGTGCTGCTTATTAAATTGTATTAATCTTTATTATTAATTCTGTTTTAATATTCGTCCACAAATAATTTGTTGATTCAGAATTCACCAAACGATAATTGGGTCCAGATGCTCTTAAGATATTCTTCAATTACACTTGAAACATATACCTACCTGGATACTCGTGTCGGCGTAAACAATTTAATTGTATAATTACGTTTCGAAAGAAGTATTATTACCCGTCATTAACTCTTTTGCCAAAGAGTCAACAAATTTTCCTTATAGCAATGCACCTACCAAATTAGTCCTGAAATAATCTCCGATAAGTTGTATACGAATGTATACACAGCTGCGTGATGCAGGTGCCAACTAAAAGACATGTTAAAAGTCAAGATAATACATTTTCAAGATTGGGTTACACAAAGATTATAGCAAGAGGAGGACTTAAGAAAATTTTATTGTTAGCAAGCACAAGGTATCAGTCACATATTGATTTATTTATCATTGCCAGGTGAGATATTTAATAGTTATAAAATCCCTATACGTAATCGTCACGTTTAATCGTAACAACGTGAACTTTGTGTTTGCAGAATTGTCATGCATGTAAATGACGAGCAGTCGAAGGAGAAGTAGTCAGAACGACGATTATGAATCTGGGCTATGTCGTTCTCTCTCTTATGCACGCATAGGTCGATAAGCCCGTCTCCGTCGCACTCATCGGAAGGCATAAGAAATTCGGAAAATCTAAAGGACGGACATTCAATCGCTTCTAAGGGTATCAGCCGTACTTCTGTCTCTCAGGTATCGTTGTCTCTGTCAGACACGTGTAATCGCCGATCGCACCGTCTCTCTCGCACTCACGTTGACTGTATGAAAATCGAACACTCAAAGCTTTCAGACGTTCTTTATCGAGCCACGATGTTTTTATTCCCTCTATCATATGGATGAATAAAATGCAAATTGAAAAATGATTACAGTGGGTCGAACGTACTCGGTGCCAACGTTACACAACGAAGACAGGCTGGTGCGAGCCGACGTGAAAAAAAAAATAGCAGAATATAATGTGAAAAAATAATATGAAAAAAAGAATGAGGTGCAATAAAGAAAAGTATCGTCGTCCTCGAGGCTCACAAGGCATACGCATACTATGTTGTCAGCAAGATTTTCGCATCGCGACATAAGAATCGACCCACACGCGACCCAAATCGACGTCCCCAGAAAACGACTATCTGATTGGGCAGATTGAAATTCAAGAGGAGTCCAAGGAACGAATAAAGGGTTTCGAAAGAACAATTAAGAGTAGCAAAGAAAAAATACGTCAAGATTATTATTGTCAGATATTTATATATTTTTTAAATATATCATTTTTATGTATTTTTTAAATATATGTATACCCATATGGACGATTGATCAGACAAACTATATGCAGTCTGACTGAGACGATATTACACATTGATTTACAAGAATTAACTAATTTAAGTGCACGTGTACTCTCATGTCGTGAACACGACGTAAATATGAATACGTTGTCACAACGTAGAAGCATTAAGCAAAGTATAGCATCAGAAATGAATACCTGTAACGCTGACAATGATAGGGATGCTAATAGCCGTTATAGGTACTGTATTGTATACGTGAGTTATGGATACATATATACATATATATATCTATATAATAAAAAAATTCAGAGTCATCGTGAAGGCGAGTCCACAGAGACAGATAAATCGCGGCCTAGAGGTATGACGTATATGGAACTGCAGTAATTTTGATCCCTTTTCTTTTCCTTATTAATAAACACTGTGTCTCCCCCTATACGTAGGACACACACAGACACTTGTATGTATACATACTTGGCAAATCGTTCACATTTCCAGGACTTGGAAGCCAAGGTCCCTGTGCCTTAGGGCGCTTTGCAGCTGGTGACAGAATGAAATTGAATAATCGAGAAAATTCTCGAAGCTTACGGATGGAACGAAATTGCTGTACATATATATTCGTGAGTATTAAAATATTTTTTGAAAAAATAGTTCGAATTTCATTTAACAGTCCTTTTTTCTTGTGTTTCTTATCGCAGAAAAAATTCTTAAACAATATTCCTCGCTATGTACATACATATTTCTTCAAGTATGTATCGCATGAAACGGATATACGTATGATCCCTCGAAAGGAATTTCAAGTAAACGACACGCCATTGGCTGTACCTGGCAAGTATAATTGTTGTATTTTGTAGGATATGAGCGACGTAAACAATTGTCACTGGACAGTATCCTTTCCGTGCTTAGCAGATACATACATGCACATATGTAAGAAGTTATGTACAATGCTACTGTATTATTTGCCAGATCTTCATACCGGTGCCTACATTGCTTTCCTCTGTTGTAGACAATAAATGTCAATAACGTCGCGACATGGAGACTAGAAGTCCTGCGACATCGACCTTGCTTTCTAAAAAGTTTCCTGACAGAATAAAGATAGCTCTTCCTTATACCGAGTTCGTTCCACCCTCCTTAAGGAAGAAAAAAGAAAAAATGTTAGATTTCTGAACCAGCCTGTACCATTATTCGCAACCGGGAGTATGCTGAGAGATGTGGAATAAGGACCAAGGAAGGATGATTATACAGGATTTAAAAAAATATATAAAGAAAGGGAAGCAACGATCAAGGACAACTGTAGATAGTCATTGAAATGTCACTCAGAGGATGATATGGAAACGAGATAACCAGGATATGAATAGATAAGTGAATATGGATATATAAGTCTTTAATATAATTCATTTAACTAATTTAACATGTCATTGTATCTTTGTACCTGCATCGACCCTAGAAATTTACTAGGTTTGCCATCTCGATTGGTTCCTATTCCAAGAAGAGATCCAGATCTTGGTCTAATGAAAAGCCATGTCGCGTCCATTGCCAAATTTGTAATCGAGTTTCGTCGCTCTTACGACTACCTGGATAAGATACAATGTTTTATGGTAATTTTAATATACTTCAATAACCTTTGGTGTACTATAGCATATAGGAGCATAGTATGTGTATGTATGAATAGTATTATATTAATATTTCGATGTATACATTAACTCGCTTATCTTTTCTTTTAGACTTGAATCCCTTTCTCCGTGACCTTGCCATTGCTCTGGATCTCAAGAAGTCGGTGTCTGGCGAATGTCCCCGGAAGTGGTACCAAGGCCCTTTGCTGAGAAACTGATTCGTTTCCTGCTATGTTAATAACGAGCTGCGGAACTTTCCGGCTCTTGTTGGACTTCAAGATAGTCGGTGCTGCCAAGTGTAACTTGGGACTCCTATTTTAAACGCATTAATTAGAACTTGTTCTCCTCGAGCTCATTAGGCATTAAGGAGATTAGAGTTTTCGCTGATTCTAATATCTTCATTACATTGCAAAAGAAATCTATGCGAATAGATGTTCTGACGCGACAATGATGTCAGACTTATTGCGTCGCGCGATATAGCTGGAAAAGGGGGATAGAAAATAGATGGATGGGGATAAGAAATATAATAAGCGTATACCAATGAAATTTTTAGATGCGGAAAAGTGATAAGAATTAATATTTAGATTTGAAAAACATAGCACAGTTGTAAAGGGGAAAAATAACAGGGGAGAAAAAATTGTAGACAGACCAATTAATATTGTAACGAACTACGCAATCGCTTGATTTACATTATTAGATCGTTATGATATTATCCTGGGTGGTTATTAGACTTACGTAGATAAGGATAATAACGTAATCTTACGATAAATGCTTTTCTCGAAGGATCTGTGTTTTATAAGACACCAATTTTAATTGGTTAATATAACGTTTCATTGAGTACACAATAATTCTTGTTTAAGAATTCTTATACCCGAATAACTCTTAGCACCTGTAATATATTCATTTAAAATCAATAACAATTATTGCAAATTATAACAGCTGCGAATTCCAATAGTATAATTTGTCATTTTGATAAGGTAAATATGGGTCACTAGGCTCGTGGGGCGAACCACTTGATCAAGAATCAGTGGTAGGAACGAAACAGGCGAACGTGGGTGGATTTGAAGTCGAGCGTAGGGACGCGGAGCGTCGTTGAGTATTATGGGAAATATAATGAACGCATTTCATGAAAGAATTAAAATAATTAATCACCTAGGGATTCTTTCTATCGCGAAATAAGGATAGTTGTATCGGATATAAGATAAGTAATAATGTGAGGTAAATGAAGAAAAAGAAAAAAGTAGAGCAAGAAAAAGATAGGGAACTGTGTGTAATTTATATGGCAGAAGCAAATCTGTGTCGACAATGAGAGGCGAGAAATTTTGTTTAATGATCAATTCGAATTCGGGTCAAGAACACGTGGTACAGTATAGTATCTAGAAGGTATAACGTAAGATGAAAGAGTGGTGAATTTCAAATTTTTACCAAGAATTAGCGAATCAGTCAATCAGGATAACCCACGAAAATCCCACGAAATGATTGGCTGGGTCTTTCCAGTTGAATTTAGGACATCTTTCTCCTGTATCATTGAAATCATTCTGTACCTATAAAAATCATAACGTAAGCAATCAACGTAAAATTTCTGGAAATACATACAAATCAAATAATCAAACTGCGTGTGGTCGAAGCGTGTCGAATCGAAATGTATAATCTTAGCCGATAGTTAATATACCCCGGCTCAGACGAATCATTGAAAGTAACAATAATTATTCCGGATAAAGACATGAATGCGTTACGTCACAATGACTGGGTTATTAAAATCTATTGGATAAGCAGCGAATGAATTTCAAAAACTATATCACCCAAAGCTAAAATTTACTTTTATCAAGAGCTGAACATACAGTATTTACAATGAGATTTTTTTATTAAATTAAAATCAATCAAAAATCAGTAAACCATTGCGGCATATGCTTAATTACATTTCAAAAAAAAAAAAAAAAACGACAAAGCCAGATTATCTTCCTACAAAAAACAAGAGCGGAAAAATAAGGATCTTTCAAATTATCCCGTCATTTCGCTGCTCATTCAGTTAGCGACCGTTACATAATTTTGAAACACAAACGATATTCACGTAATAGCGACTAAGTCGATGCTAATTAATGAATTTTTTAAGTGTCTTAAATATCTATACGAATATAAATAATGGGCAAGTATAAATATTATTGATAGTGATCAATGATGGAAGAACCCAAATACGATTAACTCATTAATACAAATTATCTACAGAGCGTAAGCTGTCGATATAGAAGCATTAAAAGTAGTAGGAAAAAAAATAAAAATCTCTAATATCTGTTGTTTCCATCATTTTCCCTGGAAAGAGATGACGTAGGACTTATCACATAAGTACGTAGATTGCATAATACGAATTAATGACATAATGCAGGTACATGCACTGCCAGTAATAAATTCAAATCGCGTCGCATAACTGTAATCGGACAAATAATTTTCAATGGCGCGAACAGGAGGGCGTAGCGTCGTGCGTGACACACACGTGCGTTAACGAATACTGAGCTTCGCTATTTAGTTTTTAATAAATGAGGAATGATAACATTTTTGCAAATGCGAGCAGATTAGACTACAGTTAACGTGTAAGCAAAAGTGACAGCTGCGACTGTGAAGAAAAATGAAAAGGCGATCGGGTCAGATTGCACAATAGAGCGTCCAGCTGACTTTCGCAGAAAACCATTGAGCCATTCAGTGATAGCGTTATAACTATGGAGTATATTCTTTGGAGAATTTTACAAGGCCTGGCGTATTATCTTACAATTGGCGTATTATCTTGGCTGATAGGTATACAAAAGTTTCTCAGTGACATTTGACAAGCCATCTTACTTCTGTTTGCCTGACTTTTGATAATTCCCGATACTTTGAGACCTGTCAAAATATTCAATTTACTTCGACATTATTGTCAATATATTTCTTTCTTCTCGCTCCTTCTAGTCATCACGTCTTTATGACAATCGATTTATCCTCTACTTGTTTATACGGCTGGACATAAACCGCAGTGTTATTAACGTGAAACGTCATATTCACGTTTCATAGTTAATTAACCTCCTCTTTTAATTAGTCAATGACCGACTGACAGTGTGCAATTAAATTGTAAAAGCATTAGACCATTTACCGGATGCGAGGTCCAAGGAGATTCTGCAAGTAGATATGGTGAAAATGGTAATAATGATTTTTTAAATAATATATTTCTCTAAAATTAGATCAATTAAAGGTTTTAGGACAACGCGCAAAATGTTAAAGGACAGAAGAGGTAAAGATAATACATATTATATGAAAATTATGTATGTCGCCTTGTTTGTCTGTGAGACGTAGGACGATAGCTTTGACGTGTTACGTATTTCCACAGTCAACGATTACTGTCTGTACATAAGTATATATATATCTTTGCATCTGTATACAGATGAATACGAAACATTATGCAATGTCTCATAGAACCTTGACAATGACCAACGTACTGTAATTCACCGCGACGTACTCGAGTGTCATTAACTCAGGCAGAAGAGGAAGAACTCGAACAAAAAGTACGTGGGTTATGGAAACAGCATTAGTCTATGCGCTTAGAGATTCATAAATCTGACGAATTGACATAAAATACATTTGAGAGTCGGTTTAAAAAAGTCAGAAAGGCTTATCGTTTTTATTATTGTTGAAAAATCTACCAGTCGAGACGCGGAATGTCAATATTTCTTAACAACGGATATGGGTGAGACGAAGTTTGTTGAATATTGTGGAATGCAAAGTTTGACGATACATTATATATAGCAGATATTTACGCATGGTAATTCTAGGATATCCTAGATGCACGCTTTTGAAGATATAGAGGATCTTACGATAACATGTCTTGTTCGTAACATTTTAAATATTTGTTTGTATATTTCTAAAGAAATCGAAATAATAAATTCCTGTGAAACGTAAATAATCTTTATTCTATCCACTACCCAATAAACACAAAACAGCAAATATTGCTTTTCAATTAAAGAAAATGGAAACAAAAAAAATAAGAAATGGCGCGAAAATCTACGTACAGCTGACACTTCGATTATTTATACACGGTATCAACATTTGGTTCGCCATCCTTTGGCATTAATTACCGCTTTAAGTCTACGCGGTATGGTCTCTAATAATTTTCGAGTGTACTCAGAGCTGATGAGTCTCCATTCCTTGTGCAATAACTCTTTTAATTGGGCCTTGCTGCTAATGTCGTGTTTTCTTATTCTATTTTCAATTTATGTCCACAAATATTCGATCGGATTGAGATCAAAAGATTGTGGTGGAGTCTGTAGAATATGAGGGACGTTACATATTATCTATTGTCGTACTAAATAAGCTGTTTGTTTAGGATCGTTATCACGTTGAAAGTAAAAACTGTCACCAAAGCCAAGTTTTCCTGCACTGTCTTTCACGTTTTCTTTCAAAATATTTAAATAAACCATTTATCCATTATATTGTCAATTATTTTCAACTTTCCAGGACCAGCTGCAGCCATTCAACCCTGTACTAAAACTCCACCACCCACATATTTGACAGTAGCTTGTAAATTCGTTGATAACAGTTCTTCTCCTGTTTTTCTCCACACTCATTTTTTTCCACTATTATTAAAAATATTAAACTTACTTTCATCAGTCGATGGTGCTGTTCTCTGATGAAAGTAAGTTTTAGTATGGGGTTGCATGACTGCAGCTCGTCCTGGAAATTTGAAAATAATTGACAATATAATGGATAAAATGGTTTATTTAAATATTTTGAAAGAAAACGTGAAAGACAGTGCAGGAAAACTTGGCTTTGGTGATAATTTTTACTTTCAACGTGATAACGATCCTAAACAAACAGCTTATTTAGTACGACAATGGATAATATATAACGTCCCTTATATTGTACAGACTCCACTACAATCCCCTGATCTCAATCCGATCGAATATTTGTGGACATAACTTGAAAATAGAATAAGAAAACACGACATTAGCAGCAAGGCCGAATTAAAAGACTTATTGCACAAGGAATGGAGACTCATCAGCTCTGAGTACACTCGAAAATTAATAGAGACCATATCGCGTAGACTTAAAACAGTAATTAATGCCAAAGGATGGCCAATCAAATATTGATACCGTGTATAAATAATCGAAGTGTCAGCTGTACGCAAATTTTCGCACCTTTCATATTTTTTTTGTTTTCATTTTCTTCAACTGAAAAGCAATATGTGCTGTTTTGTGTTCATTGGTTAGTGGATAGAATAAAGTTTATTTACGTTTTACAGGAGTATATTATTTCGATTTCTTTAGGAATATACAAACGAATATTTAAAGTGTTATGAACTGTACACAGACTTTCGCAAAACCCTGTATTATTATTTGATTGGAACAAATGAAGATGTGATTGCATTAGGGAATAAGAATATCTGAATGCAGAATTTCAGTAGTACTGTTTATTCTGTTAATAACAACGGGTACATACACTTAATATACATGATTCTGTTTAAGGGTAACATGAGTGTTACTTGCACTTAAGAGCTCTCCTAAGTAAAAGTGATCAAAAAGATTTTCATATGGTAGGCTAGTACTCTGCATACCCAATTTGTTAATTATTCACTACGAACTGCTAGCATAGGAAATTATTTGTTGATAGAGTGCACTTCATATCGAAGAGAAAGTGTATCACATTATGCTCCGCGAGTAGGGTCTATGGTATCCTCCATATGTCTCGCAGCTCTGTGATATTTAGCAGGGTAACTGTAATAATAGACGCCCTCGTGATCTGCGTGCTGGTTAATTGCTTTCTTGACATCAGCGTACAGCTTGCGTAGCTTTGCCAACTCTGATTGTACATATACGTACTGCATGTACTTCTCATATTCCTTTTGTGGATTTGGATAGATGTAACGTGCTATGAATCTCGAAATCGGATGCTGTAATAAGTGATGACTTTAAAGAAATTCATTGACCAATTTAACAAATGATTTTTATTCATGCTCACTGACTCTCTCATATTCATAGTAGCTGGGTTCATATCCTTCTGGTATTTCCTGTAGAGTAGCTGGTCCTATGAAGATATTAACATATAGAACAAGAAGACTCAAAGGAATCGCACCAATCAGAAAATAGAAGTGAAATAAATCTTTGGTCTTGTCCCACTGCCAACGACTTGGAATAATTGGAAGCGTTCTTTCATGATCAGACATGGCTCTGCGTGGAACTACAATAAAAATTATAATAATTAATTACATAATAAAGCATAATAAGACGTAGGGCACCAACGATACCCAATCGAAATATTAATGTATACGTTCCTGAATATACTTTACTCACTGTTGCGTAACGAAATAGACGTGTATTCTCCAATACTCGGTTAAAACATGACAAAAAACTACGTCTAACTTCACAAAATTTTATTAATTATAAGTACGTACCATTTTGAATGAAGTTTTTTGGTATAAGTTTAACATTCTTTGTAATAATCAGACCCGCAGGTCTCAACATGCTACTCCACACCGCCATGTTTCATAGCACAGACACGAACAATTCTTTGAAACTGCTACCTACATTATCAACATTTCGAAAATAATGCATTTTTTATCCGAACAATATCTTAAACCATTATAAAGATATTCACAAGAAATTATAGGAAATTACTTAATAACTAGCATTATCATAATAATTAGCATTATAACAACGTTTCAGTCAATAATACAAGTATGTATTTCCATAGTTTGTCTCTCCTGGACCCTACAACTAGCTCCATCTCTTTGTTAACCTGTACAGATTCTCGACTTATGTAAGGTGGATTACATACTGACAGGCGCTTTCAAACTCAGAATGGGAACAATGGTAGATAATTATTCAGATTTATTCGTACCATGATAAAAGAGTTGTAATGCTACTTGAACTTCTAGGCCTTATTTTCTATCCCCAATTGATTTTAAATCGAAGAAGTAAGGTTGTGGGTCTCAAAGTCAACAGAGTAAGGTATGGCGCCAGAAATAAAGTCGCTGCTGCGCATGCGCCGCTCCTGAACGTTCGGCACGCCAGCGCTCCGGCATTCTACACTATGACATAGCGACATAAATCATGTAAAGCAGAACTGTGGAGCCACTGTCCCAGGAGTTCAGTTCTACACGAGTTATGACGGAATGTCAGAAATGCAAAACCGGAACTCAAGTCTACTCAGCTTCCGGGTTTGTGAACACTTGCGCATTGTATTTTAAAACTTTTTCCATTAAAGACAGTGTATTATTAAAATATTAATTTGAAAAACTCCAACATACAACCCACAGTACACAGCAGTACAAACAGAATGGATCCCAAGAAGTAATAAAGTCAACACAGTAAGTTATGGCGCCAGAAGTAAAGTCGCTGCTGCGCATGCGTCGCTCCTGAAAGTTCGGCACGCCAGCGCTCCGGATCATTGTTGCTCGCAACGCGGCAGGCTTCGGATCGATCACAGCACGTTGAGCGATTCACGTTGGGCAAGCTAAGTTTGAGCGATACTGTGAGCAGGCGGGAGTGACAGTGGAGCTTGTTTCACTTGTGACATGCATCTCCAATGTTATGTCATAACTGAACCTGTTCCAATTGCCTGACTTACTCAGGGTGTTTAACGTGGTTCGGTTTAGTTTCAGTTTCGTTTATTAGTCGGACTTAAAGTCTCTGAGAGTATTGTAGTCATCATTAAAGTTGTTGATTATGCCACGTGAAACATTGCGCGTAGATCTGGCAGATGCTGCTCTGGTTTTCTCACTGTTCTGTTCTCTGTGACGCTCTAGTCCACTCACTGTGCATCTGTGTTGCTCATAGCACTCAGCATCACAGTGAGTGAATCTAAATCTAATTGGTTGGGCGAGAAGACTAGTATTGTAGCATAACGTAACTTCCAGTTTTTTAAGTAGAGTTTGAGTTTGAAGTATCTCGCAAAATTTAAAATCAATCTGTCATTCTTACTTGTCGGGAGCTTCTTTGCTCTACCAGTTAAATCTTGATTTCGACTTGGTCGTGACAATGAACAGTTTATCGCTCTGGCTTGGTTCTCGTTCACTGAGTCTTTCTCTGCTGGGACGCCGTTGCTGCTAGAGTTGCGAGCGACAAGGCGTAACCAGGGGCACAGGTTCCATCGATTTCTGCGAACGACTGTTACATTCCAGCTTCTCCTTCTGTTCCCGCTCACTGCATGGGCACCGGCACTGTCTCCCTCGTGGCTCTGAGCTACTCGATGAACATCTCCAAACCTAAGCAGCATAGTGAGAAATGCCAGAAGGCACTGTACATCTGGAATTCCATTTTTGCATCACGATGTTGCATCGTAGCTGAACTCTTTCCAGGGTCGCTCAGGTCCTCCCGCTTTACCGTTCACTGCACCACTCAGGTCCACTTCTAAGTCCTGAGGATCCAGTGAAGACACCCGAGGGTAGTTTGAATGGCGACTCAAGTCCTAATTCTACACTATGACATAGCGACATAAATCATGTAAAGCAGAACTGTGGAGCCACTGTCCCAGGAGTTCAGTTCTACACGAGTTATGACGGAATGTCAGAAATGCAAAACCGGAACTCAAGTCTCACTATCTCTCTGGCTTCCTCACCGAGCCACTCAGAATTGGAGTCACTCTCCGTGATGCTGAGTGCCGAGTGACACTGAGCCTCACAATGAGCGGAGTTGAGCGGCACAGCGAATGAAATAGTGAGCGAAAGCCTGAACGACACGTGCCTGGTCCACGTGCAATGCTTAACGTGGCTTCACCAATGATTTTAACCAAAACTAGAATGCCCATCTTTCAGGATCTCAACGCCGACTAGTAAATTGAACCATAGCTAAACCGAACCACGTTAAACACTGCAAGTAAACCAGCCAGCAGGAAGAAGTTCAATTATGACGTACCATCGCAACGCACAACTGGAACTCCAGTTCCAGTGCCACCCTGGCTTCCCCACTACGCCAGTCAGGCCTGGGTATACTCACCGAGGCACTCAAAGCGCTACGAACAACACGCACCGTACCATACCTGAAGCGGCAATGAGCCGCAGCATAGTCGGCGCGCCTGAGCGGCCCGTTCAAGCTGCGCGCGCAGGTCCTACCCTGATAATTTGGTAACAAAGATAATAATGAATACACAATTCAACTGGAATGTTCATCAAATCTTTATTCATAACATATATAAAATAATAATGACAATATATGTATTTTCAAAATCACTTTATCAACTTTTTAACATCATTATACATATTAACCAATACATAAAAACTTAAATGCGCCTAGCAATTACAACCGTTTCTACTATAGTGCATTATATTTCCTGATACATCGAGAAGATTCACGAATCGTTTCAGAGATGGCGCCACGCATTCAAGCAAAATTGATGCTGTCCCATCGAGCGGACAATTTTAGTATAAAACTTTACAGCACTCACGCTTCACATTTCGCAACTCATCTAATAAAACGCGTCAGCTCAAACGATTTTTTTAGATATTAAAAAGACTGAACTACATAAAATTAATTAGGAAAGAACAGGCAACAAACTTTGTAAAAAAGACCCATTATAATTAAGCATACATGGAATATGATTTAAACTATGACGTAACGTCATTCATTGATAACACTTTGTTGTATTGAACATTTATAATCGTACCATGAACCATACAAGTCTAAAACCGACAGAGTAAAATACAGAAATAAACCGACTCCACAGTTTAAACGAAAAATCCTCCTAGTCAATTAATCCAAAATCTCTCGTAAACGAATACAAAGTGAATACGTTAAAACTCACGATGACTGTCAATTCTTCGATTCTTTCTTTCATATTTAAAATATCCACGACGACATACGGGTTCTATTCTAGTATCTAGGATCGTTGCCAAAAATAGTAAAACGAGTCAGACACTTCAGTGAACAAAGAAGATTTCAACAAGACGCACAGTTAAACACGCGTTATAATATTACAGTGCACATTTCACAAGTTATAATGAATGACACAGGGTGAGTCCTATCGTAAGAATGAAGTAGAACTTTTATCCCAATGCGACTCGTCAGAAGAACCAACAGCTAAATGGAAACTGACATTAACCTTACCAGTGTCAATGTCAATCAGGCAAATCGCTGTCGCAATAAGCCCAGACGCTACAAATTCGCAGCCCTATCTCAGAAAGTCCATGATAAAAAAAAGCATTAGGTGCAATCTTCACAAAATTGTTTACCTACATCAATCAACAAAAACAGCGTTAATTATGTAAGCTCTTCTGTCCAATAAACGAAAACTGTATACTCCACTACACCACTAAACTTATGTTAATCTCATTATAAAAAAATGCAAAGATCCTCATCTCGAATCGATAATCTAGCGTGACTGAATTTTTCGTTAATCTAATAGGTAACTTATAATACGGAAATAGATTGTTGATCTTAAAAAAAACTATGCACCATTGACGTTCACGTGCTACAAGGGATTAATATCTGCTCGACAAACGTTATCTGTAGCTATTCGGATAAATATATCACGCATTTATACAAATTAAATTCTAAACTCGCCTCAGGCATACGATTTCTCTCTTTTATTGATAATTTTTATGACATTTTTTTCATTGTTTTTAAATACCTCTTAAACAAGCGTTACGGTCATCTCTGTACATCATTTCTCCTTAGTGTATTGCGTTTCATCCTAACGCGATCCAATCGCATAGAATAGACGTGCGGCTTTGCGTAAACAGTTGTTCAATATTTGTCAATTCGAGTCAAGTGATCAATTGAACTTAACAAAGCGATAATAAATTAGCCGCGACACTATATAGTCAATCCTCGTGATCGAAGAGCTTCTTGATGGCTCCATAGACGATGGCCTTTATGATTTCTTCTTCAGAAGTTTTCTCGAATCTCGTGGATATTCCTTTTGGATATTTTTCACGTCGTGATAATTATAGCAGGAGTTGACACCATTTACGCTGGATCAATTAGGCATCATCTGAAAGATGAAAAATATCAGTGATCAGTACCTCTTACACGGTGAAATAAATAGAATAAATGGAAAGCGCGATTGACATTTAAACTTGAAAAATATATATTATACGAATCAACAGTTATAGGTGACTCAATTCTAACATATGAACGGGTAATAAAAAAGTTTTATCTGTATCAATTAACAATCTGTACAATTCATTCCGATAACATTGTTCTCCGGTTTTTCAAACTGGATAGACATTTACGTCACAAAGCCACATCGTTAGCTATAAGTTGGGTAACTGTATGGCACCAATTGAAGCAAGAATTTTGTTTGTTTAGTGGAAAACTTTCAAAAAAGAACCCAGTGCTTCGTACTCTGTCGATAAACCGTAAAATACAAAGTATCGGTAAAGTAGATCCTGATATAATTTTTGATGCATCACAAGAGTTACTAAAAATCCAACCACATCCACTTGCGTTTTTATTAATTTAATGAATTGCATGAACAGAGTGTATATTGACAAGTCCACTGTTTTTATTTAACAGTTCGCAAACAATAATTAGAACAGCAAATCGCACACGTTCCTTTCTAAAAAACAACGTAAATATATACTGAGATATAAAAATATATTGTTCCAGTGCAAAATCATTTGTTTAAATTTTTCTCCATAGTCACGTCTAGTTTACTAGATGACGTCATTGTTCTTCATCTATCAAACAGACGCTTTAAACACGTGGATAGACTACACAAGCCTCTCATACTGACAAAGGATACCCTAATACCAAAGATAAACGTCGTGCACAGTTTGACTACAGTTGATACTCATACGCAAGCATGAAACACACGCAACGCCAGGGATCGTCCGAAACTTCCAAGACGACGGCGGTCAGTAGTGGTTTGGCCACCGCACCGAGAGGACGTGGGAGAATTTGTTTTTTTTTTTAAAAAAAAAGACAATCTCTCAGTCCATATCTCTCGAATTAACTTGCTCTTGCGTATCTTCGTGAATACACTTTCTCAGATTTGAAAAATCCATTTGTGCAGCAACGACGTAACTTCAAATTTCCATTTAGCTCCTTTCTCCAAATAACAGTTTTCCACGCGAGTGAAGTCTCGTTTACTATTTTCCACGCCTTACGAGTCTCTTCCGTCGCTTTGCAAAGAAAGATTTTGACTGCATCCTGCAAGAAGAATCAGAGAGTGAATAAAGCAGGTAAGTTTATGTCCAGCTTGAAAAATATTTATGAACATTGTCACCAAGTATACATGCGTGGCAACTTTTAATGGGGATTTGAGTTAACGAATTTTTTCAAAATCGATAAAGACCCTTGTCAATGACGATGATAGAAGAATTGATTGTGATACTTGTGACAATTTTGATTTGTTCACTTTCAATGGAATAAACTAGGTACAATGATCGATCCGGGATCCAATGCAATTGTAATTGGAATGTCATGATTATGTCAGTACGTCATTATGCAACCTAGTGTCATTATATCTGCGCTAACCATTTTCCATAGTTTCACTCTACCTTAGACTATGATTACTACACAATCTCCTACAGTCCATACACAATAAGACCTCGCAAGTCCCAGCTGTTATTTACTCCTTGGACTTTGAACAATTCAATTGTGATATTATTTATTACTAGTATCAAAGTCAATCTTTTATTTGGCACACAATTCAAACTATTATTTACATCGATAGCATTTTAATCAATAAAAAAATTACATTCATTTCCACTAGGTCAAACGACCAGCTGTACACGCACCATTGAGACCTTATCGATTAACTTTACATATTTTTTTTCTCCATTCCGTCTTATAATCATAATTTCGCTTTATCAATCCGTCTGCAATTTGCTACACGTAATCACGTTAATTATGCAACAGGTGAAATAGGTGGGCGCTTAGTAACTCACGCGTCTGTCGAAAATCTACAAAAATTTCACTGGACAACAAAAAAAAAAGAGAAAGAAATATGAAACTCCAGGTATTCAAGTATCCTGAGTATATAACGTACAAATATTTTTTGCAAGAAAATCCACATTGTGATTTGATAATCTCGTAAGGCTTCGATCAGTGAGGAAAAAAACAGTAATGAAAAAAAAAAATATCAAGCCAGATTAGACAACGACTAAGCCCATAGTGGCTTAATGCAACAAGCCCACTAAGCCCAACTCACAGACACAGTTCCTTCCGTCAAAGTAATCTTTTCCTTATATGAGTTTGCTTATCGTTTTATTGCCAAAGAACGCTCGATATAACGCCAGGAAGTAATCAACATTTTTCCGTGCGTTTCTTTCGCAGGAACGTGAAATGGTGCTCGGGCAGGACAAACAGCGGAGGAGTTGACGATTCTTTTTTGGGAAAGAGGAGAATATTTGAGGACAGTGATTTTTGCAACGGCCTTGATAACAGATAAGGGTCGATTATAACGTTAACACGCTAACAAGACACATATATATGCATACGGTACTATAAAAAATAATCTAGACAGCCAAAGAAATCATCATGGATCCCTACTCATTGAGGTGAGTTAAAGAAAATTCTAATTAAAAAATAACGTTCATAATTCGGGTATTCTGGTATCTAACGAAAACTAATAGCCATTTGTCGAAATAAGATATACAAATAATAATAATAAATATGTATAAACGGAAACTAGGCTAAGATATTGATCGTGACATTAGTTTGATCGTTGTCGGATATGTTGGGTAATGGCGGTCAACGTGAACTGTCGTTTGGAGAAGGTTTCCTCCTTAGAGCACCGTGGACTTTTACTGTATCTAATGTTACCGTGCGCAATCTGCTGTTGAGGAATAATATTAATCGATGAATTTGATAATAACACACTGACCCACATAGCCGTAGACTCTGGGTAGGGAGGAAGAAGCATAAAGTCATGGAGAATTATATACGTTATAAAGAGATAGGTACTGGATGGCTGCCACGATAAAGCCGCGAGGTTGCTATGGACGGCCGGTGGAAGCCATTGTACTTCTGAGAATCAATATTGTGTGAGGGAGGGCAACAACCCTTAATCTAGAAAACTTCTCACGGTATAACATCGTGTGTCTTGATCCGTGGTTCATTTCTTTAAACTACCTATAAATAAATTGTATATGTCAGAGAGCATCTGCACCTGATGTTTGCAATCCATAGGCATACACAAAAATTCTACCTGCCAACCTGCTGCTTGCAAGAAATTTTGTTCCAGTGGGTATCCTCTGATTCTTGGGATACTGTCAAGCTTTTGGTAGAATCCCTTTCTGTCGTGTCCTCTCTGTCTGTAAAGAAAAATCCAAGATAATTTCGTAGAATTTCAAAATGAAAACCAGGACGGGCTTTTCCTCTCTTTCTTTATTCCTGTCAGTATGTTCCTTTCTTTTTCAAACTGGTTTTTCAAACAGGGCAGAACAAGAGAGAACCCATAGGCCACTATTCCAGACCCTTCTAGATTTTATCCCATGAAAAGATAGGTCTGTCAGTGGGGCCATCCCCCCTTGTCCCAGAATAAAATCTCATATATACAGCGTCGAAACTTACGTCACTTCTGCTCTCTTCAACGGCTCGAAATTCCCCTTTGTTCCTTTCCAGTATCCAACAGCTGATTTTCAAAGACTTGCTGGAGTAGGTGGGTGTTTCTTGACAGCCCTTTTTCTTTGTGGCTTTCAGCCATAACAAGTTTTTTTTCCTGTAATGGCGTCCCTTACCACGTTGCCACGTTCCTAAGGCTGAAGCTTGCAGGTCACCAGTCTATTCCTGACAGCTGTTACACGAAGCCTTGATAAAGTGCAGGAAATATTTGAGTCGGTTCCTGTATAGAAAATTCTTTGAAAAATTCATCCGTTTCTGCTATGTCATATCTTTTTTTTTCTCCCTGCAGGCGTCTGGTGAAACACCAAGTACAGAAACAATAAATTAATACAGTCAAAGATACAATTTAAGCAATATCTATAGTCAGTCCCTATATAGAAATTTCTTTTAAAAATTCATCCGTCTCTGCTATGTTATATCTTCTTTTTTCTCCCTGCAGGCGTCTGGTAAAATACCAAGTACAGAAACAATAAATTAATACAATGATACAACTCACGCAATATCTATACGATACTGACCTAAGCCAGAGGTTCTGGCCCTTCTAACAACAAGATAGTCTTCCATGAAAACGAATCAGGGGTTCTTTTCCTTGGTGCGTATCCCCCACTAATATCACAGCTACACGTGACGTCACGGAAGGTCTTTGAACCACGGAAAAGGAACGAGTAGGACATAGAGTGAAGGCAGAACCATTTCAGCTAACTATTAAACAGCTGATCTTCACGTGCTCACCAAAGTTCCTCAAATTAGCAGCAGCACTTCTATATAATTAAAGTGAAGTAACTTCATATTAAAAGCTTCATTAATTCCCATAAAATTATTTCAAAGTTTCATATACACACATTACTTAGCACCGAAATACTAATGTAATCATTTTTTATTTTTATCTTACAAAAAATCAAGATAAGTATCATTTATCTTTGTCATTCAAAAAAAACATTGGCTATCTCTAACGTATATTCGGTCCACGAGTTCGAGGTGTATTTTTTGGCAGATCAAATACGATGAAGTCACTAACAGGCCACATGTGTTTATGGATAAATATTGTTCTTTTAACTATACATATACGTAATTTACATTGAATTATATTTTATTTTTATATTTTAGCATATGTTTACGTTATTCTATGGAAACCACCGTGTGACTTGTTATGGAATGTATTGTTTGCCAACTGTCAAAGAAACACTAGTCGTGGACCGACTAATTTCATTAAGATTTTAGATAACAAAGATCGCAACAATATGGTCAGTTAAGTCGAATTTAATGATATGACAATCAACGTCATACTGATGCGGAAAGTAATATAAATTCTTTTAGTAACAACATGTACAATTGTTCATAAGCGAATTTTGTTTCTAATAAAATGACAATAAGAGTATAGAAATGATGACAAGACCACCAATCTTTCAAAACTCAACCGCGTATCACCGTAGGATGTAAGAATTCTATGAACGGTAATCGCACATACATAAATAGTTCCTTATTATCGATTAGTTCATAGTTTTCGTGGAACTCGTATCGTGGCACGCCTTGTTTCTAGCTACCCTAATTTGCCTAATTTTCTACAGATTAGGTGAGACGCAAAACAAACATATCAGACCCACTCTAATGTAACGCTGGCAATCATAATGATTGGGAAGTAATTTGGTGAAACCATTTTACAAATTATGTATATATGCTTTGGAAAAAATTTCTTGGTTACTTCTCTTTATCCGACACTGATAAATTTCCACTTGGCTTAGTTACGAATGGAATTTTCATTTTGACAAATTTCTCTCGTGCCATCTTCTATATTTCTTTGCTCTAATACTTTATCGACAAACATTCTCAACCTATTTGAAACACCATGCGATGCTGACAAGATATAAGTCTAACCATTATATTTTTACTTATGTATTCCTATACCATAATAATTTTTAATACATCTCTACTGAAGCTGATACTATATTTATTACAACATGACATTGATGCAATAACTGTCATTTTAAAGAGTTTATAAGTATTTATGATCAGCTAATAAAACTAAAATCAATTTCGCTATGTCATATCGACATGTATAAGTTATAGTTGGCATTGGATAATCGTAATCATAAAAAGATAAATTCATGATAGACATGAATGATTGGCAGGCTTGTTGTACAATATCTGCAAGATAGAAAATGCTAGATATTGACCAATCTTATCAATGATTATTCACATATGATTCCAGGATAAAAAAACTCATACTAATTAATAGAAATTATTGAAGGTTATTAGCACGCAATCGCATGAAAGATTATTTTTCCAAAATTAAATAACTACGGAAGTTTTCAGATAAGATTATCATGCACTTAATTTTCCTATTGATCTACTTTATGTAATATAATTGCCAACGCTACTTAAGTAGCAGCCTTATTATCAATTTTGACTGGCCTTCCAATTTAATAATTATAATATTAAAGTCATTCACTCTTTCTACCATTCGTACTGCACTTGTTAGCAGCACCCACAAGATACATTCATGTTACTTGGGTTACAATCTTATTAATTATAAGTTGTTCATAGTCCAATTACGGTAGCTGGTCTAGTGGCTGATTAACAGAACTGTTCCTCAAGTGACACTGTAGTTACATACCAGTATTATATTACTTAACAGTAACTCATTGTCCATAAGTAATACTCGTGCAGTTTCTATTTTACAATGACATTCTTCATAGTTCTTGTTTTGAAATTCTTGGTCGTCGTGATTAATCCTTGGCACCATTGACTAGCCTGTGGGACAAGAATATAAAAAATATAAGCAGCCTGAGATAACAGTATAGTCTGATCTGGACAATGTTATTATGTTCCATGGCAATTTTATATGAGTAATTTAAAATAAAATAGTTATATTGCTTCTGGCTTCCGGAAAAGAACGATAACAATGATAAGCAAACAGTAATATTAGTTGCGTCAGCAGAATAAGTACTATAGTCTACACTCTTTAAGGCGACTTACGTTTAGGTATGTAAGAAGATGGCAACTAATGTCACTACCCGAGAATAAGAGAGTAAAAGTGCATTTGACTAGTCTTTTAGATCGTGAATCTTGGAATAGTGAAAAAACTTGACCAATCAAATGTATTAATGCCCTCAGCACAGTTTCTGTAGAACATAACGACTGGTTATGTTTATCAGAAACAGTGCTAAGAGATCAAGAGCATGTGGTAGTCATCTGATCGTGAGTCTTGCAACCATGGCAACAGTCATAAAATTTTGCCAATCAAACGTACTTTGTTTCCTCAGTCCAGTTCTACACAGGCACTGTTTCTCGCTAATCAGTATTCGAGAATTATATAATGACATTACTGCCTGTTACAATAAAAATAAAATTAAACAGCGTATAGTCAGAGAGTTTGCCATTACGATATTAAGCATTGATTATCGTTGGATTTGACTGGATTAAAAACATGTCGCTCTAGGCTATGGAATTATTTTCGCCTTAACATTTGGCAAATAGGTTAGAGTTGAAAGCATTGACAAATATAACCTTAAGGCTCGTGGTTGATGCTGATTATGATGAATTATTCTGCTGACTTTTGGGCTCAAAGGAATCATTGACTATTCCAGACGTTGACCATAAATTCTATACTGTTCTTCGAACATGACGCGTCCGAGGACGCCATATTGTCCATGTTTAACTGTTAAGGAGATTCAGATGACGCCAGCAAATTTCAAATTTTAAACTAATCTGGCATTACTTCAAAGTAATTGCACGATCATTATCGTAATATTATTCGACAGAACTTTAATTAGATGGATCCCGATATAAGATATATAATTTTACAAATGAAATCTTTCTAATCTAATCATTACTAGTCGATTAAGTAGATTCTTTAATTTCATAACATTAGAATAGGATGCCCAACGCTGTGATTACTTATTATGAAAAATAATCACACCGACAGTTATAGTACTATGCTCGATTATCAAGCTTAAAATAATATTTGAATTTGATATCTGCCTTATCTGTATCGCTCTATTGCGCGGAATACAGGCTTCTGCTTATTATTATTTCATTGTATTATCATAAATCCTAAAACTGTATGTTTGTTATTAAGCTTTTACCGTGATTATTTTTGACGAGTTATTGTGAATGAACTGTATATAGAAAGTTGACATTGGTTTTGAGTTTGTTGACTGGCATAATGAACGCGAATTTATGTCAAGAAATGCACGAACCCGCCAAGTAGTACTCGATAAGGAATCACCTAAAGTTTTATTAATTATTAAATGACCATTAAATCATAATCAACTACGGGAAGCAGTAGTAATGTAAGAGAGTAGTGAAAACATTATAAGAAATTTTGAAAATACAATTAAAATGATGGGCCAGTGCTAGATCATATAATAGGCAAACATGTAGTGACTTATGTACTTGGCCTCCATAATCTGATATCAATACTTTTTATTAGAGGAATACACAGTACTCCTGTACTTGGCGTAGTTTTTTACACGTAAGTGTTTTTGGGGGATTTCATTGTATTATCATAAATCATCTACGTGCAACGTAAATATCCAATTAGTAACTTTATTTATAATTGTTGTCTTGTCATTCTTTATCATTGTTTGATAATAGTCAGCCATGAATATACATTTTTCAACAATTGGTCGTAGACTTTCGAAAATAATTACATACATATATCCATTGCAATAAATGACTGTTGAACTTGAGTAATGCATTTTCATGGCTTTCATTAATGTCGACGATACCGTATCTATTATGTAAGACAGCATAGATACAATACGGAGTATCTTGTCTCCGTTTCCTCTAAGTTAATTCTACCATTGCCACTGTGCTGTTATTAATATCATGGATATAAATCACACTATACGGATGGCACTTTTGTACCAGTAAAATTATGTATGCACTCACTTACTTTTTACTCCTCCGCGTTCGTCACTGCACAGTAGCGTCAATAATAAAAATGACTATTCCTCGTAGAGAACGAAGGTCTTTCCAGCGAAGCGCGCGATCGTAAACTGCGAATAAATGCCATTATTATCAATTAGTATTGTTCCTCCCTCCGCTTCACTGTTTGCAACAATTTTTCATGTTTTCCCTTTTTTTCACCTCATTGAAAATTCAATAGTCCCGACCTTGCTCGAAGTATTGTTCGTCAATTTTCTTCCGCAAAACAATTAATCGAAGGATATTCAAAACTATTTCTTCCTCTTCCATTTGTTCATTGCTACAGATCAGGGAAGTGCCGCTGGAATTTTCCTAGAGACAAAGAAACGAAGGCTCCTGTATGATACTGATTAAGGCTAAAAACTTTGCACAATAAATTAAAGCATACCAATCGTCGCGTATTGGCATTTGTCAATCGGGACGTGGAAAAAAATATACATATGAGTTTGTCCTTGCTAAACGAGAATTTGATTGAGGTTGACGAAGGGTCATTAATATTGCATCGAAATTCGATCCGTCATTGATTCAGATATTATCCTATTGACGATCGTTATTATAATAAACGTCAAGCAACGTCATCCATGAAATACGAGAACTCAAAGTCCCGTTAAAACAAAAAACAGTATAACAATAATTACGAAATAAGGAGTCAGCATTTATAATGGCAAGGAGTCAACGTACAGTCAGAACGTCTTTTTTTCCTATGAACCTCGTACGAAGCCACGCGTAAGCAAGACTGTCAGTTTCGAGAAGCGTTTTATTAGCACAAAAAGAAATTCGTCGTAATGAGACGATTTAAATAATAAATTATGCGACGCGTGATTACGGTCGGTGTAGAGAAAATTTACAAATCTTCAATAGAGCATGTGTCACGTCGTTGGTCGCTATCATATTATTACAATGTCACAACGACACCGCAGAAAATAAATATATGAATAGAGAATAGGATAATTAGAGACTCACCGACACCTATAGCCATCTAGCACCCGGTTTAGGTACTAAGAGCAAAACTTGTTGGAGACACAGGAAAAGTAAAAATATGAATTATTAATAAGTACACGATATTCCAGTGTGTATCAATTCTTATATAAAGTGCCTGAGGATAGGCTAATCTGTGGTAGTCTTATTCGCGAAAGGAGTTTTGCCTATCATCAGGCGTTTTACTTACAGTCGATAACTTACCTGCTCTCAGAAACAGATTAATTTATAAACGTTTCGTTTAACCTTGACTTCCAGCGTCGAAGGCGAGGCTTCCAAAAATATCGAGGAGAACGAGCGCGAGGCTTTTAAAGATGCAATTGTATCGAGTCGAAGTCTCAACAAAGGTTTTGTCGAGCCAACTCGACTGGCGCAGTCTATACCCGAGGTACGAAAAGTATAATAATATAAGAAGTAAAATAAGAATTGGTTGTATATCAAATTAGGTGAAGAAAAATATAATTATTTACATAAAACCAATATTTCCTCTCTCGCCTTATAGATTCTCGCCTGCATGGGTGTGGTGTCCTTCCATTTTGCTATTGGACTGAGCATGGCGTATTCTGCAATATTGACTCCAAGTTTAGAAGCAGCTGATTCAGAGTTAGTAGTCAGTAAAACAGAAACTTCCTGGATAGGTAATATACGTTATACATTTATTTTAGATCCTGAATGTTCTTTATATCGAGAAGACCATTTATATTACAACTGACACGCTTATCATTGCAGCTAGTATAGTCGTCCTCAGTACACCCATTGGTGCTCTGATAGCTAGTATGATCATGGAACCAGTCGGCCGGCTAAAAGTACTCCAAATCGGTGCTATACCTTGCATCTTAGGATGGATCCTGATAGCTGCTGCGACGAACGTCCCCATGATCCTCGTAGGCAGGTTCTTGTCCGGCCTGGCCACAGCCATGAACACATCACCAGCTATAGTTTACATCACTGAAGTAGCCAAGCCAGACTTGCGTGGCTCTTTGATATCAATTGGACCAGCTCTTGCTTCCTTGGGTATGGTGGTGGTGTACGTCAAGGGTGCATTTTTGACCTGGAGGCTCACGGCATGGCTGAACATCATCTACGTGGTCGTACCTGTTATTTTCGTACAGTTCCTACCCGAATCGCCGACCTGGCTTGTTTCTAAAGGCCGGACGGAAGAAGCCAAGGCTTCCGTTGAATGGTAGACATATTGTAGATCCTCTTCCTTGTTTATTCACATCGAGGACAAGTGTTACGACCCTCTTCCTGATTTAGGTTTTACAGACTTGATACAAAGAGCGGTAAAGCCAGTGCGGCCGATGCGCATTTCAATTCTTTGATGAAGGAAAACGAGATTAAACGCAGCGAGCAGAGACGTAGCAACCGTGGCAATTTTTCGCAAAAATTACGTGCCTTTGCAAAGCCCACTGGATGGAAGCCTATATTCATCCTCTTCTTGTTTTTCTTCTTCCAACAATTTTCTGGAATATACATCACTCTCTTCTATGCAGTCACTTGGTTCCAGGTTCGTTGACTTTTATTGTTTTAACGTTTAAAGCATATATCTTCGCCATTGACTATGTTGTAACTTTGTTTTTTTTTTTACTTGCCAGGAAGTAGGTGCAAAATTTGATGAATACCTTGCTTCTATTTTGGTAGGAGTCACAAGATTTCTCTGTTCGATGGTCAATACTTGGTTACTAAGACGGTACAAGAGACGTCCTCTCTGTATAATATCCGCTTTAGGAATGTGCATCTGTATGTCAGTTTCCGGTTACTTCACTTTGCAGAACAAGAATGGTGATACGAGCGGCCATTTGGTAAACACGAGACACCTATCTGAAAAATTCAATTTTCAATTATTTATCGTATGACATTTCAGGAATTGTGTACATAAATTGTATTTCAGGTACCAGTTGTGTGCCTCATTCTCTACGTCTGCACCTCCATGATCGGAATGCTGACGATACCCTGGACAATGACTGCCGAATTATTCCCAACGGAAATACGTGGAATTGCTCATGCAATCTCTTACTCGATAGCGAACTTGCTTATGTTTGCAGCCATACAAAGTTACAGAAGCCTTAAGGATTTCTTAGGAGGTAATAAACATAACTGGAAGATAAAATATTTTCTGGATGATCTAGAATGTATGACGCCATATTGTTTTTTTCTTTTTCCTATAAAACAAAGGTTCTTACCAAATACAATGGTTCTTCGCCGGAATATCCTTGGCGGCCGTAGTCTTCATTTGGTTACTGCTACCGGAAACACACGGGAAGACACTCTTGCAGATAGAAGAGTACTTCCAGACTAACTTCCTGGCCGTTGGAGCGGAGTCCAAGGCAAAGAAGAGGCGGGCGAAGAGACGCGCGCAGCAAAAGACTAAAACAGCTGTTATGGAGCCACTGAATCCAAAAAACGTCCAAACGGCTTAACCGAGAAGGAACGGATAGTGACAAATTAAGTTTCTCCTTCCTAGAGTATCTTGGGAGTCCAGTTTATAGGGATACTTCAAAATACATTTAAATGCGCGTGGCATTGCGCGCAATGGACACGAGAGGAAGTCAAATGCAGATTTGTCCGATTGCGAATAAAGATACACTTATAGTATAGCTATGTCAACGATTTCGTACACATCGGGAACTGTATTACATTATAAGCCGTAATAAGATGGCCCGAAAATTATTCACGCGGTCTTAACGTCAGTGTGGAGGTCACTACTTAAGCAAGAAAGCACAATAGTTATTAATTAATGGCCAGTGTACAAAGGAAACAAGTTTTGTTTTGATAACTTCGACTTATTAACAAATTTGTAAATTTTCGTCGTTACAGAAAAGTGGCCTTCATTTTTTTTTGGAATAGATAAAAATTACTCCTCTTTCTCCTCCATCATTGCCTCCTCGTCTAATAGTATATTTTAATATTATATTTTATTATATACTAATTTATGGGTATACATTACAGTAGATATACACTACTTCTGTATACTAATATTGTACTTTGTATTGTTATACAAAAACAAACATTTTATATTAGCATTTACGCATGACAACCGCATGTTTGTGGTTCCTAAGCTAAAAATGTATCGCGATTGGCCGAACAATAAAGTATTGTTAAACAAATTGTACAGGCTCGCAAATACTATTTAATTTATTGTTAACTGTTGGCAATTACATTATCATTAATTACAGTTATAATATTATGCAGTAGTACGTACGTTATTATTATTGTTATTAAATAATTAGCGTGAAAAAAGAATTTCGATTAATCTCGCACTATTCAATTATTATTATTTATTATTATGGCACCTTGTCGATTATCTCGCGTCTCTCGATATTCATCTAGACTGTATATTATGAATAATCTTTACGAAGGGTAGTGCACTCTAGTAAACGCGTCGGCAACAAAGGGATAACATAATATATGTTTTATGTATGGTATAAGCTATACATAAAAGGCAGCAAAGGATATGAGGAAAAACAAAGAGGAAATCCCGAAATTGTTGTTCACGAATCAAAAAGATAAGGAGAAATACGTCAGACTAACAAACTAAGAGGAAAGTAACATTGAAGAATTAAACAAGATTTATAAAATTATAAATATGCATATATATATAAGAATTCACAAATGATTTGTCTTTTCCCCTGAATGTAATTTGGACCGTGACACCATCGAACTCTCCCCAAAGAAGACGTCAACGGCTCGGTTCTACAAGTCAAAAAGGAAAAAAAAAAAATCACAATCACCGGTTATTGACAATCTTTAGTCTCTGCTCATTTGGATGCATCATTAATTATTCCTATTTAGCATTTTTTTCCTACTGTTCCGTCAACTGGGAATTCCTTCGTACTTTTTTTATTCGTAATACTCTCGAGAGCGTCTTTCTCTTTAACTGCCTATTTTCATTTCTCTCTTTCTTTCTATTTTTTTTTTTTTTTCTTAACGACAAAGAATTTCCCGCCCGCGAGATCGCACACACCCTTTCTTTCTTCAGTGGGAGTCACACAACAAACATGTATTCGTCTTATTCATATAACTCATATTGATAAATGTATAAATGTAACGAAGGGATTTAATTGAGGAGGGGCGAGGGGAGGGCTAAAGATATAGTGCAGAGAGAGAAAGAGAAAGTGAAAGAGGGGGTGTAGGGAGGATGGTAAATTATTAATTAACAAATAGATACGTACACGAAGGAACGAACAAATATATGTATTCGAGAGTGGATTCTTTCAGTAATTTCATCCATTGTTTCTTTAGTTTTTCATCCTCACTCATTATTTACTATTCAATTATTACTCGGGTATTCGTTAGTTCTTGCTGTTACTTCGTGGACTAGCCGGCTGACTGTTTGACTATTGTTGCTGTTGTGCACGTTGTATGTATATGTTCAATAGTCTCAATTTACTGCCGTGCAAAGACTTCAGGTGGGGCTTAAGGACTTCCTCTCCGACGGCTGCATGTATGGCCACCATGCAGAACACTGCGCTTTTTCGTACCAGAGTTTCGTTGTCGTTGTAGGCCTTATTTTTTTTGTAAGTTAATGCAAAGATTTTAATTCCAATACAGTCGGTCTATTGATTCGTACAATACTTGCTGTATGTAAGTAATGTACTTTTGAGAGTAAATTCTTATTGGTTTTTTGGTCACTCACCTTTATAAGGCCCTGCATTACGTCTGCAAGATGGGGCTCTATTGCTGGGCGTCCCCAAAGCTCTACGAGTTTGTGCAGCATTTTAATCGCTCCCATATTCTTTGGATAATGTTCGGTCATTATCACAATGGACGCCAGAGATATAACGTTTTCTGGCGGCAGGACCGATACTATCGCAGCCGCACACTTTTCTGCTACGCGCAACACCTGGGACACAGGACTGAGTTTAACTGATATTTCCATTGGATTAGTACGATTCTCATGCTTAAGAGTATATATATATATATATATATTTTACAGATAAATTTCAACAAACCGGAAGTTTCTTATCAAAGATGACATTTGTAGCCATGCAACAACAAAGGAAACAACATGGAAAAGTGTGTGCCTTTTCTTTTAGAAATTCTTAGTTATATGTATATCTCGAGAGGGCGCTTCAGGAAATTATGAGTCGAAATTACGATAGGGGATATAAAACATGGACAATAAAAATATTGTTACCTCCCATTGCTTTGCTACCACTCGTCCTTCTCCTTCGGCGTTGGCAGCGTCGACCTTCTGATCGTCGAACCGATGAGCGTTCAGGACCTTCAGGACTATAAGCTGAGGATAATTGCAAAAGCACTCGGAGAGCTCCTTCACTTTTAACATCTCCGTCAGGGCGTTTAAGACTTCTATTTGTATGTCCATGTCGTCATTAGAGAGACACTCCAGGAGGGTTTTCAAAAGTATTCTGGAGAAGTACAGTTGAATGAAATACACATAGTACAGAGAAAGAGGACGAAGAAAGAGAAAGAAAGGGAATGACCATAATGTAAAGTCGAAAAATTTCACGTACTTGAAATTCTGTTTGATATATGTAGGATCAGGATCCTTCACCAGGTGTTGTTGAAGCTTACGAAGTACGGCAACTTTCTCCTTGTTGCTAGCAGATTCGGATTGTAGCGTCTTGAGGAAGTGATCAATATCATCAGGATCCTGGGAGGACTCGAGTGACATGTCTATAAGATTAAATTGAATTTACGTCTTTCTAAATGATCTTTCTCCGAGTCTTACTTACTATAGTTCTTATAACCGTTATTCTCTTGGGGAAGAATTAAGTCGCCGGCGATGGTACCGCTCGATCCGTTCACTGATAGATTCGCCACGGTCGTGCCTCGCTGTGTGGGCGAACAAACGGACGAGGAACGTCCCTGCGCGATGGTCATGCCATTAGAGTTCCTGGTGATGACGTTCCACTGGGATTTACTTACCGAGGTCATGGCATCTAGTCTCTCCTCAACGTCAGCCATGTTACTGATGCCACTATCAGTACTGGTAGTGGGACGTTCTAATCTCTCGAAACCATAATTTTGTATCTCTGCTGTTGTGCGTCTTAGGGATCTTTTATAGCAGACAGACGATATATCTTATAACCAAAAATCTAATAAAACAATTAGAACAGAATTAGATTATCTGACTCACTTGTACACCTCTTCCACGTTCAGGTTGTCATCGGTTGCGTCAATTTCCGTTCTCATTCTCGTCCTAGCCGGGGAGTGTGGCACTTTAGGAGGTGGTGTTCCTGGAGATGCTGGATTACTGGGTCCGGATGAACGTCTTAAATGACTTTGTACCAGGGGCAACGCAGCTTCCTGAGCAGGAACAAATTAATTATTAGATTATAAATGTCATGATTCTACGTTAGAGGCCGTATTCCCATTAGATTTATCTCAACGAGCACCTGGTAATATTTTGGCAGTTCAGTCAGGATTAGGGTAACCTGGGGAGTGTTGAGATTGTACAATGCCATAACGGCGGCTTCAGCGTGTCTTCGTACATCTTGACTCTTGACATCATTAGTCCAGTCTAATAACCTAGCGAGGGCTGAGCCCGCTGAGCTATTCAAAGCGGATGGTTCCGCAGTCTCTGCTATTTGAGTTAGAAAATTCAGGGTGGCAACTTTAACACGGGTATTTGGCGTCTGGGTAGGATCCGTAAGAAAACGCATGACAGCCGGTAAGAGTTGTTCACCAGAAAAGTGTTCCCTGAGAAAAATGTATATTTAGACAATGCCAAAATTTATATTACTCATATTGAAATAGTTCATTTGGTATTTTATCTACCGTACCTGATGACATCCAAACATTTATGAATTTTTGTTTGTATCGAACCAAGCAGATCAGTCCCAAGCTTGTTCAAGAGCCTTGCACAGAGCACGTAGAGCCAATCACCAAGATCCTCACTATGGGTCGCTATCAATTCTATCAAAGTGTCCAGAAAGAGACTGAATGCCTTGGTGTGAGAATCCGTGAACATCTTCGAGAAGATATCCGTGACTTTCCTCAGCTCCGTAGCTGACAGTGTGTTACCATTGGAGAGAAAGTGATGTAGACCAACTAGACCCTCCTTACGGTCGACCCAGTGCTTACGTCCACAATTCTCTATAATTTCCTTGATGTCCTGTCAAATAGATCAATCAGAGATACATATTCCGTAATGATCAATTTTTGCGCAAAATCCCAGAATAACAATATACCAAATAGCATTCACAAGCATTAACAGGACAAACAGTGTGATCTTACAAAATTAATACACCTGAGGATGAATCCTGAGGACCTGGGGATAGGTTTATTAATAGATTAAAGAATTCAATTGCAGTGTGATATACTAACAGATAAAATACAGTTGAGCCAAAAGCGAGAGACTTTCGAACTACGATCTTGCGTTCTGTTCCCTACTGTGATAGATTTGTCCGGAATAATTTCATTAGTCTCTCGCTCTAACGTATGAACTGAAAGTCCCCGTAGATGATCAATGATATTTGAAGTTCAACAAACCTTAGGGATGGATTGATCCCACAGATCACGATACAGTCTCTGCTGTGAGCCACTCCACGAGAACGACTAACGTGTTCGGATGTTCGGATGGAAGGACGGATGAACAGACACGGAAACAACGCGTTGCACCGCATTAGTCCAAACCAAACAATGACGCCGCAACAAAAAACAAAAGGAAAGAAAACCATACATGCGTTAGCGACATATTTTCTTTCGTTGAGATCATTCACGTCGATGATACGGGATAGGAAGTATAGGAGTCAGTCAAATAAGTTTATAGGTCTTCGTGTATAATGGTGAATAAGATATGTAAAGATACATGTAATACACGTATTATTAGGTACCAGGATAACCAGGTCTTTGAGATATAAAGCATTGCCTTTAAATCAACTTGACATCACTTTTGGAAGCCCATGGGTAGCCAAAAACAAAGATGTCTCAACAAAAAAAAAAACAAATTAAATTGCACACGTTTCACAAGTGTGTTTCATGAAAAATGAATGATTTTTATTATGTGATCATGAATGGTTAAATCGCAGGACGGCAACGAGATGAAATGATGTCATCTAACTAAATATTATTTAATCGTGTGGGTTTAACATTTTTTTACAGGATTTTGCAAAAAACATTTTGTTAATGAACTCACATCGCTTGGCCGACGAATACTGTCCATACTGCGTTCTGAACATATACTGCTGGTCTCGCTGTCGTCGCTATGATCGCCTTTGCCCCGTGGAGTCCTCGTGTAGGGATCCATGTCAAAGGTCAGTGCGTCAGCCAGGGCGGATTCAGCCTCGCGCGACTGCTGCAGCATCTTCTGAGCCATCACAGCCGGTCTGGAGGAGGACGTTCTGTCCGTGGGTGACATGTGGAGATTCCTGCCTCGGATTTTACTACCGAAACTGCGATCGACGCCAAATCTTTGGGGACTTGGCTCTCGGCTATTTCCGGTACTCTTGATGCCGTGTCCCAGGACTCTCCTGGGTCGTGCTACTAGAGATTCACCCTCGCGGTTATACGTAGCGTAACTCAGGCGGGAGGCGGGTGAGCACGACCTACTACTGGCTGTTCGGACAATATCAAATGAAAGAACGAGAAACAAATAAGAGAAATAATAATGCATGTCCAGGGTAATCAATAATCGATAATCATTCAATAAATTCTAATTAAATGATACTGACGTTGCGACTGTGATACACCTAGTGCCCTGGACCTCGTCCGCGCTGACCTTTCGCAACTGGTCGTTGCGCAAGTGGGATCTGGAGATTTGTTTGATCGTGCTGAAAAGCATAAAAATCAAATATTGATTACTTCAATTCGATAACGACAATATAAAATGCCATTTTTTTTTTTTCATTCCACTTGCTCTACCTTGTTTACTTTGATGGCTGCCATGATCATTGTCTGTGTCCGGCAGCATAAATTCAGACGATAGTGTACATTTATATTATATTATAATTATTATTATTCTTGTTCTTAATACATACGTATCGCAGCCTTTTGTCTGTTCATGTTGGCATACGCCACCCTCGCTTTTGCCCTCTGTGCAGCCTGCAGCTCAATGGCACTGGTGGATCTGACTCCAGGTGTAATTTGACCTATAAACAATTAAAACACGATAGTATTAAATAAGGATAAATGACAATTAACTGTCATCGTCCTGAGCGTTCCCTCGCAATGAAAGAGGATAACAGATTGTAGATCAGGTAATAAAAGAATTACAGTGATTGTCAGTGGGTCTCTGGAGTATCGGAATACCGGACTGCCTATATGAACGGGGCAGAGACGGCGTCCTCCTAAGAGGACCATGAGGTGGCTGACCCTGCGGATGATGCAAGTTTTCGGTGCTACCTTTATATGATGCAATTAAAGGGTTTTTCCAAAGAGCAGCATGAAATGTGAGAGACGAACGTTTGAGATGCCAGGATGCAGCGAATAACAAATGGAACGAGCATTTTTTTACTTTCTACACTAACCAGTTGCACTGAGCGCCGGCCTCGAAGCGCGTGGACTGATATTCGTAGTCCTCGTCAGAGCGTTTAAACTGTTCATACTCCCGCTGTTACTGAGGGACATCAAGGACCTCTTATACGTAGTGTCCAAGCTGTTCAGCAGACTTTCTGCCTGTTCTGGAAAGTGATCCTTGAACGCCCAGTAGGATCTAGGAAAAGGTATCACATAATAAAAATATTAATGAGATGAGAAAGTAGACAGAGAAATAAATGAAATTATCCCAAACGATATTTACTTCCTGGCATGTGCCCGAGCGTCGGCATCCGAATCGGCGACGCCTTTCTTAATGGCGTCCTGCAGAATGGTAACGTGCTTTTGCAGAACCTGCGTTGGCCAGCACTGTAGTATCAGGTGAAGATACTCGCAGGTTGCACGACGTATGTCCTTGCTCTTGCTGTTCATGGTGGACGTAATTATAGGTATGTAGCGACTGCTATGAGTATTCTGGAGTATGAATCGCACGGCGACAGCGCCGGCTGTTGCAACAACCTTTGCACTGTTTTGTATAAGATTCATTAGACTCATCAGTACGCCTTCGCCAAAGCTTGCGAATTTATTTTTGAGTTGTTGGCTCAGAAACGCCAGGGTGATGCAGGCTTCTCGTACGACCTGAGATCTGAGATCCATGCATGCCTGTTCGAATGGTCTTTGGGTACTCTTGAGACACTCTGCGAAATTGTCGTAGTTCATACCACCAGCTATAATAATACCACGTAGTTTCTTCATCTATAATTAAAAAATTAACAATATTATACAAAATACAGACAAAGCCAACAGGATGCACAAGACTCATTTTTATAGAACTCTATTCATTAAGAACTCACACTATCTGTTCTTTGTTTCCAGTCTTTCTTGTCGTCGCCCACTGTATCCCTTATCGCCTTCATCTGTTCCTCTAGGTCCTTCGCAGAGAACAGCTTTATCGGTGGTACATCCTCAAAGGCCGTCAGGAATGTCTCCTCGTCGACGGCGCCTGCTTGACCTATAGAACGTATAATATATTCATCTGGCAACTTTAATCTAGTTGCTATCTAGTCGGTTTTAATAAGGAGAGATAATGTATCTTTTTACAATCATGCGATTAATTATCTTGCAAGATTAATTTTAAATAAGCATTCCTAATTTATTGTGAAAACGAACCATGGATAATGTCTGATTACACGAGTAATTTGTTAAAGAATATGATGAGGTCATTGCAGACAATTGCGATTACTATCATGAGTGCTTTTGTTAATACCTGACAGTGATCCCAGAGAGTACAGTCTTTCGATTCTTGAGTTTGTCCTTTGGACCCCTTGACTCTTCGAGGGCACTGTCATGCAAGCACATTTTATCGTTTAGCATTGATCGTCAGTCAAAGAGTAATAACTTTTGAGTGTTATTCCATTTTGACTGTCGAGTGTTAAGTGCATTATAGTGTACAGTGATATTCTGTAAATGCAAGTATAAGCGTTACATACTCTAATCGTATAATTAATCTGAGACAAATTTAAAATGAAGCTCATGCGTGAATGCCATATATATATCAAATTATTAAGCTCAGATTTGACAAAGTAGCATGCGATCGAAAGTTTAATTAAGCATAGTCTAATAATATTTTGTAAGTAAAAGTCAAAGTATTGTGCCAATTTGTGATTGCCAATTAGAAGAATGCATTATAGCGAACTATTCATGCAAGTAGTTAATATTGAAATTCTGATTAGAGATATTTAAAGTTTCCTATATTCAGAGTGTGAAAAAGAATCTTATAGTTTTCATATACATAAGTAGGATAAATAAAATATACACTGCTTACACTTTTCACACTTGCAGTGAATATATAAAACTTCAAAACTTATCAATTAACTTTTTTTTCTGATCAATAGCTTATCTTAAAATATAATGTTTAACTTATTTATATGTTAAATGAATACAGCTAAATTTTCACTTAAAAAATACCTGGCGTTGAAACAGTTTGCTTCGCAGGACCAAATTGCCCTCTCTTCTGAGGTACACTTGTAGACCTTTTTACTGGAGCAGATTTGATCTAAATTGACATTTGAAAAAGAAATATTACCTTCAATTGTCAAAAATTACATAAACTAGTAAATAAGACGAAGCACCGCTCTGATTGATACTTACTGCTCTGTCAGGTTCATCAGTGTCTCTTCCAACTGAAACAGACATAAAAAGAATAAAAATAAATATTGTTAAGGAAAGTAAAAAAAGTATAATAAATAATAAAATCATATATCGATCTAGTATAGTCCAGGGTACATCTTTGATTGTCACTATACCTAAATTTGGATATAACCAGGGTGGTTTGTGCACATCACAGTGACAACCACGAGCCCGAGCACCAGGATGCTTCACTATATTATCCCACTGTAATATCCAGGTGCTGCTGGCATCCCAGAGCTTCTTGTCTATACTTGGATACTTCACCAAGCCACGATGAGCACAACAATGGCCACGGGCTAACATCATTGCAGTATCATCTGTTGCACTTTTCATCTTTTATCAATCACAAAAGTTCCACAGCAATATAATTTTCAATAAAATGTGTCATAGTGATGATTGCTTATCAATAGTTTTCAAAAGACAATTACATGCTCTTCATCCTAACAGAATTGAATACCATTGAGATTGAACAATATGCCACTAGTCATACAGTACATGGACTATATGTACATATATTTCTATAAGGCCATGATTGTCTTGTACAATAGAAAAAAATGGCGCTAATGCATTAACGCAGTAAGAAAGTGTAAATTCAGTAATTAAAGTGGGAAACCACGAGAATCAGAACGCGGGACGTACTAGTTAGGCAAAGTGAAAGTATAAATCGTCATTAATTCTGAAAAGAAACAAGATGCCACGCAAGATACGAGGCGCTTCAATTAATTGGTATCCTTCAATCGAACGAGATAACAGGTATCAACTTTATGAGGTTTCAATTCTCTTCTACTATTTTTTTTCTTCAGCTCTATAGACTTTGCTCTAACATACCATCCATCTCCTATAAAGAATTTGCATAGACTCTCTTTCCCTTATCTATTTGGCTCATTATCGCGGCTCGAACAAAGAGATTAGAATCTTATCGCATCGTCGACCTATTGTTACGAAGCGCGACGTTGCGCGGCCCAGAAAATTCCCTCGCCGAGTTCGACATCGCGTGCACGAAAATAAGAAAAACGACCACTACAAAGGAAACTCTAATGAAAAGCCTGGCGTTAAAAAAAATTGCCTATTATTTTCCACTTATACAATAAAAGCATTGCAAAACAAGTTGAACGAGCAAGACGACTGTACACGAAAGACGAGCATACAAAAATTCCACGATGACTAGGAACAACCTGACCTAGGAGCGAAAGACTCATCACGTTTTGAATCCTCATTAATTCATCATTCCGCACAAAACAGAGAGAAGAGGAAAAGAAACTAGCCAAAACTACAGAAAGAATCCAGTACAGTAGCAGAATACAAAGTAAGTACGTTATGCTAATCGAAGCATGAAATTAGATTTGAATCTTTAAAATAAACCGGCTGTTTTCACACATTTAAAACCAGATAACGTACTGCGGCTCATACTACACATCCAACCCGCATTATAAGATCGCAACAAAGTTCAACATCACCAAGCATAAACGATACAATCTAATAATACCGGCTAATACCGATCAATCCAACAAGTCATAATTGTCGCTATCGTCACATCACAACATTGACTCGATATATAAAGCAGCGAAATAAAAAGAAACCCTAGTCACATAATGTTCTCCAGATGGGTCCGTGACACAGAAAGAAAAAACACGATCAAGATCACCGGTCATGATCGTTGACACATTTTTACCCGATCCGTCTTCCTTGGGTGAGTTAGATTGCACCTTTTAAAACCGCACAAAACCAGAAGCCATACCGTATAATACGTATACACATAATGCACTTTATACGATATTCCAAGGCACGAGGAGGACGCGAACACTCGCAGTAGAATAATCGTATAGTAAGAACTTCTCCATGACTGTTAGCACGTCAAGGTACCGTGTGCGTTTGCCAGCGGGGAACGTGGGGCACCAGGCTTTCTCCCCCTAGCTGCTACTTTACGTTTAGTTTCAGAGACGAGCACGAGGTAGTAGGGGGGGTCCTCCTTCTGTTGTGTCGAACGCAGCAGCAGCAACATACTAGGGTGGGACCCCCTCTTGCCCTATTGTTATTCCACTGGAAATATTTCACTCTTTCTCTCTTTCTCTTTAGCTCTTGGTTACCGGATCGATGAGCTATCCTGAACGATCATGATTAGCACCAGGCTGTCAGAACTGGCTTATACGGTACCTGGAGTTTTACAATCTATGTTCAAAGGACATTCACAGAATGTCTACCATCCGTTTTCTCTTACAGTCTAATTTCCGTTTAGCTTATTTTCCAGGGAGCTGAATTAATTAAAACAGGATTAAATATTCGAGGCGCTTCATGTACGTGCGACCCTGACGTACCGAGAACAAACTCCATCCAACAAACTTGCTTGTTTCGACGCTTAATAATAAAGCCACGGAGAGGGGTCTGTCAAAGTGAGTGGATTAGTATTATGGCGTATTCGATTTGTCTGTTCATAAAAGAGTCGCGGTGAACGTTATCAGTGCGACGAGCGTAGCTCAGAGCACATAAACAGAAGCGGAGAAAGGATAGAAGAAAAACGAAAAAGCCTTGGAGGATCCAGGCATTCGCAGGTATACAAACACAGCTGTGTCATCCGAACGAAGAATGCTAAAGAGAAGAGATAAAAATTGGCATCAAACTCATGGCGGGATCATTTGAAACCCAAGAAAATCAATATCTGACACAATTTCATCGGCCGTGATTCGTAAATTCTGCATCAGCCCAGGATGCGATTTCGATGACAATTCATCCCATACGACAAGAACGGAAGTACAGCCGTTCAATAGACATTATTAACACGTGAACATGCACGTGTCTCCTTTTAATTAATACAAGATGATTGCATTGTGTGACATTAATAAGCAACTGTAGACTCGTACGCAGCTAACGCTTCAAACAACAGGATAGAGGATACGAATTTCGAGGTATTTTATTTTACATATTTACTTATTAGCTTCACTTGTTGCCATGCGAAAACCTACGAGTTCGCGTTACAGTTATGATAAACGCTAGAAAACTGGGTTGCAGAATCGATCTCTCATATCCGTTATAAGCGGCCATCGCCAATTAACCAACGGATACGGATGTCATTGCTCTTATTAATAATACAGATGATATCTCTTTTTGTTTCATCCACAGGAATCCTCTGATCGAAGATATCCTTAGGTATTCTCATACCGATGAGATCACTGAAGATCCATAGATCTGCATCGATTAATATTAAACCCACGCCTTTCATCTATGCATATTTGCGTATGATGTTGGGAATTCCTATAAAGTCGGAACTTTCGTAATAATCATATGCCGTGTATAATGGTGTATATATCCAGCATAGAGGTCTCTGACACGAAGCGAATACATTATACCCTTAAAATACTAGAAGTCACTTGAGAATCCGGCTGAACCTCAATGAGTAAGTCATTTATGTGTATATATGATAATTTTATGATTTTAGGAAAACATCAGATTCGCCTTGGAATTTCGATGTTTAAAGTGATATATTAAAGGTATTTAAAAAAAGAGTCAAGAATCCAGAACAATTCAAAAATTTTTCTGAACATCTATCAATGGCCGACGCTGATCGTTGATGATAATCCATCATCTTAAACCGGAAGTTATATAATGATTGATGTCTAGTCAATCGAAACAATAGAATCGACAGTAATCGATATCATTAAGTTTCGTGGAAGTTTACCATGACTGCCTCATGGCTGCTTTCAGTTCTATTCATATCACTCAGATCGAAGGAGTACTTTACGTGACTCCTGTGTATCCTGCCAAGCCCAACTGTGATCTAAGCGCCATCGACTGCGTACACGACGATAGAGGTCGGATCAAAAATGATATGACGTAAAATGAAATGAAATAATGAAGAGAAAGTAATGAAAAAAAATTCTTTCATTGTAACGGAGAAGCCTATAACAGTTGTACGAGTTCGAGGAGCGTCGAGAAATTCTTGAGGATTCTTCAGAAAATAATAACTACCGCCATCGTGTCGTTCGCTATGTATATATAAAAGCGCGTGAACCAAGTGGCCTCTGATTCTGTAAAAAAAGAGTCGTTAGGTGACATAACGCCTCTTCTTGGAATGGTAGATTCTACGTGCAACAGTGCTCGCCAGTCCTGAACTACTAAATACATCAAGAAGCAGAATAGACATATATATGTGTGTACACATAACATTAACTTCCGCGTAGACGCAAGGAGTACAATGAGGCCAGATCGTAAATCCGTCTTTAATCGCAAGAACGCGTTGAAGCACCCGTCAAGACTCTACAGAGTGGCCGTTGGTTTTGCATCGCCTGGAGCAATTCCCCTGATGAATTATCATTGCAATAACATGATAGCATCGCCAGGAGTGAACGTAGCTTGTCACGGTTTGCAATTTTTGGCATTGCTAACAAGGCAGCCACCCTCCATTGATTTCAAAGCAAGAAGAGTCACGGGTTGGTTCTCAAGGTACTATGATTCAGATCCGAGGAAGGATATCGAAGGTGGATGACCGTTCTGTCATCAGTCCACTATCGGTATCGAATCGCAGTGGCGAACTGCGCTGCAGCTCTTTGAAGTGCCAATATACATTTAATCAGCAGTTTAGAATTACGGTGACGTGTGCATCGGCGGTACACTGCAAGTTCACTGTGTTACTTTATACGGCAGTTTTTGCGATGCGTCATTCGATATTTCTTTAATGCAGGTACAATTGTGTGTTTTAAACGGCTCAACTCGAAGTCATTAAAGGCACGTAGGTAGCTGGATATTCGCTTGCGAATTGATACCAGGGTAAAACAACGTAAAGATTATTACCATCGGCGATAGTGGATAGTGTCGACATTGATATGCAAAGCATTCGGTTATCCCTTTGGTATATGCGTAAGAGTAATAGTGGAAATTCGAATAGCGCGTACAGGGCCGTACAGTGTTACAAGGCCGGCCATATTAAGCAAGACGGCATTACTTAGGTATGGATTACGACTCCGGCTATTGAAACAATACACCGTCGATATTGCGTGTGCAGTAATGCTGGATTACTGCTAGTATAGGATTGCGCAATATTGATGAACAGGACAGCGGGAATAGAGTATAAGTCCAGGGGCGAAAACCCAGATGATAATTGTGTTTGCCAAAATTTTATATAAATATCGTCACCGTTCACACGAAACTGTGGTGTCTATTTGTACGGGCAATCTTATTTCCTAGTGTCTAATATCTGCGTGCTGGACGATTGTCAATTTCCAAAAGAAATATTCTTGCCGCTATGCTTGACCTGACGTTGCCAATTGAATATTCAGTAGTTATCTTGGCTAGTATGCTGCGAGGTACGTGTACGGCCACCGCAGGATACTAAGGTAGCTGGGGTCGAGTGTCTCTTGGAATAGTCTACTGCATTTTTTAGAGTGTCTGTCGGTATTACAGTATGGGTAAACGTTAATGTTATAGAGATTATTAACTCACCGTCCGATGACATTGCCAAGGGCAGTAGGTCACCAGCAGCCTTCAGTTGGTCGAATCTTTCGAAGAGTAGCTGGCGTCTTTAATTAGAATGATTGCGTCAGAGTTAATTGAAAAGATTTAATAACGTTAAGAGGTAGTTTAACATTGATTTTACTTACTTTGCATGTGGCACGTTGTGTTTCTTCTGTAGATCTACCCTTAGTCTGTCGCCCACGTGTCTATAAATATCTGCCAGGGTGTTTAGGGCTGTTTCTCGTACCTTCTCCGTAGGGTCTGACAGTAATTTGACAATAATTGGAGTAATGCCCGAAAGCGCCATCTCGCCGGCGCCGTGTCTAATGAGAAACAAGTATAAATATGATTCTTCATATTTCTATATAAGTATTGGATTTTATTATTTCTATTTCAATCATGTTTAAGCATATATTGATCAAAAATGTCTCTATAGTACTTTAATATTAATAGAATTTTAGGTACGTGGATGTTGACACGAATCGGCATTATAATCGCAGATTCTTATCAGTAATCCAACGAGTACGATAAGAAGTTAATGGCTCTTACTCGTTCAATGTTGTCGTAAGAAGTATAAGTGCCTCTTCTCTTAGTTTGGCATTCTTGTGCGTAAAGGCTGGCTGCAACCTGTCCAATAATTGTTGAGGTGTCATACTCCCTTTTTCCATGATTTTCAATAAAACCATAGCAGCCTTTTCCCTAGTAGCATCTTTGCTGTCACCTGAAAGTCATAATTGATGGTTATAAAAATGATATTGAATCAGTACCTTTCAGTATATTTATACAGGGTGAACCACGAATCGTGATCAGTAGAGATTACTCTGTTGTTAGCAGTCCGATCGAAAATGTTTTTATCAGCTTTTACATGGTTTCAAGAGAGCTTTAACGTGATAGTGAAAAATTACTCGTCAACTCTTTTTTAAAATGTTTTTTCAAGGTTACCTTGAATTTTTGGCAACTGAACATATAATTTTTTTACGCCTGTCTGTTACAGGATTTCAAAACGAATTCGGCACATGTAAGGACATGACATTTTTTTCATCTGGTTCGAAAGAAAATTAAAAAACTTTGTATCACAAGGAGAATCACAGCTACGCCGTTATTACGCAACCAATGTTGTTGACAAGTCAAAATTTACCAATCTTAATTATAGCGATGTTCAAAATGGAATGTTTTTTCAAGGTTACCTTGAATTTTTTGCAACTGGACATACAATTTTTTTACGCCTGTCTGTTAGAGGATTTCAAGACGAATCCGGCACATGTAAGGACATGACATTTTTTTCATCTGGTTCGAAAGAAAATTAAAAAACTTTGTATCACAAGGAGAATCACAGCTACGCCGTTATACGCATCCATTCTGTCGTCTTCAGTCGCCATCAGTGTAGAGGAGAGGCCATAAAGAATGCAGCTTTAAACAATCTTTTTCGTCTACGCGAGTGCATTGCAGCTCGTGGACACCATTTTGAACATCGCTATAATTAAGATTGGTAAATTTTGACTTGTCAACAACATTGGTTGCGTAATAACGGCGTAGCTGTGATTCTCCTTGTGATACAAAGTTTTTTAATTTTCTTTCGAACCAGATGAAAACACTGATGGCGACTGAAGACGACAGAATGGATGCGTATAACGGCGTAGCTGTGATTCTCCTTGTGATACAAAGTTTTTTAATTTTCTTTCGAACCAGATGAAAAAAATGTCATGTCCTTACATGTGCCGAATTCGTCTTGAAATCCTCTAACAGACAGGCGTAAAAAAATTGTATGTCCAGTTGCAAAAAATTCAAGGTAACCTTGAAAAAACATTCAAAAAAAGAGGTGACCAGTAATTTTTCACTATCACGTTAAAGCTCTCTTAAAACCATGCAAAAGCTGATAAAAACATTTTCGATCGGACTGCTAATAACAAAGTAATCTCTGCTGATCACGATTCGTGGTTCACCCTGTATATTAGTCTCAAGTATTAAAAGTCACTCACCGAGTCTGTCAATAACAGGCTGAATGACTGTAGAAACATAAGGCCTGAAATCATGTTCCATCCTGTCAGCAAGGTATGTGAGGGCATCGAGACCATTTTGTACAACCTGAGAAGGAAAAATAAATATTGATTACTGAAAGAAAATGTGCAGATATTAAATATATATATATAAATAGAATATTGAATTATCATGACATATGAATCCAAAGTTATAAATATTCTAGTGACCTAAAGCAAATGCTTTGCAGGCATATATTTTAAATCCTTAATAAAATTTTCACCTCCTAGCTCAGCGAACCAACACTTTTCAGTCTCATTTAAAATTATCCTAACGTCTGGAAGGCTAGACAGGTACTGGAAGATGTAAGTGCTTGCAGGTTGACTTTATAAAAGCACGCCTAATGACTGAATACTAATTGGAATAAAAAGGAACAAACTTAAAGATTTAAAGGGCATAACGATCCAGTCGACCCAACGTTTAATCCATCTACTCTTAGAAATCTCGAAGCGTCCGAATTACATTTATAGGAACGATGCCGCCAGTTAACCTAATTTATTTCTGCTAAATTAGCGTGTATCCCAGGACACGTAAGGGCAACGTTTACGAAGCTTAGTCATGTTCTGAAAGTTCAGGGTGAATGAACTTCTCTGGCACTTCCGTTGTTCAGATCAATAACAAGGATTCGTCCGAGTGTCTGTATTTTCTGGCAAAAATTAGGCTGACATACGAACACTCACGAGAGGAAACTGTGCCAACAGATGTTGGAAGAATCCTGGTAAACAGACTGGACCATAAACGTAATCGACACGTACGACAGTTGAAACGTTATGAAAATTCAAATTGAATAATAAGAACGATAATTAATATAAAAAGAAATAAGATACATATGATAATTTTGAAAAGGCGAGCAAACTTCGGTAGGATTTCCTGAGGTAGATATACATATGTACCCTGAGAAGAATTACAGCCACAAGAGGAAGTAAAGAAACAAACTTAAGGAGGTCATAGCGAAAGCTTACAGTCGAAAATGGCTGGCAAATATTATGGAGCAGAATGACTGTTTGTTCGATGGACAATGCCAAAAATGGAACCAGTGCGATGAAAATGGTCAGGATGAGTTCGTAGTCCTTGACACCAATGCGTTTGCTCGCTTTATAGATGTGATCATAAAGTCTTATGACTGCGAGCTATTTTTTGATGCAAGTCAATATTATGCTCGATCGTGCGCGTGGAGTAATTGGATCTCGTTTTTTCTCTTAATTATCGAATAACGTCAAATTGACAAATAATACAGAAGGATTCCACGAGGATAATTTTCGTCTTGGCGAGTCATCACAATTTTCAATCAGTCATTAGTATAAGAAACATGTCTGGCAAAGGACGATCAATTATTTGGAAAGCATCGAGTTTCTCTGTAGAAGCATTACAATCACTCCATTCTTTGGAAAATGGCACAATGCCCAAGAAACGTCCAAGCAACGTCTACACGACACTCCTGCAAGATATAAAATATCTGTTTAAAATAACTCAATCAAGTTAATTCATAAGTAATGGTGTCCAAATTGAATGTAATATGTGTCCCAATGACTTTCTACGTTCCTGACCTTGCGCCAGGAATCCTCAAGGATTGGGAGAGCAGAGAGGAGGCGTTCGGAGGAAATGTAGGAAACTGGTAGGTGACACGAGAATAATAAAAAAAACTTCTCTAAATATAGAAATGACCGATCAAGCCGACCGACAGTACCTATATAGACTTGGACATATTTTGCTAGTCATAAAGATGTGTCTCCAGTACAAATGCGACATAGATACTGCCAGTCAACAGATGACATGCGAGAAACGTAAAAATGGTACCTTTTGTCTTTTAAAGACTTGTACCAACTTTAAAGATCCTATTAGACACTCGTTGACGCACTCAGTTAGTTCCTTTTATACTCAATACGTTTTCCTCTAGCTGTCTAACTTCGTCTTTCATTTTTCTCTTCTTCTATTTTTTTTCCTTTTCTTTTTATTTCCGCGGGCGTGACTCGTCGCGTGGGTCGCGAACCGCACTTGCCTTCTCTACTTATGCCTTTTTAATGCCCTGGAGAGAATGTATTCTCGCTTTCGTTCCACATGCAGAGCGTGTATTATGATGTAAGCGTGTTAGAGCGAAATTTAACAAGAGACAATACTATGCACCCTGGCCTGGATACAGGACTGACAGACTGTCGGTGCATGTCTGACTTTGTATATGTCTATAAATATACGAAACAAAATAATGCAAGTCCCTATCAAAGAGACTTCTGAGCAGAATTTGTGAGAGTAGATTGGATTTAAATTGTTGACTGGTCTGACGAATTAGAACCTGGATTATTCTAATTGGTTGATTAATTATGATTGTTTAAGATGCCTTGAAGAAATAGAATGTTTTTAATGATTTAAAATATCTACTGTTGTCTGAATACGTTAGCGGCATATCCTGTTTTCTGGAGTTCTCGAAGCGATATCGGAATTGTGGTAAATAATTCGACATTATGTGTATAAGGCTTGCTTTTTCTTTTTGTCTTATTTTTTTGGTATACAAATTTATGAGTCCGCGTGTATATGCGTATTGTGCGTGTATTAATAAATACGTTATTGGGAAATATCCACGGGCGTTAGAAAGAATAGTCCTTGGTTAGTTAATTGTCAGAAAACATGTAACGACTTAACGATGGAGGCAGGTGGAACGAGGTTTTCTCGCTTGTGATTCAATGCAAGAGATCCAGACACGGCGTGGGACACTTTTACGTACATGGCGTGAAAGTTTTTTCCCTTATTTGAAGGCGACTCGCTTCGAAATTCTCTATAGGAGACGTGTAGATCAAAGTACATCTGGATAGGAATGTATCCATTTAGAATATATCGCAGTACATCTGGGTTTTGCCATTGTCAGTATTTGAAGAGGAATGTAGTACAGATTCTAAGAGCTTATGAGTTGATTGATGTAATGACAATTTATACATTTAAGAAAAAGAGCATATGCTCTTGCTATCTTGATCTATGTATGTTCCATTACAAGTGAGGTACGTTGGGGTTGACTGTAAAATGTATGATTAGAGTACTACAAACTAATGCTTTGTGCTTACTCTGGGATTTCCATTGCTCAGCCATGGTATGAGGTTGTCAATGAAGAGACCTATGTCTTGACACTCGATGCTCTTGGTGGAATCTCCAAGGTAGTTTAACAGTAGATTTCCAACGGTCAGTTTCTTCTTGATATCACTGGTAGAGAGGAGTGGCATAAAGCCATCCATGTCACGAGGATTTAAAGCCATGGTGATGGTTCTTTTGCTCTGAGGCTCAGTGATGTTTCAGAGAGAGCACTCACTCGACAAGGCACATAATTTGTTCTTGTAACACACTATGACTTTTCTGCAATATAGAAAGTAAATATTGCAGGGAATAAAAAAATCAAAAACAATTGGATTCAAATAAATAATCACTTCACGATAAAGTAACCAATAGTGGAGTAAGCACTACTCAACGAATGCCATTTCTAAACACTGTTAATAGCCCTCCTACAGCAGACAACCAATTTGACAATGGTTCAAACATTGTATGCTATTTTTGAACGTTCTCGCGTGCTGCATGTATTACAAACAAAACTTCGGAGCAATGAACCGACAGAATCAGACTAGGAGCACTGCAAAAGCTCAAGTAAATCATCACTAAAAAACGAGCAGAAAGTAATTTAAGAAAAGAGGACTTATCCTGGCATAAACCCAGGGCGCCAAAGAATTCGTCCATAGGAATCCTGATTAGATATATCCATGGCAGGATGGGAACCAGGTTAAAGGGTCAGGGTTAATTGCAAGGTGGCACATGGTAAAAAATGAAGCATAAACCGGCAGCTAAATGTTTATATTCCTCATAAAAAACAGGAAGGAATGCTAGTAAGGAGTAAAGAGGCGCGACTACGGATGACACAATGTAGGAGGACATTCGTATCCGTCACCAAATTCGGTGAAGTTTTTGTCCTGTGAATGATAACGTAGTATTACTCACAATTTACACGATACTGAACACGAAGGTGAAGTTCGGATAAACGATCCTCGATACGCAGCTAACGGCTGACACCGAAGGTTACTGGAAAAAATTCGTACAGTCAACGGAAAATCAGTTCAAACACGGCAAACCCCGTACACACTCCATACTCCGTTCGAGATAATTCATTGCTGCGGTGTGACAATCCATAAAGAACAGACGGACGTATCCCTAGGTATTTACATATTACAATTTTCAATACTTTCAAACTCTTTGAATCTCTTCCGATCTTTTCAAATAATAAAACTATCTCTAGACTGCAATTCCTTACAAATTATCGGTACGGAACTTTATGTTATCGTTATAATACTCACTTTTACTGGGTCAGACATCTAGGGAATATAATCTCCATCGATTGGGAGTGTGCAAGAAGTTACGACGAATGAACTCTATCGCACAGAATTGTATTCGACAGTAGAGCCAAGTTGGGTTCGATTGCTGAGCTAAGTCAGACGGCGCCATTTTGATTTCGTGCTGTCTTTCAGGTTCCTAATTCAGCCGCATTCCCCATTAGTCCATACATCTACTGGCGCTAGTGTTGTTATTCTTTAGTAAGGTATAAGATCTTGATAGTACGTAAGACACACTGTTGGCGGCGCCACCGCGTGATACATTTCCTACAGAGATGAGGAGGGAGATGCACAACGCTACGGCAGAACTCTGTTTCTATAATGCATTGCAGGATCAGAATGTTTCTATACCTTATTCTTTGATATCCTTTGATACCTATTTGGTATCCGCAGTTTTCATTATTGTGAGTCAGAGCCGCGCAAAGCATCATGTAGGTAGCAGTTGGCTTCTTATACGCGTAAATTAATATAGATACATCAAGAAAATAAGCCACATATCCCATTCACAAGAAATCATTCACATAGGAGTATTCTTTTTTCCATTTTATTTTACTTTTTACTTTGATTCGCCTTTCCAGTGACGCTCTAATTAATACGCCGTTATATACATATAATTACAGTCAGATATACAATATTATACATTCACAATATGTACTCCTGAACTAATAGCGCATCTCTAATTAATCTATCTCTCATTAGCTCCACAATTCGATAATTTTCAAAATTCAATCCTTACTTCTCCTTTCCGGCCGGAGACCAACGAACAAAATCCTTATATCATGTCGATATCGTAATTGACATTCAGAGTCTTACGAAAGAGAATCTCAGCCTCTTAAAATGGAAGAATAAGGTAAACAATCCTTAATCGTTCGCGTTTATCTCTCGGCTCGGTAATTAGCTATTTATTCTCGTATTAATTAATAAAGCTAAAGAACCTCACGGTGAGCGGCACAATTACGAGTAGAATGTACAATATATTTCATACGTTTGACCAACAAATTAATTAAATAATTATATAACTATCATAAATAAATATTAATTCACGTGCTTCCCGTAACTTTTATAACTCAAAGCTTTCTGTTAACAACGAAAAATCTCACTCCACTCGATACAATTTACCAGAATCCACACTGGCAAAAGATTCTATTGATTTCTCATAAATAAATAATATATATTACTCTATATATATAATGTATTGCATGCACCCTTCGCATAGTAGGCGCACCTGCAGGGCGAACCAGTCTATTATAATTGGAATTCTTCCTGACAGTGGAGAATGTTCAAGTAGCATCCGCACATCCGAACCTGCAGAACTTCCCCAGCGACAATCATGATAACGATAGAGACAGTAGCAGCAAATAGTAGAGCAATAGTATCATAAGTACTACATACCAATAGTAGTTACAGATAAATATAAATATAATAGTCATCCGGCATCAGATTTCATTCATGACAAAAAGATTTTCATGTGGGTTGCGGATGTATCAACCTAGGAATTGGCTGATGTCGGATGGCGATTATAATTACATAAAAACTGGATCGCCCAAATCCTACTTAAATTCTAGTACTAACATCCGCCTGTTGAATGGCGGTTTATTCGAATCATCTAAGTCGATTTCCTGAAGATACTTTTAAACTAGTAAACGCTATAGATTTAAAGGTACAGAATCGAAATTGAATGATAAAAGAGAATGGAAATTAACGATTTTCTCATCGTCCCAGCGACGATTCCATCGATAATTTCCATAGTTTTTTCTCTCTCTCTCTCTATCAGTAAAGAATTACGATTCAGCGCGCTTCGTATCTAAGGCGATAATCGTTTAATTAATCCTAATCAATCTGTGCAACGATCGAAGCCGTATTAACGTGCAGTTAATAACGTATGATTAATGGATACAGTGCGTGCAGGTAACGCAGAAGTACCAAATTGATTTGATATTATTTAACTATATGAAACCTACGTCATTGTCCTATATGCTATGGAGGCAACGGTAAAAAATCTTGGCGTTAAAAAAAAAGACAACAAAGATGCTCAATAAAAAATAGAGCAGGCGAGATTTATCTGATTCTTTTCTTTCTTTCTTTTTTTCGATTTTTCGTCTCTTCTAATTTTTCACTTTGAAACTGTCGTCATCGTGTTACTTATTTTTGTGTCATTCATTTAGGAACTAATATTTATAGTGACTGATTCGCAGCCACCATTTGGCTGTAACGTCATTTTGAAATTGATGAAAGGATTTTAAAAAGTCGACGTAATTTGAATGTTTATCAAGAAACGTTATTTTCTCTGTCATATCTCATTATCTAGAATAAACTACGTATTGCTTCCTTTGACGAATCGAATTTTTCTACGTACTAGTCACATTAGTTAGAAGCATCTAGGTCGTGGTATGATCTTGTGACCTTAAGTCTCGATTTATAGCAACGTTAATGTGACGTTAGGCTTGGCTACGCGTCATCGACTTTACATGCCATCAGTACAAGGATCAGCCTATGACGCGCATTTCATCTGGAGCAACCATTCAGGTAAATAACGAGGCCGATATTAGAGTGTGAAGCAGCATAATGACACGGTAAATAAGATTTGAATCTCTGTGATATAGTGGTTGGCGAAAACGATAAAAGATCGATAATAAATAACTTTGTAAAACGCACGCGGCGTTTTTGAGTAAAGATTGGCGATGCGCAAGATGAACGAAATCTAGATTGTTAATTATAATCTATTGTGTAGTTATGTTTTGAACACTTTCCATTGTTTACTGGCTGCTTCCAGTTCAGACCAAAAACGCTATGGTACAGAATGTTATTGTTGTTGTTGTAGTTGCTGTAGAAGGGGACACACTTCAACCAATGGTGTGCCGAGGATCTCTTGGCATACTTGATTCATGTCTGGCTCCATCATTAGGGAAGATATTTGATCCTCGGTGAGCATCTCCACACTGAAATTATATTTTTATTATTGATCGAAGAGCAACTTATTGCCAAAAATAACAATTTACCTGGCTAGACTTTCGTTGTCTGATGTTTCCTCATCAGGATTTAAGTAGCTCATCGTCTTCTCCAGTGGACTTGGAACTTTCTTACCCTTGTATTCAGCCTTTTCAGCCTTGTCCACCTTTTCCTTATCCTTGTCGACACTTCTTGGCTCGCTTCCACGTCTTTCCGTTAAACTTGATATGTTTAACATCATCATTCCATGATTCAGTAGTTCCTTGACACGCTCCCCTGTACCTTCGCCCCAGAGCATATCCAGAGATTGCCTCCTACTGGAATTTGCTGTAAAACAAAAAAAGTAGAGGATATACCTTTTTTAAAATAATATATAAATTTTATAGGATGGCTTACTCGAGCTTCCGCAACTGGGTTCTCCAGCAGCCGAACTACGCGAGATCCAGTTTACCAAACTAGTGTCTAACTTGCTTTTATTTTTTATTGAGGGACTCCTGGTCACTTCTGCTTTCCTCTCCTCGCTCAGAGTGACGTCATTGATACGGGACAGAACTGGTAGGGACTGCTGGTGGGTTAATTTTTTCTGACAGTTGGTTTCTTGTAGTGGCTGAACATTACTGCCGTTTAGAATTTCAGGACTTAAATCCATAGGTAACGGTTTGTAAGGAATCTGATCATCCTCGTCAGAATATACATCGGTATTATAATAAATTTCATCTGGTGAATTATTTAGACTGATTTCCGTCCACTCGTCTCCATTTTGATTGGCTGCGTTCTTCTTCTCCTCCTGATCCTCCACGGGCGATCGGATCGTCACCCTCTTCTCCATAGGGGAAATTTCAGTGGTGACATCGCCCAGACGTGGAGTAGAATTACTTGATTCCTTCTGAAGCGGTGAGATATGTTTTGTTTCCATGGTGGCAATGCTTCGTGGACGATCACGTTTTATATATTTTCGTGGCTCTGTGGATGAAAGATTGAGATTACTCAATCCCAGGTACTCCGTGGATGGTTTTCGTTCCACTCTGGTAGGAATTGGACATGGTGGTTCTGGACCAATCTTTTCAGGTAGTCTCAGGTACTCGTCGCTAGTGTAATCTGTACTATCTGGTGAGCCAGTAATACTGGATCCGGTCGGCGTGGCTGTATTTGTCTGAGTGAAGGAGCGGTCCATGTCGCCTTGTTTCATAAAGTCGTCGTAACGCCTCGTCTATGAAGATCATCCTTAGTTAGGATTGTTCTCAAATAATAATATTAAGAATGCTAATCGATAAAGTGTTACTCTGTGAATCTCGTCGCTTATTCGCTCCAGGTTTCGCAATGCTTCGGCATAGGTCATCTTAGCTTCTCCGACACTCCTCTCAAGAGCACTTACTCTGAGTTTCTGTTCATCCAACCTCTGATTGAAGTGAGCCTTCATTTCGTAGTAGGGCCTGCATGAAATACAGATGATTAAATAACTTTTGTACAAGAAATACATATAACATTTGTATTTATATTTGTACAGAGGCACTCAAGTTAAACAAATATTAAGCATTTGATAGCTGTCAAACATCATTGATTCAACTGGATGCCAACACTGTCGATCCTATAAATAATAATTCCTTACCGTGGACGGAGCAGTGTTCATGCTTGAGGATGTTATTCTTTAAAAGTACTACTACAGACGGTCGTGCAAAATAGAACAAAGTCACGATAAATATTGCAGTCAAGCCAAACTTAAAAGTTCTTAAAGTGTTATTTGTGTAACGTAGTGTTGTAGCTTAAAAAAATAATATCTATCCTACTTACAACATGAGCAAGTCGTGCCTGTAGGCGATACTGTTTATCAGAAGCAAACTGCGACGTGCACCCATACTGCCAACATGAATATAACCAAAAGACGTAAATACCCTAAATTCTACGCAAAAAATTCAAAATCAATATAATTAGGGGTAGATGAACTATTTTTGTTGGAGGAAAAAAGAATTACAAAGTTAATACAGTGAAAGTAAAAACAGGAAGATTCGAATGCCTGCACCAAACTTAAGATGGAAAATAAAATGAAAAGTAAAAATTCAATACAAAACTTTGTAGGGACAAATCACATATTATGAAAAATTTTTGTTAAAAATTGATCATATTTATAGAATTCAAATTCAAATATGATTCAGAGTTGTTTATTTGTGATTATTCCATACTAGAGTTTCGTTCTCTTCTCCGAAATACTTTCAGGGAATTCATTACCGAGCTGTTGCAACTTTTCATGCTTCGAATATCAAGAAAATCAAGGAAACGCAAAACAATCATTTTCGCTATTAGTCATAAAAGGTAAACCAATTATTAAATCACTTACCTGGACTTTGCAATGGCACGTTTTAAGTCACGTTGTAGTCTTTGAACATTGTGTTCAGCTTTATGATAGAGAGCTGTAGTTTGTCTATGTGCTGCTTCAGAGATGGCTCTTTCATGCTCTGATTCATTCACCCTGGAAGTTGCATGATTGAGCATTTCCTGGAATTAGAAAAAGAATATAAACACAAAATATAATATACAAAAATATTTGGTTGATCTATATTTTAATTTACCTGCCAGGCATGATCGAAGCATCTGCCTTCAGTACGTAGACCATCTTCTGCAAGGTAAACCATCTCTTTCGCAGCTGCAAGCTGACTATTGGCACGTTCGAAACGTATTGCAGCTTTCTGTGTCTCTTGTAAAGCCTACGATAAAGAAAGAACTGGCAAGAAGTATATCATTATTATGAAGATTCAAAGAAAAAATAGATTTACCTCTTTAGCCTTAAACCTTGCATCATAGTAGGGTCGTGACCTTTCAATACAATTGCCAAGCTTCTTAGCAAGACTATCTATCTTCAATGTTGATTCGCAAAGTAGCTCTCGAAAGGTTGCTCTTGCTTCCTGAGTAATGTATAGGTAGGTTGTAATGTATATCTCTGTTAGTAGGTATGTCACTATTGAATTTTGCAGAGTACCAATAGATGAAAGCTAACTTAGGCTATCTTTGATACAACGATCGCAAAGACGATCCGTGCAATTACCATTATCCATTTGTCTGTGCTATGAAGCAATCACCTCAATGAAATCTAATCGCGACCAGTTTCGAAACTGTACGCTTGCCACCAATTTGTACTGCGATACGTATGCTATGGAAGTAGTACAACGCAAAAAAGAAAGAAATACATGCTTGTATTTTTCCTGACACAACATATGTGATTAGATTACTTACATCTAAATCTACTTCCAGTTTGTTGATGTCATCGGTTGCTGTATTTAAACGCTCCAATTCAATCTGAAATTATATTAATTATAGATATTATAATATTTTAAATATTATATAAGTTTTAATCATGTAAAGATACTCAGATTAATATGAGAAAGATAGAATTCTAATTCACATGTATGACTTGTAATCCAAAGAGTATAAGATAATAAAACAAAACTGAATAATATAGCAGTGAATATATATTGGAGTAAAGTTTTCATTGTGAGAACACAAAATAATGATATAATGTTTCAAACATGAATTAATCACGGATAAATGGTGTGCAGAACTTAAGAGAAGATGAGAGACGATGTATCCTGTAATGCAAAAGAAAAGAAAAAGATTTAGCAAAACCAGCCAAAAATACCAAATTGGTAAATAACATGAAATTTTAATTGTATAATGTAAGAAATTGCTTAAAATGTATATTTATGGGTGATGTCATGTAAAATAGTGAGGTCAATAGTGAAGGAAAAACTGTCAAGATTTTAGAACGTTCCTAATGTATAACATCAAAATAAAAACTGATTCTTCTTGGCTATCATAGGCAAACGTAATGGAATTGACAGCATGCAACTAAATGAAGAAATAGATATCTATAACGTAATAACGTGAAAATGTCAATATCGCCTCGTACAGCCATGAATGTATGGGGTGATCGTTCTAAATGATTGTGCCATTACTATACCTGAACCCGAGGATCCACCGCATCATCAATGCTATCAGGATCACAAGCACCGTCCTTTTGCACCCTTTCACTCATAATTAAAGCTATCCCACAATTTATTTACAATTTTTCATGTCACCTATATCGTCTGCTACATATCAGGTGGCCATCTTAGATATTAAGGTCTGTCCCAAAGGGTTTAGCACCGGCTTCTTGTCAAGGGCATTATGCTTCTAAAATTTACTATAATTTTTATTGTTAACCATACGTAAATACTTCATAAGAATTTAGGAATTCATTAATAATTCACATGTAAAAAATTCTTATTATTCTTAAAGCATAGAAACAATTTTTTCTACACTGACACAGCACCCTGCCAAGTTCCAACATGGCGGACACGTATGTATATGCATCTCATCATCTATGATAAAGTAATATCTAATCATTAACATTATCCAAAGTCATTCTCATATATTTTTAATTGATATTTTGCATTTTTCCCTAGATTTTGACGCTTATGTGATATCCAGTGATATCATAAAAAAAACATATGCAAAGTAAAACTAAGAATAGTACAAGTGATTTTATCAAAATGGCTACCACCCCCCACTTAAAGTAATATTCTCCCCTCTACTAAACGAAACCACCACTCTATGGTTTCTGTGAACTCTCATCAAACTCCTTATTCCCGTTGTTGTGTTCTGTGGCGTAGTTAGTAGCAGGTGGATTACTTTCAGGGAAAGCGTCACCCACAAGAAACGTCATCAAACCTCAACGAATCATCTAATCACAGGGAAATCACGCCGGTGAGTAAAAATTCAATATAATTTCAATAGCAGATTATACACATCGCGTTTGACTATTTTCCTAGGCCAAATGTAAAGCCGCGAGAACAATGGTTCTACATTCTATTTCCTAGTTCTATAAATATTTCTGTTGCTCCCACAATTGGCAAGACAAGTGTCACCCTTGGCAAATTTAACGAATCTTTTCCATTACACAGTACCTAAAGAAAATGTCATAAGTAATCATAACCTTAATTCGAACGTCTCCACTAGTTCAAAGCTCTCGGAATTCTTGAGAAATCATAATAGTTTTTATTATATTTACTTGACAGGCGAAACGTTGATAAACGGTTACATAGAAAAACGGACAAAGGACATTTCTGTCCTGTGTGTTGGAAGACTTAAAGATATAATTCGAGGAACCAAATTACCGTTGGTAAAGTTTCCTTCAACATTTTGTTAAGTTTTTCTTTTTCATTCATATCGGCATACATGTACACTTACTGCAGTCCTTACACCGTACTCAATTCTTTTCTCTGTGCATGTTTACAGGCGTGTAAAATGGTAATTTATTCAAAGTCGAGGAAAGGAGCACGCTAGCAGTTCGTACTGGCATTCTCCAATGCACGTACAAGCAACGCAGTGCACGCGTGTGGACCGTGCGAGTCCCGGAAAGCCATGATGGCTTTCACTATAAATTGTCCAATTATCTATTTCCGGTTGTCGTTACTAAATAGATTTGGGATATTACACTGAAAAAACCACGTAGGAAGTACTTGAGATATAAAAGTTCAGTTTCCTGTATGGAATCCGTACGAGTATTCCGTAACAAGAATAATTTTCGAGCATCAGACACGTCAATTGAGACACCCGATATATCCAAGCAACTATTAGCTACATTCATACCTTGTTCAATCCGCCCGTGATCCGCCTATGCACAGATAGATCAAGTAATCATTATAGAAAAGTCTGTTTAGACCGGTTTGGATAGTTCATCATGTTTTCATGGGACACCCGTTCCATGGTGGAACGTTGTATCGGACAAAAAGAATCTCGTTCACGGTAGAAGAATTGCTTTTAGTTTACTGTACACCAGGTACAGGTGACTGGCGAGAATGACCCCGCTTAGCGATGCGGATTGAATTTCGATCTCAAAATGAATTCCTGCTTAGAATTTTTCAGATTTGAAATTTGGTTGAGCCTACTTATTCAAGTACTGGTTATTGCTATACGAAACTGTGAAACGTTTCCATCATATTGGTATGTAAATATACTAATTGTCCTTCGGCACTCTTTTTCCATGTCGAGTTTACTAGATGGTTTAAAAAAAATTTCAGTACACCCGTTGCATGGTGTCAAGTAACAGTGGCCTCACAGTGCAGTTAGCTGTTGCCCGATTGTATGTGGAAGTCGTTAAAAAAAGAAGACAAAGAAACAATAACGAATCTCCATAGCAGAAACTCCAGAGAGCCCACAGACACGTCTCTATTCAGTAAGGATAAAGTTACACTCGTGCTGAGTCTCTAGGATTTAACGGTGCCTCTTTGCTAAAAGGTTATCCGTTGTGTGTAAACTGGAGTCACCATAGTTGCTTCCAAAGGCTTTCCCTTGGCTTCTCTCCTGTACAATTTCAGAAGATACCAGCTGGTCTGGACTTCTCGAAGGACCCCGACAGTGCCTGGATGGTACGGATAATTTCTCCAAGATTCACTGCGTCCTTCGGCGTCACTTTCTGTCACGAGAACGACTGACAACGAGCTTTGTCAGTACAAAATTATTACACTATCCCCAACGACGTTCTGTTATGTCTCAGGAATACATAGACAGCCTAGATAACCAGATAGTCAGATAACACTGTCTAAATAACTATAATTAGAATTCTAGATAAAAACATACGCTATCCCTAATGCCTCAAAGGTAGAATATTTATAAGTCTGTATGGCTTCCTTCGGTGACTTTCAGCAGACTAAATAATTATAAAAGATCGTTAAAGTATTAAACCGTTTCGGGCATAATATAAAACAGGTGATGCTTAGGCAGAAGATATCGTTAAATAATTATATTGTCTAACATAAGTAGATACAGATGTTATACACAGCGAATTCCATCCTGGCTACGTCATCCGCTAATATATATACGTACGAACAAAACTATGCATGCCATTTACTGCTAAAGCCGAGTTTTCCATTTCGGTTTTGAATATCCATATCTGTTGTGTCTCGCGGGATCAGTGGGCGTTCCGTATTTTACAGATGAACTTTCACGCCCGCCTATTGGATTATTTCTTGTCTCTACTATATGCGACTCTTATAAACTACAGTTCTATGGTACGCACATATAATATAGCATACCATGCCCAATATCTCAGACAGAATAACATTAAGGATTTTTCATCTGCTCAAGAGTGCAGGTGAGAAAAGGCCAAGTAGTAAGGAACATAAATATAAGCAGTGTAAATAAATAGGTGAGAGACAGACGCCACGAAAAGTCCTTTATAATAGTTAATGCTAGTTGGACTCAATAGAGAAAGATACTTTCCCTACTTTCGCGCATAAAGTACCTGTTACATGTAAGTATCTATTCACATATGTATCTGCAAGCACGTGTTAAGCCTCCCGTGACAGGAACAGTTTCCCTTGTAGGAAATCCTTAACCGACCAAAACAACAGTTGGCTAACTTGCTGGAGGTGGGACACCTTTGAGCGAGAACCGGTTTATAGGGTTGGCAAAACTCGATCCTGAATCATACCTGCTTTAGGCATAACTTCTGTATTATATATGTATCAGGATACGGAGATATATCTATCTCGTACAAGTACATAAGTTCTTATGTACTTTTTTTACGTGTGCTTAACAAAATATTATGATACTTATCATGGGTGGATCACGTGAATTTGAAATTTGCAATTTAAATTATCAAAATCGCATACAGAGTTAGAATAATTTGTACAAGATATTCCATATTGGATATTGCCATTTGCTATTCGAAAGAATAAAAAAGGAATTATTGAAAGCAGTAGATAAAAATCCTTTGAAAAAATTTATTACTTATAATCAAACAGATCTAATCTTCAATTTCTTAGGTAATGTCTCATCGTTAACGAAGGAAAGAATAAAGTTACGGATACTAAAAATAGTGACACTGCAGGGGTGACATTCTGTCTGTGTCAACCGGTTTGAATTTCTATTTGGATTCTATCCTTTATCCTGTCACAGTCATTTTTCATTGAAGCTCATGGTTCTTCATCAATGCGCGACATCCACGCTGATACACCCACCGCCTCTACAAAATGATAAGAAAATTTTAATGACTTTAGCAATCGCATAGTTCATTGTATCGTTTTATAATTTACTGCGTAAATCTCGTAAATCCATTATATATCCATTTGACTTTGTTTACTAAAACATATATCAGTGATAAATCTATGCACGATTGTCATCCTCCCATGAGGGATCAGCAAAGTCATAAGTATCATTCAGCCTTGGTGGTTTGTCCCATACTCTGTTCTATGTATTTCAACTGTACACTATTTGTTTTATGTATATATATCCTATATATATATATATGCACTTGGTCGTTTGGTAGTAGAGAACGTATCTCGTGGCTGGTACTACCATCCTCGGCTTCCATCATTTGACCGAATCTCCACAGTCGGCGACTCCCACAGAGACCTCAAGCCTGCAGCTATCCAGCCAGACTACACAACGGCTGGCGTGTTGTGTCCTGCAGTTTCTGAGTCAGGCGGAGCGAATCGCAGCTCCTGCTGAACGAGACGTTCGCCGAACAGTTCAGTTCCCTCCTGATCGTGGAGCGGTTCGCGTTTATCGTTGAACATAGTGAATAGCTGCGTCGCGACGTTTGTTTTAGAACATTGAATTAGATAATAGAAATTAGAGTGAGTCTATTTAACCTTGTTTCATGTATAATTAGAAGTATTTTTACCTGAGTTATTATTATCGTAGACTTGAAAGTCGCATCGATATTCTGGCGATTCTGTTGCGCCGACAATTGTAACTCTTTATTGTTAACGTGCTTTGTACTGCTGTCGTGAAATTGTTTGTGGATTATCTATCTGATAAGTTATGTATTCACTTTTTTTGTTTGAGCAAGCCTTTGTGACAACTGGTTGTTTTGCTTGGGAGAACATTGGGGTTGCCACTGGTCCTTTTTTGTCTTCAGAAACAAGGAAGTTGTCTAATCGGTGCTTGACACTTTTATTTTTATTCTTGCCTTTGTGTAGCTTGGGCAGTAATTCAACGGAAACTTTTGTTGGTTAGCTTTATTTCCAAGGATCTTGCAGCGTTAATGATCACATAACCTATTTGACGTTACTGTGCGGTCGCCCTTTTTGCTTCTGATACAATACGCCTATAATCCTTGATTCAATATGGATCTATTGACTCAGTTCTTAAGGACAGACTTAATATATTTTCTTTTAATTCTTTCTTAACCCTGTACTCTTATTTTTCACTTGCAAAGGCGAATATTAGATTTAAATAATTGCCTTGCTTGCTTCAACAGTCAGACGCGACCACGAGACACAAACTAATAGATGCACAACATGGCCATACCAATCTATTGTTATTGGCAGGGACCTAGATACCGATTCAACGCACCAGTAGATTGCAATTAATATTCAAAACCTTAACCCACGTTCTACTCTAAAGCATTAGAATCCTGATCGTGATTCTTTCTCGAAACGATTCCATTTAAATCACATCGTAATCCCACAGTTACAAGACTACGTCATACGTATAGGTAATACACAATCTGTCTCCCATATGAGATACCTTACTGTTATCTTTTGTTTCTTCTCCTCTTTCACTCACCATTATCGTTCAACCAATCTACGCGTAGCAGCACCGATTTCATGTATAGAGGAGAAAGTGCCAGTCGATATTTTCTAATTTAATCGCATCCACTGGTAAAAATCATCCCAGTCACGTTTTCATGCTCGAGATACCAAAGTCTTCAGAATTGTCTCCCTCCGTCTACCTGTATCTTTATTATATATACAAATCGTTTCGTTCGTTAACCATAGTACTACTTTGTATACTCACTGTTATCTTCATATCCCAAATAGACTATCAGTCAGTCACTCTGATTGAATTAACAGCGATACTAATTGGCTGGTACCGCCAATCGACCCTGCTGTGAACGTTGACAGAGGGGTACAGGGAGTTTCACCTTGAACGTTATGCAACGCCATGGACGCAGCATCCATGTACCCTGCGTCTATATATTGAAATGAATACATCTGCATACATATATATATATATATATCATATGTGTATATACATTTACACGTTCACAAGCCACATTGAGATAACAGCACAGTGACTTTGAATATTTCCATTAGTGCATACGTACGTATGCCACTCTGCGTGCAGGACAAATTTCTTCCTCTAATCAAAAGCGCCATCTTGCTCACGTCACTCGGGCCGTTTCCTCCGTTCAATTTTCCTAAATCGTATCTACGGATACATTATTATATTCGTTCAGCGTAATGCTTCTAATTCGACAGTGAGTTATGCATACAAATTGGAAGCGAAAGTCACTCCGCGCTTATCACGCATTGGTTTGCCCACTGAACACTTAAATTTAACCCTTCGATCAGACATCGATTCGAATTCGCGGGAATTTTGTATTTCGTCTGTAACGTTTCATAACGGCTCTTGTTGTTACGCTTGGGTTGTTATTCTTTCGATTACTTTATTATATCACCATTTGATTTGGCATAGTCTGAGCAATAAATAAATCATCATTGATACCAATAAATGTACAGTGTGCCAGCGATAAGAGCATATCTTGTACATCACGTCCTTTTGGTTATGTACAAATAAACACGGAACGCGCCTATCGAGTGTGCACTTTGTTCCTGGAAGTTTTGCGATCTGATATACACTGTGGCCTCATGTTTCTTTTTTTTTTTTTCCTTTGAACATTCCAGCGTTCCCTGAATACTCTGCTGGGTATATAGTGTTCCAATTGTAACGTATCGCGGAAGTGGGACAAAGTTCGTTCTGGCCTTTTTGAAGAGAATAAGTTTCTATGTTTTATTTTTATTTGAACAGTCTTCGGCGGGATACCCGGTACATACTCCACGCGTCGCTCGCAGGACAGAAACTTAAGCTGAGAATGGCGCAGGCAAGCAGAGAGAAACGTGTGACCTCTTTGCGTCTACGTGGGTGAAATAGGAAGTCAGACATTAAACCCGAAGCTTTACCTTTCAACGCATTAATGCTTCTCAAATGGGACCTATAGTTGTTACCTCATTGGGCCTCATCGCTTTTTATTGTTGACTGAGTATAGACAATGTTATGTGAAAATTGTTAGTGACGTATACATTTAGATCTGAATATTTATTGATAAAGTGTGGCGCACGGAAAGGGATGACAATGGGTATGTTACAGAGAGTGAGAAATGGAGACGATGATGATGATGATGATGAAAGTTGAAAGGGATTTAGCCTTCATTCGCAAGGCTGACTACTCGATGCACTTTAATCTCCTTTCAAATGTATACCGAAACGCCTATTTTATTGCTTATCCTTGATACTATAAGGAAATCCGTTTATGGAAGACAATAATTGATTATTTATTATTTCTGACTGTATTTGGCAGATATTGCATTTTATTAGGGGAAACTTGTGTTATTTATCTTTCCTTGAGTCACTGTTTATTGGCTACTATTAGTTTTATTTTATTAATACTATTTTTAAGACGTATTGCAGGCGTATTAATAGAACTACTTCGACTAGGTTACTCATTGTGGAAAGTGATTCTTTCTGGGGGAAATCGTGCACGACTTTCTTTTGAGTACGAATCGTTGCGCGGTTGTGTACTACGACTATAGTATAGGGAAGAGAAAATATGTATTTATATATAAATGTATGCAGGATTTTTCAGATTTGACAGCACCAGGCTGATTTTTAATATAAAAATTACATGATTTCTTTGATCGATTCGCATTATAAAACTTGTACAGTACTGTCAATGATTTTATCATTTTTATAAGAATATTCTGTTTTTTTTTTTTTACAGTCTGTGAACGCCTGTGAGCCAAGGAAATTTTGGAGAAAAAAATGAGGAACTCGACGCTGCTTAAATGGGCACAAAATTCGACCAACAATAAGAATCAACCCAGTAAAAATGGAGGTGAGTGACATGTGAAAGTTGCGTTAGTTGCTAGTAAATTAAAAAAGTGTAATTATTGAGCCGACAAGGAAAATTAATTTTTGGCCTTTATATTTCAGGTACAAACAGAAACTGGATACATCCACCAGACGCACTACAAAAAGGCCATATCGCCTACTTAGTCAAGGTATTGTGTCATTTATATTTATGCTGCGTTTACGTGTACCTCAGTAGGTCGCCTACACTATGCTCATTAAGTCTGAGATACTCACACAGTTTAAAGATCAATCAAAACGTTCTGATTTGATTGTGTTAATTCAAGAGAGAACAGTGCCTGGCACGCATGAAATTATCAGTAAAGAAAACAAGAAAAAAAAGGAAGCAAACAAGAAAAGCAGCAAGAACGATAAACAAGATCTTCTGTATCTTCTGCTGCACACAATTTCCAGGACGATTCTTCATCTGAAGAATACAAAAGTTCAAGGCGAAATACTCGAGAGCCTCTTCTTTTTGCGTTTCACGAGCAACCAGGCGCCTGACAGGAATGCAAATGACTTTGGAATCCTTGGCATCAACTATTCATTATCCACATGACTATTTATTTGTCAGATAGTAGCACGTGTAGAATCGTTAGATCATCACACTCAGGAATAGACTTTCCCTTAGATTAATAATCTCTCATAGTAATTGACTAATAGTTATCAAGCTTCTACACGACTGTATGCTTGGATTTTGTTTTTTCACCTCTTTCGTTACAGATTGTTACGTATCCTCTGACTCTTATGTCTACTTAACAATAGAGGACGGGTGTAGTCCATTGCATAATGTTAAAACGTGGCAGGCTTACCTTTCATTTTCTGCACACTCCTCGATACCATTATTATGTCTTTGGTGGCTATGTTGTGTTGCTGTGGTATTATGTTTATCGGTTGGTACGTGCCTGCATACTTTTTACATGGAAACGGCAACCAACAAACATCCAGGAGAATTCAGCGTTGCTATATTTGTATATATGTATGTCTGTATACCACAGGAAGAGAATGAAATTATGGCAGGGGTTATCGAACTCCAAAACTCAGCTGTGCATTGGAAAGAGATTGAAAGTTTGTGCCTTCGACAGAGAATCTGGCAATTCTGGCCTAAGGGTATTCGTAGTGTCAAAATCTTGCTGACATCATACTGTAGCATAGCGAAATTTCACTAAGAGATTTTTATATATTATTTCTTCGATGACATCATTGTATAACTAATTTTGGTAATAACTTGACAGCTTCGAGGAGACTGTATTTTTATTATTCTCTTGGCACAGATTGTATTGATCAAGAGGAAAATCCATATCAGTGGCGCGACGCAATTTATGAGATTGCGAAACTTTATATTTTGCTTTTAGCTGAGATTTGCGAAATCTTCATTGAGCAATCGGAACGACGCTTAACAGTGTTTTTGTCATAATATCTGTCAGGCATGTTCTTCCTGATATATTTTCAACAATGCGATCACTAGATTTTTAATTTATTTCTTATGATCTTAGGTAATCTTTTAGTTTATTTTTGCGCCATTTAAGACCGCTGCTGTGCGTTGCGACGCCTATGGGCCTTTCTAATTTGCGAATAGCCTTGAATTCTGACCTCAAATCCCTTAGTAGGATAATATAAACTGAAGATACTCGAGGTATCCATGTGAAACATGCAATTGCAAAAATGTATATGCAAGATTTAATAATTTTTTGTTCTCTTTTTTGTTTCCCAGTACCTCGGTAGTACGGAAGTGAATCAGCCTAAAGGAATAGAGGTGGTGAAAGAAGCAATATGCAAGCTGAAGTTTAATCAACAGTTGAGAAAGAGCGACGGTACCAAAATGCCGAAGGTAGAACTGACGATAAGCATAGACGGCGTCGCTATTCAGGAACCAAAAACTAAAACAACTCCAAAGGTATGTATTCCATCACTAATTTATCGTTTAAGAATAGTTTGAATCTATTGCATAAAAAGACTGTATATGTTCCACAGCGAATCATGCACCAGTACCCGCTCCACAGAATTTCTTACTGTGCGGACGACAAGGGGGAGAAGAAGTTTTTCAGTTTCGTTGCCAAGGAGGAGGATGCAGAAAATCATACGTGCTTTGTATTTGTCAGCGACAAACTCGCTGAGGAAATAACGTTAACTATCGGACAGGCATTTGATCTGGCATACAGGCGATTCCTGGAGACATCGGGGAAGGACCTAGAGACCCAGCGACGTTGCATGGTGTTGCAACAGAAGATAAAGCGTCTGGAGCATGAAAATAATGTTTACCGACAACGTCTCCAGGATATCGCTACTATCAAGGGATCGGTGCGTTGTAAAAGTTTATCAATCATTTTACTTGCTGAGAGATAGAATTTTTTATTTATTTTTAATATACTTAAAGGCGGACATTACGTCATATTTGTCGCAACACAACTTACCGGATATTCTGCATGTTCCTGGAGCGCTGGCGTCTCCCGATAGCTCGACCGCGTCGCTGACCGACTCAGTCAGACTTAACGGAAGCGGAAGTAAGTTGTTATCGAGTAGTATCAGCGACAGCAATGGAAATACTTCAAATGGACCACAGCAACCACCGCCAGTACCGCCCAGAAGCTTTGAAAAGAGTTTCGATGATGATTTTATGGGGTAAGCACGCAGAATCCAACATACTGGAATTATAGTCTGTATTACTCTTGAAGTTATAAACTAATAATCTTTCTTTAGAAGCGAGCCTGCGTCAGCTCCGACAGTCGGGACCAAGTTGGAGGGACTCCTGATGGATGAATTCGAGGAGGATTTCAATCCACGAGCTTACGAGAGCGCTGTAAATGGCTTGGCCAATCATCAGTCAAATAACAATCCGCTTTTAAATGGTCAGGCATCTTCTGGAACAAACTTCTTCCCCCAAGCTAATGGAACTATCAATTCTCCACCATTACGTAAGTATACCTATTGGCTGTTTACACTGAATTTGTAGTAACCTATTAAACATGATCTCAATAATTAAATTCTTTTGTGCTACAGTGGCGCCACCACCGAAGGCCAAGGATTCACGTCGTCAAAATGGCGCGAAGGAGGATCTGTTTGGCAGCGTGCCCTTCAACCCAGCACCACCCAGCATATTAAAATCTGAGGTAAACGATCCATTCGAGATGGGTGAATTTGGTGCTACCACAGCCATTTCCGGTCCCAGTCAACAGGAACTGGAGAATGCCATTGGGCTCTTGGATAAGAGGCTGCTTGAGATGAAGGTGAGATGAATTTACGAGATTAAATTCCATATCAATTTAGAAAATCATCTGATAAATCTTTTATCTTTTCAGGATGGATTTAGCAGAGGACTCTCTATTGGTACCGATGACTTTTCGCTGGAGAGTTTGGACCCTCTACGGAATTGAGTCACCTGTTTAAGCAAAGAGAAAATGCTCTAGCGAACGAGCTTGGATTAAGAGTAATAAGATTGCGTCAAACTCGTGGCACGTTTAAAATATCTGGCGCCAGGATGCCCGGGTGAGAAACAATTCGTTAAAGAGACGGTACGAAACCAAAATTAGTCAATTACTGCACCAACACTGCAAATATATTAGGTGATGTTTGATATTTATGATACACATATCACAAATACTATTCTTTAATGGATTCTACACGTGCGCTAGAGAATTGCCCTGCTTAATTCGGGGTCGGCGTTTTTATAATCTTTATCTGGACATTGTCGTATCCTCTTCTTTCCGCCAGTCAAATCTTCGAATCTTACTCAACGTTTTATCTTTCTCTTTTTTCTTTTCGTTCTGCATCCATCACAACTCGTATGAACGAGACCTCATTCCCCCATCAATTTATCTATAATAATTTTAATCCAGTAATCTCATCGCGGTGCCGAATCTCATTTCACGGAAATAACGTATAAGAAATATAACAGGAAGTCGCCTAGTTGCTGGCTGCTAGTGACTTTCCATCATCGCGTGAATAAACGTAACTTTATATCAGATAACCGTTAGAAGAGAAAAATGAAATAGCGAGAATAACTAACATGAATGGTAGCGCATATTGGGTACTAATGTAAGAGCGCAATTAAGAATATAAACAAAAAAAAATGAATAAGCTTTTCACGCCCTCCATATGAGAGTTTAGGTATATTAACTTCAAAATCTGATCACCGTGCCTTTCTTATTCTATACATATATATAATAATATGAATATTATATTTACCAAGAGGACAATGAGATACATATCCGCCTAGAGAGATAATTGATCTAACTTTAGCGGATGTTTAATTAATTATGATAAAAAAAGCAAAAGAGAGAGAGTGAGAGAGAGTAGGAGGGAATGAAAAGTATACCTATACATGTATAGAACGTGATAGGTTTATTACACAGGGCACCGTATCTTGTTTTTTTTTTTCTTTTCGCTTAGATAATCGTCTTCATTTGAGACGTTGTCTAAAGGATTGTGTACATATTTAATTCTATATACTATTGTATTTGTTGCCTTATTGTTTAAGTATTATCATTAAGAAAATATACAACACGATTATTACATGAGCTCTTAGTTTCGTATGTCCTGGAGTAACCAAGAGAAAGACACGTGAATGTTTGTCGCCATGTTGACGGTATAATTTATTATGAAAAAAAATCGCATCAGAATGTGCTATCTATGAAATTTTTTAATGACTCTGTCGTTCATTCATTTAGGCCAAGAAATTTATAGTGTCAAAATGCTGAAGCCAACTAGAAAATTATTTTCAATTCTATTACTTCTGTCTGTTGTTAATGTCAATGCGGTTAAAGATAATGCAGAAACGTCAGCAGCCACTGGATTTCATATTGAATGGAATAATGATACCGAAGAATCAACATGGATGGGGAAGTTACCTTACGATGAACAATCTAAAGAGGTCCAGGAAGATTTATGGTGTGAGAATGAGAGACTGGAGATAGCCGATGAGATAGATTATCTAAGTGCCTATATGAAGGAAGTGGCTGATGATCTTGCTATGGATGTAGGTTAAAAGTGTTTCATCGCCTATTAGGAAGAGACGTATCTGATCACAGTGATCAGGATGTTTTTAATGTGCAGGGTGTCAGGGTCGCAGTAGAGGAAACAAGAAGTCAAGATGAAGATATAGCTACTTGGAAAAATGAAAAAATACCCTGCAATTATTCAGACAATATCTTTCAATACGTGGAATCGACTTCCTTGCCACAGTATCAAGTATAACGAGTTGACCAGGATCTTTCGAAATAAACAGATTCGTAGAAGGAAACAATTTTATTGATTTGGAATAAAGTCGCGCGTCTTCGATTTATGGAGGCTGTGACTTTTTTTGCATTGCGTTCGCATGCAAGTTATTTTTATATTGGAACTTGTGACGCCATAGACAGTTTTATTCATCTCTCTTTTATATTATTTGAATGTATACTAATAAGGATAGGTCTGTGTCAATAACCGCCAGTCATTCAAACGTAAACGGTCTGTTTATAAATGAAATCGACAACTCGATATCTCGAAGTTCGAGATCTCGCAGGTCAAGTGGTTTCGATAATTGTAATGGTCGCCTAATAACAGATGATTGGAGTGATTCGTGCGCGACACGACGGAAGAGTATTTTTATCTGTCAAAAATATAGTATTAAGAGCAAATAATAAATTGTAAAGGAATAACGAGATTCTAAGAGTTTCGAGGGAAGGAGGAAAACAAGTGAAAGTAAATAAAGAATAATATACACAGTAAGTGGAGAGGGGGATATAGAGAAAGTGACTGAATAAGGAATAAACAAGAAAAAAGGAAGACGAAGAAGCGTAAGTTAAAGGCATTAAAAAGTAAAATAAGGTGATCGAAATTCAAAGGGTTTAAGTCCTGAGTGACAGTATCGGGTCTAAGAGGGTCGAAGGGCACAAAGTTCCTGGAATAGAGAGGAAGATACAAAACGGGAAAGAGAAAGATAGATAAGACGTGTGGGAGAGTGAGAAAGAGAGAGCGAGAGACACAGAGAGAGAGAGAGAGAGAGAGAGAGAGAGAGAGAGAAAGCGAATGAGCAACTGAGTAAGCAAGACAGATAGGGACCAGGAGCTTCGTTGTTGGTACGTTTCCCAGTAGTGATTCTACAGACATCAAGGAGTGATAGAGACTTCGTAACAACGTAACAGTGCTCGCTTAATCTCACGTTCCTGTTATTATGTGATCAAGCCCGGAATTTATCTACAGCAAGGGACATAAAGAAACGTGAGAGAAATGTGGAATACAGAGATTTATTGCCTTGTCGGATTGGCTCTTCTCGTTCCTGCTTATGGAGCTGCTACAGGTACTAATATGCTTATATCATTGATCGACGTTTAATAATCTACATCCTATAACAATGCCAAGAATTTTAATTAATAAATTAGTTTGAGTTAACTGTCATACTTTGGCAGGGATGGTGTAAATTGTAACTGAGTTTTAATCGGTGCATTGTTTTTTTTGGGTGAGAATTTTTTTTTTTTTTTAAATTATATTCAGAGATAAAATTATTTCCCTCAATTATTAGGGGAACTCGTTATGCAGAGCTTTAATACATAATCATCTCCTTCCGTTCATTTGAGTCTCTTAAGGGTTTCCTGATAGAAAATAAATGTACCCAGTGTCCATTGTCGTGATATAATAGATATATTCAGTTGGGAGCATTGCGAAAGATGTTTCTAGAAAGAGGATGAGGAATGACAAGAGGAAGCAGGAAAAGAGTATGAAAGAAAAAGATAATTAATCAAAGTCATTACTGGCTATAACTTGTTAATTGGGGAATACCCAGAGTCAGGTTTATTGAATAAATGTTTCCTTACTATGAGCATCAATATATTTGAATTTTGAATAATCCGAATGGATATTTATGGATGATTACTTATAAGAGATTCATTGTAGTTTGCTTTGAGATCATATATCATTCGGATAAAGAAATTTTTGTACAATTGATATGACCTTGCTGAACAATATTGGTTTATTTTTAGTTCATAGTGGTGCTTATTACTATGTGTTCTTTATCTTCTTAAAAAAAAACCAGGAGCCACTTTATTACATAACAGTTGACCAGCTTTAATCTTTCCTTCATTATATATTAATTTATTTGTTTTTTTTTTAATGTTGCTCTTAGAACAGCAACATTCATGCAACAAAATAAAGGACCCTTATACCAGACGCATTGAACATTATCTGCCAGGTTCTGGTTAATGCCTATTTTTTGGTAGATAAAATACTTCTTTCTTCATGTCTGAATGATAAGCTTTCGATTAAGCTTTAGATTTTCCTATAGATACACCTAAATCTTTATTTATATCTGGTGACAATATCTAATACATAAATCCTGTTTACAAAGTCACTTCTAAATAACATATATGGCAACTACATATTGATTAGATAAGCTTCTCCCACTATCAGTTATAACGACTTTTAGATAAGAGCAAGTTTAAAAATAATACTATATAATTGCTAATAGATATCCAAGTAAGAAATGTCACTAGAATATATTCTTACTTGTATATATTTTTTCTCAATTCTTCCTGCTGTACCATATCCATAAATCCCATTCGTATGTAGAATTACCATAGTCTTATTGAATTACTACGATACCGTTCACTTAAGTTAAAAGTAATTCCCTAACTTGCTTGGGCATCACTATGACGCAGTTGATCCCTGCGGTCCTCTTGATAAAACAAGTTTGGCTCAATTAACTGATTCAGCCAATTGTGCCTGGCATTGTAAATATTACTGGTTGTAGAATAGAGAGGAACTTGAAGCGCGTGCTGCTAGCCTGATCGTATATAAAAATGAATTATAGAATAACGTTTGATCTTTTACAGAGAATAATGTAAGGTCACTAAAGAGCTGCAACGCGACATTATTAACACCACAATGCAGTGTAAACGAGCGATGCATTCAGAACGGTGGTAAGGGGCTATGCGATTGCATCAGAGGATATGAGAGGCTCAATGAAAATTGTGTGCCGAAGCCTCCTCCCGAAGTGTTACCGACTGATACAACAACCGTAGAAGATGATCCACAGCCGGCATCTGGTGGTATGTTTTCTAATATGGTATAAATAATATAAAATAAATCAAAGAAGGCATTAATGTTTTTTAAATAAAGGTTCAGTAGCGATTTCTAGTCTATTTTGATGTACTCTGTTTATAGGTAATTCCGTCGCGGCAGGTTTGTTGATACCGACATTTCTGATAGTCCTGGGCGTCCTTATCTTCTTTGGTGCTAGACGATATAAATGGGTTCAGCGATTTCGGGAGTACAGGCAGAATCGTTACGGGAACGTCCTGGTGACCCGTGACGACGATGACGACGATCCGCCGATCGCGTAAAACGATTTGGAGTGACTACGACGACCACGATTATGACGACCTAGTGATAATAATACACTCCTTCCCAAAAACTAACAATGAGGATGATCAGACTGGTATTAGATGTGATGAGGTTATCCTCTACCTTATGACTGCGTCGTGTGAACAAGACCTCGTTCTCCGGTCGACGGCGAGGTTGGTACACAGCGACTCGTTGAAGTGATACAGATGGTGTTCTGTATAGATGGTGAGTAATAAAGAAGCCAAATGTAAAGAAGAGTTCCTGGTTGATACGAACCTCAACGTAGATCATCGCCGGGGAGCATCTACGGGAGGACGTCGATCCCAGGGACACTTACAAAAATTGCTGTATACTTATAAGCAAAGAGAATGAACAAACGTAATGATAATGATAAACTACATTTTTTATTAGTCTTATTAGAATTGCGCCAAGGGGAAAACAGAGAGTGAGAAAGAGAGAGAGAGAGCGAGAGACAGAGAGCATAATTTTTTACATTGATATTAAATAAGCGGATCGGTTAACTTTTTAATGATGAAAAATTGCCTGCGCATGTGCGTACACTAAAAACAATAGTATGTTGCACATGAGATAAATAAGATAGATTGCGATGGTCATGAAGATGGTTATAATCCTGTGACACGTTATATGTACCAAAAACATAATTAATCCCTTTACTTTGGGAAGACGCACAGTAACAATAATAACTATACAACATCACAAACGTACATACACTATCTGAACTCTCTATAAGTATAGACGATGTTTTTCTGTAATATAACAAAATTTTGTGTGTGTGTGTACAATACATTGTACGATACATTACACGCAGATGATATATATATATGTATATATATATATATGTATCTATATGATTAATTAAAATTAGTAGCCATATTCTTGCCAGATAATTAATTATTGTTACGGTACTTTCTACCGTCTATCACGAGATATTATAATGACAAACTATTCTTATAGTTAATCTTTTTGTACAGACAAGGAAGCTAACAGTGAACCAGATGATATCCTGAATGGATCTTTTGTTCATAATCCCATTTTTGGTAATCTTTCTTTTACGTTCCTTTAAGCAAATAATTAACCCCTTGACCTTCTTGCCAATAATCTACAATCCGTTCTGCATTTACTATCATAATGCCATTTTGCATTTTCTTCCTATTATCAGAACTTTTCATCCTGTGATCTGTGATGTACGTTATCGTTTTATTAAGAATTACTCATTCTAATCGTCGTGTACGTACGTGTCCTTCTTTGGAGTATATCTTCATCGAAGCTTTCCCTTTTTCATGAACTGTCCTGATAAGAATGACGAGTGACAAATAAAGAAGATAAGCATGGAATCATTGTGCGCATACGTGATTCATGTCGCATAAAAATTTCACAGAGTAAACAATTACATGCAGTGTGTGTGTATATATATATAGATACACACATACATATATCTAATGTCAAACGAGAACCACTTCGTTGAAGGCGATGAAATGTTTCGTTGTGTAATTTATTTTATTTGTAATATATAGTAATAAATGATTTGGAAAATGTTGTTTCGTGATGCCAATGCTTAGTGGATAATTGAAGGAAGAGATTCAAGGTGTTAAAATATATTCCTGTGATTTTTGACTATCTTTATTGTACAGAGTAATAATTGTCATAATTTACAGAAAATAGCTATGAGACAAGATCGACACGCTCGAAAAGTTCCCAGACTTTTTTTTGTCTACAAGGCCACAGGGATATCTAGGGATCTTTTATTAAATTCGAATAAAACAGGAGTGCGTTACGGACGTAAGTGGGTTTGCCAGTTTTCATTGCAGCAAGCAGGAGAACTACACAATTATACTTAAATTAAACGGGTTTTTTTCGATTTCATTTTTGTTTTCCTAGTTTGAAAACGTATTTACAACATTCGAGTGGATTCTTGCACGTTCTTGTGAAGAAGGGACACGGGAGTATTATATTAATTGACAATGGCGATTTCGTGCGACCACCCAATCATTGTTATCCTTAAAAAAAAGAAGAAAGCGGGGCAAAAAGTCTCGAGAGGATGGGAAAATTTAATTTCTAATAATAAAGCAAAGTTCCTCGGCTTTCACTTTCGAGAGCCCTTTTCGTTATTTTCTTTTTTTCTTCTTCCTTACATTCCCCCCCCCCCCC